GATAACCTGCAACAATGCAGAACAAGAAATTGTAAAGAGTCGCAAGCATAATATTGATCAGGCAGAGAAATGTATGACTTGATGCCAAAGAAGGTTCCTTTCTTAATCATAATCAAGATCTATTTGTTATACGAGTAAAGCCCATGTGTAAATTGTTGACTTTCTGTAAAACACATCCTATTTTCAAAAATCCTAAGACACCGTCGATTTCAATTGCATAAACACGAATCTCACAGACGATAACAAATTTTATGCGTTTGTAGTCAAATAAAAAACCAATTATGCAGATGATTATAATAAAACACAACATATCAGGAAACCCTAATTTAGAAAGAGAAATACCTGGTTCGATGATGGGGTTTCACACGGACTCAAGCCTCCGGGTTGATTCAGTCCAAGATCACCCGCATACGATTCTATAAGAAGAATTAGGAGACTTGGAAACCCTGAAACAAAATCACGAAGACGAAGAGGGAAAAACGTAATCGATCGCATCAGTTTCACGGAGAATCAAATTGAAAAACGAAAACCCTAAATAAGATCAAATCCTAAGAAAATTGAACAATCTAGAGAAAAGGAACGGACTTTTCCGTTTACAAATGGTCAAAGAGTTGATCGAGATAAATTACCCCGGAGAATTCATCGAAAGAAAGAGAGAGACGATTTGGCGGAAAGCTTTGCGATGAGCCCCATCTTCTTCCTCCGATACTTTCTGTTGTGTCTCTTGACTCACAGCACAGTTTTTCCAACGGACGTATCAGAGATTTAACCAAAAGAGAAAATGAAGGAGAAAGACAATTTAGGGGAAAATACAGTTTTGAGAAGAGTTAAATCTTGACAAGTCGGTGTATCTAATGAACGTATATTCAAACCGAATTAATTATCATGGGCCTGGCCCAACCAAAACCAAAGCGGAACTAAATTTCAGTCGTTGATCTGTTCCACGAACCACATCGGACGGTCCGACATTCTCCACGATTCTCGGTTAGTGTACAATTCCCAGTTTTGTCAATTTGGCAGGTTTAGATGGTTTTCGATGTAGTAAAACTAAAACCCAATAAAGTTCAATCATTCAAATTTCAAATTTTTTACTTTTACGCTCTTGACTCCATAAGACGGAGATCTCTGCGGTTTTTATTATACCGTTGCTTCATCTTCCTCCGTCAATGGCGGCGAATTTAATTTCAAACACATATCTAGCTGGAGACTGTATATATAAGGAAAAATCCACTTCTTTATTAAAAAAAACAAGGAAAATCCACTAACATGACTGTATATATAAAGAAAAATCCAATACATGACTATACCAACTTAATATAACTTTATAACACACAAGGTCCACAAAAATGTAATAATTCATTTTGCGTGGCCATAATATTCAAGAATACCTCGAGCGAATCGGAAAATGCATTTACGAATTGCGAGACCGGAGCATGGCTTTCGTGGGACGAGGATCATGGATGAATATATGCTATGTTGCTGCATGAGATATTAATTGCACGTGGCAAAGTATTGACCAATGACAGACAAGAGTTTGTTAAAACGAGTTACTGAAGCGCTGAAAAGTCAAAGAATGTGGAAATAACATTTTTCTTGTTTGCTGGAAATAACTAACTGATCTCTTCCCGGAGTCAGGTCCAAGTTTGTATTAAGCTACTTCTTCAGGTGGTTTGTTACTCTCTGTGGAGGGAACGGAATGCCCGTATCTTCACTGCGATCTCAACTCCTTTACATGCGCTCAAACGCATGGTCGATCGAACTCTGAGGGACAGACTCCTATCTTTCCCTGCTACGGATTCTCATCCTTCTCTCCTAGAATTTTATTTTGGTTGTATGTCTCATCCGTTTTGATTCCGTTCCAGTAGCTTTATGGTCTTTTAGGTAAGTAGTAAAGGTAAGGGTCTATCCTCCTTTTTTGTAAATTTTCCTTCTTGGTTAATGAAATCTTAACATTAAAACCAAAAAAAAAAACCAATCTAGGATTGACATAAGATAAAATCAAAACAATGCTTAATCATTTGTTTAACAATCTCATAACCAAAATGAAAAAAAAAAAAAAAAAAAAAAAAAAAAAAAAAAAAATCTATAAATAAAGGACGAAAAGGAAGAAGATCAGAGCATATGAAATTAAGCGGTGAAGAGAGATGAGAGGCGTATTACCCAAGTATCACCACTTTTACACTTTCTTCTTCATTTACGTTCTCTTACTTCTGTTTAGTCATGTCTTCTCGATCAATACTTTGTCACCCACAGATTCTATTTCTATTTCTGTATACTGCATGTGACCAATATTTAATATTTAGTAATGAATAATAAATCCGATGTTTGTTTTTTTTTTCTCTGATAAATTGGTGATTTGAGAAAGATGATGATTCCTTTGAATATTTTTTTCTTTTTTGGCCGCTGATAATATCTTTGATTTTTATTAAAGTGGTGATGAAAACGGCAATAATGGAGTATGATATATTATATAATATGTATGATTTGGATACGCACTTAAAGGATTTGACTAAATTTTATGTGCATATATGGAAAGCAAATATTACATGTTGACCAATACCAATCAAATAAATTGACAATTTAAGAAATAAACTGATAATTTAAGGGAAACAAAACATTAGTAGTTAGAAATATTTAATTCTATTATAATATGTTTAAGAAAGGAAAGAGTTATATATAAAACATGCGATTCGGCACGGAATGGTAAGCTTTTAAATTAAATATATCAGTCTCACTCTAGAATTCTCTGTTTCAGTTTAACTATAAACTAGGTCTTGACCCGTGCTTGAGAAGCACGGGATGTTGTGATTTCTAAAAGAACATTTTAACTATTGATACAATTATGTTAAAAAAAAATAAGGGAAACATGAAATAGTAAAAAGGGAAACATCTATGCAATAACCCGGTATGTACTAATCACCATGTGAACGATGTATTTATACTTTCTTAAGATGGGGTCATTAGGTTTTCAATCAATATGGTTTCAAAATATTTATACACAATATTTTTTTGGCACGTATTTTTTGGTATATATTTACGCAAAAATCTCTGAATTTTTTTTCATTTTGGTAACTTTTCAAATTCAATATCTATAGCAAGGTTAAGGTTATGACGGTTCTTTTGCTAGGATTAACTTCATTTTTCCAGATGCGGATGTGTATTGCTTCCGAAAGAAGCTTAACTTGGATTCACCAACCTATTTTGAAAGGCTTGCCATCATAAAGGTATGTGAAGCAATAAGGAGAAAATGTTTATTTATATATCATAGATGAGGACTAACAGTTGATCATTTCATTAGTTACTTGGTGATTCAAGAAAGAGTTTTTGGTTGCTTTTCCATTCATAACTTCTCTACATCAAAATCAAAATGAGATTATTGAAACGAAAACATCTATGTAATAACCCGGTATTTACTTTAATAGTATAAATATTAAGTTTCTTGTTTTCAGATTTGATTAAAATGTTGTTATGGCAACATATGTTTTTTTAACCATATTTTAACCCTCAATTATTTAATATTATTTTACTTATTTCTTAGAGTAATTTTGTTATTCGTTATGTTTTTCTTTTATTTCATTTTGCGTTATTCAAAATTGAGTTTCCTCGATCTCTACGTCTTCTTCTCCGATCCGAACGGCTGGTCGAATTCCTTCTTCGATCCCCAGTTGTTTATCTCGTCGTTGTTCGACGTTGTTGTTCTTGTTCTTCTCCTTCTCCTTGGTCTCCTTTCTCCTTCACACGCCGTTTCTCTTCTTCTTCTTCTCCACCTCCACCGAGAGTTCTTCTTCTATGATCTCGAAGTGTTTTGTCGTCGTTGGTCGATGTTGTTGTTGTTGTTCTTCTCCTTCTCCTTGGTCTCTTTTCTCCTTCACGACGTTTCTCTTCTTCTTCTTCTCCATCGTTGTACGATCTCGATCGATTCCTATCCTCTGTAAGGTTTGTGACTCTATGATTCCATTATTATGAGTTGCTATTAGTAGCTGATTTTAGAGATTTTATTTGATCAACCTAACTGAAATCGTGTATCTATTGCCTTTGACATTGAATTAGACGCATAGTATATTGATTTCTGATGTGTATTTCAATTTCATATAAGTTTTGTGTCAATCGTGAAAGTTCTGTGACAAATTTGGTTCCATTGTGTTGGTTGATTGTGTTGTTAATTGAATTGTATACTGATATAGTATGTTCTGTATATAAATTCTATAGATGTCGTTGCATCAAATGTGATTTTGCGAAACAGTCTCTTATCATTGCATCAAATGTGATTTTGCGTCAATGGAGCTTGTTCTATAGCTAGACGTTAACACTGAGATCTAAAGGTTACAGCTTTATAAAAGCTAATCACTCTGATTCTTGCTAATTCCTTACCTTAACACACATTATCACACAAACATGTTAAGATCAAGATTACAAATTTTCACATTTGATTAGATATGTTTTTTTTTTCTCTCTCCAAAAAAATCTAAATTTAAAAGAATGTTGGGTCTGACCCGTGATGTTGGTAACCATTGAGTTAATTAAATTTGTGAATATTAGATATTTAAGATTAGATATTGTTTTAACATTTAATTAAATAGAACTAAAGTGTCTATCCATATTATTTTTTGTTATTAGTGTGAAGCTCATTTTAGGAAGAGAAATTTATGTGTTAAGAAAACGATACTTTCTCTGTAGATCTAATCTTTTTTTTTTCCATTTGTAAATTTGTCTATGAAACAAAGTCAAAATTACAAATTTTCAGATTTAACTAAATCTATTATTGCTTTCCGTCTCTCCAAAAGACCCATATCTAAAAAATATGTTGATTCTAACTTGTGATGTTACTAAAGTTTGAGTTGATTAAATCTGTAAGCATTAGGTTTTTAAGAGGGTTGTTGTAGCTCTCACTGTAGCTTCTTATTAAAACGACACAACATAAAAGAAATGACATAACATAAGGTTCTTTGAATCCAATGAAAGCCTCTTCCTGCCATAGAGTCTTTCACTTCTTCCTTCTCTCATACATCGCCACTTTCATTTGCCTTCTCCCACTTGCGAGCTCTTCTCCCTTCCGATCTCTTCTTCTTCCTCATATAGGCTAAGGGAATGCCGAGTCTATCGATAAATTGAGCTCTCCTGAGACCCAAAAATGGGCTCTCCTGATTCATAAAACCCATGCATTTCTTTCTGAAACCTCAGTTATAACTCATTCTTCCCAATTTGCAGAATCGAGAACTTTAAATCTTGCCTTCGATTTCACCTGCAGATTTAGCTCGATTAGATAGTGCGATGACCTGCAATTTCTCCTTTCACCTGCAGATTCACCTCGTTCTTCGTTTCTTTTGATGCAGCTTCTGCAAATTTCAGTGTCAAGCTTCAAATCACAGCGAATCCATCGCACAGGCATTTCTAAACTTAGTTTCACCTTCAGTTTGGATATAATATTTGTTTATGTTGATGATCTTAATAAATTTAGCATCTCTAATTTGTTTTCTTTTCCTTTCAATTCAGGACTATACTTCCGCTTCTTCCCAGTTCATCAATGGTTTAAAGAAGGATCCTCACCTGTAAACCTTCCCTTGATAGAAACTACAGGGACTGTGTTGTATGGAAGACGATGACGTCATTTAACCCAGGTATATCTTAATTGTTCCCACGTTCATACCGGTTTCTAAAGATGAGAAAGAACCTTTACGTTTTTTGGATTAGAACCTTAATGTTCTTAGAAATATCTGCATAACGTTTTAGAGATAGACACGAGAAAGAAGTGAGACACTTTTTCATTTTATAAGTAAGTGTGAGTGTTCTTGGGGAAAAACAGGGGAGATATAAAAACAGAGAGAATAAATCTTGTAAGAAAGTTTTGGGTGTTTTGATCTCTTGTAAAACCTTGTGATTTAGTGGATTCCGGTGACACTGATCCCGGCGAGACGTAGTGACCTTCTTTAACAGGCACGAACTCGTTAAATGCTCTCGTGTGCTCTTCTTCTTATCGCTTCTCTGTTCTTATTTGGTTCCTTCTTCTTAGTGTTCAGACTCTGTTTCTCTGCAGGATCTTGGTTTGTTGGTGTTATAGAGTTGTAGAGGCGTCAGCTTTAGGCTCAAATAATCCTAACAACCGTTAACTATGAATCTAACTAAAGAGTTTGCTCATAACGTATGCATGTGTTATCGATATGTTTTTATTCGTTAACTATGAGTTTTTTTGGTTTCCAGTTCTGTGCATGTTGGGTTGTCTATCCGTGAAGAAGAAGTGATGCTATGGCTTGGGTTTCATTCTCAGTTAGAAAGTTTGGTTTTTGCTTAATGCTTATAGAGGTTTCTACTATTGTATCGTTGGATAAATTTCTTGTTAGCAAAGATGTTTAGATCTTGCTCTTAGATCACATAAGTTCTGCTATGGATGGAATTGCTTTTTTTTGAAATAGATGGAATTGATTATAGCACACTCCTGCTTTGTTTTATGAAGCCAAGTAGCAGGTCACATTGTTGTCACCTACATGAACATGACCACAGTTAATAGAGAAAGAATTCAGAATAATGTATTGTGTTCTATTAACATTTTGTTACCCTTTTCCTTAGCTAAAATCAGCTCTAATGTCTGTGCAGATGTTGCCTCGTTTTGCTTTCAAACATGCAGGACCTTTACTTGGATTCGTCATGATGTTTGAAAGTATTATGTGAAACATAAAAGAGTAGTCATTGAAATTGACATGTGGTGTGCGTAAATGTGTTTTTTGGTGTTTGCCATGGTGTGGCTTTTCTTGTAAGCTGCTAACGATTGAATTATTTACAATAGATTCTTCTCGATTGCAAAGTCAAAGTCTGTGAACCATTCATCTGATTTTTTTTTGTCTTTCTGCAGCAGATAAGGTAGAAGATAGAAGAAAGAAGAATCAAGCTCTACCTGTTTTGTAAAACCCAACCATGTAATTTTTGAATTCATCTCTGATTTTATTTCGTTGAAGCACAAAGAAAAAGTATTTAACTTCTTATTTTGTTATGCGTAAACAAAAAATCTTGATATTGTTTATGCTTATTTCACTACATTTCAGACCCAAGAAGTCAATCTCCAATCAACTCGAGTCCCTTTAGAAAACGCAGGTAAACAACTTTACCTCACCTAGTTTCTTCCTCGAAGCAAATTTCTCATGTCATAGGTAGACTTTTTCAAAATATTTTATATGAATTTACAATAGATACATAAAAGTTTAGAACACTTTATTATCAAAGAAAATGAAACGATCATTCTGAGATCATATTAAACTTGTCTACAAACTAAGTTTTCTCGTCTAAACCCTCCATAGTTCTTGTCTCGCTGTCTTGAAAGATGTGCCCTTATTCTTCTTAGTATCCTCACCTTTACCTTAGTTTTCTTAAACTCCTCTGCCATAGTCTTCACCAAAGATTTTTGTGTGCAAGACTTATTTGATGTATATTGCAGGTCCAGTTGATGAATGTGTTGCAAAAGTGACAGGATTTTCCTGGATATTAGAAAGCATAACAGGTACCTAAAAATCAAATGTACTCTTAAAATATCATTCTAATAATATCTTATCATATTAACTAACCAAACAGTTTGTGAACTTGGACTTGGACAGTTTGGATATCCTTGATTTCCGTAGATAACATCTGCCAACAAAGATTAAGCGCAAGTAAGTTGTTGTAGTTTCTCTCCCCAAATAGTCAATATAACTTTATTGAAATCATGATATTTCTTCGTAATATTAATCTTTAAAAAACTTAAATCACACCTTAATTGAAAAGACTTACCAATCAAGAAGTTATGGTTGTGACCCCATCGGAAATGGTTTGGAAATTCACCAACGATAGGAACAAACTGTCTGATTTCAAAATCACAAAAGTAGGACTACTAACATTAACAAAGTAAACATGACATATTCCAAACAGATTTATAATACAAAAATGTTAACGATAATAAAAAATATTAACTGACATATTCCAAACCTTTTCTCTTCTTATTTTCAGGAAGATGTACCAACACCAAACCCATGTTCTTTCGCTCCTTGATGATCACAGGTAAACCATTGTCTGACTTGTGTTAACTCCTATGTCTCTGTAGCAAAACATTAGCTAATTTTCTATAATTTTTTTTGAAAAAACAGAACATAACTCGGTTTCTTTTCCCTTATTGAATGTCAAAAGGTTTTATAAACGAACCTGTTTCTCTGCCTTTTCACCTTGAAACAGTGACTTTCTTGTTGAACCCAATAGTCATTCTCGTAATAGTATTTATGATTCTGTGTACTGCTTATGATGTGCTGCTGAATGAGCATATATTTATAGTATAGATCCGTTTTGAACGTGCTAGGGTTTTGCGGAATTAATTTTTGAGGTATTTAAAAGTAATAGATTGCGAATATTTTAGTTAGCTTAGATTGTGGGAAGATTTGCTTAAATTTTGCGTGGAAAATAAGTATAGATGTTAGAAAGTTTTTGATATTGTTTACAGAACGGGAATGTAGCGTATTCGCTATTTTAAATGCAGGCGACATGTTTGGGATCTACCCTTAAATCATTAACAGGAAAGATGTCAGTTATGGAATTGCTGATTTTTGGTTATGCAATTACAGTAGTGCTAATGTGAATCTGAGTGCTGCTTTGGATGCTCCGAATCCTACAATATATTAAAGACCATGCACAAAAGCTGACATGGCAAGCACTCCTTTTTTGGAGCATTTTTGATTTTTTTAATTAAATTATTTAATTGCAAAACGGATAAACACACGGATCCGTTGCTGGGTCGGATCTTTCATTTAAATCGTAAAAAGGCTTCTCAGAAACTATATTATTGGGCCTTTATTAAAACTTGAAATGCACGAGTGACATAATAGAGCCCATTTGTGATATAAATGCAGTCGGATATACGATTATTAATACCCCAATCATATTGCCTTGCTTTACTTATTGTTATCTTCGTAAAAAAAGGATAAAATGGAAACTTATTAATAACGACAGTTTACTGTATTCCCATATATTCCTAAGTTATATGGACGAGTTATTATTTATTACCTTTACACTATTAGAGTTATGCGTAATAGTTGGGACTTTCAATATGATATTCGATTGTTACTCAAGTAATATATATTATTCCTTAGTTTCACTTACTATAGTTAATTCAGCTATTTAATTCGAGGAATAACATTTACTCACGTATATTTCATTTGTGGCTTGACCTAAACAAGACGTCGATACCTCATTCCCCTATATAAAAAGATCATTCTCTATTTCACTCTCATCATCTTTCCCATTTAGTATTACAAAACTGATATAAATGACTCCAGAAACAAAATGTCTCATCATCCTTCCCTGCAAGCCCACCGGTGAGTTTTCGTTTTCACTTTATTCTCCCCTGTTTCGAGTTTTCCAGTGGGTTGATTCGATTTGTTGGGATTCTCATTTTATTTTATGTTGTTGATTTGGTGAAGGTCGTGAGAGTTCTAGAGAAACAAGGAGCAAGGTTGATTTTTCCGGCGAGTAATGGAGACTGGGACGTAAGTTATCAGTAAAAACGAAAGTATTTAAGAGATGAAGATGAACTATATATTTTTGATGTTGATTGTTTGTAGGGATGAACGTTTAGATTGTACCTTATGGAATTCAATGGCCGAGGAAATGCTGAAGCATGCGAGAGTGATGGAGATGAAAGGGTCATTTGTCTATTAAGATTTTCCTAAATTAGGAAACTGAGAGGTATGAACTATGAAGACAGTAATGCAATATTTAGATACATAAATGTGCTCTGATATTCTGATTATTTCTTCTGTAGCAGTGCAATGATTTTATGAGTTGAATAACTTAAGCATTTTCGTTGTTTTTCCAGGGTACAAAAGATTGAGCATAATGCAAAAAGTCTGAAAGATATTTACCACCAAACGAAGTATGAGAGATGTTGAATATCAGCCTCAGTCATGCAATCGGTTAAATGCAGGCCAACCAATCATGTGTGCAAGATTGGTTTAATGAAATTAACTTGCGTGATTCAGACGGTGAATGTGTTTCCGTCTTTGTTTTTGTGACATGTAACGTTTAATAAAATAATGGATGGTCATAATCAAAGCATCTTATTCTTATGTGTGGTTAGTGTATAAGTTCAACATTTAAAATATAATATAGTGACATGAATAGTTCCTAAACTATTGTGTTGATCATTGTTTTTTTTTTTAAAGTTATCTTAGGGCAAGTGGTCAGTGTTGGAGAGATTGATTCCTATGTTTTTAAAAGAGAAAACTAAGAAAATTTGTATTTGCTGATAGTCTATGGTATCTCCATGGTAAAGTGAGTGATACGAAAGAAAAAAATCTGATTGCATGAAATTAGCGAAATTGGATATTTAACATGAAGTGTTGAGAACTTTAAATTTACCTTTTAAAATTAACTGAATAATTAAAAATGAATTATATATCTATTTGAAAATGGAAAAACAAGCAAAATGAAATACTACATCACAAATATATAGACATAGAAGTACATTAAGCATAATGTGAATCCTTTGTTGTTGCTGAAAGTTTCGATTAACAGAGTAAGAGAATATCATAATAGCTAAACGAATCTGATGTTCCCATTTTTGTGGTTCAAATATACCCCAACATACTAAAAAACCATAATACTATAGCGACAAGTAATGTAAAAATAAGTTGTTACAAAAAGAAATAGTTTGCTGAATAAGAGGATTTAAAAAAAAAAAAAACAGATTTTGAACATAATACTTGGGTGGAAATTTTGTAGCAAAAAACTAATAATTTGAAATCAGTCTTGCAAAAAAGTCAATGATATCTACAACGATAATTTTGCGGATCGGATTTTATTTGACGTGAACTTTGTGGCATAGTTTGTTTTTTTGTTTAAATCATTTTTATAAAAAAATTATGGTCAAAATTTTATGAATTCATAATTTTGGTAGAGAATTTGAGGAATCCTATTTTTGGGAAAAAAAATATTTAGAAAGGCTTCCGAAGTAAAATATTATTTTTGAGAAATTTGTGATTCTATGTTGCACAAACTAATTCCATAAATTTTATTGACTCCCATTTATGGCGAAATTTTTTTTTAATCGGTATTTGTTTGACGGGAACATTGCGGAATAGTTTGTCTTATAAATTGTTCTCTAAACATTTTGAAATAACTTTTCAACTTTAAATATGTTTGCGGAAAATTTACATACTTATATTTTGGTGAAAATTAGCAGAATTATATTTTGCATTAAAACTTAAAATGTTTTTTTTTCGTACATGTAGTGGATATTGCTATTTGCTTTCTTAATATAAAATTTAAAGAAGGTTTACCTTGATTAAATATTATTAGCAATATTTCTTAAGGTCCTTTAGATTTAGTTAAATTATAATCTTTTAAACAAATCACATAATTAATATATTATGAAAATAGGAAATAACTAACATATAATACACATAAATAAATAATCAAATATCTATCCATTATTCCAAAACAAAAAAAAACTATAATATTAGTAATCGAGACAATATACTTATTATTATATTAAAAATATTTATATGGACTGATAAAGAAACAAAATATATTTTAATCTAAAAATAATGTAGAAAATGATATATCCATTCAATATGAAAATTTTAAAGTTAACTCAATCCCATGCATTAGGCGTGGGTAATCCCCTAGTACTTGTGAAACTGGATTCAAAGAGGTAATAGTGCTTAAATCTCCAGTTACAAATGAGAATAATATTTTGTTTCAAAAGATTGTGATTCCTTTGGCTTTTTCAAATATTGTTTGATGAAATTACCAAGTGTAATTTTCTCAAAGAGATGAAATAAGGGAAATTATAGTAAATGACAATAAAAAATGTCAAAATTAGGCAAATAGCCATATTGACTCATGGCTAAAATATTTCAGTATTTTCTGTATTAATGACGAAACTACCCTTCTTTCTTTTTCACCTCTCTTTGTTCTTCGAACCTCGTCTCTGTTTTGCATAGCTGTGACTCCTCGTGAATATATCTCCGCTTCTCCATCATTTCTTTCACCATGCTGATGTAGAATTCGATCACGTATACGTATATGGGCTTTATCTATAAGCTTCGCTCAGTGACATCTCTGCCGTGGATCTCGCTGGCGTCCATGGATAGTAAATCTCGCTCGGAATTGTATCGAGCTTATCTTGAATGGACGTTGCGGAGACAGCTGAACGTTGCTACCTTTTGATGAAAGCACAATCACTACCTTTTGATGCCCCATCTTTTTTCCTGATCTTAATTCTTGTCTTTCTAACAATTTTTTTCTACATTTCATGGCCAAGGTCTTGTTTTCTTTCTTTTCTCCTTAACCAAATCATGTAATTTGACTAGTTCTGTATTAGTTCTATATACTTTCACCTTGTACTATACTATTTTAACGTAACTATTTTGTTCTTGAACGATTTCAGTCTTCTCTTATCAAATGATTCCACCTCTTATTATGCTCTGGGTTTAATGTTCCATTGCTATCATCAATTGACAAATGATTTCCTTTTTAAACTAGTAATAGAACAACCAACGAATTGACGATAGATGGTACACAATCTTTCAATCAAGGGTATTTTCGTCCAGAAACACATCTCATGGCTGTTGACTTAATTTAGAAAAAAGGATGGCTATATTCTTAATTATTTCTCCAATATAGTTATTGAGCCAATTAACCCATGAAATAATGTGAGACATTACAGTAAAACCTCTATAAAGTAATAACGTTGGGACCACAATATTTTATTACTTTAGCGAGATTATTAATTTATCGAGGGATAATTAGACCAAAAACTGAATTCGGGACTTGAAAATTCTATTCATTTATCGAGGTATTACTTTATCGAGTATTACTTTATAGAGGTTCTATTGTATCTTATTGGAAAAAAAAAAATCTTATTTTACAATATGATTTAGAAACACTACAGTGTTTGTTAATTTGAAATGTTAAAAAAAAATATTACTTTGATCCCTGTATGTAATTGGACATTTCTTCTGATAGACCTTTTATCAAAGTTTTTCAGGTAGGTTATTGTTACAAGTGTGAGGCTTGTGGTTAACCACAATGGCTAAAAGATCAATATATAGTGTGAGACAATGAGAGCATGTGGAAGTGATCCATATCCTTTACTATGTTCGTAGAGGTGTTGGCCCGTAATTGATACATAACATACAATGATGTCAGCTTTATGGAAAGAAAAAAAATGACGAGTGTGAAAACAAATGACATGAATTACTAAATTCCTTAGCAAAACAATATAGAGCTATAGAGGGAAAGAGAGAAAAAAGTGGCCTATACAGGGATCGAACCTGTGACCTTCGCGTTATTAGCACGACGCTCTAACCAACTGAGCTAATAGGCCATCTTGTTGTTAATGTTGTTGATGTGTAATTATAAGCTTAAGAACAATGTTCTTTTGTCAATTGCTGCTGTACAGTTGCCACACAAAAATATAAAGAAAAATAAGAACAATATCTAATAGCAAAAATAATAAATTCATTTGATTGAATGAAAATTTGTTCATAATATAAGATGAGAAATACACTACACTAAATAGTTTTTATGAGGTGTAGCGATGCATTCAATATTGATTACATCGAAATTCATGTAATTTTTGAACTTAACAAAATTTCATTGATCACACTGAAATATATGTAACACTGTGAACTTAACAAATTTTCATTCAGTCAAATGAATTTATTATATTTGCTATTTAATTCAAAAAAGAAAGTAATTTTTACAAAGGGCCTCCAAAAAGTTTTGAACTTTGTAACATTGTAACACAAAGAATTGGGCCTCTAACAAGTAGTCAAAAGAACCACCGCCAAGATTCGTTTGACTTCCTTCTATGGACGAGTCGCAAAATCTCCCAAGACTTTGACCACTTTCTTCTCTCCTGAAACCTCCAAAATCTTCATCTGGTCACGGTTGTTCTGAAGCTTCCTCACAAAAATTACAAAACATATCTGCAAGCAACAATCTAAAGCTCACATTTTTGACCTCGTACACTGGAGTGATTTACATTTTGGGTGACTTTTGACTTTGAGTTTACAGAAAGAGTGACATTTTCTCAGAGGTGCACTTTTTTTTGTCTTGTTGTGAAAGCAGATTCCACTTTTACCCTTAATGGAAATTGGGTGAAAATATGTTACCATTTTTTTGGTTAACGAGAAAGTGGAATCGATTCTTGTTCGCCGGCTGTTGTCATCGGAAAATTTCTATGGTTACCCAACATAATTCGAAGTTCGATTCTCTGACTATATCAATTAAGATATGCGAAAGTAGATGGTGTACAATTATGTAGTGGATAAAACTTCTAAAGAAATTGGGAGTTCATCCAATTGCTCTTGTTCATGAATAGCTTATGTGACTCATGAGATCAATGTTTCCTTCTCCATAGATAAGATTGAAACTCCCTGCAACCTGCTCCACAAAACAGAGAAAGAAGAAACAATCCACACAAAACTATCCACATTTGTAGTGTACAAAAATATATGGACAATTTGAAGCATGGACGAATGTTTAAAACTGAATGAATTCATCCACATGAAGCTATCCAAATTATTTTAGGAGGTGATATACTAGCCATATTCAAAATGAGCAACATAAGAAATGAAGAAGTGTTTATGTATTATGGATAGACATTCCGTGGATTGTATGTGACAACATCGTTTATGGAAAAGTATTTATTAACAAGACCTAATACGATCTCTGCAAAAGATAATGAAACTTCTTTAAGTCTTTTGTAATTGTATTATCATAACATAAAAAAAAAAAAAAAATTAGAAAAAGTAACCTGAGATGATCTCAAGCTTGAGACCAAGAGAGCTAAAGAGTGTTGGAGCCTGTTCGTATTGAGCAATACTGCAATAGACGAAGCAAGTAGAGCAGTTTCTACTTCAGTGATGATCACTTTCTGTAATTTATATGCCACAATGAACAGAAGAAAGGCCAAGGCCTCGAGAGATGATTTTGGAGCTTCAATAGTAATCTTCCCTTCTCATTATAAACATAGGAGCTTTGCTCTCGAGACCTCTTCTCATTATAAGCTTCAACCAGCTTCAATTGACTGACGCATAACAATATATTAGAAGCACCGGCTTTGAGATCCCCCATTGATTTGCGGAGCTTCTGTCTCTCCAATACATCGAGCTCTCCATGACTATTCTTCTCCATTGAAAGGAGCCGCAGCTGACCCTAGAATTTTCAGACCATAGTCAAAAGCAATTCATCCACATAAACTTGTCCATGGTCTCAAAGCATCCAATTTAAACCATCCACAAGAAACAATTTGTGTCTAAGTGCCTACCAAAAAACTATCCAAGAAGAGACGATGAGAGTTACCATTAGCAGGTCGGAGACGGTGGACCAACACAAAGCCCTGACGTTTTCTTCTCTCAGTGATTAGTGATGAACCCGAGATCCAAAAAGTTCAATCGCTCTCTCTCCTCATCAGATCCGACCAAAGTTGATGTATCAAAACTCCATAGCCTTGAATTCGATGTTTCGTTGTTGTCGAAGAGAACTATTGCCTCAATCAGATTCAAACCCAGAGTGAATGAGGGATGGAAACAGCAGGGAAGGGAGCTACGTGAATTATAAAACTCGACGGAATCGGAAGGTTGAGACTTGACGGAAAAGAGGAGAGGACGATGCAGTAGGAAGGTGAGACTCGCCGGAGTCGGAGAGGCGACAGTTCCCGTGAAAGGATTTTCGTGGAAGGATTTCTATGGAGTTCAGAGAATGTTAAAAAAGAAGTAAAAATTGAAACGAATATGCAGATCGAAGGGAGAAACGGCAAAGAAAGTAGCTTCTTTTAGAGAGAAATGAGAAACAACAACGGAGGAAGAGGTGTTTCCGGCAAGAAGAAAATAGTTCTCCGATGAATTTTTGTCGGAAGAGAAAGGTAAGAATTGTTGAGTAAATGTAAAAAAAAATTAACGCATAAAGATCTCAATGAAAGAGGGCAAGAGTGTAAACTCATATCCTGAAAGTCCACCTCTGATTGAAAGTCACTCTTTCTGTAAAGTATAAGTGAAAAAGTCTCTCTTAAGTGTAATATTCTCTCGTACACTGCATCTAACTGAGAGGCAAGCAATGACATCAGCCACTTCCCGTGTTTTCTTTTTTGCTTATGTAATCCAAAGTTTTGATTTTTAATTTCTTTTTGATTTAAAGTTTAAACCTTTGACCCTCTCTGTTTCTCTTCTTCTTGGGTTTTAGGTCTTCTATGTGGGTTTTTCTTCTGCAGAGATAAATGGATCCCAATTTCTTCGACTATCACGATGAGAACATCTCACTCAATCCCAATCTCGACTCGTTCGATTTCATTCAAAACCCTAATTTCCTCTCTGACCCATCTCCTCCCTCCGACGAAAACCAATCATCCAACAACACCTTGTTGAAATACGTGAGCCAGATCCTCATGGAAGAGAGCATCGGAGACAAGCAATCCATGTTCTACGACTCGTTAGCGCTACGGAAAACCGAAGAAATGTTCCAGCAAGTGAACACAGATTCCAAATCTCAGTCCTTTAATTCCTCTGACTCAGCGATCACTACCGATTCCGCTGATGCTGTCTCCGTCGGTGGTCCGGAAATCGAGCCGCCGGTGAATGAGATTCTTGTCAAGAGTATGTTTAGTGATGCAGAGTCAAATCTACAGTTCAAGAAAGGGCTTGAAGAAGCTAGGAAGTTCCTCCCCAACAGTGACCAATGGGTTATAAACCTCGTTAAAGAAGAAGAGACGTCTAGGGTTAGGGTTAAGAAGCATCATCACGAGAGGGAAGTTCTTGAATTTGAAGAAACCAGGAGTCGTAAGCAATCTGCAGGAAACGTTGAAGACGGGAAGATAACGGATTTGTTTGATAACGTTCTGCTTCTTGACGGCGAATGCGATCCGCGGACATTGGTGGAAGACAAGTCTCAAGAAATGATTCTGAGTGATGACAAGAAGAAGATGAAGAAGAAGAAGACAAAGAAGAAGAAGAGTCAAGTGGTTGATTTTCGTACACTTCTCACTCTCTGCGCACAAGCCATCTCCACCGGAGATAACAACTCTGCTCTTGATTTACTATTGCAGCTAAGACAAGAGTCGTCGCCTGTTGGTGATGCGGCGCAGAGGCTCGCTCATTGCTTCGCCAACGCGCTCGAGGCTCGTCTGCAGGGGAGCACGGTGATACAGACTTACTTCACTGCGCTAACCTCGTCGAAGAGAACCGCTGCGGATACGCTTAAAGCGTACAGAGTCTATCTCTCTTCGTCTCCGTTCGTGACTTTAATGTACTTCTTCTCCTTCAGGATGATTCTTGATACCGCTAAAGACGCTGAGGTTCTCCACATAGTCGATTTCGGGATTCTCTACGGGTTCCAATGGCCGATGTTTATTCAGTACATATCAAGACGGAAAGATGATGTGCCGAGGAAGCTGAGGATCACCGGGATCGAGCTGCCTCAGCGCGGTTGGATAGAGGAGGAGACGGGGCGAAGACTGGCTGAGTACTGCAAACGGTTTGATGTTCCGTTTGAGTACAGAGCCATTGCTTCTCAGGACTGGGAAACGATCAAGATCGAGGATCTTGATATACGGCCGAACGAGGTTTTGGCGATTAATGGTGGACTCAGGCTGAAGAACCTTCAGGATGAGACTGGAGGGGAAGAGAATTGCCCCAGGGACGCGGTGTTGAAGCTGATAAGGAGTATGAATCCGGACGTTTTCGTGCATTCGATAGTGAACGCACCGTTCTTCATGTCGAGGTTTAAAGAAGCGGTTTACCATTACTATGCGCTGTTTGACATGTTTGATTTGACGTTGCCGCGGGATAACCAGGAGAGGATTGGGTTTGAGAGGGAGTTTTATGGGAGAGAGGCGATGAATGTGATAGCATGCGAGGAAGGGGATCGGGTGGAGAGGCCGGAGACGTATAGGCAGTGGCAGGTGAGGATGGTTAGGGCCGGGTTTAAGCAGAAACCGGTTAAGGATGGGCTTGTTGAGTTGTTTAGGGAGAAGCTGAAGAAATGGCGTTACCATAAAGACTTTGTGGTTGATGAGAATAGTAAGTGGTTGTTGCAAGGCTGGAAAGGTCGGACTCTTTATGCTTCTTCTTGTTGGGTTCCTAATCGCTGAATTAGTTCTGTAGTTTTGTTACAAAAAAAAAAGTATAACCAATCTTAGGAACATATTTGACAGTTTTCTTTGCTTTTGTCAAAAAGAAAATTGATTTGTTTTTTTTCAAGAATTCCTAGCTCAATTCTACACCAATACATATACAAGTATTTGGATTCAAATTCTGATGTGTATATAGCAGACGATATATGTATATCTCTTGATTTGTGTTATCAGAAGTTTGAAAGCATCATTATTTTACAGCTGTAGCAAACCAAACATTGAAGTGATCTGCATTTCCAAACCCATGTAAGCGAAAGCTTCATTTCCAATTTTTTTTGTGTTACATATTTGTGTGGCTGTGTATTCTTATTTCGAAATATATATCCATAAGATCTACAACTCTCAAAGAAATATAAGCAAATGATTATGCAATTGGGAGTAATGTCATACGTTTTATTTAAGCTTTACTGTTGATTACTAAAACTTGGAAACCAATGCTGATTTCTGGTTTTTGTGAAATATATAAATCAAACATGGAAACGACTATTGAAACGGTTAGGACCAGTTTCAATTCCAAAAAGAAAAGGAATATTCATTGATTGACATCAGAGGTGATGCAGGCTCGAGAATCCACCGGTGTTACGTACAATGATGTACTATCTCAAGAAGTTGCATCATCATCTTCTGTTGAATCAAGACTTTTTTTGTTTTTTTCTATATTGAAGAAATAGTTGATAACAAGTAATTACTTAAGGTCCATAGTTTACACATGTTCTGCTTTACTCATATTAACCAAATTTTTTCTTCTGTAGTGAACAAAACAAAAGTCCTTATAATCAAATTTATGTGACTCTTGAATTCATTTTTTCTTGCTGCAACATGTTTTGCTAGACTCCATATATTGGGAATATGCGTTTACATAATTAAACTTAAGCTTTGATTTTTGTTGATTTCTTTTAGATTTGGGGGTATATGATGTTCTATGTCAAAAACAGAGTAGATCCGCTTATATATGATGTTTTTTTCTTGGCTCTACAATTTATTTAACCACTAGACTATACGACCAGGCTTAAATATACGCTTAAGAATGGTAGATATATCTTAAGAACAGTTCTTTCCTTAGAAGCTTCCAATATCGATAGAAGTAGAGTCTTGAATACTCCATCTGGACTCCTTTTCGATGGAGAAAACAGTCTCCTTAATCTCGTTTTTTTTTTTCGTGACTATTCTTGTAAAGAAATCAGTTATAGCATTTGTTAAGAGCTTTAGAATATTAAACATAGTTTCATCTAATACCAAGAGCCAAGAGGGATTAGATAATTTAAACAAAGCTTAAAAAAACAGATGCAGCTGCTCTTTTTTGTGTTTCCAACTAGTGTTAGTGTGTTACGTTACTTGGTTATTTCTTTAGCAAAGCCAAGGCATTAATGTTACGCTTTGCGTTGACAGATGCATGGAAAAGAAACTAATCCTTCTGAAATTGCATAAGAACAAGCATTTTGAGGCGCATCATATACTGTTAGAGGTGCATCATATAAGCAACAAATCCAAAAACAGAGAGTTTCATAAGATAGAAAAAACACCACAAAGTTACACATTTCCGATTCATATAAGGTAGTAGTAGTAGCTCCTAAGTTCAAAGAAAAACAAACGAGAGAGCGCAATATCATATCATCACATTTCCGATTTTAGCGATCAAATCTATATGTATAATGGCTTGTCCTTAATTGCTTCAGAGATCATAGAAGTAACCTCATGCAAAAACTCATACTTGTGCAACAAAAACTGGAATTCCTTAGCCTGCAAGTCTGCAACACTTTCACCTTCTCTTCAACCTTCTTCTTCGTCTCCACCGGAACCAAACTCTTGCTTCACACAACTCTCATCAACACCAAAACGAGCAATGGCTCCAACGATCATTCCTTGCAAGACTGTGATTTCGTTCGTAGACTTCAGTCCACATTAGTCTCTGAAAAGCAGACTTCTTCGAGTCCTCTCCGATCTTCTTCTTCTCTTCAACCTTCTTCTTTGTCAAACTCCACCTCTGCTTCACATAACTCTCATCAACGCCGAAACCAGCAATGGCTCTAACGAGAAACGAGTTAATGACTTGTCCTTAGATAGTTAGATGCTTCAAACTAATCGGCATATAAATTTTACTTTGTTTTATAATTTGGTTTGGGCTAGTAAATTTTGGTTTGGTGCAAAAACAGTTCAATTTGATTCGGTTCTAAAAACTTTGTCAAACATGAATCTAAGTCCTCACTCAAATTTACTTCAGTCTTACCTAGAAGGTTTTAGTTTTCCATTTCCAACTACATAAGAATCTTCAATAACAATGAGTCAAATGTTAAAATTTTAGAATTTTTAAATGGATAATATCGTTAAATATAATAAATTTCAAGATAAATGATAAAATATCGAATATCTTCCACTTACAAAAATTCTACAAAATAAATAATTTCAAAAACATTTTGTTTGGATTTCTGATCCAAGGAGGTATCCTTGGTATTAAAATCCACGTAGGACTAATTGAGTCGAAAAAAGTTAAAGCCTGTGAGTAAATCACCCAATTAACTTACGCCACGTGTGCAATCGTTCTTTGTACCTTGATACATACGATCCCTTGGTTAAAAAACCTATAAAGGAGAATCTCTTGTGAATCAAAACTGCTTTGCCAAATTTTTAGCTCCGATCTGCCATTGACTACACCTCCTTGAGAAGAAGCAAAGTTTCTACGATCTTCAAGCTCCAAAAAACCCTTACACAATCAGATCGTTTTCGCTTTCTTCGGTACGGTTGATCAAAGCTGCTCTAATAAAAACTTTATCGTTCTTCATCTGCTGGGTTTAAACTTTCAAAAACAGTCCTGAAGATTGTCTAGATCATCTTTCTGGGTTTTTGTTATAAGTGCTTTTTCTCAATCTAGATTCATCCAGTAAGGTCCAGAAGTTTGGATTTTTAGCTTGTTTCTAGTTTTACAATGATCGTCTTTGATGATTTTTTTTCTTTCTCTGCAAAGATGTTATCTTTTTAGGTTTTGAATTGAGTAATTTCCAGCTGAAATTCTGATTTGAAGGATCGTATGGGTTTCAAAAGAAAGTTGTCTGCTTGCTGTGTTGATTTGTGCCCACAAGGTTTTCGATGATTTGCCTCAATGGCTTTTTGTGTTACTTCTACTTAACTAATGAGTTATACTCTTGTAGCAGTAGAGATGAACGGAGATGATTCGAGCTTCGAGCAGTGTTACCGTTGTTACCCAGTCTCATTCATTGAAAAGGTCCAAACTTTCTTTAACCAAATTGTTTGTTTTGATCTCTTCTTATCAAGAAAAACGTTTCTAATTCCAGACCCATTTTTAATTTGCAGGCTCATCTTGAGAAGGGTGACAAAAGTAAATCACTCTCTAGAAAACAAAAAGTTTCTTTCTTTACCATATTTCTCTGACTACATTACTTAAATGTATATGTTTCTTTTTGTAGTTATCATGCCTCCTTCCGCTCTCAATCGTCTTGGTAAGCCACTTAAGTACTTAACATTGCAACTTCTGTTATCATTTCAGTGTTTCTTTGCTGACTCCATATTCTCTCAGCTTCTTTGCATATTGAATACCCAATGCTGTTTCAACTGAGTAACGTCTCTGTTGGGAAGACTACTCACTGCGGTGTACTGGAATTCACCGCAGACGAAGGCGTTGTTTTCTTGCCGAATTGGGTATATATACTTATATCTTTGTCTTTTAGTTTTTACTTTTCACTTACTTTCTTGATCTGATCTTCTCTGTAATTACAATGTAGATGATGCAAAACATGTCTCTTGAAGAAGGAGACATATTGCAAATCAAGAATATCAGCTTGGTTAAAGGGACTTACATCAAGCTTCAGCCTCACACTCAAGATTTCTTGGACATTTCAAACCCAAAAGCCATGTTTGTACCTTTTGAAAAAACTCAATCTCTTGTTTTCTTTTTGGAAGAATCTTCTCTTTTCTTATATTCCTTTTTTTTTATGTTGCAGCTTGGAGACAACGCTTAGGAGCTACTCTTGCTTAACCACAGGGGATACATTCATGGTTCCTTATAACAACAAGCAGTATTTCATCAATGTGGTTGAGGCTAAACCTTCTTCAGCTGTGAGTATCATTGAAACGGACTGTGAGGTTGATTTTGCTCCTCCTCTTGATTACAAAGAACCTGAGAAGCCACAAAAGTTGACTCCCTCAAAAAAGCGATCTCTCGAAGGTTTTTCATTTCGACAACTCTCTATCGATTATCGACATTGGAGTCATAGCCTCTAATACCATTATCTTCCTTGTCCTTGCAGTTGAGGAAGAAGAAGCAGCAAACAAAGCTCCCAAGTTCACACCATTTACTGGATCCGGAAAGCGCTTGGATGGTAAACCGCAAACAAAATCAGCCGAAGAAGAAGAAGATACAAAACAACAGGCAAAGCCAACTGAGAACGGAAGAGACGATGAGAAGTTGTCAAGCACCACGCCACGGCAAAAACCAGGGAAGCTTGTCTTTGGATCAAACAGCAAACAATCTGCAAAAGAAACTGTCAAAGTATGTATCTTTCTCTGGATTTTCTGTTCATGTGTTGCGTCATTCATTGCAGATCCTTATCTGACTTGTATGGCTTCTAAAATGTGTAGGTTGAAGCAAAGAACATTGAGCAAGAGAGTTCAACTAAATCCGATGATGCTAAGTTTCAAGTGTTCACAGGGAAGAAATACTCTCTCAAGGGTTAAAAAAAATCTTCTGTTGAAGAAAATTTATTTGTTTATGCATTCATTCATATATTTATCACCGATCTTCTTGGCTTTTTAAGGATCATCGTTTTAGGTTTGTTGATATGTTCCTATCTGATACATTTCGACACTCAAAATGACCAAAATTCAGATATTTCGATCAGGGATTATAGTTATTTTCCAATTAGTATACACAGCTTTTTCTCAATCTTTTGGTTCCTTAGTGTTGAAACTGCAGCCAACAAAATTTCACAAATCTTGAAACTTCCAATATTTTCCAAAAGAAGAAACAGGTCCATACGTCACACAAGTTCTTGGTAAATTTGTGATGTTTGGGTAAGCAACAATATAATCAGTACATTACAAAACGAAATTATAAAAAGAAAATCTTATTAGAAGCAAATAATTTAGAGAGACAAATATTCATTGCTAACAAACAAGTCTCTCCATCACTAAAAACATTTGAAGAACAAGAAGACCGGTGTTGTTTATTGCATTCTTAATCAAATATACAATTTGGTAACAGTGAAGTCTCTCTCTCACACACTCCTAAGTCGGAACCACCTGCGGTTCAAGCGGCGGAGGAGCTCCTTCATCCACCACAGGGTTAACCGTCGTGGCGGCAGACTCTTCCTTCTCACTGTCCTCGAACCCGGACTTGAACCGGTCGTAATTCGTCACCTCAGCAGACTTAAACGGACGTTCACCCAAAACTTTCACAAGATCCTCTTGATGCAACACTTCTTTGTCCAGCAAAAGCTCAGCGATCTCAGCCACTTTCACTTTGTGCTCCTCGATCAGCTCCACCGTCTTCTTGTAAGCTTTGCTCACCCAATCCCTAACCTCCTCGTCTATGATCGCACCGGTCTTGTTGCTATACGGTTTGTTGAAGTCGTAGCCATCATCCCTCGGCGGAAACGAGAGCAGACCAACCTTGTCACTGAAACCGTACACAGCCACTTGCGCGTACGTCATCTTCGTCACTTTCTCTAGATCGTTTTGTGCACCCGTCGAGATCTTTCCTATCAATACCTGCATTTGCAAAGATCCATAAGATCGAAACTTATAAATTCTTGAACCATAACAAGATTACTATATCTTCTTGATCAAGATCTTGAACCATAACAAGATGTCTATATCTTCTTGTTCAAGATCTTGAAACTTATAAGATCTTGAACCATAACAAGATTACTATATCTTCTAGTTCAAGATATAGTTATGGTTCAAGATCTTGAAACCTACTCGCAACGAAAAATCTGGTAAAAGCAGTAGTGAAGTTACCTGCTCAGCTGCACGGCCACCAAGAGTCATGCAAGTCATGTCAAAGAGCTGTTCTTTGGTCATGAGAAGGTTTTCGTTCGGAACGTACTGCGCAAACCCGAGAGCAGCTGTGCCACGAGGCACGATAGTCACCTTCAGCAATGGCTCAGCATGCTCCAAGAACCACCCAGCAACAGCATGACCAGACTCATGATAAGCAACCGTACGTCGCTCCAACTTGCTTATCACCCGGTTCTTCTTCTCAAGACCACCAATAACACGATCAATAGCAGACTCAAAATGCGCCATAGTAACAGTAGACCCTTCATGTCTAGCTGCAATAAGAGCCGCCTCGTTACACACATTGGCAATGTCAGCTCCAGCAAAGCCAGGAGTGAGAGCAGCAAGCCTCTGAGAGTAATAAGAAGGCTTGTGATCAAGCTTAATCTTCTTCAAGTAAATCTGAAAGATCTGGTCACGACCTTTAATATCAGGTTTATCAATGGTTATCTGACGATCAAACCTTCCGGGCCTCAACAAAGCTTTATCCAAAATATCCGGTCTGTTCGTCCCCGCAAGAACCACAACTCCAGCGGTTGTACCAAACCCGTCCATCTCAACAAGCAGCTGATTCAAAGTGCTCTCACGCTCATCGTTGCCTCCTAAGCCACCACGTCCTCTTGCACGACCTATCGCATCGATCTCGTCTATAAAGATGATGCTCGGTGCACATTGCCTAGCTTCTTGGAACAGATTCCTCACTCTCGAAGGTCCAACACCAACGAACATCTCCATGAAATCTGAACCGGAGATGGACAAGAACGGAACGCCTGATTCCCCTGCGGTAGCTTTCGCTAAAAGCGTCTTCCCGGTTCCAGGAGGACCGACTAAAAGCGCACCTTTCGGCATCTTAGCACCGAAATCTTCATACTTTTTAGGGTTCTTCAAGAAATGCACAAACTCCATGATTTCTTGTTTAGCCTCCTCACATCCAGCAACATCCTTGAAATATATCTGTCCAAGAAAAACAAGATTAGTAAACTGTAAAAACTAAGGATCAATCATAAAAACAAAATTTACTTACCTTGTTCTTGGAATTTTTATCAGCTCTTGTGATTGTGGCTTTGCCTATATTGAAAATGCCACGGCCGTTCTTGCCACCGGTTCCTCCTACACCCAATCCGCCTTGCATCCGTCTGGCACCGTAGAAGAGAGTACCCAAGAGGAGCAAAGTCGGAGCAAACCTCATGATCTCTTGATACCAGACCATCTCAGAGACGTAGGTGACGGGAACAAACTCGTGAGGATCAACGCCTAACGCTTCTTGAGCTTCTTCGAGCTTCTCTTCGAAAGAGTCGACGCTACCGATGTTGAAGTAGTACTTGTACTGACCACCACCGCTTCTTTTAGCAACTCCGTTACCATCTCCTTGCATAAGAGAATCTCCAGTTGTTTGTTGGTTTCTCGGTGTGCTTCTCACGTAGACTTTGGCTACTGATTTGTTTGAAACGTCTATGTGGTCGACGAGACCTGGCTCGAGAAGCTTGTTTTTGAACTCCTGGAAACTAATCTGGAAACATAGCAAGATGATATTAGTATAGAGATACAAAGATGATAACACAAAGTTGAGGTTTTTTAAGTATGCTTGCCTGTTGCTGGTCTCCAGAGCCAAATGAGAAAGAAGAGAAGAAGAGAGCAAGAGCCAGCAGAGGCATTAGCAGGTTTTGGAAACGGTTCATGAACATATCTCCCAAGTTCTCACTTTCATTCTTATCCGAACCATCTGTATTGCAAACACAAACATATACAACCATTAGAATCATTCAGTAGCACCAAAGATGATTTGTAATTCAATTGGTTTTACTCTCAAAACAAGCAACAAGACTTGTCCTCAGGTCATTCCAATGCAACATATAAATTACTAACACTCTTATTGAGTACAAAGTTGACAAATTCAACAAAATTCAGAGGTCTATACACTTTCCTCCCTAAACCAAAAAGCTCATCTATATAGTTGAATCAACGTAACAACAGGGAGAATTAAACCGATAACTCTATAAACCTTCACTGATAACAAAGCTCAAAGCTTTTTCCTTAAAACACAAATGAGACGAAACCAAATAAATCTAATAACCTTCACTGATAACAAAGCTCAAAGCTTTTTCCTTAAAACACATATCAGAATAAACTGATAAATCTATAAACCTTCACTGATAATAACAAAGCTCAAAGCTTTTTCCTTCAACGCGGATGAGAATTAACAGATAAATCTATAAACCTTCACTGATAACAATGCTCAAAGCTTTTTCTTTAAACACAAATGAGAATAAGCAGATAAATCTATAAACCTTCACTGATAACAAAGCTCAAAGCTTTTTCCTTGAACACAAATGAGAATAAACTGATAAAATCTATAAACCTTCACTGATAACAAAGCTCAAAGCTTATGCTTAAAACACAAATGAGAATCCGTTCACCTTTAGACTCGGATTTCTGGTCACTCTTAGGTTCTTGCTTTGCATCTTTAGGGAAATAGTTCTCATAATCTGCACAAATTCGAAAAAATGGCAGACAAAACACTAATGAGAATCACATTTCTCAACTAACTTTGATTCAGTAATAACCCCTGAAATTAAAATTTTGATTTTTTATATAATTTTTATGCAACATACTCTTCTTCTTCGGAGCTTCGTCGGAGAAGAATCGACGAAGTTTTGGATTAGCTAAAACACCAGTCAAATCATTGTTGATCAGAAACTTCCGACCAGCTAAAGAAGCAAAGTGCCGTTTCAGAAACCCTAATCCACTTTCAGCCGAATTAGCGGAGGCCGCATCAAGAGCCGGCGGAGCAAGCAGCCTCGCCGATCTCACACCACAACTGTACACCAACCCCTAATTTCACCAAAATTAATAGAGGAAAACCTCAAATTTAGCGAACGAATCTGAGAAGAGGAATCAACGAAACGAAAACGAAAACGAAAAAACGGACCTTTGAACGAGAGGATTGAAAAACGGAGCGACCAAGCTTGGAGAAGATCATTGTCATTTAAGAAATCACTAGGGATTTTGCATAATATTTAGAAAAAAGGCGAATCAAAGATCTGAAGGAGGCAAAAATGCAAACTTTTGCTTTTCTTGGTTTTGCGGATTGCAATCAAATTGAAGGAATGAAGAAGAAAACAAACAAGATAAGAAGGGAATTAGGGTTTCTGATGGTGAGCGAAAAATAAAAAGTTTGGGTTTTTAATTTATTTTTATGTATCTGTTGTTTGATGCAAAGAGGTTTATGAACTGCTTGGCAGACAAGACAGATACGCGTTGTGTCTACTTATGTTGTTGTTGTTGTTCTGTGGAAATGGATTGTCTTGAACCGGTTTTTGGTTCCTAGAATCCGTTTGGGGTTATTACCGGCTGAAACAAACCGGTTCTTGGTTTTCGAATTTCAAACTTCATATCTAAAGAGAACTTGTGTTTGGATTCATGAGTTAGAGAGGCTTAACGTCTTAAATCCAAATTCGACCTAAGCTGTGTTTATTGTAGCTTTTTGTCCATCAAAAAGAAATATTGGAACAAAGTCAAGAATTAAAAAGAAAAGTGAAGAATGAAACATAATTGGTTTATTGTGGTTCAGGTCTCCTTTAACTGAATTCACTTGTATATAAACTCTACCGTATACATATTCTTAATACACATTTTCATGTGCAAATTTTCAAAACTACACCTATAATATGTAAATTTTCAAAAATACACATTTTCTCAATTTTAATATATGTTTGGGTTCACTAATTTTATATTAGGGTTTACCAATTGGGAGAGAATCAATAGATTCCTTTTCGGGAACGATTCATCCTTCCCGGATAGTTGGAGAGGTGAGAAAACCCTATACTTTTCATTACAGGGGAGTGAAATAGAACATGAAACCGTAAGCTCCAAAAAAAATAGACTAAAAAGTCAATTTGAAATTGAAATGGATTTTAAACCTTGAACGAACATTCATCTGCAATCTTCGACTCTTCGGGGTTTATCTTCAATTAATAATTTAGGAAATTGAACTTCATCTGGGTTTGAATCCTACTGAGAGGTCCACTATAGATTTTGGGGTTTAGGGTTTAAATTTAAGGGTTTAATGTTAGATTTTAGGGTTTTGGATTTATATTTTAGGGTTTAGAGTTCTCTTACTAAATGAAAAAAGTGTAGTTTTAAAAATTGACACCATAGAGGTGTATTTTTGAAAATTGACATCTCAAGAGGTGTAGTTTTGAAATTTTCCCGAATAGAATATCAGTTTACACTTTAATACTTAGCACAATTTTGTGTTTGTTTACAACATTAGGCATGACCAAAATCAAACCGTAACCGTATTTCGGACCGTAACTGTACCATTTTTAAACCGTAACCGGACCGTAACCGTATAAATTGGTTAAAACCGTAACCGTCAACCGTAAAAAAATATTAGTTATGGTTAAAAAATTCTTTTAACCGTAACCGCTATTTAACCGTAACCGTATAAAAATCGTTGGTTAACCGCACGGTTAAACCGTTTAATTTTAACCGTAACCGTCTAGAATATTATATTAAAAAAATAAAAAAATTAGCTATGACATGAATATATTAAATTTAAAAAATTAGCTATGACACAATCACAACAAATATTTACTATTATCTCTTATTATTATTCTCGACTCTGCTTTTTTTTCTTGCTATTAACAATGTCTTCAGGTTCATTTTTTTCAAATGTGGACGTTGAGAGAGAAGGTGCTGCCATACCAACCATCAATACTCAGGAAAGTGCAACTCAGGAACAAGCTAGCATAAACGTGGAGAGACAACGTTTGAATGCTTCCGAGGTTTTTAAGGTACACTTTCGAAAAGAAAAAATTAATGGTATAATGAAAGCATGTTGTAACTATTGCGACAAAAAGTTTTTTTGGAAATCGGGTTCAGGGTATGGTTCATATAAATATCATTTGAAAAAGACTCATCCTGAAAAATTTGGTTTAGAAACCAACCAAGATCCTCATGCTGGTTCTTCTAATCTTTCATCTTTTCATTATTCAGATAAAAAAAACAGAGAGGAATTAGCAAAATGTGTTGCAGTTGACCATCTTTCATTTAGCTTTGGTGAAAAACTGGGTTTTAATAATTATTGCAAAAATGCTTTAAATCCTCAGGCTAAAAGAGTTCCCCGTACTACTCTTACTCGTACTTTAAAATCACTTTATCGGAAATCAAAAAAAGATTTACAAAACTTATTTTCTAGTTTTCATAATAAAGTTTCAATATGCTGTGATATTTGGAGTGATCATTGGCAAATTCATTATTATATGGGTATTACATGTCATTGGATTGATAGTGATTGGAATATTCAAAAAAGAATTATTGCTTTTCGAGTTTTTGATGAAAGACATACAGCTAATAATATTTTTAAATTAATAAAAGTTATTTTAGAAGAATATAATTTAACATCCAAAATATTTTCTATTTCATTTGATAATGCATCAGCTAATACAGCTTCACTTGATGAATTAATAAATAATTGTAATCCTATTTTAGGTGGAAAGTATTTTCATGTTCGATGTATTTGTCATGTTTTGAATTTATGTGTTCAAGATGGTTTATTAGTTTCTCAAAGTAATATTATTGCACCAATAAAAAATGCTTTAAATTATTTGTGGGGGCATCCACAATTAATGAAACAATGGTTTTCATTTTGTAAAACTCATAATGCATCTCCCAAAAGGTTTTCTCGTGATGTCCCTACCCGTTGGAATTCAACTTATGATATGCTTGTAGATTCAATTGGTTATAAGGATTTATTATGTAGTTTTATTCAACAAAAATGTATTTCTTTAACTTTGTGGCCTACTCATTGGGACGAATGTGCTGCACTTTTAAAATTATTAAAATGTTTTAATGATGCAACATATTTATTATCTGGTGTTTATTATCCTACTGCTCATTTGCTTTTATATGAATGTGTTAATATTGCTGATGTGATGCATGCACATGAACATGATATTGTTTTGTCATCATGTATTAAGAGTATGAAAGAAAAATGGTTAAAATATTATAAAGAAATTCCACCTCTTAATTTGCTTGCATCTATTTTTGATCCTAGAACTAAATTGGATGGTTTAAATGAATATTTATCTACATATTATGAGTTATTGCATTTGTCTGAAAGCATTAATATTCCAAACATTATTTCAAATTCTAAAAAAGATATAGAGACTTTGTATGATGAATATTATAGAGTATATAAGCATCTGGCACCACAAATGGATGAATCATCTGTACAAAATGACATGTCCTCAACATCTTCACTAAGTCTTGCAGAAAGGATGCGGAGACAGAAACGACAACGACCATCACAAGGTAATAATTCTGAACTTGAAAAATATTTATCTACTAACTTTGAGTTTAGTGATGCAGATGCAGGTAATAACTTTCAAGTCATTCAGTGGTGGAAGTATCATCAATCTCATTATCCCATTTTAGCTATGATAGCAAAGGACATTTTCTCTTCACCAGTTTCTACAGTTTCTGTGGAACGGGCTTTTAGCATGGGAGGTCAAATTTTAGACGAAACTCGATCAAGAATGAGTCCAGATTCTCTCGAAGCTCAAGCATGTCTTGATGATTGGACCAGAGCTCAATATAGACAACAAGAATACATCCGAGACAATGAAGAAGAATTAGAAGATTTTGATAGTGATGTATCTTCAGTGAGATCCGAAGACAGTGACTAATATTTTTTTAAACTTTATTATTGTAATAAATAATTCTCAACATGAATAATTCATTTTTCTTTCAAAGTTTTATATACATTTATAATTATGTTTTAATTTATCTCTTTCATATATGTTAGTGTAAATTTTTACATTATTCTGTTTTTTTATAATATTTATTTAATCATAAACCGTAATATTAACCGTATTATAATTATAACCGTAACTAACCGTAACCGTACTAACCGGATTGATATTTAACCATAACCGTATTAACCGTATGTTAAATGGTTAAGGTTAAGGTTAACAAAATTTCTAACCGTAACCGGTGGTTAAATAACCTTAACCGTGATAACCGTAACCGTGGTCATGCCTATACAACATCCAATTTTGGAACTCATTGTTGCATCGTTATTGTTTGATCATGAGCATAAGAATTATGCTCTTTTCTAGTTGTCTATTGCGATTATATAGGGGAAATTGGCAAAGTACCCAAAAAAGGTTACTGTTGTCTTTACTTCATTTTTTTGACTTTGGCCATTTTTTGCTTAATTGTTCCTTCAATATTGTTAAAACCTCATAATGAATATTTTTTTAAGTGAACAAAATTTCTAAAATTCCTAAAAATGATGTCAAGAATGTGTAAAATAGTTGAACATTTTTTAAAATGTTTTGGATGGTTAGAAAATTCTTTGAAGTTTTTGTTCTACAAAGTAAATTATCAAAGCAGAATACGTTTTCTACAAGATATTCGCACGTCTAACCGCCGTAGAATATGATATCTACAACTTCTTCATTCATCTTCCGGATTAGACTTCGATATCTACCATATACAATACACTCTACCATTTTGTAGAATTCGCTCCAAATATATTCTACAGAATACACCATCCGCTACTAATCGTAGATTTCAAATTCTATGGTAAACACTGCTATCTACCGGTCCTAGTTTTCGTGTACTACATATTTCATGTTTTTCTGCATGGCGTAGAACCAGTGATCTACTAAAAAGAAGACTTCTACAATCCGCAGTAATCGTGTTTCCACTGGATGTTCTACTAAATAGGTGAGTTCTACATTTTGTAGAGTTCAACTTCTGCCAAAATCGAGAGAATATTGCAACCAAATATTTTTCAAATCTTTGTTTCCTTATTTTCCTCCAACTATCCGAAAATATACCACGACTAATCCTCCATGTTCTTCCTCGTCTTCTTCATCCCCTTCCTCCTCTGTAGTCCTCTATCTCTCTATCATTTCTTAACTAATATGGTTCAAATATATATAGCTTGTGGTTCATGGAAAATGTTTTAATTTATTTTAAAATAAATAAGGTTCAAATCTATGTAGCTTATGCTTTGATATTTTAGAATTGTAGAACAAAACTTCAAAGAATTTTCTAACCATCCAAAACAATTTTAAAAATATTCAAATATTTTACACATTCTTTAGATCATTTATAGGACTTTTAGAAATTTTATTTATTTTAATTTTAATTTTTGATTTTGTTTTATTTATTTTAATTTTTAATTTTTTAAATCGAAAATGTTTAATTTCTAAAAAAACATTATCAACTCAATTTCAAGGTTAAAAATGGACAAATTGCCAAAAAAAAGTGTATTGGACAAAGATCAAATGCAAAGTGTAATGGGACAAGGAAGCCTTTTTTTGGAGTATTTTGGCAATTTTCTCAATTATACTCCCTCCGTTTCCTTTTACTTGTCATTTTAGGAGACTTCACGCAGATTAATAAAACAGATTAAAAGTTCTATTATACCCTTAAAAAGCAAATTGACTATTAGTATTCTTCATTAGATCAAGGCTAAAATATATATTTAATACTAAAATTTATATTGGAAAATGAGAATGCAACTATTTTGAAAAATAAAAATAAGACTAGAATGACAAATATTTCGAAATGGAGGGAATATATCTTAAAATTGATTTGTGGAGATTATATCAAAATTAGCTATAGTTACAGTACAGATGTAAAATAGAGTTGAAAGATATTTTTATGAGGTTCAATTCATTGAATTGCAAAGAAAAGATGCCTGCCATTGGTCCAGCAAGAGTACGTGATTGTGGTTCGCAACGAGCGGATTAGATGCTTAACTTACATATATTGGGCCTTCAAAGAAATATGGGCCGAGATTTTTGTCCATCGAATGATATAATTAGCATGTTAGAAAAACTAGAAAACAAAAAACTGAAATGCTTTGATCCTTGAAACGCTAACACAAAGAGAACAAATTTATAACCGCCCGACCCCCATCTTGGTAGATCATTCACACCCTTTTTCGGTCCATGAGCCCCACCCTGTTCGCCGGTCAATTTATTATTTTTAAGAGGTTCTATCAACTTATTTACTATCTCTGCAATCAACACTTATTGTTTCTTATATTTTGGTCTCATTCATATGATTTTGGAAATCACTTCCCGAAATATCACGCATTTTTCCATTACTTTAGTCCAAACATGCTTAATTTTGGAGTTAATTATGGACCGTTGACGGAAAAATAAATGCACTTTGTTGACATAGATAGTCAAATCAATTCTCTTAAACTTCTCCTCATTTGTCACAAACCGGGATGTTACAATTCATTCCCACTCACTGCACGTCCTTGTTGTGCACCAGGATCGTCACCCCCGACGATGTGAGTCTACTCCACTTGACTCCACACTCTCGTTTAGATTTGACTCTGATACCAAATTATAACACCTATCCCAATGAGTCACTCACGTCCTTTCTTGACTTGTGGATTTCACCCATGTCCGATGGCCGGTGTCTTATTTTTGAGAGATTTTACCGATTTATTTACTATTCGTGAAATCAACACCTAATTTTTCCTTGTCTTTTGGCCTTACTCACACGGTTTCGGAAATCACTTTTCGGAAGGGCATCCGTCCTTCCACTACTCCAGCCCTGAAGTTACTTATGGACATTTGATTGAAAAGGTAAATACACTTTATTGATATAGGTAGCCAAATCAATTCTCTTAAACCTTTCATCATTATCAAACCGGGATATTACAAAATTGCTAATTAGATTAAACGAAAAATGACCCGCATGTTGCGCAGGACCGAAACATAAAAGCTTTTTCGTTGGTCGAGATCCCCTTGTAAGTATAACAATGATATTTCAATATAGTTTTGTTATGTTTTTAAAATTTTGGCTGAAAAAAAAGAATTAGACTAGTGAAAATTAGATGTGGGGTAAAAAATTCTCATGAGTATCTCAAATGAAAATCCGTTTACTGTCTCTCATACTTTTCAATGACTTTATTTTTATATACTTGAAATATTCTCAAGAATATTTAATAGTGTGTTAAGTTAAATTTCAGGCTTATGACCACAAAAAGGCCAATGATTGGTTGAATCTAATTAGCAAAACTATAGTTTATTTTTATATACTTGAAATATTCTCAAATATTCTTGCACATTTTATAAGTTGGTGTTATAGTTTTATAAGAATTTAGTTCACATATAGTTTTACACAAAACTTTTTTGTATTTCACCACAAATGAAAGAAGGTCTTATACTGCAAGTGGTTTTGAACTTTATAGGAAAGGCTTGCAGTGATTTTAGTTGAGAGTTTAATTTGAAAAAGAAAACATAAAAATTTAAGGGGTTTTTTCGTTCACAAACCCACTCTTTAAACCATACATTTTGACAAACAAACATAATAATCACTGACAATGTATATGATAAATTTAGAAACGTATATACACAAACACAACTTGTCTCTCTTTTTTTTTTTTTTTTTTTTTGTTAAAAACAACTTGTCTCTCTTTCATAAAAATATACTGGAACTTAGGATATCTAGTAAACACAACATGAAAAATTGGAAATCGTGGCACCGAAGTCATATATAGATTTCGTTGCATTGTGGTAAAAAAAAAAAAAAAAAAAAAAAAGAGTTTTTTCTGTTCTTCTGTCGCGATGGACTATGTGTATATATTATTATCATTGACACATTTACGTAATAAGAAGATATATTGTATGGTTTCCAAAAAGATATATTTTAACAAAAAGATATATTGTATGGTTTCCAAAGACTCATCTCATTTAAATCAATCAGGATTGAAAGCATGAGGTTAAAAATTAAAAGTTTCGGCTACTTCACGTATCTAATCCAAAGGAATATCGTACTATTAATTAATTATCCACTCTCCCCTCTTTTCTTTGTACACGTTTTAGTCGTCTCACATCAAATCCTCTCCCTTAAAGATAATCAAAATTTGCAAAAAAGAAGGAACAAAAGATTGAGAGAGACTCTTCCAAGAACAAATCATGTGAAAACTTTGAGGTAGGACTTAACGTGAGAGGGAGGGGGTGAGACAAAAGGGATAAGAAAGGGTTGGAGCATGTTAAATCTCTGTCCACCAAACCCTCGAAGTAGCTTAGAGACTCACAAACAAGCCTGGACCAATGTAAATTCATTTTACTTTGATCCTCTCTGACTTTAGACAAGGACATATCGGGGACAATGAATTAGATTCATTTCAATCTTTTTCGTTTATGGCAATCAATACCTCCACGTAAGCCAAGTTAGGTGGAGTCGTCGCATGCACGTACCCGACTATAAACACGTGGCGATTCGTTTTATCACGAGACCTAATATTGTATGTGTGTTGTCTCCTTTCCATGGCTCTAGGGTTTATATACTTCCGTGTTTGTGACATGATGATATAACGAAAGTTGTTATCTACTCGAATTATTTGAAGGATTAAGGATAGATACGGTTAGTTTTTTTTTTTTTTTTTTTTTTTTTTAACAGATGCGGTTAGTGTTTTTAAGTAACTCACTTATAATTCCGTACAAAAAATTTGCGTCTACTTCAGCTCTTGATGTCTGAACGGAATCTTAAAACGAAGATCCAATATTATTTCATTGTAGAAAATGATACAGAATAAAATATAAACATATTCTTCACATTATATATAATCGGAACCCTATATAATCCAAACACACACACAAATATGTCAACGCAACTGTCACAAGTCACAACGCGATAGCAATAAGCTAGTTGGAAATGTGTAATAGAGTAGTTCAAAGATATTTCATCAGCAAGTGACTAAAATTAAATAAATACATTGAATTGCAACTTTACATAGATTTGGGGAATAATCAATCTACAAAATAAAAGTGGCCAAATTGGAGGCCATTTTGAAAATGAGCTAGATTATAAAGTAAAAACAGAAGAAAGAAAAATTTATCTACCGGTAGAGCAACTAAAGGATGAATTATTGGGACTGAAAGAAAAATAAGAAACCCAAATATACGCCTTAGGCTCAAATTGGGGTGACTCTTATTGGTAAACCCTTCTTAGGCACAGGGAAAGGACCATATTGTATTCCTTCATCGCCTCCTTCCACTTCCCATCTGTAAATTACCCAAACATCATCAGTAATTTTGATGAATAATAAAGATAAATAATCCGAGGTTAAACGAGAACAAAACTTTTTATATAAATTCTTCATAAAGATTCGAATTTTTTTATATAAAAATACCTGAAGGAAGTAGTGAGGTGGTGAAGGAGGATAAGCATCTCAAGTTTGGCCAGCTCACTTCCTGGACATGAGTGCACTCCATTCCCAAATGGCATGAACGTGTAAGGTTTTGGTGCTACCTGTCGACATTACAAGATATCATCTACATGCAATGTAAGTCCACCAAAGTCCCCACATAGTTGACTAAACCCTATAATTAATTTGGCTTTGAGGTCGATGTTTTATACTCTTTGCATTTTTTTATATCTTTCTAGGTAAAACGCAAACGTAGTCATAAGAGTTATTTAAAGTCATTGTTCCATGTCTCAATCACCTTATCTTCCATGCATATATGCACGTATTGTTGATATGATTAATTTATAAAAGAATATACCTCGAATCTTGAAGGATCAAATTTCTCGGGTTCGGGGAAAAAATCGGGAGAGTGATGGATTCGCCGGAAAAGAGGAAGAACTTTCCAACCCTTTGGGATCAAGTAGCCTTCATATTCGACGTCTTGTACTGCTTCTCTAAACGTAAAGGACAATACACTTGCTGCTCTTAGTGTCTCTTGTATCACCTATCATTATATGTATTATACATTAACATTAATCAATTGATACATATACGTACGAATACATTTACATTATGACATCATTATTCCAGTTACAGTTGATTATATCAAAATGGTATTATACCCTTGTGGTCAGTGGCATTTTTCTTGTATCTTCCCACGAGATTCCTCGGTTTTCTTGCTTTATCTTGTGTCGAATGCCGGTTTGCTCCCTCTGTAAAAAAAAAAAAATGAAAAACATATGTAAATACAATGTATTATGATAAAAGAATATAGTGTTATCAAAGTTTTATAACAATTTGTATTCGACTGAATTTAAATATGCGTGCGAAAAGACTAATTTGTTTAGTTCATTTTTCTTTTTCCCTCAAATCATGCTAAGGACAAATTTAAAGGTTAAAGAAAAGTGGCTGACAAAAAAAAAGGGTTAAAGAAAAGTGAGTAAGCTTCTTACGGAGACTTCTTGGAGGAGGATAGGGTTGTCGTGTAAATACTTGAGAAGCCAAGTTAAGACAGAAGCGGTGGTATCGGTGGCGGCAAAGATAACTCCGATGATGTTGTCGGCGATTTGTGAATCGCTTAAGCCATTACGTTTCTGATCCTTTGCACCGAGAAGTATTCCCAATAAGCCTCCTCCTTCTCTCTTACTTTCTCTTCTCTTTTCTATCATTCTCTTTAATTCCTCACTTAATTCCCTCCTTGCCTTCATTTTTCATTGACCAGAAAAAAAAGATTAGTATTAATACACTATACCATTTCACATTTAAATCTCTCCTAAAAGTCAACTAATTATTTTTAAAATTTTCAATAACAAAGAATAACATGAATGGAATATTTTCAACACATCAAACATCAACGCTTGTAGTTGAAACTGACTTTGTCTTCATGTTTTGTGAAAAGAATCTAACCCATGTCAAATAATATCGCACACGTGTGGTCCCTAAAAACCAAACTGTTCACAATTTTCATTTTCCATTTCTTTGTGGCAAATTACAATTCTGCATAAGCTTGTCACGTTCTTTAAGAAAATTTAAGGAATCATCTCTTATCTATAGTGATCACTAGTTCATAAGGTACAATATACCTTCATGGATTTATGAAAAAGTGTGCCAAGTAAGTTGAGAGGCATGGAGTTGTAACCCTTCTCGAGACGTTGATAGAGAAGCTTAATTGCTTCAATTTCAGTGGGCTCCTCTTTGTCTCCAAACGCTGACATGATCGCCACATCGAACGCATACTACACCCACAAATCCAATCCAGTTCTTTCATCAAGATCATTTAATATAGCGAGAGCCGATCTGAAAAAGAATTTGGCATCCCTATGCGGAATTTTAAAAGAGGGTATTACAATTTGAAATAAGCGAAACTATATTTTAAGTAATTATAGTGTAAAAACATAAATTACTCTTAATACCGTAAGGTCCAAGTTTTTAATGTTGTTTTTCCTACAAAGACATTTTAAAAGAATGGACCTAAAAATATTCAAGAATCAAATCTCTTCCCCTTTTCCGTGATATATATATATTTTTTAACTTCAATTGTTTTTCTTTATATAAACTGAGGACCGCGAAATTTGGAAATTATTTTGTCAATATTTATTTTTGGCATTTCCTCAAGGACCATCCATGCATCTAACCCAAAATAGACGAAAGAGACATACTCGTTTCATGTGTTGAAGGGTGTTGATGGACTTTTGGGATGTCCAAGAAGAGAGGGTTTGAAGGACAAGGAGCTCGATGTGAGAGACGGTTGGTCTGAGAGCAGAAGGCATGAAGGAAGACTGAACGAGCCGCTTGAGTGTGGCATGGTAAGGACCTTGGTGGAAGAAGAGAGCCTCTCGTCCAATCATACGCTCTTTGCTAGGAGGATAAGTTGGCTTGAACATGTGTGCTTTACTCACTAAGACCATTCGAGCTGCCTCTGGACTGCTTATCATCACACACGGACATCCCAATATGTGCGTCTTGAATATATCCCCATATCTGCGGATCAGGACATTTGACGCAAATTATTACGTATTTTATCTATTTTGTTGTAGTTTTTTTAATGGGGAATATTAAAGTGACGTTCAAACTACAGTAAAACCTCTATAAAGTAATAATGTTGGAACTTAAAAATTATTCTCGATATGATAATATATTAAGAAATGAAAATTATTTATTCATTAATATGACATATATAAACTTGAAATTATTATCAAATCTTTTGGATATCATAATAAAACATATATTATTAGTTTCTATAAATATTTATTTATATAAAATTTGATACATAATAAATGTTAAAATTTTATAAATAATTATAGCTACTAATGAAGTTGAAAATGATATGTTTAGAACATATTTAACAATTTTACATGCATATAAAAATTGCATTATGAGTTTTTTATATAAGAAAAAGTTAAAGATAAATTTCAATTCATAATTTAATAATTGGTTTAGGCATATACAATGTATAATTTTATATAATTATTACTTTAACTTATAATTGGAATCATATTTTTACATAGGAGTTTCAAAAATATTATTATCTTATCATCTTATCGCATTTTGTTTATTTTTACATTGGCCCGAATTGGGACTGGAGAAATTTATTATCTTATAGTGATTATTACTTTATCGAGTATTACTTTATAGAGGTTCTACTGTATTTTGTGGAATATGTAAAAGAACAATATGTATTTTTACAATTTTAGAAATCAAAAGTGACAAATTGTTATTGAAATAACGGTAGAAAGATTTGAAGTTTCGTGGTTCAACTAACAATGTGACCACTTGACTATTGTGACTTGTTTAAATTTGAGTTAGAAGGTTTGACATTAAAGAAATGCAGTTTTTTTATTTGTAACATTTTTCCCACAAATTTGTGGGTTAAAAAAAAAACATAATGAATGACATACCTAGAGTAAATAACTATGTAAGAGAAGAATAGAGTACTTGTTTTGGCGAGTGGCGAAGAAGGAATTGGGATTCTCAGTGTAGAGGCGGAGTGTCTCGCCGATGTAAGGCCAACCCATGGAGCCAGGCGGTAGCTTCCGTCTTTGCTTTTTCCGGTGCAACCGCCATTGAAGCAACACCACTAGCAACAATACTACTACTACACTGGTTATTGTCATTAGTGCCGATTCATCAGCATAAACAGAGAAGAAGAAAATCGAAGATGGTGGTGAAATTTGCATTATTTGGAAGTGATTCAAGTGTGTGTGAGTATATATATCTAAAAGTTATAGTTATGAATTGAATATATTGGTTCTTGTTAGTGACTTATGCTTGAAGAGTATTGAGGGGTATATATAGCTAGTTGAGGTAGAAAGACACTTCATTCCTGGCCTTTCTTTTTCTTTTGTTTTCACAAATTGCGTAGATTTGGCAATTATATAGATAAAAAAAGAGAAATTACAAAATTGCCGCTAAGGAAGATAGCTAATATAAACAACATTTGTTTACAAGGCCGAATCTTAATTTTTGCATTATTTTATTTGGGTAATCATTCAAAAATTCCCAACGGTTCCTTGGCCAAAACACAAGTAGTTTTAGTATTTGTATTCTTAATTTTTCGATATAGATATTTAAACTCAAAACTTTCTTTCTTCTTGTGGTTATTGTTTGCTTGATTTCTTGTGCCCTTGGATGTTCTACAATATTTTTTTTAGGATGATTTTATATTTATTGTATAATAAGAAAATCCGTACGGAACAAAAGAGGAGAAAATAAAAATGTGTAGGTTCATTGGTATTTGTGTATTTGGATAGTATTAGGCTACGTTTTTATTTTACTTGCCCTTTGGCTAACCCCACTATACACTTTAGTGACCACAAAAAACAAAGACCTTAGTCCATCATTTTTGTGCGATAAATGGGATCCACTGAAAATGTTCTATGGCTGAGTTCTCTTGTCAGTAGGAAAAAATCTATTGAATTTCCATGGAAAAATATTAAACTTCCATCAAAAAAATACGAAAATTTGTTTTTCCATTTTTGTTTTATGGGGATGAATCTTTTTCTGTACGATGTGATAGTCGATTTCTATGTATTTTTCGTATATGCAGCATTATATTTATTTTATATTATTGAAATATCCTGAAGGCGTCAAATATTCAAGATGACAAACTATTATCTCATTCAAAGATGTTATGTAAAAACAAAACCTAGCAAACATAAAAATAAGAGAATTACATTATAATGGACTCAAACAAACTTTGTCGACTAAAATGGCATTATATTTTTTTATGAGTAGCATAAATAATTTGTGAAAAATCATTTCATGTAAAACTAAAACATTATGTTTAGGTTTATTTTTTTCTCACATTAGGATTTAGATTTTTGGGTTTAGGGTATAGATTTGAAGATTTAAGGTTCATAATTTTGGTTTAGGGTTTAAATCATTAGTTAATTAGTTTTAAAAAATATTTTTTATGTTGAATTTTATTCGATTTTGGTCATAAAAAATTATAATGCCATTTTTGTCATATTAAGTGTTTTGGTCTATTGTCCTAAGAATAAAACGTTTACAAGTTTGGAAATAATTTTCAAATTCGGTGATGAATGTAAAATACAAAGAAATAAATCTGGAAAAAAACACTAGGTTCTTCAAACAAAAATATATAAAAATGTCGACTACATACTATTTTGGCTGTAACTGGTAAACACAAATTAGAATTGATGAAATTATGATGAATGAAATAAAATGAATTGAATACAGTAGAACCTCTATAAAGTAATACTCGATAAAGTAATACTTCGATAAATGAATAAAATTTTGGAATCCCAAATTAAGTTTTTGGTCTAATTATCTCTCTATAAATTAATAATCTCACTAAAGTAATAAAATATTAGAATCCCATCGTTATTATTTTATAAAGGTTTTACTATATGGCAAAAAAGAGAAGAAATAATCCTTTGAATTTTATTTTATTTTCTTCTTTGAATTAGGGATGACATGTGATCCTTTAACTCTTTAGTGGATCCTCCGCCCCTATTTTTAATCTCTTATTCGATTTCCACTTATGAATCCTTACAGAATGCTGACAAAAGAATATATAGGTTTGGGTTCAGAACTTTTTCATGTTAATCAAAATTTACTATAACAGATTGAAAAAAAACGAATGTATGTTCTATCATTAAATTTGAAAATTTTCTTACCTTTGTGAACCGATCACCTTAATTTATTTCGGTATTGTAATTAGAACTTGTCCCTATGGGACATCCAACAACAAAAAGTGTTATTTTCTTACCTTTGTGAACCGATCACCTTAATTTATTTCGGTATTGTAATTAGAACTTGTCCCTATGGGACATCCAACAACAAAAAGTTAACACTTGAAAACTGTGTATGGTCTTTAACAAAAAAAAAGAAAACTGTGTATGGTCGTTCGTTGTGGTGAAAGGGCTGCGCAGTGGATAAGTTGGAGAAAAGTTGACAGAATATAAATCAATAATATTTGGAGGTTTGAAATATATAAATAAAAGAAGGTAGCCCGTGACATCCTGAGATATCACACATCATCAAAGATCAGAGAGGGAGTCAGAGATGAACCAAAAAATCCTGCAAAATGCAGTAACCGCTTGGCCTTCAACTCCTCAGCTACTCACACAGTCACACTTCACCATTTCCTCCTCCTTAAGAAACTTTCATAAATATGTAGGGAAAATTACTCTTTAGTCTTGTGTGTTTGCGTATTCAAGATAGAAATGAGACAACTAGAAATTTTAAGAAAATTTTCTTTATAATTAGGAAAGGGATTACAAAAGCTCTCAAATGTTTTTTTCGATGGATGATTACAAATGAGACCAAACAACTCTATTTATACTAGTGGTAGCTTCTTCTAGAATTCTCTTATAATCTTATCCTAATTAAACTTTCTTTATTCTTCTAGAACATTCACTAATCCTTATCTACTTAGCTTTAATATTTCTAGATAATTCTTCTTTTCTCCATAACTCCATTTCTCCTTCTTCATAGTTCTAGAGTCTTCTTTATTTAATTTTGGGCTAATGGAGGGAATATCCAACAAATCTCCCCCTTCCCGACTTAGCCCGAAATTGTCACGATGCCGATACCTTGACAACAATCTTCAAACTTTTTGATTGGCAACACTTTGGTCATGATGTCTGACCAATTTTCGTCTGTGTGTACTTTGTCGAGATGTATGAGTTTCTCTTCTAGAACTTCTCGTATCCAATGATGTCTAATATCGATGTGCTTCGAGCGGGAATGCAAGGTTGAGTTCTTTGCTAAGTGAATAGCACTCTGGTTATCACAAAGCAGAACATACTTACCTTGCTTTACTCCCAATGCATGGAGAAAGTTCTTCATCCATAATATCTCCTTGCAAGCTTCAGTGGCTGCGATATACTCTGCTTCAGTAGTTGACAAAGCAACACACTTTTGTAGCTTTGATTGCCAGGAAACAGCTCCCCCTGCAAAGGTAGTTACATACCCTGATGTTGACTTCCTGGAATCCTTGTTGCCCGCCCAATCTGCATCGGTATAGCCTTGTAACTCAAGCTTCCCATTACCAAAACAAAGACACCTTTTTGTTGTGCCTCGTAGATAACGGAGGATCCATTTTACTGCCTTCCAATGCTCCTTCCCTGGATTTGCTAGGAAGCGGCTCACAACTCCAACTGCATAGGCGATGTCTGGCCGTGTACATACCATGGCGTACATGAGACTGCCTACTGCTGATGCATATGGAGTATTCATCATTTCTTCTTTTTCTTTCTCATTTGTTGGACATTGTTCCGTACTTAGCTTGAAATGTCCAGCAAGTGGAGTGTTTACCGGCTTTGCCTTGTGCATGTTGAATCTCTCCAGCACCTTTTCAACATATCATTCTTGGGATAGCCAAAGTCGCTTCTTTGACCTATCACGAGTGATTTTCATCCCAAGAATCTGTCTGGCAGGCCCCAAATCTTTCATAGAGAAACACTTGCTCAAATCTTTCTTTAGAGCAGCTATTTTGATGCGGTCATGGCCCACAATCAACATATCATCAACATAAAGCAAAAGTATGAGAAAGTCGCCGCTAGCGTACTTTTTTATGAAGACACAATGATCATTCGTGGTTTTCTTGAAGTTATGATCCGCCATAAAGGAATCAAACTTCTTATACCACTGCCTTGGGGCTTGTTTAAGACCGTAAAGGCTCTTCTTTAGTCGGCATACCATGTTTTCTTTGCATGAGACCTTAAATCCTTCAAGTTGCTCCATGTAGATCTCCTCTTCGAGGTCACCATGAAGAAATGCCGTCTTGACATCGAGTTGTTCAATTTCCAAGTCTAGAGTAGCAGCTAGACCAAGAACAACTCGGATGGAGGACATCTTTACCACTGGAGAGAATATTTCTTCAAAGTCTATGCCTTTCTTCTGGCTGAATCCTTTTACAACCAATCGAGCTTTGTACCTGGGTTTTAAGCTGTTATCTTCAGACTTTATCCGATACACCCATTTATTCTTCAAAGCTCTTTTTCCTTTTGGTAACTCCACCAACTCGTACGTGTGATTCTCATGCAAGGATTCCATTTCATCTTGCATGGCTTCTACCCATTTATCTTTGTGGGTGTCGACTATGGCCTCCATATAGCTTTCAGGCTCCCCCTGATCTGTAAGAGTCACGTATTCATCCAACGGATATCGTGTAGACGATATCCTACCTCTTGCTGACCGTCTTAATTCAATCTCTTCTCCTGGCTCTTGTTCTTCGTTCTCATCACCATTTTGATCTGAAGTAGTGGTGTCTTCTTCAGGGTCGTTTTCACCATCTTCAACCGCTTCCTCTGGATTATCACGTGATTGATGATGTTCTACATTTTTGCTAACCTTTAGCTTTGGCTTCTCCGACCTTTGGATGTCTTCGATTGTCTGGTCCTCGAAAAATACAACATCTCTGCTTCTGATGATCTTTCTATTTTTCGGATCCCAAAGTCGGTAGCCAAACTCATCTCTTGATGAGCCAAGATAGATGCATTCCTTGGTCTTGGAGTCTAACTTAGCTCGTTCATCCTTAGGAATATGGACAAATGCTCTACACCCGAATACCTTCAAATGGTTGTAGTTGACCTTCCTTCCTGACCAAACTTCCTCTGGGACATCACCGTTTAATGGAACTGATGGTGTAAGGTTGATGATATCAACCGCGTTCATGATAGCTTCTCCCCAGAATGACTTTGGTAGTTTTGCATGAGAGAGCATACAACGAACTCTTTCTCCAATTGTTCGATTCATTCTCTCAGCAATACCATTCAGTTGTGGTGTCTTGGGTGGTGTCTTCTCCATCCTGATTCCATGACTTTTGCAGAATGTCTCGAAGGGACCCCGGTACTCTCAACCATTATCAGATCGAACGCACTTGAGTTTTTGACCCGTACCTCGTTCTACTTGGGCTACAAATTCTTTGAAAGCATCAAGAACTTGATCTTTCGATTTTAATAAACGTACCCATACTTTTCTTGAGTGGTCATCGATGAAGGTGACGAAATATGATGCACCACCAATGGATTTTTCAGACATGGAACATACATCGGTATGCACAAGATCGAGAATGTGATTCCTTCTCGTAGGTGTAGAAGATCTCTGGAAAGCGACTCGATGTTGTTTTCCAGCTAAGCAATCAGAACATGGTTCGAGGGACATACCTTTCATATTGGGGAGTAAATTCTTTCGAGCGAGAATATTTAGACCTTTCTCGCTCATATGTCCCAATCTCCGGTGCCATATCTCCATGTTAGCACTTGCGACATTTACTTCCTCATTACAAAGCTTAGCTTGGGTCACATACAACAATCCCTCTTTATTTCCTCGAGCCATAATCAAGTTTCCTCTGGTTAGTTTCCACTTGCCTCCACCAAAGTGATTTTCCAAACCAGCATCATCAAGCTTTCCAGTTGATATGAGATTGAGTCGCATGTCGGGAACATGCCTCACATCTTTGAGAACCATCTTACATCCTGTGTTTGATGTAAGGATCACATCTCCTCTTCCAACAATCTTGCTTCTTCCTTGATTTCCCATTTGTACGTTACCAAAGTTACCACTTTGGTAAGTTGAGAAGAAGCTTCCATGAGGAGTGACATGAAAGGAAGCACCAGAGTCAACGATCCATGAAGTATCATTGGAGGCAATATTGAGAAGATTGCATTCTCCAATAATATAAACATCGTTATCCTCGTCTGACACAATGGTGGTGGTCTTGTCATCGTGCTTCTTTGTGGGATTAAACCGGTCTGGTTTTATGTTACCCGTTTGTTGGTCTTTCTTGTAAAACCGGCATTCTGGTTTTCTATGACCCACTTTTCCACAATAGTAGCAAGTAACTCTAGGGCGTGACTTGGATCGTCCCCTAGATTGATCTCTATCTCGGGTTCTATTGCGTCCACGAGTTTCATCTCTACCCCGTCTATCTATGACGTTTGCCTCCGACATGGTGCTTGAACCTCGTTCTTTTCTCCTTGTTTCTTCGTTTAGAAGACTATCGCTGACGGTGTCCATGGTGAGCTTTTCCTCTGGTGCTGAATTGCTGAGAGTGACAACTAGTGTGTCCCAACTCTCTGGTAGGGAGCTAAGGAGTAAAAGGGCTTGCATTTCATCTTCAATCTTCATGTCGACTTTGCTTAATTGATTGACGACCCCCTTGAAATTGTTCAAGTGCTCCATCATGCTCTGGCCATCCTTGTATTCCAACTTTACCAGCCGTCGAACGAGGAGAGCTTTGTTCCGAGGCGTTTTCTTTTGAATCATGGACTCAAGTTTTGTCCATAATTCATAAGCGTTGGTGTAAGTAGAGACATGTTCGAAAAGTGATCGATCAATGTACTTACGGATTACAGCAACCGCTTTTCGATTTAAAATCTCCCATGCCTTGTCATCCTTTCCTGCGGGCTTATCCTTTGTAATGATGGGCTCATGCAAGTCCTTGCAATAAAAGTGATCTTCCATCATCGGCTTCCAATAAGAGTAGTTGTCCGTCGTAAGCTTAAACAATATCACCTTCAAAAGTAACGGTAGCCTCCATCTTAATATGCACAAGATATCAATGCTACAAGTGATCTTGTGAACCTGGCTCTGATACCAGCTGTAGGGAAAATTACTCTTTAGTCTTGTGTGTTTGCGTGTTCAAGATGGGAATGAAACAACTAGAAGCTTTAAGAAAATTTTCTTTTATATTAAGAAAGGGATTACAAAAGCTCTCAAATGTTTTCTTCGATGGATGATTACAAATGAGACCAAACAACTCTATTTATACTAGTGGTAACTTCTTCTAGAATTCTCTTCTAATCTTATCCTAATTAAACTTTCTTTATTCTTCTAGGACATTCACTAATCCTTATCTACTTAGCCTTGATATTTCTAGATAATTCTTCTTTTCTCCATAACTCCATTTCTCCTTCTTCATAGTTCTAGAGTCTTCTTTATTTAATTTTGGGCTAATGAAGGGAATATCCAACAAAATATTGGGTAAACAAGAAACTATTATTAAAATGTTTTTTATACATATGATCGGTGTTGAGTGGAAATGATTGTTTTTTTTTTTTTTTTTTTTTTTTTGACCAAGAGCATATGGGGGGGGGGATTAGTTTATTAGTGGAAAGAATTTTATTAGTTTGTTTTTTGGATAGATTATAAGTATTTATGTCATGTAATCAATTTTAAGATACATTAATGTTTATTGTTATTAATTTTGATTTTACAATGGTTTACTTATAAGAATCATGTGTTACAATTATATGACTTCCCTTGTATAACAAACACTAAAGATAAGCTTATAAAAGGCGTAAAAAGAGTAAAACTTAATCACATGGAATATGTCGGAAAAACAGAATAACTTAATTACATACTGACATTTTTTGTTAAAAATTACATACTTACATGGAATAATATTTAGGGAACTTGGATTATATAACTAGTTATAGGGTTTACTTAACTTCTCTCTATCATTTAGCTCCAGATTCGATATCAGATTCTCCATTTTCATCATGTTTCGGTAGCGTTGTGAAACGTTCTTCGCTCATGAATAAAGAGACCCTTCTTAGCTCAAAATTCCTGTTTAATGACATGCTACGTGGCCATGGTCTGGTCATCTGCACAGTCGAAGGGCTCGAAGTGCACTGAGTTATTGGTGAAATCACATTATGAACGGCATTGTTCTTGAACGTATGCAAATTCATGTCCTTCTCATCCAAGATTCTGAACAAAAACTTTAGCTTTCTCCACAAGGAACCTTCGGAAGCATCACATAGAGTGTGCCTGTGTTCGTACAAGAAGAGGGCAACAAAGACAAGAAATGCCAAGAACGAAGCAATGCCTGCTATTAAAAATAGACCCCAGAAGCTACTGAGGCTGAGACGGTACGAATGAGCGGTCCTTGGATCAGGACAGTCACCGTCTTTCTTGAACCATTTGTTCTCGATGATTTCCATTTCTTCGCCTTGAGTCACATTTAAGATAGCCCTTGAGAAATCATCCGTCAGAGGTGAATTCTTGGGAAATGCCTACACACCGATCATGAAAGCAATGGAAATACGCTCTTGATTTTGTTGTACAACATGTTGTTCTGTATATGTAAATTTAAAAGGAAATATAAGGAACTTACGAAGCCAAAACCAGCAGTTTTGTAGAAAGGCTCAACCATGGCGTATTTGGAGCAGTTCTTAGAAATGATAGCCTTAAGGTAGGCCACTTCGTCGAAAGCTGCCACAATTGTCCCATTGGAAAAGAGCTGGTCACACTCTTCGGCGGAATCAAAAGGCTTGAGCTGAGTTTCACTAAATTTCAAATCTTGTAGAATATCTTTAACGAAAGCACCGCGTTGGTACCCTACAGGCTTCTCATTTCTAATGAGATCTTCCACAGTTGTCGCCGTTGGGTGTAGTCGTTTTACCATCAGGACAGATGTGAGATTCGCTGTGTAGCTTTGAGTCAGCACTAGCACCACAAAGCACCACACAACCACCACAAACCTTGCTAAGTTGCTTACCACCTTCTCACCTATATACACGCATGCAAAGTTTCACTTTATGATTAGCATATATATCTTGATTCTTGTTACAAAATATCACATTTTAAAAGAAGAACTTTAGCAAGACTTAATCATACAAAAACAAAATCACTCTCACTAATTGTAAAATGGTGGTAGTAACTTACGGTGGGCAAAGACCATGGTAGAGAAGGAGAACCAGAAACTAGTGCCAATCTGGTGGTGAGGCGGTCCACGGAAGTCGTCATTGATTCTATGTTCGAAAAGCCACACAACAAAACCAATGAGGATGAAGAAACAACCGGTGGTGACCCATAGGCTTAAACTCCAAGGTTAGAGGAACACCCATATGTTCTTGATCTCATTGTATCTCAGTGGCACCATCATAGAAACTCCAGACTCTGTGAACGGTATCGTGAAGTCAGCATTCAAAGACCGGTCCGCTGTGATTGTTACATCTCCAACGAGTGCATCCAACTTCTGCATCAATTGTTAATAATATGTTAGAAATCTGAAATAAATAAATAAAAACTTATTTTTAAGTAAAAAATGTTTAAAAACTGAACAGAAAACTACACATTTGTGTGTGTCAATTTTCAAATCTACACATCTAAGGTGTTCATTTTCAAAACTATGTTTTTTATTGAGTAAAATAATTCTAAAACCTAAAATATAAACCCTAAACCCTAAAACCTAAACTTAAACCCTAAATCTAAACCACAAACCCCAAAATCTAAACCCTAGTCAAGGATTAGTGAGCCTAAACTTATATATTAAAATTAGAAAATGTGTAGTTTTAAAATTGTCACATTAGAAAGAGATGTACAGTTTTGAAAATTAATACCCAAAAACTGTATTTCTTAAAATTTCTCAAGAAGAAGAAAAAAGACTTACCCCGTTTCTGAGTTGACAGACACAATTGTTGTACTCATCATACTCCAAACGGATGTATTGAGGAATGACTGAGTATGGCAACTTCTTAAGAGCAGCTTCAAAGATGTCTATGGTGTAACCCTTTGGGATCGTTAATGTGTTATTGCTCGGTTCTATTATTTCGGCCTCTATCAAATTCAAGAATCCTTTCTTCACTGGAACCCCCACTCTAAGCTTCTTACCGTTTGTCGGAATCTGCCAACCTGCTGGTCTAAGTGTCGACTTTCCAGGCCATATCACCTCCCCTAACATTATAGTGTTGTTTGACTTTGCATTCACGAGTCCATTGCTTGGGCTCCAGAATCCAATAATATTCTCTTTATTTCCAACGACATTAATGATCTCAAACGTTGATGACTCGAGCTGCCCGTTAATGAGATGAAACTCTCCTGCTAAGCCTTTGAATCTTACATCCGAGAGAGCCTTTATAATTAAGACTTGGACCGTAGCGACAGACTCCTAGGGTTCCTAAATCTGTCTTGTTGTTTGACAAGGCATTCCCATTACCATAACTCAAGCTCTTTCTGTTTGTTTTCTCCACAGCCATGGCCAATGCAGTGATCGAATCATAGGCCCATAGCGCGAAAACGTTTGGCTCTCCATTTTCATTATCCTCCATCGATGGATTCTCCTTCACGAACTTCCTCTTCCATCTCGTGCGGAAATATTTAAGCTCTTTTGTTTGGGGGACTTGAGTCCTCACACCTAACACGCCCTGCACAGTCTCCAAGCCACGACTGTTATATCTCAACATATCTGTTATTCCGTTTGATAGTATCCACACGTACCCTTCCTCCATCATTCCGATCTCTCTAGCTTTCTGCAAAACTCGGAATCCGAGACTTGATGCAACGTGGACAACGAATACCCTCGTCTGCTCCGTCATGAGCTTATTAAGTTCCTTATATATCTGGTCATCGGTAGCCTCCAGAGAGATCACACTCCTATAGACTTTCACGTCTTGTAACGCGTCAGACAAGTGAAGCATGATTCCATTACCTAAAACGTTGTCCACATACATGGCCACGACGCTTCTCCACTCGAAGTATTTCACAACGGCTGCAATGGCGTCGACATGAAGTGAGTCGTCGAGAGTGGCTCGGACGAAGTAAGGGTTGTTGATGGATGTCAAAAGAGGGCTTGTTGCAGAGAATGTGATGATCGGTACTTGAGTTTTGTTGGCCATTTTGATAATAAATTCTGCTTGCGGAGAGGTTCTTGGTCCGATGATGGCGCTCACTCTCTCGTTCTTGATTAGGTCCAAGGCTGCTTGTGCCACAAGCAAACACACACACAAAATATAATGTTAAGAAAATCTCACTAAATATAGCAGGTTAAGAACACTAATTTAAACTATTTAATGACACTTCAAACTAGGTAAGTTAAAATATTAATTGTACATGTATCATATTCATATGCCATGCCACCAACTTTTCATCTAATATATTAGAGAAGACTTCTCATTTAAATATTTGAACGAGTTATGAATATGAGTTTTTAAGACCATACAACTGTCACAAAGACTATCTAGAAAATAAATAAAAATGAAGACTTGGTCTTGAAAAAAACAGAGGACTCGCGATTCCGAAACACCGGCGCACTGTGTTTCTCTTTATTAGAAAAGATGTTTACACACTTTTCAATTGGAATTACACATAGCCTAAGACAACCCTTAGCTTGTCACCAATTGATTTCTAATCTACACTAAACACATATTAACAACAGAGTTAATCCCATGTTTCTACACCGATCTGCAATTTAATGCTCTTACGGTTTTTCAACAAGAACACAAAGCTTATCCTGTAACTTTTGTTCTCTAAACAGCTGACCTTTAGAACGCCTCCTTTCTCCGTATTTATATCAGTCGAAAGGCACAGCTTATAGGTCGTGAGATTTGTCCGTACGAGTCCACCTCAGCGACTCAAGACACGTCATTAAAATGATCCAGATTTAACTGTTCAGCTGATGTTCCAACAACTCCGTTTGTTGTTCCAACAACTCTCCAAGTTCGACCTTCACTGCTTCACACCACTACAACACTTTCAATCTCCCCCTTTTTGACTGAATATGTCAATCCAAGCATTCCTATAAAACAGTCCACATAGACAGCAGCAAAACATAGATGCAAAAGAACCAGAGAGGCATAAAGACTGAAGCACATTAAACCTTCTTTGCAATTAGATTGAGATTTTAAAGGTTCACAAAAACGCCCACCACAAAAAAACATTTCAATCTCATTCTCTCCCAAGAAAGAAACTTGAGAAAAGGAGACGTAACCAACTCCCCCTAAAACCCAGAAACCACTCATAAAAACCTCTAATCCTTCCAAGGGAATGATTCACCAAATTGTTTCACCTACCAAATTCTCCCCCTGCTTGGATGGCACTATTCAGTTAAAAACATCCTAAATAAGACGAGCAAACCACAAATACAAAACAGAGGAAGTAGAGAACTTATTGTTAACTTGAGCGATTTTGGCAGGGTATAGAGTGGAGGCATGAAACGGAGGAAGAAGCACGAGTTTGCTTCCTTGCATTGCCATTGCGTACAACAACTTTGAAATGTGGCAATAGAAAAGATTCATGTGCGATGCAACAGAGACACAAAAGTGAATTTTCGCTTTGGTGTCATGAAGACAGAAAGTGAATTTTCCCTTTTGTTCTCATCTCTTCTAACCTTTGAAAAGTTCATAGTTCGCCCACAAATTTAGGAGAGATCACAAAACATGACTGAACCTGTTACATGTCCTATCACATCTCACAGGAAAACATTAGTGCACACATGCCACAAATAACACACAAAAAGCAGAAATACCCAAGACAATCAAGAAGTGAACACAACAAGCAAACTCAACTGAATTTTCGCAAGCAACTTAAGTTTTCAGATTAAAGACCCCTGGAAACATTTTTAAATATGTATAATTACCTTCTTTGAAGCAGAGATGAGGAACTTGTTCCAGCTTCGTCTGCACAATGAGGAGATGATGTGTTTCCTTCCCCCCTTTTTTTTTTAATATACAAAACAAAACATTGTTGGAACACACAGCTTGTTGTTCCAACATGGCAGCTATTTCTCAATATTGAGGAGCTTTCACACATGCTGATCCTATCGCAGGTAGCTAGCACACTGACATATCCGTAGAGAAGACAAGTGTGAATGAAGCAGGGGAGTTTTAGCGCAGGCCAGAGGACACCAAAACTGATCCAACATCTTGATTAGAGCTTTTAGGAGAATAATGCAAGTTGATCAGACTTTGATGTCCTGGTGATATAGAGAGAATCACCTGAGGACTTATTTGCCTCTGACATGGAGACACAAGCCATCTTCGTTTTATTGTCTTTCCCTTTTTTTTGTTTCCTTTTTTTTTTTTTTTATTTTTTTTTAAACGAAGATGCTCCATGTCAATTCATAGATAAGCTCAGCTTCATCGTATGAGATGTGTTGTTTCTTACTGCTCCTTTCTGCAACAACATCTCTTCCTTTGCAAGAACCACCCAGAGGGTTTTGTGTTCATTTCTCACCACACAACACTTCAGTCACACTTGTCAAGTCTTGAGGACATGGAAGGCAGCTTTTCCCACGATAGACTTAACAACAAGAAGTTTTGAGACCAAGGACAATATGTACATTTCCTGAAAAACAAATCAAAAACCCAGAAAAGAAAACACAACAGATTCCCACTGTACAAACGAAACCTGTTCCAAAAAACAACTTGCAACAAAGAAGATTAGAGTTCATGATATACCTCTATTTTACCTACTTTTTATGCTATTTTACTATGGTTTTCTAATGGTTTTCTAGTGGATTCTTGTGTTAAAAGGTAGTTTTTATGGATTTATAGTGCAAAGAGTCATTTTAGGTAAAAAGGTGCATTATGGAGCAAAACAGAGATTTGGACTCTAAACCAGTTCAATGCCCCTGCATCAACTTTGGATGGAGCTAGAAAAAGATCTACTCAATGGATTTCATCAAGACCAGTTCCCTGCGTGCTCTGATTGAGTTAACTTTCCAACGCAAGTGGAACGGCCTATTTGGATGAGTAGAAAAGGAGTTATAGCCAAAAGAGTGAAGACTGCTCCAGACGGCTCTATCGAGAATCAGCGCCCAACCGCGCAGTCCGGCTGGCCGAGGAACGAATGTTCCGCGCTCGGCCAAAACTGTGTCCGTCCGTCTGAAGTCTCGGCCAAAGTCCAACCGCTCGGCCGATCACGCATCACGACCCGGGAAACATTAAGCCCGCGGTCGGCCAAGCCACAACCGCCACGCCACGCCGCGCACGACCAAGCGCGCGAGCCGGGAAGTAAAGCCTCGCGGCCGCGCAACTCGTCTCACGTACCACGGCCGATGCATCCGTCCGAGCCGGGAAACTCCCGCGTCCGGCCGAGAAACCATCGGCCAATTCCATCCGTCCGACCACGCCGGCCGACCGAATCATCCGGCCACGACCGTTCCGACTCGGCCCAAGACCCGACTGTCCGGCCGACCGTCCCGACCGACCGTCCGAACGCCGCGGTCGACCCGAAGCCGTTTTTGAAGCCCAATCCGCACAATTCAAGCCCAAAGCCGGCGCCGACCTAGCTAGATTAGGTTTAGCCGCTTCTCATACTTAGAGCATTATAAATACTTCTTTTTAGCCTTGTAACTCAAGAAGGAGAGAGACCACAATCTATTTTACATCTTAATAAAGTTTTGCTTGCTTTTACTTTGTTCTTGCTTGTTACTCTTTCTAGAGAGGATTCGAATCTCTGTTCTTATGAATATGAATTCGTGTTCCTTCTCTATGTCTGAGTAGTTTACTTGTTAAGTGATAGGAAGTCAAAGGATAGCATTCATGTATGCTTGATGATTGATCACAATTAGGGTTTTACTTATAATCTCCATCTTTGCTTATACTTAATGCTTGTTGTTAATCTGGCCAATTAGCATATGCCTTTAGGTTGATTTGAGCCTCGACAGTGCTGTATCATTCGCCTGAACTAGTATTTGGTGGGCAATCTCTTTTAGACTGCGACAGTTGATCTACTTGTAGGTTGTGAACAATTGATCTTGATCGAACTAATGCTTGATTTAATCACCTAGGGACATACCAAAAGTTTAGCGACTAGGTAGATTAACAAAGGGGTCGGAGCCTCGACAGTGGAATGATCATACCATAGTGTTTCAAGTTCTAGATTAGCACCTAAGTGCGGTAACCCTAATTGATTGATTTCATGCTTCTTGAATTGCTTATCTCAAGACTATCCTATTGCTTAGCCTTTCTCTCCTATTGAATTCTCACTTTTAATTACTTGCATGCTTTACTTTCTCTGCACTCAACCAACTTATACTTTTGCCCTAGCTTGTTCTCAAACTCATAACTTGTAGTGTGCAATCTGGTCCTTGTGTTCGATACCCGTTTACTACTTCTGACCTGTGCACTTGCAGAATCAGGGATAGGAAAGGGGAAGACCTGATCCCGCGATCAGTTCACAAACGCCCAAACATTTTTGAAAATGAACAAACGTGTTTAGATCTAGGGGTTTTGTGAAAATAATAGCAAATTGCCACTCAGACAAGACATGTTCAATCACCACTTGTTTAGCTTCCACTAAGTTCGTTATGAGGAGATGATAGCTATCAATGGTTTTAGTTATAGAGTGATGCACAAAAGTTCCAGAGATATCAATGGCATCTTGATTATCACATTTGTCAAGTAAAAGATCAGAAGTCATACCATATTTAGAACCCATTTGTCTCCTCCATAACAGTTGAATCCAAAAGTTTCCCAATCCAATGAAGCTTGCATCACCGATGGAGATAAAGACACAGATTTGCTTCACAATGGCGCTCATATGGGTTTTTGACGACTTGTTGGAACACATCATAAATTGTTCCACCAAATTCTTTACAAAAGTGCGTTGAGACACACTATTATCATCTTTTCCTTCATTGCAGGCTTCAGAGACAATCTTCTCTCCATGCTTCATCTTTGGAACACATTTGACAAGTTCCTGACTCACCATCTTTGACAAGCTTTTTGCATTCATTTGTTCCAATTTTTCATTCCAAAAAACTGGGTTGTTCTTCTCATCTTTCAAACAGACTTGTGATTGCTCCCACATATAGCAATTGTTCTCACTGCGTATACCCGAGAGGATGATCCGGTTCTCAGCATCAAAAGCCCAACACTTGACTTTGTTGAAGGACACAATCAATCCTTGATCACATAATTGACTCACGCTTATCAAGTTTGCAGTCAAACCTTTAACAAGGTAGACGTTTTCCAGCTTTGGCAACTCCTTGTCAAGAATAGTTCCTTTCCCTTTGATTCTTCCCAGAGTTCCACAACCAAATGTCACATTGCTTTCCTTAACAACAGCAAAATTTACCAAGTTTTCCTGAGATCCAGTCATGTGTTGAGAAGCACCACTATCAAAGTACCAAGGCTTACTAGTAGAGTTGGAAGGAGAAATATATGCCACCATGCATCAAAGCTCAGACTTCACCATCCAAACTTGTGATTTCCTGTCTTGATATTGAAAGTATCTCCCTTGCTTCAACATTCCATTCACTTTATCAGCAAACTGATAGCAATATCTTTTGATATGGCCTTGTCTCCCACAGTAGTAGCATTTCATTCTTTCTTTGAACTTCATGTGATCAACTCTACGTGTTGGAACACCACAACTCATGTTGCAACTCCTCACGAATTCAGACCTCTGGTTGTGACGACTATGACCAGGACACCATGGTTTCTCAGATTGAGTGATAGAAGAGCTTCTGTTCACAAACTTTGTCTTTCCAGTGGTCTCTCCTCCAGAATATCCCAAACCAAAGTTACTCTTCCCAACTCTGCCCATCGAAAGAATTTTGTCTAAGTCCTTAGTTCCACTATTCAACATGAGAATCTTCTTTATGGTTTCTGCTAGATAATGAGTGAGAATATTGTTCTTGTCTTCCTCAAATTTCAGAGCATCTCTCAGCTCCTTGTTCTGACATGTAAAGCTACTTTTTCTTCAATCCATGAAAGCTTTTCTTTACCAAGTAGCAACCAAGTTGTCATACAACTTCCGAAACTCAGATTCAACATCAATCATTGAATCATCTTCTTCTTCACTCTCAGATGACATTCCTATCAGATTTGCTTCTGCTTCTGATGAATCTTCATTTCTGTCTTCAACTGATTCACTGTCTGATGAGTCACATTTCTCTTCAATAGCAACCATAAACGCCACATATCCTCTTACCCCATCAGATTCTTCAACACTATCTTCTGAGTCACTTTCACTCATTCCCTTTCCTATCAGAACCGCTGCACTCAGCTTTAGTGTGACCAAAACCTTTGCATTCAAAGCATTTGATCTCCTTTCTCTTGGCAGTGGGACACTCGGATTTGAAATGTCCGTAGCCACGACATTCATGACATTGTTGATCACTCTTTTTCCATGTTCTGTCGTTGTCTCTCTCACCACTTGATTGCTTTGAGAATGGTTTCTTTCTTCCTCTTTCTACTCTTTTCAAAGCTTTGCTGAAGTTTTTCGCCATCAAACTCATTTCGTTCTTGAGCTCTTGAATGTCTTTGCGGTCATCTGCCACAAACGCAATTCCTTTCGAACCATTCGACACTTGGAGCAATCTCCATCTCATAAGCCTGTAAATGACCAACAATCTCATCCAAGTCCATGTTGTCGGTGTCGAGAGCAGTTCCCATGGCTGTTTTCTTCGTTCGAATTTTGGCGGAAGACTTCTCAACAGTTTCTTGACCAGCTTCTTGTCTTTGTATTTCTTCCCATGTTTTGTGCTTCATTGGCGATTGAGCTGAGTTTTCCACTGAACTCTTTGACAGTCTCAGATTCACCCATCCGTAGTCTCAAAACGAGTTGCAAGCATGTCAATTCTGGACCTTTTGACATTTAGAAGTTCCCTCGTAAGCCTGTTTCAGCTTGTCCCAAGCTGCTTTTGCTGACTCACAACATTGATACGCTCGAATTGTTTCTCATTCAGAGCATTGAAGATAGCGGATATCGCTCTGCGTTGTACTTAGCCAGACTCTTCTCATCATCTGTCCAGAGGAGTTTATCTTGGAACCTGTGAGCCATCCTCTCCTAAGCAGTAGGAGCGCTCCATCCGGTTTCAACAGCAGTCCAAGCATCTTCATGGATTCCCCTAATGACAGCTCGCATCTTCATTTCCAGTGACCATAGTTTCCTTTCTCGAGAATCGGATTTCGCTGCAAAGCTACCAGCTCCTTTGACGAGTCCATCTTTCCGCAGGATCTTCACCTGTTGTAAAGCTACAACTTGGTTCAGATGCCCGCTCTGATACCAATTGAAAAAGCAGAGGACTCGCGATTCCGAAACACCGGCGCACCGTGTTTCTCTTTATTAGAAATCTTTCAAGATGTTTACACACTCTTAAATTGGAATTACACACAGCCTAAGACAACCCTTAGCTTGTTACCAATTGATTTCTAATCTACACTAAACACAGATTAACAACAGAGTTAATCCCATGTTTCTACACCGATCTGCAATTTAATGCCCTTACGGTTTTTCAACAAGAACACAAAGCTTATCCTGTAACTTTTGTTCTCTAAACGGCTGACCTTTAGAACGCCTCCTTTCTCCGTATTTATATCAGTCGAAAGGCACAGCTTCTAGGTCGTGGGATTTGTCCGTACGAGTCCACCTCAGCGACTCAAGACACGTCATTAAAATGATCCAGATTTAACTGTTCAGCTGATGTTCCAACACTCCGTTTGTTGTTCCAACAACTCTCCAAGTTCGACCTTCACTGCTTCACACCACTACAACACTTTCAGGTCTGTCAAGAGATTGCTCTTACTTTTATTATAGACTACATAAGAAGAAACTTCGTCACCAGAAATCTTAGCGACGACCACATAAGACGACACTTGGATTTAATTGTGATCTAACATGTTTCTAAGATTCAGTGAAAGCAGTGACCAGCTACATCATGTCTGGCCGGACATAACCCCTAACTTCCTACGTACGTAGTATCTTTCATTCATCAACTGCATGTTTGCAACTAATAATTAATAATTCAGATGATACGTCACATTACATGTAGCAATAGACAAAGAAGTAACGAACCTGCAGCTGAAGCTTGAACAATATCTTCCATAGAATCTCTGACGTGAGGCACAAGTCTTGTGCGGTAATTAGGATGATCTTCATAGAAATCGGACAGTGACATGTTAATAGAAGTGAGGCAGTTCTTGGAAAAGTTTGTTTGGAGATCAAGAATTACTCCGACTTTGATTTCACTTGTTTGACTTTATCCTAAACCAAAATCTATCAACAAAAAACCCCAAAACAGGACAAAGAAACTCAGAAAGGTGTTATGATTTTTCGTGGGGTTCATCATTATCATCAGCCAAAGATTGAGCACATAAACTTTATGAGATTCTTTAACTTTCCTTTTCCTGTTATATATATATAATAAAAGGGGAAAGGAAGCAAATCTGTTTGAAAGAGTCTTAAAATCTATGATAGACTTTACAAACTCTTGTCCTCAAAGAAAGAGTCTTGCCATAAGAAAATGATAATAACTAAAATTATTGCCTAAGCCTCCTTCGTCCTTAGGTAGAGTAACTGTTGCCCAGGAGACTCTTGTTGTATGATGTCCTTCAATAGTCCCTTTCCATAGGAAGATACTACAGAGAGAGTTTATTTTCTTGATGCAGGCTTTCGGGAGAATAAAAGAGGAGCACCAAAACGTGGAGATTCCAGCTATCACCGTTTTAATGAGGAGGAGACGACCTGCAAAAGAGAGGGATCGTGCACTCCAAGAGGTAAACTTTTCCTTCACCTGCTGGATAAGAACTTGGCATTTAACAATGGATAACTTTTTGGTGCATAGAGGGATGCCTAGGTAACGCACAGGCAGCACTCCCTGGGGCATCCCTGTAGAGAATTGTATCAAGTCACATTCACGTTCCGTCATTCCAGAGGCAAAGAAACTCGACTTCTGAACACTGACTACGAGACCAGATCGGAGTTGGAACTCGTGGAGCACCTGGAGCACATTCTGGACTGATTCAAGCGAACCCTCAACAAAGATGAGCAGATCATCCGCGAAACACAAGTGAGTCAATTTTGATGCCCTACACTTATGATGATAACCAAACCTCCCTTCCTCAGCTGCTCTATTTAGCATTAGTGATAGAGAATTCATAGCAATGACAAACAGATAGGGAGATAGAGGGTCACCCTGTCTCAAGCCTCTTTTCCCTTTGAAATAACCTTGGACCATTCCGTTATAACCAACTGTGAAATTTGTTGTGCAGATACAGGATCGCAACCAGTGAATGTATTGTGGAGGAAGAGAAAGCCCCTCCAAGCAGTTGAAGAGAAACTCCAAGACACGCTATCAAAATGTTTGGCGATATCCACCTTTATGGTAATTTTCTTTGGACCCTTGGTTTTATGATAGCCATTAACTAGCTCACCAGCTAAAACTGTATTCTCCACTAAGAGTCTGTCTTTAACGAAGGCTGTTTGGTTTGGCACTATCAGATCAGGGAGGATGGGTTTAAGTCGGGATACAAGCAATCTGGAGACAACTTTGTACAAGGTATTCAAACAGGAGATAGGCCTATAGTCAGAGATTTTCGATGCTCCTGGAAATTTAGGGACAAGAGTGAAGATAGTGAAATTTGTTGAGGCTGGCATGAAGGAGGAGGAGAAGAAATGGGCAATAGATGAGGTAACTTCATTTCCCAAGACATTCCACGCGGCTTTGTAAAAACCAGAGGTGAGACCATCCGGCCCTGAAGACTTGTTCGGATTTAGCTTGAAGAGGACCTTTGTGATTTCCCCTGAAGTCGGCACGGAGATCATGGCGCTTCTTCGCTCTGGGGGGCACCTGTAAGGGCACAAGTCTTGGAACCAACTTGGTGGAGATCGAAGAGAGATGGGAGGGAGGAAGACAGGCCCCAAGATTGATTTGAAGTGATTTATGGCATGGGAGCTCATCTCCAAGGGGTCAACTAGGATATCTCCAGAAGGCAGAGTAAAGGAACGGACTGAGTTAAAGCTCCCTCTCGTTTGCGCAATTCTCTGGAAGTACATAGTGTTCTGGTCTCCTTCCTTTAACCAGTTGATTCTTGATTTCTGCTTGAAATAACTTTCCTCAATGTTTCTCAGGAAGTTCGTGTGATCATGAAGAGTTCGCTCTTGGTCAAAGAGTTGTTGGGAGGGCGCCTGGAGAGCTTGTACCTGCACATCTTGCAACAAACGGTTAGCCTCACAAACTCTCTTTTGTATATCTGAGAAATTCTCTTTATTTAGTTCTCTCAATGGTCTTGTGATAGTCTTTTGTTTTCAGCACAACTGAGTGAGTGTGGAAGCAAAGCTTCCTGCCTGAGTTCAAGTCTCTTGTACCAGCGGAAGAAAGTCAGGGTGGCGGGTGAGATAGTTGAAGAATTTAAAGGGCCTAGTTCCGGCTTTAGGAAGTTTGTGGGCTAGGTCTACAAGGCAGGGATTATGGTGAGACATTAGAGGCGGGAGGAAGTAGGCATAACAGTTTGGGAAAAGGGCTAAGAGGTGGCAGTTGATCAGTAAGCGATCAAGTTTTTTCGCTACTGGGGAGTCTGGCTGGCGGTTAGACCAAGTGTGAAGAGGACCTTGGTATCTTAGGTCGAAGACACCCAATTGGGTAAGACAATCTCTGAACTCCAGCATGTTAGAGTTGGGGGCAAAGATCGCTAGATTAGAATGCTCCGTCGGGCTCACAATCTGGTTAAAGTCCCCACCTATCATCCACGGAGACGAGTGCAGGGAATAAGTGTGACAGATGTTGAGGAGGACAACCCACAGGTCCGTTCTCTCTCCACTTAGATTTGAGGCATATATAGCCGTGTAGGTGAACATCTGGGAGTTAGGAAGACTAACTTGACAAGTAAGGCTTTGATTTGTTTGGTGCAAGACTCTGACTTTGAACGGGTCTCGCCAGATTAGAATTATTCTACCATCTTCATCAGAGGAATGATTGGATGAGTAGTGCCAACCTCTACAGAGAAGGGGTAAGAGCTGGCTAATGTTTGAATCCTTTATATGGGACTCTAGGATAGATCCAAAATAGGGCTGATGGCTATTGAGCCAATCACAAAAGGGCTTATGCTTATTCGGGTCATTTAGGCCACGAACATTCCAAAAAAAGATTTTAGTATCCATTAAACAGAGGATAAAGATTCCCCTGCATTAGGAGAATCTTCAAAAGAGGTAACAGAAGAAGTGAGGGGAGAGAAAGAACCAGGGGTTCCTTGGTAAGTTTTACTTCAGCTGTCTCCCTGAGGTAGAGGGGGGGAGACAGCTGGAGTAAGGGATTGAGCTTCATTTGGAGGAAAGTCAATTGAGTTTTTTGGATTAGGAGTGACCTTTGGGATCTCCGGAGTCTTCTCAGAATCAGGTATTCCTTTATTTTTCCGCTGATATTCTTTCTTTGTTTGGCCCTTTGTAACAGGCGGTTGGATCACCTTCTCAAGAACTGGTAACAGGAGGCAATTCTTTGCGATGTGGCCTAGTTCTTTGCAATGGGAACATGTCGGAGGCATCCAAGGGTAATCCACAAGGACTTCAACTACTGCTCCACTCGTTCTTTCAAACTCCACAACTCGAGGAAGTTCCTTGGTAAGTTTTACTTCCACTTTTACATGGGCAAGGGTCAAGCTGACTAGGTTTTTAGTAAAGTCGTCCGTTTTTTTAGGCTCTCCGACTAGCCCTGCCACAAAACTAAGGCCTCACTGATGTCTCAGGTTAAGGGGAACTCCCGTGAGGTGCGCCCATAGCTGCATCGTGATTTGTGGTGTTGGATCCGACGAGTGATCGGCGGTCCATTGCGCTGTGTGGAACATCGAGTCACCCACATACCATACCCCCTTTTCCAGTATCTTGGATCGTAAGTAGTCACTTTGGATTCGAACTATCATCGATCTAGTTGCTAGGTTATTGTGAATTTCTAACCTTTTTCCTTTGCCCCACATATGGTTTAGGACACTCTGGATTTGGCTATAAGGTGGGGCTCTTCCATTGAAGTAGCAGACGATAAAGTCTTTGTGAATCTCTGCACCTTGCTCGAAGACTTCATCCGGGATCAGGACCCTTGGCACTCCTTCTAGAGAGTAAGCAATTGGCGCTAATCTCATTAGCGATTTATCTTCGAAGACTTTGATCCTCTCAGCTAGAGTAGGAGCAGGTAGTGGTTTAGGAGGAAGGTTATTTGGGTTAGGTAGTACTGGTTCAGCCGTCTGGGCGATAGGGTTTGGTAAGGTAGTTGCAGGGGAGGTTTTGGAGGATGAGGCTTTATTTGTGTGAAGGGGATTGGAGGATTTAGGAGGGAGAGTGGTAAAATTTTTCTTTTGAGTTAGGGTTTTTTGAACAGTAGAGATAGTTTTTGGATCTATCTGAACAGTGGAGGAATCAGCGATAATGGAAGGGATTGACTGAGTTTTTGGAAGTTCCGCAGTAGCACCAGGGCTCGCCTGCGACATCTCAACATCAGTAGTAGTTGGAGAACCAAGAACAGAGCTTTGCTCCACTGGCACCTTAGACGGAGCAGTTTGTGGAGAAGCTTTGGGCTTTGGGTTAGACGGGGATGAGAGAGGAGGGAATTGGGCTATTGACAGGGGAGAGGGATCAGGGGGGTCAGGAGGGATAGGTGGAGGAGGAAGAAGACCTTCATCGGCGGCGAGAGACGAGGGGTTCAGGCGGGAAGCACGACCATCAGAGAACCAAGGGTTCTGCATTGGTAACCATGCCAGAGAGAGAACTATTTTTATTTAAATGGTGTTTTTTGGTTTATATGTTTTTAACTTTAAACCATGTGCTTCTTTGTTTGAAGTTATGAATAGATTTCTTCATGTGAAGTGATATGATGATTTAATTTTGAGTTTACTTGTAATCATTCGCATATCCAAACTTTACGGGAATATCGTTCAGGGTTTAACCAATTGGACCATCATTTTTAAAAAGAAACTTTATAAAAAAATCGTTTAGAGTTTAATTTACACTAAAAGCGGAAAAACAAAAAGATACTGTATTAATTTTTTTTGTCAACAAATAAAAATTAATTTACACTTGTATTTTTGTTGGGGTTTTTTTTTGGGGAATCGGAAATAAAGTTTGGATTTCGTTTGTAATTTTCCTCTGAAAAGTTAAGACGATTTTAGAAGACATTCAAAAATTGACCATTTATAATACTTGAAATCTTTGCCACTTCCGTTATGGAGATAAATCAACGGGAAAGCTCTGCCTGGAAGGCAGAAGCTTTACAAAATTTAATTTTAGTCCAAGGGTAATTTCAATCAAACAAAAAAAATGATAATTGTCACCCCATTTAGTGCAAGAACATTGTACGAAAACCAAAATTGAGTTAACGTGTTTTTGGGTAATTCCATATCTCATCAAAGTATCAAACACCTTGGCCGTTGCAGGACCACACATGTATTATCTTACGCGTCTCCGAGAATAAGACATGAAGACATATACTGTGGGAAAATCCAAAACAAATATAGTCAACATGTTTCTTTTCTTCAAATCGATTAAAAAGACATTAATCATAAATATGTAAGTGTGGAAAACTTAGCAAACCGCAATTCAATCAACACTAAAAAAAAGATTACAAAGAAAACTTTGAAATACTAGATTCTTATAAGGTAATTAATGATTACACTTATTTTTGGTGTTGCACAACTCTAACTCATTCTTAGGTTGTCTACGATACGAATCCTAGCTACCAGATCCTAACCTCCTTGTATTTTTGCAAAGCTTTAAGAATACAAACTCCGTTTTGCGGCTCAAAAGTGTTAACATTTTCCTTTTGCCCACAAAAAAAACTTTTAATACTCGACTCTAAACCTAAACATAAGGTTGAACTCTCGTATATGCAACTTTCCTTTTTCATCTCTCTTCCATTGAAGCATGTTCATATATATATATCTCATCTATTTCATTTCTATTGATATATTTATATATACAACCTCGCTATATAATTTTGTAACACAATAACAAACAAATAAGAAAAAGAAATAGTTACGAAAATATATCGGCTGTAACTGGTGACCAAGGAATGAGGGGGAATAAGACAATTCCCCCTCATTCCTTAAAAATTACACCATTTATAAGAAATGTGTATTCCATATTAATGCTTACCATTCCATATTAATTAGGGAATTACAGTGTTAAAATATTCCTTATAAAATATGAGGAGGAATGAGTTCCATATATTTTATTCCTCTTCATTCAATTCATTCTCATTCTTTTTGTTCGTTTACAGGTTACCAGTTAGAGCCATTGTCGATCGATCCACATATATATTATGAAAATAGTTTTGTGTGTCGAATATTCTTGTAGTTAGCGTCTCAACCCAGACAAGTTGAGAATACCATGCTTATATAGCTATTATGGACATTGCCTACAATATGAAGTCATGTAATGGATTGGCCAGATTCGAAGAAAACAGCACCAAGATAATTAAATCATGTTTAGTCTTACTACTTAGTTCCTATTGGTTGAACTTATGTTTCACTCAACAATCAAGAAAAAGTACTAATAGATCTATATATTGCGTTACATAGGCTGTGGAGAAGGAAGAGAGAGAAGTCACGAACCTCCAGCTGAAGCCTGAAAGAGGGATTTTTGTATACTCTTTATAAATGAACCTCTTCTTAATCAATTGTAGTATAGTTTGGGGTTCTTTGTCAAATCCAGAAAGGTCAAGATAAAGACTTCAAGAATGCATGAAACATAAGTGAGCTAAACAAATTCGAAATGGCTTGAAGCTAACAGCCTAAATGAACATAAACCATAAAATAAAAATGCAAAAGATGAGAGAAATGCAAATGGAGGCATGTGGGATGAGGGTCATTGACCTTGGGAGATTCTCAAGTCAGTTTATGATGCTCAAACAGTTTAATGATTGCTAATCCTTAGGCAAAGAACTCATTAACAAGACTAATCCACTCTCATGGTACTAATCACTTTGCTAATTACCAATTTCAAGAACTAATTCTCATTAGTGAAATTGATTAGAGCAAGCATAAGATTCAGTTCTAGAAAGCCAATAAACACCCTAGACAATCACTCCCATGAGCTAGGAATACAAATCCTTTAGATCGTTGGTTCAGGCATTTCATGCACTCATCAAACACTTGTGGTGCATGAAATGCCTAAGATCTAGAATCAACTTGATCAGAGAAGATCTAGCCTCTGCTCTGCGAACTTCTTGGACACTTTTGAGCTCTGATCAGCCTCTAGCTTCTTTGTCTTGCTCCAGTCACCACCCCAACTTGTTTCCAGCTTGCTAAACGCCTCAAACACCTACGAAAGCACTCCAAATGCAATGAAAAATGCAAAATGCTATTTTAAAAGTTAAATGTTCCTAAGTAGATAAATTTTACACTAAATGCTATGAAATGGGACTTAAAGATATGCAGAATGAAATGCTAAATGTATGCAAATGTTGAGTATATCAAAGCCTGAACAACATCTTCCATGGAATCTCTGACTTGAATCACAAGTCTAGTGGTGTAATCAGCATGCTCCTTGCATAAATCGGACAACGACATGTTAATGGAAGTAAAGTAGATCCTGGAAAACCCAGTTTGGAGATCAAGCACTACTCCTACTTTGATTTCACTTGTTTGATTCCTCTTTGTATATATGACACACACACACACACACACACACACACACAAAGGAAAGAAGATGGTTTGTAAATATTATTTGGATCACACATGCTACTCCGAAATACTCTTTTCTTGTATGGACTGCGATGCTCAATCGTTTAGATACAGGAGACCGTATGATGAAGTGGAGCCAAACTGTTGATGCATCTTGCGCTTTATGCCAATGTCCGATGGAAACAAAAAGCCATTTGTTCTTCACTTGTCCTTACTCCTCTCAGGTATGGACTACCTTAGTGAAACGAATACTTGGAAACTCATTCAGCACAGATTGGGAGGTTCTAGTTGGTCTCTTACGGGATCTGAATTATGACCGTCTCAAGCTATTTGTCATTAGATACACCTTTCAAGCAACAGTGTACGGCATATGGAGAGAACGAAACAGAAGAAGGCACGGCGAAAATTAGACATCGGCGCAGTAGATGGTTATGGTACTTGACAAAACTGTCCGGAACCGATTGAGCTCTATCAGAATCCAGGGTGACCACAGTTATGATGATAGCCTCATGTATTGGTTTGCCACAAGAGATTGAGTAGTAGATTTGACTTTCAATCCAATTTCAAACTTATGTAGCACTTGATGTAACAAAGCTTTTGATTGAATATAATTTTACATTCATTCAAAAAACAAAAAAATGGTTTGTAAAAGCCCTAAAAATAAACATAAAAGTTTTTTGATAAAAATAAACAAAAAAGATAAGGTTTGAAAGAGGCATAACAAGAAAATGTATGGTTTCAAAGAGAGAGAAGATTAACGACATCTCGATTCTTCTTTTTTTTTTTTTGTTAAAGGACGACATCTCGATTCTTGTAGGTATGAGTTAGTTTAGTATCTTCAACTTCACTACTTCTTTTAAATTGTGGTTCGGTCTTCTTTAGTGTTCGACGAACGAATTTTTATTTGTCTTCTAGCAAGATCCGATCTATAACAGCACTCTAAAGATAAGCTCTCATGATCCAAATATTATCAAAGGCGTAAAAAGAGTATAACTTAGTTACATGGAATAAGTCGGAAAAACAGAATAACTTAATTACATACTTTACGAATTGTTGTGATTTAGACCGACAAACAAAAGAAAACGAAGTGATTGAGGCAATATATTCTCTTTAGGGTTTTTTATTAACTCGTGTGTAAAGTGTTACCCTTTTGCCACTATGTATAACACAAATAATATTTAAGGAACTAGTTATAGGGTTTACTTAACTTCTCTCTATCATTTAGCTCCAGATTCCATATCAGATTCTCCATTTTCATCATGTTTCGTTAGCGTTGTGAAACGTTCTTCGCTCATGAATAAAGAGGCCCTTCTTAGCTCAAAATTCCTGTTTAATGACATGCTACGTGGCCATGGTCTGGTCATCTGCACAGTGGAAGGACTCGGAGTGCGGTGAGTTATTGGCGAGATCACATTATGAACGGCATTGTTCTTGAACGTATGCGAATTCATGTCCTTCTCATCCAAGATTCTGAAAAAAAAAATTAGCTTTCTCCACAAGGAACCTTTGGAATCATTCCAAAGCGTGTGCCTGTGTTCGTACAAGATGAGAGCTACAAAGACGAGAAAGGCCAAGAACGAAGCAATGCCTGCTATTAAAAACAGACCCAAGAAGTTACTTAGCCTGAGACGGTTGGACGAAAGTTCTGTCTTTGGATCAGAACAGTTACTTTCTTTCTTGAACCATTCGTTCTTGATGTTTTCCATTTTATTATCTCGAGTTAAATTCAATATAGCCCTTGAGAAATCATCCGTCAGAGGTGAATTCTTAGGAAATGCCTACACACCATGAAAAAGTAAAAAAAAAAATGCTATCACTGAAAATAAATATTTTTGTGTGGATATTTTGTAAAAATAAAGTTAAGGAAAAATATAACGAACTTACAAAGCCAAAACCAGCGGTTTTAAAGGAAGCGGTTTTAAAGAAAGGCTCAACCATGGCGTATTTGGAGCAGTACTTAGAGATAATAGCCTTAAGGTATGCCACTTCGTCGAAAGCTGCTACAATTGTCCCATTGGAAAAGAGCTCGTCACATTCTTCGGCGGAACCAAAAGCCTTGAGCTGAGTTTCACTAAATTGCAGAGCTTTTAAAATATCTTTAACGAAAGCACCGCGTTGGTACCCTACAGGCTTCTCATGTCTGATGAGATCTTCAACAGTTATGGCCGTTGGGTATAGACGTTTTACCGTCAGGACAGATGTGAGATTCGCTTCGTAGCTTTGAGTCAGCACTAGCACCACAAAGCACCACACAATCACCACAAACCTTGCCAAGGGGCTTACCACCTTTTCACCTGTATACACGCATGCACAGTTTCACTTTATGATTAACATCTTGATTCTTGTTAGAAAATATCACACTGAATAAGAGGAGCTTAGCAAGACTTAATCATACATAAACAACGTAAACCACTCTCACTTATTGTAAAATGGTTTTGAGATGGAAGCCTATATATAGTACTCTCACTCATTGTTAATTGGTTTTAGTGACTTACGGTTCGCAAAGACCATGGTAGAGAAGGAGAACCAGAAGCTAGTACCGATCTGGTGTTGAGGCGGTCCACGGAAGTCGTCATTGATCCTATGTTCAAACAGCCACACAACAAAACCAATGAGGACGAAGAAACCCCCGGTGGTGACCCATAGGCCTGGACTCCAGGGTTGGAGGAACACCCATATGTTCTTGTTCTCATTATCTCTCAATAGCGTTATCTCCTCTATGAATGGCTCCAGCCTCATCCTCAATTGTAGTAAGGTTATTGCGTATCCTTCTCGCTTTCGTAACTGAGTGAAAAAACTTTGTGTTTTTATCACCAGCTTTAAGCCAGTTGTTTCTACTCTTCTGTTTCCAAAAAGCCTCTTCCTCTGCATTTGCATGATTGAGCTCCTCCCTTAATCTGTTCCTTTCTTGTGTCGTAGCAAGTGGAGAAACCATGGCTTTGTCTAACCTGTGTCGGATAATCTTGATCTTTTCCTGAGCATTGTTCCTATTATTCCTTTTCCATCTGGAAATCTCTTTTCGGCAATTCTGTATCCTTGATCCGAAAGATATATCTGCGTTTGCAGAACCAAGATGTCTGTCCCATCCTCTTATCACTGCCTCTTGAAAACCATCTTTATCTCTCATTCGAGAATCATACATGAACACTCCTCTTCTCTCCTCTGTTGTGTCCGAAATAAATGTGACCAGCGGTCTATGATCGGACTCACCAAGTTCCAAAAAAAGTGTTTCGGAACATGGGTAACGGCTATGCCATTCACTATTCCCCATTGTGCGATCTAAACAGAAAGAACCAGGGGTTCCTTGGTAAGTTTTACTTCAGCTGTCTCCCTGAGGTAGAGGGGGGGAGACAGCTGGAGTAAGGGATTGAGCTTCATTTGGAGGAAAGTCAATTGAGTTTTTTGGATTAGGAGTGACCTTTGGGATCTCCGGAGTCTTCTCAGAATCAGGTATTCCTTTATTTTTCCGCTGATATTCTTTCTTTGTTTGGCCCTTTGTAACAGGCGGTTGGATCACCTTCTCAGGAACTGGTAACAGGAGGCAATTCTTTGCGATGTGGCCTAGTTCTTTGCAATGGGAACATGTCGGAGGCATCCAAGGGTAATCCACAAGGACTTCAACTACTGCTCCACTCGTTCTTTCAAACTCCACAACTCGAGGAAGTTCCTTGGTAAGTTTTACTTCCACTTTTACATGGGCAAGGGTCAAGCTGACTAGGTTTTTAGTAAAGTCGTCCGTTTTTTTAGGCTCTCCGACTAGCCCTGCCACAAAACTAAGGCCTCACTGATGTCTCAGGTTAAGGGGAACTCCCGTGAGGTGCGCCCATAGCTGCATCGTGATTTGTGGTGTTGGATCCGACGAGTGATCGGCGGTCCATTGCGCTGTGTGGAACATCGAGTCACCCACATACCATACCCCCTTTTCCAGTATCTTGGATCGTAAGTAGTCACTTTGGATTCGAACTATCATCGATCTAGTTGCTAGGTTATTGTGAATTTCTAACCTTTTTCCTTTGCCCCACATATGGTTTAGGACACTCTGGATTTGGCTATAAGGTGGGGCTCTTCCATTGAAGTAGCAGACGATAAAGTCTTTGTGAATCTCTGCACCTTGCTCGAAGACTTCATCCGGGATCAGGACCCTTGGCACTCCTTCTAGAGAGTAAGCAATTGGCGCTAATCGCATTAGCGATTTATCTTCGAAGACTTTGATCCTCTCAGCTAGAGTAGGAGCAGGTAGTGGTTTAGGAGGAAGGTTATTTGGGTTAGGTAGTACTGGTTCAGCCGTCTGGGCGATAGGGTTTGGTAAGGTAGTTGCAGGGGAGGTTTTGGAGGATGAGGCTTTATTTGTGTGAAGGGGATTGGAGGATTTAGGAGGGAGAGTGGTAAAATTTTTCTTTTGAGTTAGGGTTTTTTGAACAGTAGAGATAGTTTTTGGATCTATCTGAACAGTGGAGGAATCAGCGATAATGGAAGGGATTGACTGAGTTTTTGGAAGTTCCGCAGTAGCACCAGGGCTCGCCTGCGACATCTCAACATCAGTAGTAGTTGGAGAACCAAGAACAGAGCTTTGCTCCACTGGCACCTTAGACGGAGCAGTTTGTGGAGAAGCTTTGGGCTTTGGGTTAGACGGGGATGAGAGAGGAGGGAATTGGGCTATTGACAGGGGAGAGGGATCAGGGGGGTCAGGAGGGATAGGTGGAGGAGGAAGAAGACCTTCATCGGCGGCGAGAGACGAGGGGTTCAGGCGGGAAGCACGACCATCAGAGAACCAAGGGTTCTGCATTGGTAACCATGCCAGAGAGAGAACTATTTTTATTTAAATGGTGTTTTTTGGTTTATATGTTTTTAACTTTAAACCATGTGCTTCTTTGTTTGAAGTTATGAATAGATTTCTTCATGTGAAGTGATATGATGATTTAATTTTGAGTTTACTTGTAATCATTCGCATATCCAAACTTTACGGGAATATCGTTCAGGGTTTAACCAATTGGACCATCATTTTTAAAAAGAAACTTTATAAAAAAATCGTTTAGAGTTTAATTTACACTAAAAGCGGAAAAACAAAAAGATACTGTATTAATTTTTTTTGTCAACAAATAAAAATTAATTTACACTTGTATTTTTGTTGGGGTTTTTTTTTGGGGAATCGGAAATAAAGTTTGGATTTCGTTTGTAATTTTCCTCTGAAAAGTTAAGACGATTTTAGAAGACATTCAAAAATTGACCATTTATAATACTTGAAATCTTTGCCACTTCCGTTATGGAGATAAATCAACGGGAAAGCTCTGCCTGGAAGGCAGAAGCTTTACAAAATTTAATTTTAGTCCAAGGGTAATTTCAATCAAACAAAAAAAATGATAATTGTCACCCCATTTAGTGCAAGAACATTGTACGAAAACCAAAATTGAGTTAACGTGTTTTTGGGTAATTCCATATCTCATCAAAGTATCAAACACCTTGGCCGTTGCAGGACCACACATGTATTATCTTACGCGTCTCCGAGAATAAGACATGAAGACATATACTGTGGGAAAATCCAAAACAAATATAGTCAACATGTTTCTTTTCTTCAAATCGATTAAAAAGACATTAATCATAAATATGTAAGTGTGGAAAACTTAGCAAACCGCAATTCAATCAACACTAAAAAAAAGATTACAAAGAAAACTTTGAAATACTAGATTCTTATAAGGTAATTAATGATTACACTTATTTTTGGTGTTGCACAACTCTAACTCATTCTTAGGTTGTCTACGATACGAATCCTAGCTACCAGATCCTAACCTCCTTGTATTTTTGCAAAGCTTTAAGAATACAAACTCCGTTTTGCGGCTCAAAAGTGTTAACATTTTCCTTTTGCCCACAAAAAAAACTTTTAATACTCGACTCTAAACCTAAACATAAGGTTGAACTCTCGTATATGCAACTTTCCTTTTTCATCTCTCTTCCATTGAAGCATGTTCATATATATATATCTCATCTATTTCATTTCTATTGATATATTTATATATACAACCTCGCTATATAATTTTGTAACACAATAACAAACAAATAAGAAAAAGAAATAGTTACGAAAATATATCGGCTGTAACTGGTGACCAAGGAATGAGGGGGAATAAGACAATTCCCCCTCATTCCTTAAAAATTACACCATTTATAAGAAATGTGTATTCCATATTAATGCTTACCATTCCATATTAATTAGGGAATTACAGTGTTAAAATATTCCTTATAAAATATGAGGAGGAATGAGTTCCATATATTTTATTCCTCTTCATTCAATTCATTCTCATTCTTTTTGTTCGTTTACAGGTTACCAGTTAGAGCCATTGTCGATCGATCCACATATATATTATGAAAATAGTTTTGTGTGTCGAATATTCTTGTAGTTAGCGTCTCAACCCAGACAAGTTGAGAATACCATGCTTATATAGCTATTATGGACATTGCCTACAATATGAAGTCATGTAATGGATTGGCCAGATTCGAAGAAAACAGCACCAAGATAATTAAATCATGTTTAGTCTTACTACTTAGTTCCTATTGGTTGAACTTATGTTTCACTCAACAATCAAGAAAAAGTACTAATAGATCTATATATTGCGTTACATAGGCTGTGGAGAAGGAAGAGAGAGAAGTCACGAACCTCCAGCTGAAGCCTGAAAGAGGGATTTTTGTATACTCTTTACAAATGAACCCCCTTTTTAATCAATTGTAGTATAGCTTGGGGTTCTTTGTCAAATCCAGAAAGGTCAAGATAAAGACTTCAAGAATGCATGAAACATAAGTGAGCTAAGCAAATTCGAAATGGTTTTGAACTAACCCTAAATGAACATAAACATAAAATAAAAATGCAAAGATGAAAGAAATGCAAATGGAGGCACTTGGGATGAGGGTCATTGACCTTGGGAGATTCTCAAGTCAGTTTATGATGCTCAAACAGTTTAATGATTGCTAATCCTTAGGCAAAGAACTCATTAACAAGACTAATCCACTCTCATGGTACTAATCACTTTGCTAATTACCAATTTCAAGAACTAATTCTCATTAGTGAAATTGATTAAGCAAGCATAAGATTCAGTTCTAGAAAGCCAATAAACACCCTAGACAATCACTCTCATGAGCTAGGAATACAAATCCTTTAGATGGTTGGTTCAGGCATTTCATCAAACACTTGTGGTGCATGAAATGCCTAAGATCTAGAATCAACTTGATCAGAGAAGATCTAGCCTCTGCTCTGCGAACTTCTTGGACACTTTTGAGCTCTGATCAGCCTCTAGCTTCTTTGTCTTGCTCCAGTCACCACCCCAACTTGTTTCCAGCTTGCTAAACGCCTCAAACACCTACGAAAGCACTCCAAATGCAATGAAAAATGCAAAATGCTATTTTAAAAGTTAAATGTTCCTAAGTAGATAAATTTTACACTAAATGCTATGAAATGGGACTTAAAGATATGCAGAATGAAATGCTAAATGTATGCAAATGTTGAGTATATCAAAGCCTGAACAACATCTTCCATGGAATCTCTGACTTGAATCACAAGTCTAGTGGTGTAATCAGCATGCTCCTTGCATAAATCGGACAACGACATGTTAATGGAAGTAAAGTAGATCCTGGAAAACCCAGTTTGGAGATCAAGCACTACTCCTACTTTGATTTCACTTGTTTGATTCCTCTTTGTATATATGACACACACACACACACACACACACACACACAAAGGAAAGAAGATGGTTTGTAAATATTATTTGGATCACACATGCTACTCCGAAATACTCTTTTCTTGTATGGACTGCGATGCTCAATCGTTTAGATACAGGAGACCGTATGATGAAGTGGAGCCAAACTGTTGATGCATCTTGCGCTTTATGCCAATGTCCGATGGAAACAAAAAGCCATTTGTTCTTCACTTGTCCTTACTCCTCTCAGGTATGGACTACCTTAGTGAAACGAATACTTGGAAACTCATTCAGCACAGATTGGGAGGTTCTAGTTGGTCTCTTACGGGATCTGAATTATGACCGTCTCAAGCTATTTGTCATTAGATACACCTTTCAAGCAACAGTGTACGGCATATGGAGAGAACGAAACAGAAGAAGGCACGGCGAAAATTAGACATCGGCGCAGTAGATGGTTATGGTACTTGACAAAACTGTCCGGAACCGATTGAGCTCTATCAGAATCCAGGGTGACCACAGTTATGATGATAGCCTCATGTATTGGTTTGCCACAAGAGATTGAGTAGTAGATTTGACTTTCAATCCAATTTCAAACTTATGTAGCACTTGATGTAACAAAGCTTTTGATTGAATATAATTTTACATTCATTCAAAAAACAAAAAAATGGTTTGTAAAAGCCCTAAAAATAAACATAAAAGTTTTTTGATAAAAATAAACAAAAAAGATAAGGTTTGAAAGAGGCATAACAAGAAAATGTATGGTTTCAAAGAGAGAGAAGATTAACGACATCTCGATTCTTCTTTTTTTTTTTTTGTTAAAGGACGACATCTCGATTCTTGTAGGTATGAGTTAGTTTAGTATCTTCAACTTCACTACTTCTTTTAAATTGTGGTTCGGTCTTCTTTAGTGTTCGACGAACGAATTTTTATTTGTCTTCTAGCAAGATCCGATCTATAACAGCACTCTAAAGATAAGCTCTCATGATCCAAATATTATCAAAGGCGTAAAAAGAGTATAACTTAGTTACATGGAATAAGTCGGAAAAACAGAATAACTTAATTACATACTTTACGAATTGTTGTGATTTAGACCGACAAACAAAAGAAAACGAAGTGATTGAGGCAATATATTCTCTTTAGGGTTTTTTATTAACTCGTGTGTAAAGTGTTACCCTTTTGCCACTATGTATAACACAAATAATATTTAAGGAACTAGTTATAGGGTTTACTTAACTTCTCTCTATCATTTAGCTCCAGATTCCATATCAGATTCTCCATTTTCATCATGTTTCGTTAGCGTTGTGAAACGTTCTTCGCTCATGAATAAAGAGGCCCTTCTTAGCTCAAAATTCCTGTTTAATGACATGCTACGTGGCCATGGTCTGGTCATCTGCACAGTGGAAGGACTCGGAGTGCGGTGAGTTATTGGCGAGATCACATTATGAACGGCATTGTTCTTGAACGTATGCGAATTCATGTCCTTCTCATCCAAGATTCTGAAAAAAAAAATTAGCTTTCTCCACAAGGAACCTTTGGAATCATTCCAAAGCGTGTGCCTGTGTTCGTACAAGATGAGAGCTACAAAGACGAGAAAGGCCAAGAACGAAGCAATGCCTGCTATTAAAAACAGACCCAAGAAGTTACTTAGCCTGAGACGGTTGGACGAAAGTTCTGTCTTTGGATCAGAACAGTTACTTTCTTTCTTGAACCATTCGTTCTTGATGTTTTCCATTTTATTATCTCGAGTTAAATTCAATATAGCCCTTGAGAAATCATCCGTCAGAGGTGAATTCTTAGGAAATGCCTACACACCATGAAAAAGTAAAAAAAAAAATGCTATCACTGAAAATAAATATTTTTGTGTGGATATTTTGTAAAAATAAAGTTAAGGAAAAATATAACGAACTTACAAAGCCAAAACCAGCGGTTTTAAAGGAAGCGGTTTTAAAGAAAGGCTCAACCATGGCGTATTTGGAGCAGTACTTAGAGATAATAGCCTTAAGGTATGCCACTTCGTCGAAAGCTGCTACAATTGTCCCATTGGAAAAGAGCTCGTCACATTCTTCGGCGGAACCAAAAGCCTTGAGCTGAGTTTCACTAAATTGCAGAGCTTTTAAAATATCTTTAACGAAAGCACCGCGTTGGTACCCTACAGGCTTCTCATGTCTGATGAGATCTTCAACAGTTATGGCCGTTGGGTATAGACGTTTTACCGTCAGGACAGATGTGAGATTCGCTTCGTAGCTTTGAGTCAGCACTAGCACCACAAAGCACCACACAATCACCACAAACCTTGCCAAGGGGCTTACCACCTTTTCACCTGTATACACGCATGCACAGTTTCACTTTATGATTAACATCTTGATTCTTGTTAGAAAATATCACACTGAATAAGAGGAGCTTAGCAAGACTTAATCATACATAAACAACGTAAACCACTCTCACTTATTGTAAAATGGTTTTGAGATGGAAGCCTATATATAGTACTCTCACTCATTGTTAATTGGTTTTAGTGACTTACGGTTCGCAAAGACCATGGTAGAGAAGGAGAACCAGAAGCTAGTACCGATCTGGTGTTGAGGCGGTCCACGGAAGTCGTCATTGATCCTATGTTCAAACAGCCACACAACAAAACCAATGAGGACGAAGAAACCCCCGGTGGTGACCCATAGGCCTGGACTCCAGGGTTGGAGGAACACCCATATGTTCTTGTTCTCATTATCTCTCATGGCACAGCATAGACACTCCAGACTCTGTGAACGGTAACGTGAAGTCAGCATGCAAAGACCTGTGCGCTGTGATTGTTACATCTCCAACAACTGCATCAAACTTCTGCTTCATTCAATAATAAAGATATTAATAATAAGTTAAAATTATATACATAATAATCTACTCATTAGTTTTAAGATGGTATTGTATTATGCTTTCTATATTTTTTTAAAGTAAATATATGAAAAGAAAAGAGGAACTAACCCCGCTATCACTATGATGGAGTTGATAGACCAAATTGTTGTAGTCATCATCATCTGGAGACTCGAAATGGAAGTATTCAGGGATGACTGAATATGGCAACTCGTTAAGAGTAGCTTCAAAGATGTCTATGGTGTAACCCTTTGGGTTCATTGTGTTATTGATCGGATCTATTTCTCGGCCTCCACAAAATTCAAGAAGCCTTTCTTCACTGGAACCCCCACTCTAAGCTTCTTCCCGTTCGTCGGAATCTGCCAACCTTTTGGTCTATGTGTAGAATTTCCAGGCCATAACACCGGCCCTAACTTCTCCCATGTAGTGTTGTTTGACTTTGCATTCACGAGTCCATTGCTTGGTCTCCAAGATCCGATAACCCTCTCTTCCTTTTCCAATAAAATTGATGATCTCAAACGTTGATGACTCAAGCTGCCCGTTAATGAGATGAAACTCTCCTGCTAAGCCTTTGAATCTTACATCCGAGAGAGCCTTTATAAGACTTGGGCCGTAGCGAGAGACTCCTAGGGTTCCCAAATCTGTCTTGTTGTTTGACAAGTGTTCCCATTACCATAACTCAAGCTCGTTAGTCGGTTTTCTCCACAGCCATGGCCAATGCAGTGATCGAATCATAGGCCCATAGCGCGAAAACGCTTTGGCTCTCCATTATCCTCCATCGATGGATTGTCTTTCACGAACTTCCTCTTCCATCTCAAACGGAAATTTAAGCTCTTTTGATTTGGGGACTTGGCTCCTCACACCTAACACGCCCTGCATAGTCTCCAAGCCACGACCATGGTTCGTATATCTCATCATATGCGTCATTCCATTTGATAGTATCCATACATACCCTTCCTCCATCATTCCGATCTCTCTAGCTTTCTGCAAAACCCGGAATCCGAGACCTGGTTCCATGTGGACAACGAATACCTTCGTCTGATTCGTCATGAGCTTATAAAGCTCCTCATATATCTGACCATCGCTAGGTTCCGGAGATATCACACTTCTATGGACTTCCACGTCTTGTAAGACATCAGACAAATGCAGCATGATTCCTTTACCTAACTCGTCGTCCACATACATGGCCACGACGCTTCTCCACCAGAAGGATTTCACAGTGGCTGCAATGGCCTCGACCTGAAGTGAGTCGTCAAGAGTGGCTCGGACGAAGTAAGGGTTGTTGATGGATGTCAAAAGAGGGCTTGTTGCAGAGAATGTGATGATCGGTACTTGAGATTTTTTGGCCATTTTCATCATAAATTCTGCTTGAGTAGAGGTTCTTGGTCCGATGATGGCGCTCACTTGCTTGTTCTTGATTAGGTCCAAGGCTGCTTGCGCCACAAGCAAACACACAGAAAAATATTAAGAAAATCTCACTAAATATAACAAGTTAAAGAAGTAATTTAAGACTTAGTGACAATTGAAACTGACAATCTAAAATTGTACAGGTATCATATTCATATGCCATGCAACCAACTTTTCATGTAATATATTTAGTAGACTTATAATTTAAATATTTGAACGAGGTATTATGAATATTAGTTTTTAAGAGCATACAATCGTCACAAAGACTATCTAGAAAATAAAAGAAAATGAAGACTTGGTCTGTCAAGACGCAAGAGATTTCTCTTACTTTTATAGACTACATAAGAAGAAACTTCAGTCACCAGAAATCTTAGCGACGACCACGTAAGACAACACTTGGATTTAATTGTGATTTAACATATATATCTCTAATTAAGATTCAATGAAAGCAGTAACAGCTACATCATGTCTGGCCGGACATAACCCGTAACTTCCTACGTAGTATCTTTCATTCATCAACTGCAAGTCTGCAACTAATAATTAATAAATTCAGATGATACGTTACATTACATGCAGCAAGAGAAAAAGAAGTAACGAACCTGCAGCTGAAGCTTGAACAGTATCTTCCATAGAATCTCTGACGTGAAGCACAAGTCTTGTGCGGTAATTAGGATGATCCTTGTAGAAATCGGATAGCGACATGTTAATAGAAGTGAGGCAGTTCTTGGAAAAGTTTGTTTGGAGATCAAGAACTACTCCGACTTTGATTTCACTTATTTGGCTTTGTCCTAAACCAAAACCCATCAACGAAAAACCCCAAACGAACAGGACAAAATAACTCAGGAAGGTGTTATGGTTTTTTGTGGGGTTCATCATTTTCATCAGCCAAAGATTGAAGACACACACTTTATGTGATTCTTTAACTTGCCTTTTCTTGTTTTATATATAGACAAAGGAAGCTAATCTGTTTGAAAGAGTCTTAAAATCTATGAAAGACTTTACAAACTCTTGTTCTCATTAAAACCAAAAAAAAAAAAAACTCTTGTTCTCAAAGAAAGAGTCTTACCATACGAAAATGATAATAACCAAAATTATTGTTAGCTAAAAAGAATTAAAAAATTGGTTTGACAGACTGAAAAGAGATGAGTTTTGAATTTTCTTTGCAAATCAATGCGAAAGTTTCCCTAACTTCTATTATATAAAATCTATAAGGAATTGTTTGTTGTAGAATCTTTATTGTAACATTTCTAATAATTTGTGATAATATGATAAATCAAGTGAAAAGAAATATATATTACCAGAAGACGGCGTTGCAGAATCTTCATTGTAACAATTCTAACAATTTGCAATAATATGATAAATTAAGTGAAAAAAAAATCTATAAGGAAAATTACTATACGTCAAACTAGCTATTGCATGGAAACGAAATGCGGAAGCGAAACATTTCTGAAACGGAGAATATTATTATGAAAAATTTAAGATTGAAAACGTTTAGGAAATATGTATTTATAATAAAACACTAAACATATAAATTATATTAAAATATTAAGTAGTTTTACTAAAGATAAATATCAACAAAAAAAAAAATTATTAAGTTTATGATGTATGGCCGTATAGGTTTATAACTTTAAACTGTGTGTTTTTTTGTTTGAAGTTATGAATATATTTTTCCATGTGAAGTGATTTGATGATTTAATTTTGAGTTTACTTATAGTCATTCGAATATCCAAACTTTACGGGAATTACGTCCATGGTTTAATTTACACTAGATCGAAAAAAATAGAAATTAATTTACACTTCTATTGTTGGGGTTTTTTTGTTGAAACAAAGATTAATTCCATGGATTTTGTTTGCAATTTACACCTTAAAAGTTAGTTCTCACAAAAAAAAAAAAAAAAAAAATCACCTTAAAAGTTAAGACAGTTTAAGAAGACTTTCAAAGGTTGACCATTTAAATACTTGAAATCTTTGCCATTTCCATTACGGAGATAAATCAACGGGAAACCTCTGCCTGGAAGCTTTAGAAATTTTTTTATTTTAGTCCAAGATAATTTCAATCAAACAAAAAAAGATAATTGTCAGTTTGTCACCCCATCTAGTGCAAGAACAGAAAGAAATTTGAGTTAACGCGCTTTTGGGTAATTCAATATCTCATCAAAGTATCAAACACATTGGCCGTTGCAGGACCACACATGTATTATCTTACGCGTCTCCGAGAATAAGACATGAAGACATATAATGTGGACAAATCCAAAACAAATATAGTCAACATGTTTCTTTTCTTCAAAACGATGAAGAAGATGAAGATGCAACTGGTTTGACGCAGATCGTGAATCAGTCAGGAAGTGCATCAGGACGTATGGACGGACATGTAGCGGAGCTAAGCGGAGCTTAACGGAGCTAAAGGATTATGCTGAGCTGGATGCGAGCTTGTAGCGGTTAAGGACGAATCCAGAAGAGGCGGTAGCTGAGCTGGATGAGGAGATTTGGAATTATCAAGACAAAAGGAATATTTCCTATTCTTAGAGAAAAATAAGGAAAGGAAATATTCCCTTGGAGATTTGGAGTAATCACCAAGACACAAACCTTGTAGGGTTTGGCGGTTCGTCTATTGAGGATAAATAGAGGACCTTGGCTGCTTGGAAGCGGCTATCACAAATATTGAGAGCTTTAGACTTTGGGTTTAGATCATCTTGTAAGAGAGCTAGGACAAAGGGTTAGGGCTTGAGAGGTTCGAAGATCGTGGATAGATCTGAGAACAGAGTGTTACTAGAGCAATCAAATCGTGGATAGATTGTGGTTGTCAATTCGTTTAAGCAATACTTGTAAGTTACACTTAAAGAATTTCTAGTAATATATTTCTTTGTAGAGAAATCCCTTGTGCCAATTTGTGATCTTCTTCCTAGCCCCTGGTTTTTCAGAAGACATTAATCATAAAAACTAAAGTGTGGAAAACTTAGCAAACTTAGTTCCTATTGGTTGAACTTATGATTTCAATTTTCAATAAACAATCAAGAAAAAATACTAATATATATATTGCGTTACATATGCAGTGGAGAAGCAAGAGATAGAGAAGTCACGAACCTGCAGCTGAAGCCTGACCAACATCTTCCATGGAATCTCTGACTTGAATCACAAGTATAGTGGTGTAATCAGCATGCTCCTTGTAGAAATCGGACAACAACATGTTAATGGAAGTAATGCAGATCTTGGAAAACGAAGTTTGGAGATCAAGCACTACCCCTACTTTGATATAACTTGTTTGATTTTTTGCCTAACCCGACCCCCATTGAACTAAACCCCAAACAAACTAGACAAAGTAACCCACAAAGGTCTTACTAGTTTTTGTAGGATTCAACATCTTTTATCCAAAGATTGAGAAACTTTATGTAATCCTTTAAATTCCTCTTTGTATATTGCATACACACACATAAAGGAAAGAAGATGGTTTGGAAAAGAACTAGAAAATAAACAAAAAGGTTAAGGATTGAAGGAGGCATAACAAGAAAATGTATATGGTTTCAAAGAGAGAGAAGATCGACGACATCTCGATTGTAGGTATGAGTTCGTTTGATATCTCCAACTTCACTACTTCTTTTAAGTTGTGGTTCGGTCTTCTTTAGTGTTCGATGAACGATTTTTTTTTGTCTTCTAGGAAGATCCGATTTATACAGCGTGTAGTACCATACTGAGAGAAAGAAAATTCAAAGTACTTTGCGCAAATGAAATACCTTAGAAAATTTAAATAAAGAACAAAAGAAACTTCCAAGTACAAAATAATGAATATCCATTACTTATATTGTTAAACTAACTTATAAAAAGTTAATAAGAGATGGAAAACACTCTCGTGTGTAAGCCCTAGCTACCTTTTTCTCCTTTTGCGTCTTAACCAAGGCACTACTAGTTCGTCCTCTCAGCCTTCTTCAAACCTTCATTAAATACCGGTCATATACATACATAGTCAAACAATGTGTGAAAGAATGATCTGGAAAATTCTATAGTGTTATGTACTTAAGAAGAAAATAATCTACTATGTGCTTAAGAAATAGAAATTCCTTATATATATATTACAAAAGTTCACGCTAAAGTCACATAATATGTACTATGGAATAAGCTAGGGACGATAAGTGGTCAAAGTTGATGTTCATGCCATCAATTCATCAATAATTCAAACCTTTTTGCTAAAGCGCTTGCGTCCACAATTTTTCTATATCATTCAGCTCCACGTTCAGTATCATTTTCATTATCTTCATCTTGTTCCAGTTGTGGGAGTGAAAAGATCTTCACTTTGGTCAAGAGACACTCGTCTTGGCTCAGATTCCCTGATCTGCGACTGCGATGGACTTCGTGGCCATGGTATGATCTCCACTGAAGGTCTTGGAGTGCATTGAGTACTAGGTGGTGAACTCCTATTATGAACGGCACTCTCCTTGAACATGTGCGATTTTCTATCTTTTTCATTAAAGATTCTAAGCAAGAACATTAGCTTTCTCAAGAAGGGAATTCCGGAGTCCTCAAATAGGGTATGCCTCTGTTCGTACAAGAAGTTGGCCAGGAAAAGGACAAGTGCCAAGAATGAAGCAAGGCCTGCTATTAGAAACAGACCCCAAAAGCTACTGAGGCCAAGTCGGTTGTGCGAAAGATCGGTGCTGGGATCAGGACAAGGACTCTGTCTTACTAGCCAATTCTTTTCGATATTTTTCATTTCATTGCCTTCAGACAGACTCAAAATCGCCTTTGAGACGTCACTTGTCAAAGGCGAATTCTTGGGGAATACCTACACACCGGCAAATGAAAATATGAAATATCTAAGTTTATACTATTTTGCTATTTTGTAAAAGTTAAGTTAAAGGAAAAAAAAACAACTTACAAAGCCAAAACCAGCAGACTTAAAGGAAGGTTCGACCATGGCGTATTTGGAGCAAAACTGAGAAAGAACAACTTTAAAGTAGGCCACTTCGTCGAAAGCTGCTGAAACTGTCCTATTGGACATAAGCATGTGGCATTCTTCAGAAGAATCATAAGCCTTGAGCTTAGACTCTTGAAATCCTTGATTTTTCAGAAGCTCATGCACGAAAGAGCCGCGTTGGTACCCTACGGTATCCCCATTTCTGATGAGATCTTCCACAGTTGTGCTCGTTGCTTGTAAACGTTTTATCAAGAAAGAGGTGAGATTAGCTGTGTAGCTCTGAGTCAGCACAAGCACTACAAAGCACCACACAACCACCACAAACCTTGCTAAATTGCTTACTACCTTTTCACCTATATCGTTAAAAACTTGTCTCAATACCCTCTCTTGTCAGGGGATAATAATGTGGGATCTAATTTAATATATTAAATAAATTAGAAAATGAAAAAAACTTTAACATCAAGTCTAAAAACTTTAACATCAAGAAAATATCATTAGTGGGTTGGTGTTAGTAACTTACGGTGGGCAAAATTCAATGTGGAGAAGGAGAACCAGAAACTAGTGCCGATCTGGTGGTGAGGCGGTCCACGGAAGTCGTCGTTGACTCTGTGTTCCAACAGCCACACAACAAACCCAATGAATACGAAGAAGCAACCGGTGGTGACCCATAGGTCTATACCCCAAGGTTCGAGGAACACCCATGTGTTCTTGTTCTCCTTGTCTTTCATAGGCACCAACATAAACACTCCAGATTCTGTGTATGGTAGAGTGAAATCAACGTACAAAGACCTATTTAGTCTGATGGTTACATCTCCTGCAACTGCGTCCCATCTCTGCCACATTGAAAAAATAATATACAAGCATTATTTTGTATTAATAACTAATTTCTTACAAGGAATACCTTAAAATTCCACTAAGAAAAGTTTTTAATCCAAAAGTACCATCATTGATTTTATTTTATTTTTAATACAATAAATAAAAAGTTTTTTTTCTAAAAATATTACAGACAATAAAGATAAGTTTTAAGGGTTTTTAACCGATTCAATCAACATGTTGAAATATTTGGGTTTAGATTTATATTTTGGATTTAATGTTTTAAGATTTATTTTGTAGGTTTAGAGTTTAGTTTTAGTTTGTAACTTAAAAAAGAAAAAAAACATTTTGTGGTAGTTATGGTAATTTTGGAACAAAAATTTACTTTTGTGTGCTATTTTTGAGATTTGCTCTTTTTTAAGAGCATGAACCTTTCAGAATTTTTATTTTTAAGTAGAAAAAGAGAGAACTAACCCCGTTATGGACTTGGTTTACTAAATCGTCGTAATTCTTTGGTGACTTGAAATGCACGTATTTTGGAATGACTGAGTAAGGCAACTTTTTAAGAGCAGCTTCAAAGACATCTATGGAGTAACCGGTCGGGGTGGTCTCTCCGTTAGTGATCGACTTCTTTGTGTTTACAGATACAAAATCGAAGAAACCTCTCTTCACTGGAACCCCCACTATAAGCTTCTTCCCATTGGTCGAAATCTCCCAACCTTTCGGAACAACAGTCGAGTTTCCGGGCCATGTCACCTGCCTGAACGCTGTCGTTTTCTCTGACTTTGAATCCACCAGTCCGATAATCCTCTCTTTGTTTCCAATATAATTGATGATCTCAAAAGTTGATGACTCGAGCTCCCTGTTAATGAGCTTAAACTCTCCTGCTAAACCCTTGAACCTCACATCAGAGAGAGCCTTTAAAAGGCTTGGACCGTGACGAGAGACCCCTAGGGTCACCATATCTGTCATGTCTTTTGAAGAGACTCTCCCATTATCATACTCCAAGGTCTTTATGCTGATTTTCTCCACGGCCATGGCCAATGCAGTGATGGAATCATACGCCCATAATGCAAAAACGTTCGGTTTTGCATGATCCTTCTCGAACTTTTTCTTCCCTCTCAAACGGAAATGTTCAAGCTCTTTTGATTGAGGGATATAGCTCCTCACACCCAACAACCCTTGTATATTCTCCAAGCTACTACCGCGCTCGTTAGATCCAATCCAATTCGTCATTTCATCTGTCAGTAACCACACGTACCCTTCCTCCATCATCTTGATATCTCTAGCTTTCTGAATAACTCGAAAACCAAGATTTGGTGGCATGTGAAGAACGAACACCCTTGTCTGCATTGTCATGAGTTTATAAAGCTCTTTTTCGATCTGATCATCGTTAGCCTCTAGTGAGATCACACTTTTATAGACTACAGAAGCTTGCACATCTTGTAGAGCGATGATTAAATAGGGCATCATTCCTTCTCCAGATTCGTTGTCAACATAAATAGCGATGACCCTTCTCCACTCGAAGGATTTGACAATGGCTGCAATGGCTCTGACTTGGGATACGTCGTTGAGAGTGGCTCGGACAAAATATTGGCTATTGATGGATGTTAGAAGAGGGCTTGTTGCAGAGAATGTGATGGTGGGTACTTGAGATTTCTTGGCCAGTCTTATCATAAACTCGGCTTGCATTGAGCTTGTTGGTCCGATGATGGCGCTCACTTTCTCGTTCTTGATTAAGTCCAAGGCTGCGCGCACCACAAGAAAACACACATTTTTCAATAGACCTAACACTTCTTTAAAAACCTAACACTTGAATATTAGTTATACAAAGTTAAAATATTAGTTGTGTACTACTTTCCATTTGACCAATGTTTTAGGCATACATCAATCTACCTATTGCAAAACAGTTTTGATAGATATATATAGGATGGTCAAGTACGTGATATGTATAGTAGAATATATTGCTGTGGATTTGTTTGAAATGGACAAGAAAAAGTCATGAAAAACATATTTTAAAATCCTGCACCTGAAGTGAATATGGACTTAAAGCATTATAAGATACTCTAATGTGTCAACTTTGTATCTCTAAATCTCAATCTTACTAGATTTCTTTCAACTTTCAACTTTGTATCTCTAAATCTCAATCTTACTTGCTGCACTTGATGTACAAAACGATTTTTTTTTTGGCTTGAATTAATTTTACATTCAATTCAAAAAAAAATATATATACTCTAATGTGCATATGGGTTTTGATTATCAACTGATTTTAATTTTAAAACTCACAAAAATTCAAATCAACCAATAGTGTCTCATATTTTCAATTCCTTGTTTTAAGGGCATCTCCAATGTATTATCCCATATTTTTCTCCAAAATGAAGAAATCTCTAAATGGAGTTGGGTTTTGCTCCAATGTATTGCCTCATTTTTACTTCAAAAAAAATATTCTAAGTATATTCTTTTTGAAAAACTTTTTATTAATTACTAAATGTACATTGTATATTTATATATATTACAAATTGCCCCATAACTTTTTAAATAAATCAGTAATAGTTGTTTTAATAAATTTCTTTTTTATGTTATTTCTAATAAAAGTATTTTTCCTTTCTTTTTAAATTTATTAATAGCTTGAATAAATAAATTTCCTATTAAATGTGTTATTTGTATTTTAGAGTAAAAATAAACATGAAAATGATTAATTATATATCTTTAACTGAAATAATTTAAAACTTTAAGGACTCTTGTATAAATTAAAAACTTCAACTCCAAAATGGGATCAACTTCATTTTGGCAAAATGCCATATTTTTTCCCAAAAGGAGATTGATCCCATTTTCATCTCCATTTTGGAGTTGAAGTTTTTAATTTATATAACAGTCCTTGAAGTTTTAAATTAATTTAGTTTAAGATATATAATTAATTATTTTGATCTTTATTTTTACTCTAAAATACAAATAACACATATTTAATAAGAAATTTAATTATTTAAGCTAATAATAAATTTTAAAAAAAAGAACACTTTTATTAGAAATAACATCAAAAAGAAATTTATTAAAACAACTTATTACTGATTTTTAATTTAATTTAGTTTCCAGATCCACCAATATCACTAAAATATTGTCCAAAAGAAGTAGTTTGTGAGAGTTATTTAGAAGAAGTAGTATTTATGTTGTTATTTGTAGTCTTGTAATAATGTATTATTAATATTTTCATAATTAATTTAAATAATTATAATTAATTGTGAAAGTTTGAAGAAAAACATATATGGGGCAATTTGTAATAGATATAAATATACAATATAAATTTAGTAATTAATAAAAAGTTTTTCAAAAGGAATATTCTTTTTGAATCAAAAAATGAAGCAATACATTGGAGCAAAACCCAACCCTATTTTAAGATTTCTTCATTTTGGAGCAAAATATGGGGCAATATATTGGAGATGCCCTAAATACTCATCAACTTAAATATTTAAACCACATACTGGCGAGACAATAGGGACTTCTTCGAGCATTTAATGCTCAGTAACAAAAAATAGTGACTTCAGTTGACTATCAACAGATTTCTCTAAATACAGACCACATAGAAGATTACTTTGATTCTGAATAGTCAAAAGATTCTCTCATTTCTCTTCCAACGAAGCATGTTCATGTATATCTTATCTTACTTCATACAGTTTAAACAGACGAAAGGCCAAGTGCGAGAGCATGTGTGTATGTGCAAGGAGAAGCAGATAATTTAATAGACAATTTTTCAAAAAATCCACAAAAATAAGTAAAATGAAAAAAGAATCTCCATTTTCTGATCACTTTTAAGTTTTTACAGTGGAGAGTTAATTACTCTTAAGTCTTGATTAATTCCTAAGTATACACAGCTTATATAAAGTAATACTTAATTATGTTACATTTAACCGCAACTACATAATAAATCAAAGTAATATATGTTACATGCATACAGCGGAGAAGCAAGCAAGAGAGAGAGAGAGAGGGAGAAAGAGAATAACCGAACCTGCAGCCGAAGCCTGAACAGCATCTTCCATGGAATCTCTGACGTGAAGCACAAGTCTTGTGCGGTATTTAGGATGATCCTCGTAGAAATCGGACAACGACATGTTAATAGAAGTGAGACAGATCTCGGAAAATTTTGTATGGAGATCAAGAACTACTCCTACTTTGATTTCACTTATTTGGTTCTGTCCTAAACCAACCTCCATCAACATAAAAACCCAAACAAACAAGACAAAGTAACCCATAAAGGTATTATTTGTTTTTGTAGGGTTCATCATCTTCATCCAAAGATTGAGTAACTTTCTGCCAGTGTTTATCGTCTTTCCTTTTTTTTTCCTATTATATATATATATATAAAATACACTCAACAAGAAAGAAAGTGACGTACAAAATTAAATTGTGAATCTGATTTCAAAGTGGAAAGATCCTGGAAATTTTAACCAGGATCTAAAGGAAGTTTCCTGGATTAAGGTAACATCAACACAATCTAACAAATAGCATATTCACAAAATCTATACACTAGTTCCCTCAAAAGAAAATATTATCACTACTTGTATAAGTATAACGTAACTGATTTGGGATAGTTTGATCATTTGCATTGATTTTATTTAGTTTAGTTTTTGTGGTTGTGGTGAAATATCGGTATTCAGATGTTGACTTAAACCGATTTAATTCTACTAGGTTAAAACCCGCGAGTAGCAGAAAAAAAATTTTGTCAATTGTTTTTTTTGTATAATTTGTTATTTCATTTTTTATAAAAATATTTTTTTTGTGAGAAAAATATGATGTTTTCTTTTACCCCAATCACGAACCTGGCCCGAAAACCCGGACCAAACCAAAACGAATAACTTTAAAAACTTTAATGGTTTTCATATCTCTAAATCCGAAAAATCCGCAACCCGAGAAAACCCAAATGGTCAAAACATCCAAAAAATCCTGAACTGAACCAATTTTTTTTAAAAGAATGATTTTCATATCTCTAAACCCGAAAACCTAAAAACCCGATCCGAAATCCAAGGTCTAGTCTTTTTTTGTCAACAGCCTAAGTTCCTACAACGGTTCGGGAAGCGAGACCGGTGAAACTGAGTTTATATAGTACACATCGTAAGGCTGATCTCGAGCACTCCGTGCTAGCTTGTCTGCCTTTGTGTTCTTCGTCCTAGGGATATGAGATCCAAGGCCTAGTCTCTCTGTCGAAACGTTTCATTTAGTTTCTCGAAGGTTTTTATTTTTATCACTTGTGTGCATTTCCCCTCTTTTGTAGCTTTTGGATCGCAATTCCGAGATGAGATATAGATTTGGTAGAATTGCATGAATAACTTTGAGTATCAGATAAGTGAAACTCCTGCTTATTCACTTAATAAATCATTTATTTTAAATTTTGAGTTGATTTAGAAGAATGAACTTAATTCTCTAACAGTGATTGTGTTGGTTTTGAGAATGTATGTTATATTATTATAAAACTTGGTAGATAATTTTTGGAGATGCAAATCTTTCATAAATAAACTTGGAAGGTGATAAGATTTGAATTGCCATATTTAACATATTCATATGTTAATCCATAAAATATTGTGCGAAGTTGTTCTTAATTTTTAAAAGTCTAAGTAGCCAAACATCAATTGAATTAGAAGTGCAATAATATCATCAAAATTATGAGTCAATTAACAAAATATACATGCGGAAAACCAATTTTGGTTTCCTTTAACAAAGAAAAATACACACTCTTTTTTCCTTGTACTTGCTCTGTAGAAGTTCAAACTCTTGTATGAAATGAAGTTGTCCAGTTATTTCCCACAATGAGACGAACGGTGAAGAGAACGGCAACAGATTATTGGTAAATTACTATTGTATTTTAATCCCAGTAATTTAAATTTATTCTTACATGGATACATTCATATGAGATAGTTTCTATTAAAATTTATTTGTTGTACCAATTCCTTTGTGCATTTTGTGAGATGAAAGACAATAACAAATTAACATACTATTTTTAAACTAACCTTATTTATCAAATATCAAGTAATTCAGAATTATTTATTCAATGATCTCAAATTATACTGGACCACATGTTTTTACGATTTATAATAGTCTTCCTACACTATTTTCTTGCCTTATTTTATCTTCTATAGAAGTAATGCCTAGAAGATTCGTAAATTTTTGTATGCCAAAAAGATACACCCATAAAAACAGAGAATCAATTTTCATCACAGGAAAAGGAAAAGAGAACTATACAAACCTTCATGGCTTTACCATTACGATCTATACAAAATTTGATGTCTCCTGCTAAAATTTAGGTTTGGGAAGCAGTGTTTCAGTGTCATAACAAAAGTAAAAGCTTTTGGCTTAAATATGGGCCTGGTGTTAGATCCGAGATAGCACTCGTCAAGACGGGCTATCTAAGATGTGAGTTTAGGAAACTGGAATGCTTAATTCGACTCTTAGATTATCAAGAAGTTACAAGAGAGCAATCTCGCTAACAAGCCTAGCGAGATTATGTGATGAACAAGAGGATAGAGTAAAAGCTAATGTGAAAGCCTAGTGATTCTAGATGATTTCGGATCCCTTCCCCAATGGGGGGTCTTCAATATATAGGTTGATAAGTCGGCCGAATGATGAATATTCTCCTTCAGGCGAGATGGAAAACTTCCTCTTTTGCGATATGGAAAATTCCCTCTTGTTTTTGGATCTTTTCCATTCTTTAAGTCGGCATGAAGATTTATTTACATTTCTCCATGGATTGTGCCTTTCTCTTCAAGTCTTGCCTTTTTCTTGAAGATGTTAGGCCTAAAATCGGATTGGGCTTTGTGACTTTACTAATGATGACGGGCTCAGGGAAATGTGCTAATTTCTCCTCTAACAATAAGTCCCCCCGCCAGCTCGGCAGGTCAAATGTAGTTTGATCTCGGCGAGCTTCATGAATAGAGGACGAGCTTGAGAATCATTAGTAAAATACATCACTTCAATCGGATCTTAGTGCCTAGGTGCATGCTGAATGTAGATTCGTGCCGCCTCATTAAAACCTTGGTACGGAAAAACCCAATTGGGACAAAAACCATAAAAAGGAAAAAGAGTACGTTGACGTCATCTAATTCACGAGTAATTGCTTCGAATGATTTTTGCCGCGACCAAAAATGCTTTCTTTCGTAGAAATCAGTAATGGGTTTTAATCGGCCCATGATCTGGTTCGGTTTTTGGTGAAATCGTTTGGGCGGGAACAGGAAAAAGTCTCGGAGAAGCCTTCTCTTCTAAGAATCGTGGAATTCTTATTTAAGGAAACGATTAGGATTTCCTAGGGTGCTTATTCCTTTTTCGTGATACCGATTTCACCAAGTGCCCTTCGAGGGAGAGCGAATATCTCTTGCTGCCCTGCCTGCATTTCCTTCCTTCTACCTTCTTCTTTCGCGCTTTCGATGGCACAAATCGAGATTAGTTCATCGATGTCGACGTCGGCCCTTGAGCATAATGCTGTTCCCAAGGAGATTTGCGAGACGGTGGGTTTGGCGAAGGCGATGAACTCATCCGTTAAAGGGGAATCCGAGGTTCTAAACGGGGAATGCGGCGACCGTTCTTGCGAGGGATTCCGCACGAGGATACGGGATCCGATCCTGAGCTCGGTGAGGAGAAAGTCCCTGATTGCGCTAGGCTCGATGGTATCCCTCAAAAGATTGAGATGCCGTGGAGATCATCGTCAAGATCTCTGGCTCGGGATGGTCAATCGGGGATGACCGAAGATATAGTCATCGCTTTGCGGGAGAGGGTGGGAATCAGTGACGCGGTCAAGATTCTCGTTCCCTTACCTGACCAAAGGCCGATGGACGCTCCACCTGGATGGTTTTGCCTCTACGAATGCTTCCTCACGGAGTTTGGAATACGTTTTCCGGTCCTCCCGTTACTTCTCGAGTATGCGTATGAGCGGGGTGTAGCGTTGAGTCAGCTGACCCATGGTGTAGTGCGGCATATGGTCTTCTCGGCCGCTCTGGCGAAGGCAGCCGGGATGAAGCTAGACAGGGAGCTCTTTGAGCGTATAACTGATCTTCGTGCTGGGGTTAAGGAAGGAGGTTTCAAGCGTTTCCACACATCGATGAAACATGACATCGTTTTTGGTGATCATCGAACGAAGATTCATCACTGGACGCGCTACTACTTTTTTGTCAAGGTCGACCGTGCTTCGGTCGGGGATTTTGATCCTAGTCACGTCTTAACAGAATGGGTCCAGGAGCCAGGTAAAGTGGTTGTGAATTCTTCCTTATTTTTAGCGGTTGCTTCGTATGCTAACTTACGCCCCCATTATCTGATATGCAGGAAGGATTGTCCCAAGGAAAGTAAATACTACTCTAAAGGAGAAGTTTAGAACTTTACGCGACTTGAGTAGAGAGACTTGGGCGGATGCGTTTGCCGAGACCGAAAGGAAGAAGAAGGAAAAGAAAGGAAAGGCTATTGCTATAGCGATTCCTCTCTCTGGTGAGTGTTTGATCATCGCCTTTGAATTTTTACGCCTGGTCCGGCTCTTAAATTGCGCTCCCTGATGTCTTCCAGATAAGTTGCCGGGTGTTGCTAGGAAGACAGGCTTAAGGAAAAGGCTCCGGCTTTGGTGGATGATGATATCCTGATTTCTGATCCTCTATCCAAGCGGATGAGGTCAGATTCCTGCGAGCTAGGTGATCTTCCTCAGTCACTGGGGTCTCTTGGGGGTGTCACCAGTGGCATTTGGCGGCGACGTTTATGCAATCGCCGATAATCGGTCGCCAAAAGTATCCGATCTTCTTAATTTTTAAAGCGAGTGATCTTCCGCCGGCGTTGTTTCCTGATGCTCCCTCGTGGGTCTCGACCATGATGCTCTTAGCTTGTGCTTCGTCGCAGCATCGCAGGATGACTTTGTTTGCGCTCCAGCGAAAAAGCTCGTTGTTGCGTAAGAAGTAGTAAGCTACTTTTCATCGGAGGCGGCGGGCCGTCCATCGCTCCTCTGGCACGGCGTCGTTGATGAGGTAATTTCTGATTTCATCCTGCCACGATTTGTGTTCTGCTGACTCGTCATTAGTGAAGTTTTCGTCTTCTTCTTCTTCTTGTGAGATTGCCATGACGACGGTTCCCTTGGGGAGTTTGATGCTTGGTTCGTCGATGGTTTCGACCGGGATGACCCGTCGCAGTGCTGATTCGGTTTTTGATGCCAAGGCTGCGAGTGCGTCGGCTTCGGAATTCTCGGAACGGAGGATCTTTATCAACTCGAACGTCTTGAATGCTTTGGCAAGTCTTTGCGTTTGTTTTAGATACGCATCCATGCGATCGTCTTTCGTGTCGTAGTCACCGCTGAATTGCTTAGCGAAGAGCTGAGAGTCACAGAACGCATGAACGTGTTCTGCTCCGACTGCTTCGGCGAGACGAAGTCCGACAATAATCGCTTCATATTCGGCTTCGTTGTTGGACGCTGGAAAATCGAGTTTGATCGATTGCTCGAGGATGAGGCGGATGCCGACGCCTGCTCCTTGCCTGGAGATCGATCCGTCGACATGCAGTGTCCATTTGAGGATTTGCTCGTCGTCTTGAGTTGCGAGCTCTGGTGGGATTTCTACGATGAAGTCGGCTAGGACTTGTGACTTGGCGCTCGTCTGGCTTTTGAACTCAATATCGTATTCCGATAGTTCGATTGCCCATCCTGCCATTCTTCCGGATTGGTTAGGGCCGTGAAGGATTTAGCGTAGTGGTTGGCTGGTAAAGAAGACGATGGAGTGTGATTGAAAGTATGGCCTGAGTTTTCGTGCCGATATGACTACTCCAAGCGCCAGTTTTTCTAGGGTTGGGTATCGTGTCTCGGCATCATTGAGGGTTTTGCTGACATAGAAGACTGGCCACTGCTCTCCTCGATCTTCTCGGACGAGGACTCCGCTTACCGCTGTGCTTGATATTGCGATCTATAAGAGTAGGGTCTCGCCTTCTTCGGGTTTTGCGAGAATTGGTGGGGTAGTGAGATACGCTTTCAATTGTTTGAAAGCGTCTTCACATTTTTTGTCCCACTCGAACTTTTTGTTTGATCGAAGCAATTGGTAGAAGGGGACACACTTGTCGGTTGAGCGCGAGATGAATCTGTTCAATACGGCGATACGTCCGGTGCGTATCTTTGGCAGGGGACGCATTTGGCGGCGACGTTTATGCAATCGCCGATCATCATTGGCCAGAAGTATCCGATCTTCTTAATTTTTAAAGCGAGTGATCTTCCGCCGGCGTGGTTTCCTGATGCTCCCTCGTGGGTCTCGACCATGATGCTCTTAGCTTGTGCTTCGTCGCAGCATCGCAGGATGACTTTGTTTGCGCTCCAGCGAAAAAGCTCGTTGTTGCGTAAGAAGTAGTAAGCTGCTTTTCGTCGGAGGCGGCGGGCCGCCCATCGCTCCTCTGGCACGGCGTCGTTGATGAGGTAATTTCTGATTTCATCCTGCCATGATTTGTGTTCTGCTGACTCGTCATCAGTGAGGTTTTCGTCTTCTTCTTCTTCTTGTGAGATTGCCATGACGACGGTTCCCTTGGGGAGTTTGATGCTTGGTTCGTCGATGGTTTCGACCGGGATGACCCGTCGCAGTGCTGATTCGGTTTTTGACGCCAAGGCTGCGAGTGCGTCGGCTTCGGAATTCTCGGAACGGGGGATCTTTGTCAACTCGAACGTCTTGAATGCTTTGGCAAGTCTTTGCGTTTGTTTGAGATACGCATCCATGCGATCGTCTTTCGTGTCGTAGTCACCGCTGAATTGTTTAGCGACGAGCTGAGAGTCACAGAACGCACGAACGTGTTCTGCTCCGACTGCTTCGGCGAGACGAAGTCCGGCAATAATCGCTTCATATTCGGCTTCGTTGTTGGACGCTGGGAAACCGAGTTTGATCGATTGCTCGAGACGAGGCGGATGCCGACGCCTGCTCCTTGCCTGGAGGACGATCCGTCGACATGCAGTGTCCATTTGAGGATTTGCTCGTCCTCTTGAGTTGCGAGCTCTGGTGGGATTTCTACGATGAAGTCGGCTAGGACTTGTGACTTGGCGCTCGTCCGGCTTTTGAACTCAATATCGTATTCCGATAGTTCGATTGCCCATCTTGCCATTCTTCCGGATTGGTTGGGGCCGTGAAGGATTGGCGTAGTGGTTGGCTGGTAAAGACGACGATGGAGTGTGATTGAAATATGGCCTGAGTTTTCGTGCCGATATGACTACTGCGAGTGCCAGTTTTTCTAGGGTTGGGTATCGCGTCTCGGCATCATTGAGGGTTTTGCTGACATAGAAGACTGGCCTGCTCTCCTCGATCTTCTCGGACGAGGACTCCGCTTACCGCCGTGCTTGATATTGCGATATATAAGAGTAGGGTCTCGCCTTCTTCGGGTTTTGCGAGAATTGGTGGGGTAGTGAGATACTCTTTCAATTGTTTGAAAGCGTCTTCGCATTTTTTGTCCCACTCGAACTTCTTGTTTGATCGAAGCAATTGGTAGAAGGGGAGACACTTGTCGGTTGAGCGCGAGATGAATCTGTTCAATGCGGCGATACGTCCGGTGAGTCTTTGGATTTCTTTGGAGGATGTCGGCGATGGGAGGTCGAGGATCGCCGAGATCTGCTTCGGGTTTGCCTCTATCCCGCGTTGGGTCACAACATACCGAGGAATTCTCCCGAGGTAACGGCGAATGTGCATTTTGCGGGGTTCAGCTTCATCTCCGATTACATTCTCCAAGATTTGACTAGCATGTCGTCGATATAGACTTCCATGCTACTACCGAGCTGGTCCGCGAACATTTTGTTCACTAATCGTTGATAAGTGGCGCCGGCGTTCTTCAGGCCGAAGGCATCACTTTATAGCAATAGGTGCCACGATCGGTAATGAATGCCGTCTTCTCGCGATCATCGGGATGCATGAAGATCTGATTGTATCCTGAAAAGGCGTCCATGAAGGATAGTAATTCATTCCCTGCCGTGGCCTCGACGAGGCGATCGATATGCGGTAAAGGGAAGCTATCCTTTGGGCATGCTTTATTCAGGTCTGTGAAATCGACGCAGACTCTCCACTTTCCGTTTCTTCTTTTTGACGACGACTGGATTTGCTAGCCATTCGGGGTATTTTACTTCAGTGATCGATCCGGCTCTAAGTAGCTTTTCCACTTCTTCATTGACTGCTTGAGCTTTATCGGCGCCGAGCTTGCGTCTTTTCTGTCTCATGGGTTTGTAGGTAGAGTCCACGTTTAGCTCGTGGGATGTGATTGCCGGGTCGATCCCTTTCATATCTGCCATTGACCATGCGAAAAGGTGCACGTTCTGTTTGAGCAATGTGACCAGTTGCTCTTTATCTTTTCGTCGAGGTCGCCACCGATGCCAACGCACCTTTCCGGACGATTCGTCGATATTCACCTCGTCGACGAGGGCCGGCTTTGGTCTCTGGTGGTATGGAAGGCGTGGATCCATTTCCTCGTTTGCGGTGCATGTTGCTGCTAGGCGGAGCCGTCGCTCATAGAGGAAGCATGACCTTGCTGCCCCCTGATTCCCTCTCAGTGTGTAAATTCCTGATTGTGCCGGGAATTTCACACATTGGTGAAAGGTCGAGACGACGGCCTTCATCTCGTGGAGCCATGGGGTGCCCAAAATGGCGTTGTAAATGGCTGGTTTATCGATGACGAAGAATTCGGCGGCTTTGGTTGTTCCGCCGACGTGGATAGGTAGGCGGATCGTGCCTTCACTGGAGACGTGTTCGGAGGTGAACCCGGTGAGGGAGTACAACGAACGCTTGATCTGGTCTCTGCTGATTTCCATGCGGTTGAGGGTCTCTTTGTAGATTAGATTCACCGTGCTCCCGGTATCGATCAGGATTCTTGCTACGCTGGAGTCACTGATGTGCAAGCTGACCACGAGTGGGTCGACGTGAGGGGTATCCAGCCCCGCCGTATCTTGATCCGTGAAGATGATAGTGGGGATTTCTTCGCGGGTCGGGTTGCGATCGTGCTCCACCGCTGCGTATTCATGCTTCCGTGATCGTCGAGATGGAATCGCGATGGATGGGGTTGCTCATTATCATGTTAATCTCTTGCCCTGATTCGTCGGAGTAGTTCGTTACGTCATCCGGCGTGTTTTCCGGGATTACGGGTTGTGCCGGCTTTCGTCTGTGACGAGAGCGGTCCCCTTTTATCGGTGGTAGCTCCCCGTGCTGGTATCTCCGAAGGAGATCGCGAGTTAGGCGTCGGCAGTTTCTTGTAGAGTGGTCACCGGTTCCGTGGAGGCGGCAAAACGTGTCAGAGTCGTCGAGATCGGGCGTCGCGACATCTGTTGCCCGTTTCTTGATGTGATGCGGTTCCTGCTCGGGCTGTTGTCGGCTGCTGCGAACGCCGTTAGGAGTGATCTTTTTGGATTATATCTTTTCGTGCCTCCATGGGTTCCTCTCTGGGTTTCGACGAGGTTGCCCTCCTATCTCCATGTTTCTCGGCGTAGAAGCGCTGGTCTTCCTCGAGGAAGATGTAGTTCCGAGAGCGGTGGAACGCGTCCTCCAGAGTCGCAGGGGGTTTTAGTGACAAATCCTCCTTAAACTTGGAGTCGTACCAGAGGCCGTTGCGGAGTGCTTCCAGCGGGACGCTATCGGGCATGTCGCCAGTGTCGCGAGCTGCTTGTTTGAACCTTTCCATAAAGCTGCGCAATGGTTCGCCTTGGGTTTGCGTTGTGGTGAACATGTTCCGAGTGATTCGGGTCATGTGCATGGAGTAATGCTTCAGAAAAGCATTGGTTAGGTCGTCGAAGTTATCGATCGACTCGGCGGGGAGGTTAGAGAACCAGGTCAAGGCATCTTTCGCCATGTGCTCGACGAATACTTGACAGTAGTTGGCCTCCCTTTCATCGTAAGATTTGTATTTCTCCCTCCTCATGGCGAGGTTGAACGCGGTTAGCCACTTCTTGGGGTCTTCTTCGCCGGTGTAAGAGTCGATTTTGAGTCGAACTCTTTCGTGTAGCTCAATCTGGCGGAGCCTGCGGGTGAGCGGGCTTCTTCGGGTGTCGGCGAGTGCTTTCGTCAATTCCGGAGCTGAGCTGGTGGCGCGATGAACTTTCGAATCGACCTCGTCGAGGCGACGATTCATCCGTTCGAGTTCTTGGGTGGTAAGTCGCCTGAAGTGCGGGGACGGGGGTTGTTCCGTCAGTGGGACTTGACGGATCTTCATCGTCTTCTCGTGCTAGGGCTTCCACCTGTTCCTGAGTCTTTTTCTGCTGTGCTCGCATTGACTCGAAACCGTCGGCGAGTGGCTTGACGAGATTCTCCATGAGTTTGAGGATCTTCTCGCTCGAGGAGGATTTCTTCGAGCTGCGGGGTTTGTCGCTCGAGGAAGATTTTCTCGAGCGGCGTGGTGCGGACGGAGGGGGCTCTCGTCCTTTCTTGGCGGAGGGGATCGTTGCGGCGAAGTAGATCTTCGCGGCGAGACGGATCTCTGTGGACAGAGAGAAGATGGTTCTTGTAGGGAGCAGGCTTGTCCCTGCCTTCAGCGGGTAGCGACTTGTCTATCGTGCTGGTAGACTGTCGCTTAAGTTTTCTTCTGAGGGAGACGGGCTCCCGGTGGGAGTGTTCTCTTTCGAGTTACCATCGTTGCTAGTTCGTGAAAATCTAGATATCTTCGAGATGAATAGCGAGAAGCGTTTCCAGCCCCACGGTGGGCGCCAATTGTTGAATCCGAGATAGCACTCGTCAAGACGGGCTATCTAAGATGTGAGTTTAGGAAACTGGAACGCTTAATTCGACTCTTAGATTATCAAGAAGTTACAAGAGAGCAATCTCGCTAACAAGCCTAGCGAGATTATGTGATGAACAAGAGGATAGAGTAAAAGCTAATGTGAAAGCCTAGTGATTCTAGATGATTTCGGATCCCTCTCCCCAATGGGGGGTCTTCAATATATAGTGTTGATAAGTCGGCCGAATGATGAATATTCTCCTTCAGGCGAGATGGAAAACTTCCTCTTTTGCGATATGGAAAATTCCCTCTTGTTTTTGGATCTTTTCCATTCTTTAAGTCGGCATGAAGATTTATTTACATTTCTCCATGGATTGTGCCTTTCTCTTCAAGTCTTGCCTTTTTCTTGAAGATGTTAGGCCTAAAATCGGATTGGGCTTTGTGACTTTACTAATGATGACGGGCTCAGGGAAATGTGCTAATTTCTCCTCTAACACCTGGCAATAACATCTCAGTTTTTATAGGACTTTTCCGACGGCACATATGACATCTTCTTTTCATACGGTCTTGGGGGATTTTGACGATGAAGGATGGGTTTAAATTTGTAAAACCGTTGGCTGAAGAAAGTGTAAATTTCCATTAGTGTCCTGGAGGTGTTCGCTTTACTCGAACCTCATACCATCCATGGTCTCCTCCATTTTTGAGGTGTGGGGAGGGAGGTTTTATAGCAATGCTCTGAGAAAATGGTTACATGTAGACAATGGCCATTGATTTCACATAACTGAAGAGATGACTGGTAAGGGCAATCGATTTTGGGACGATGGTAACTGAAGCGATTTAGTTTATTGAAAAGTTTGGAGCAAGATGTCGATGTGCGACGTTTGAATTTACTTTCTTTTTTCTTTTCTTTCTTTTCATAGATGCATACTACAGCTGACGTGGCAGGTGAAGAAATCTTCTTTAAAAGCTGAGCTGGATGCTCTGAGAGTACTCAAGCAGCTATTTTAGTTATTAGTGATATATAAATAGTATATACTCATACAATACATACGGTATATGTATTTTTGTTACCGTTATTTGTTGGGTATCGTTTACTTTACATACTACAAATTTTTAGAATATACATATAAATTTTTGGAATATGAAATATCTCGTATGATCATACTAATTTTTTCCCTCCTAAGAACAGTTTTATTATAGCCGAGTAAATCAGCTTTCTTCATGCTAATTGCTACATATAAACTACTATTTGTTTTCTGAATCACAATATTGTTCTTAACTTTTTTCATAAATCATATTGTACCCATAGTAATATTCCCGATCTAATATATAGGATCCTAAAAGGTTATTATGATGTGCATATGAGTCCAAGAGACTATGACTATCAATAGAACCGGCCAATTTACCAGTTACAAAATAAAATTGAAAGGTATGCATGCACATAAATGACTTTTAATTATAAATCGATGGGACTGATATTAAAAAATCCTGACCACTTTCATATATCGATGGGATTGATATTGACAAATGAAAAATCGTGACGACTTGAAAATTTAGGAACTTGGTGACTGAACTAATCGAATCCAGAAATTTAGGGTCTAAATGGTAACAGCTGAATGTTGCTGAATGCGGAATCTGGTTGAATATAATGAAAATTGTTTGCGGAATTTGGCTGATTAGTTTGTAATATGAATGGTAATAGCTGAATGTTGCTGTATGCGGAATAAATAGTTGAAAAAATTATTTGTGTAACAAAATTAAAAAAAAAAATTGTATCTAGTTAAATTAATAAAATAAAGAAAAAAGAATTGTGAAATATCTAAATTTTAGATTAAGCATAATAAATTATTTAAAATTTAGGAATGGATTCATAAAATTTTATTAAATATCAAAGTTTAAAAAATAATAAAAATAGACATTTTAAAATACAGTATTTTTGATATTGCTAATTCATTAATGAAAATTATCTCATATGTGCCTATTATTTTGCTCCCATATTTTTGTATTTATTTTAGACTAAAATAGTTATTATTTAAAACTAAGATAAGTATTACAATATCTAATACATCACTCTAGATCTGGATATGCTTCTCTAAATATTATCTTGACACTTCAAAAATTACAATTGCTTTTATTAAACTATTTATAATAATTTTTATAATGTGAATACTTACAAAATAAATAAGATTAAACATATGTAAGATAGATACAAATTATTGAAGTAACAAGGATGTAAAAATATGAAAGAAACAAGTATAAAATCAATTCAGCAGTTTTTGTCTTTTAGTGAGTATTCAGCTGAACACACTTTAATTCAACTGGTAACATAATTGAAAAATTCAGCTGAATTCTTCTATGTTATATTCAGCAATTCATCGTGCACCAGTTAAGGCCTATAATTTACGATAAGTTGTGAAAAAAATATGAACTTCAATTTGAATTTTAATTTCAGCCCATATTAGCCCACATGTGGTTTTAACCCAAGAAAAAAAAAAAAAAAAAAAAAAAAAAAAAAACAACAACAACGTTAAGTAAGCCCACATGTGATTCCAAGCTTCTAGCAAAAAAAAATCATATAAACGACATTTGACCATTAAACTAAAGGTTATTAAAAAGGGTGTATATCCCACAGAAATACTCCTACATGTTTCTATGAACTTGATTCTTTTAGCAAATTCCAAATCATTGGTTCCAAAACAAAAACCTCTAAAATATTACGTGTATTAAACTTGACATGTTCATTGCTACATAAATGAAGTGAAATTGGTGGGGTTTTGCGTGAAGACCCACCAGCCGACCTGACCATGTCCTACTCAGCGTACACATGTTTCCATGTGACCTCACCACTTCTTCTAATCCTATTTTTTTACATTTTCTTTCTCTTATTCTAAAAATTACTCTGCCGTACCAAAAAAAAAAAAGTTAACAATGTATTTTCTTCTTTTAAATCAAAGTCGTAATTTCTTATACCAAAAGATAGTACTATACTTTAATCATCTAACTCCAACACCTGAACGCATCTTCTTATGCACACAATCTCTCTCTTTTCGATGCTCGTGTTCCGTTGTTTTACTAATTGACACGTAATAATAAAAGGAAAAAGATTCATCATCAGCTAAATTACTTTTACTTTGTCAAGTCATTTCAAGTTTTCAACTATATTAACTTTAAAAATTGGGCAAACGGAACTATTACAGTTTAACTGATTAGACTTTTTTTAAGGAAATGGTTGGTTAAATTTAAATGTAGTTAAGAAAAGTTTAAAACTTAGTTTTTCTTCATGATAAAGTTACGACATTATAACAAAGAAATAAAATTTAGAACAAACACAAAAACATTTTAAGACTTAACAAAAAAAAAAAAAAAAAAAAAATTTAAGACTAAGAAATTTGTAAGACGAGAATGTGTTGTGCAATCTGAGCAAAACCATGTGAGTTGAGTTTGACTTAACTGGGCTCAACGTTTGACCCATCAAAACAATTCCCAATTGGTCAAAGAATCTCTCTTATCAATTGTCAACCAGTAAAATTTTAACATAAAAAAGAATGATAGAATGATGTATATTAATTTCAGTGCACCTTTCTTTTTTAGTAATTTAAGGACACTCTCACACGACCTTTTTCCCTATAAACATTTAAAACTCTTGAATTACTGAAATCGATTTACTTTTGGGACATGTCTAATCACACCAATTATACTGATAAAAGTAAAACCTAAAAACTAAGAAGAAACTCAAACGAATTATTAAAGTTACTGTAAACAAAATATTTATATACTCCGGTTCAGCTTATTATATACTCCGGTAAACAAAATATTTAAGTGTATATTTATATGGTTCAGTTTAGTATTTAATACCACTAGGGATTAAAGTCCCGCACAAGCGCGGGATTGTTTGTGACAATTTTTCTGTTTGATTTTATTTATATTCATTTATTTGAAATTTTGAATTATGAAGATTATATGTTAATTTTCATGTTTTGGTTATATTTTGAGTTAACCCAACAATTAACACTAATAATATGATCAAATTTTTTTATTAAAATATTGACACCTTACTTCATCATAAGTTTTCTATTTCTAAAATTTAATATGATGAAATTTGACTCATCACACCTTAATATTTGACTCAACGTTAAAATTTGTAAACATGGTGTAGAATCTCAATTGCACTCAAAATATGATGAAAAACAAAAACATGTATAACTTCTTACATATATGCTTTGTTGTGGTAGCATATAACAATTGATTATTTTCTAGAGGAAATTTGGACCAATATTACATAAATTAATCATATTTTGAAAACTAATCTATTTTTTAAAGTGTTGGTAAACTAATTTTTCTAATATTTAAAATTACTAAAATACTCTAAATTTTTTAGATATTAAAATTGTTTTATAATTTCGTTTATCTTATATAAAAATTATTTAAATTGTAAAAATAAAATTCTGTTATTCTAAAGATATTTTTTAAACAATTATTTTTATTTTATATAACCAAAAAAAAGAAAAATAAACTGGGATATTTCCATAAAATCTAAATAAAATTTACAACAAAAAAAAACAAAAAGATATTTAGAAGATCTTATTTGAAATTTAACATGTCATAAATATAAAACATGAGTTAACTAAAGATGTCATAAATATGGAAACACCGTCCATCATCTTTTTTTTTAAGAATGAAATGTGAATTTTTCCTTATTCTAAAATGATATTTATGTGTATATATTTATAGAATTTGATTCATTTTTATGAGAAATATGAATATATTTTCAAAATAACAGGTGTATTTTTAAAGATTTACTAAAAAATATATAAAGGAATTTTCGAAAATATTTTATATATATATATAAATATCTAAATTAGTATATATCTAAATTAAATAAGATTTTTTTTTCTCATTTTTAATAGGAAAATGATAATGGTTTTATTGTCTTTTTACTTATTAAAAAAGTTAATTTTCAAAAAAAATAAAAGTAGGGTTAGTTTTCAAATTATGAAATTTTTTAGTAATATTAAACCAACTCACCCTATTTTCTATTATGTTTGTAAATATAAATTGTATTTTTGAAACAAACATTTCACCATTCTTAAAATTTTCATGCTTTTCGTTGCAATGAAATTTAAATAATAACTCGACTTCTATTTTTTAATAAAACAAACTCTAACTCTAATTTTTTTAATTAGCTTTTTACTATGTTAAATAATTTATATTGTAACATCCATAAATAAAAATTGGAATTTTGTCGGTTCAATTTAAGTGAATTGGTTTGGGTCGGTTTAGTGGAGAAAGCCCTAAAATCAAGTTTAAAGAGTGCAGCCGTCTTCTCTTTGGAGAATTTTCGAGTTCAGGCTGTAGAGGAGAAAAGTGGAGTTTTTGGAGAGATTTTCGAGTTTTACTGTTCATCGGGGTACTGTTCATCGGTACTGTTCATCGTCGGGATTTCCGCACTGTTCATTGTCTTTCCTTCAGTTTCAATCATTGTCAAGGTGAGTGCATGACTGTGGGTCCGTGATTTGCTAGATTAGATTTGGTTTGTGGTTGTTCTTGATGAGTTTATGTTTTAATTGTTATTTATGATATTTTGGTTGTTTATGTGATGAATTGTGTGTTTGTGTGGTTTAATCTGGTTTAATTGAATTTAATTGATTTGATTCTGGTTTATCTTGGTTCAATTGAATTTAATTGGTTATATTGGTTTAATTGAATTTAATTGGTTTAATGGAATTAAATAGATTTAATTCGGATTTAATTAATTAAATAATATTTATTTAATTAATTGGTTTAAAATAATTATTTTAATTATTTTAAAATATGGAAAATTATTATTTAATTATGAGAATTATTTAATAATTGAGAAATTGAGTTTTAATTATTAAAAATTATTTAATAATTGGAAAATGGTATTTAATAATTATTGGAGTTTATAAATATTATTAAATATCTAGTAAATTGCGTAAATGGCTCGTAGGCAGAGTGATTGCCTCACTAAGTATTTATTAAATACTTACGCAACTCCATTCCAATGTGTTGCAGGTAAAAGATTTGTGTGATCGCGGAATCAAGGCTGAAGAGGGGGATGATAGGATGTTTACTGTTTTATTGTTTTGCATTATTTTGCTAGACTTGTTTAATTATTATTTGCTTCCGCTGAGCTGATTTATTTGTTATTGATATTTTATTTATTTAATTTTTTTAAGACCTTCGCTAGAATTGATTAATATTTAAAAAAAAAAAAATGTTGGTTGTTTCATTTTGGTATCAGAGCCTAGACGGTTTTAGGACTGTTAGAATTGCTAGGCTTTAGTATCATCCCCTTCAGCTACAAGAGATTCCGCGGTGAGTTTATGTTTGTTTTGAGTTTTGGTTGCGTGTTCTAGTGTGCTCTTTTTGGTTCCATGAGTGAGATGGACTGAGTAGCTAGAGGTTGTGGCGCGAGAGGGCGCGGTGCTCGAGGCCGTGGTGGCAGAGCTAGAGGCCGTGGAGGCCGGGGCCGAGGTTGTGGACTTCGGCGGATTCGGGAGAGAGTGTGGCGCCTAGTGTGGCGACTGCGTCGGTGACCCAGTCGGTATCCGTGGCGAGTGAGGCCAGTGTGGATGCGAGTGTTGGTTTGGGAGCGGGGGCTGCTCCGGGTTGGGGTGGTGCTCCGGCTCAGGGTCTTGATGACTTAGTGGTGGGTTTGCTGACGCAGTTATTGGCTCGTTTTCCGCCAGTGGTTCCACAGGGGCTCCGGGAGTACCTCCAGTGGCAGAGGTGCAGCAGAGGGCTGCGGGTTTGTTCAGCCGCAGGCTGTGGGTTTGATGGTGCCGCCTATTTGGATATGATGGGGCACATGCAGAGGATTGGTACGCCGTACTTTGAGGGCGGAGTTAGCCAGAGGCGGCAGATGAGTGGCGTCAGAGATTGGAGCGGAATTTCCAGTCTATCAGATTTTGGTTTAGTACCAGGTTGAGTTGGCAGTCCACTATCTGAGTGGAGATGCACATTTGTGGTGGCGGCCATCGAGGGCATAATGTTGTTGTTTTGCTGTGTGTTGTTCATTTATCTGTGATAGTTTTGGAGGTTCTCAACGCAATTGAATGTGTAGGGACCTTGTTAGTGGGCGGTTTTGAGTCCCACGTTTTATTCGACTCTGGAGCATCGAATTGCTTCATTACACCGGAGCGTGCCGAGAAGAGTGGCATCCGGAGTAGCGCGGGCGAGAGCGCGGGCATGGTCAAGGTGGCGGGAGGTGGATTCTTGTCTACTTTGGGCCGTGCTAGAGGAGTCGAGATCGAGATTGCGGGGCAGTCAATGCCAGCAGACTTAGTCATCAGTCCGGTGGAGCTGTATGACGTTATTCTCGGGATGGACTGGTTGTCACACTACAGAGTTCATCTGGATTGCTACAGAGGTAGAGTGGTCTTCGAGCGAGATGCAGGGAGGTTGGTTTATCAGGGAGTGAGACCGACTTCCGGGAGTATTGTGATATCTGCTATTCAGGCCGAGCAGTTGTTAGAGCGGGGCTGTGAGGCGTATCTGGCGACGATTTCTATGTCTGAGTCAGGAGCTGGAGTTGTTATGGGAGATATTGAGGTTGTCCAGGATTTTGAGGATGTCTTTCAGTCACTGAAGGGATTACCACCATCTCGGTCTGATCCTTTCACGATTGAGTTAGAGCCGGGGACAGCACCGATATCGAAGACGCCTTACAGGATGGCGCCAGCTGAGTTGGCAGAGCTGAAGAAGCAGATAGAGGACCTTTTGTCTAAGGGGTTCATTCGACCGAGTGTTTCACCGTGGGGAGCACCGGTGTTGTTTGTGAAGAAGAAGGATGGGAGTTTCAGACTTTGTATCGATTACAGAGGTCTTAACCGAGTCACTGTGAAGAACAGGTACCCACTCCCGAGGATTGATGAGTTGTTGGATCAGTTGAGGGGTGCTACTTGGTTCTCCAAGATTGACTTGGCATCGGGGTATCATCAGATCCCGATAGATGAGGCAGATGTCAGGAAGACTGCTTTCAGGACGCGTTATGGGCATTTTGAGTTTGTGGTTATGCCTTTCGGTTTGACTAACGCGCCGGCAGCCTTCATGAGATTGATGAACGACGTGTTCAGGGAGTATTTGGACGTGTTTCGTCATCATTTTCATTGATGATATTCTGGTATACTCGAGGAGTCAGGAGGAGCATGCGACTCACTTGAGGTTGGTTCTGGAGAAGCTTCGGGAGCAGAAGCTTTTTGCTAAGTTGAGCAAGTGCAGTTTCTGGCAGCGAGAGATGGGATTTCTTGGCCACATTGTTTCTGCAGAGGGAGTTTCTGTGGATCCGGCTAAGATTGAGGCTATCAGAGATTGGCCTAGACCTAGTAGTGCCACCGAGATCAGGAGTTTTCTGGGTTTGGCAGGATACTACAGGAGGTTCGTCAAGGGGTTTGCTACCATGGCGCAGCCGATGACGAAGTTGACCGGGAAGGATGTCCCGTTTGTTTGGTCAGCTGAGTGTGAGGAGAGCTTTAGTCAGCTCAAGGAGATGTTGACTACTACACCAGTGTTGGCGTTACCCGAGCCAGGGAAGCCTTACATGGTGTATACAGATGCTTCAGGCATTGGTCTTGGTTGTGTGCTGATGCAGGAGGGCAGAGTGATAGCATATGCTTCGAGACAGTGGCAGGGCAGTGAGCGTAACCGTCCTACACATGACTTAGAGTTGGGAGCAGTGATCTTCGCGTTGAAGATTTGGAGGTCTTACTTGCTAGGTGAGACAGTACAGGTCTTCACGGATCACAAGAGTTTGCAGCATATCTTCACTCAGCCGATGATGAACGCGAGACAGACGCGCTGGGTTGAGTTCTTGGCGGACTATCAGGTGAGCATTAACTACCATCCGGGCAAGGCTAACCTAGTGGCGGACGCGTTGAGTAGACGGAGGTATGATTCCGCAGTTGAGCGAGATGTGGAGTCTCTAGTTGGCGAGATCAGTACCTTGCGTTTGTGTGCCATTTCGCAGGAGCCTTTGGGTTTAGAGGCAGTGGATCAGGCGGATCTACTTAGCAGGATCAGAGTTGCTCAGCAGAGTGATCAGAGTTTGCTGGATGCGACTAGAGTGACTGGTTCTGAGTATGAGGTCTCTGCGAATGGGACTATCTTGGTTCGTGGGCGAGTTTGTGTGCCTAAGGATGTGGAGTTGAGACATCAGATTTTGGGAGAGGCTCATGCGAGCAAGTTTTCCATTCATCCAGGAGCGACCAAGATGTACCATGACCTCAAGAGGTACTATCATTGGGTCGGGATGAAGAGGGATGTAGCAGACTGGGTTGCGAAGTGCAACACTTGTGCCTTGGTGAAGGCAGAGCATCAGGTTCCGGGTGGTCTTTTGCAGAGTTTACCCATTCCAGAGTGGAAGTGGGACAGGATTACGATGGATTTCGTGGTTGGACTACCTGTTTCGAGGACTTTCGATGCTATCTGGGTGATTGTGGATCGGTTGACTAAGTCCGCACATTTCTTGGCCATCAAGAAGACAGATGGAGCTGCTGTCTTGGCTAGGAAGTTTGTGCGAGAGATTGTGAGGCTGCATGGAGTGCCAGCTAGTATTGTGTCAGACCGTGATCCCAGATTCACTTCAGAGTTTTGGAGAGCGTTTCAGGCAGAGATGGGCACTAAGGTGCATCTGAGTACAGCTTATCATCCGCAGACAGATGGTCAGTCAGAGAGGACTATTCAGACTTTGGAGGATTTGCTGAGGATGTGTGTGTTGGATTGGGGTGGCCATTGGGCAGATCACCTGAGCTTAGTTGAGTTTGCATACAACAACAGCTTTCAGGCGAGTATTGGCATGGCTCCATTTGAGGCTTTGTATGGGAGGCCATGTAGGACACCCCTATGCTGGACCCAAGTGGGGGAGCGCAGCATGTATGGAGCTACTTATGTTCAGGAGACGACAGAGAAGGTTCGTGTTGTGAGGCTGAACATGAAGGAGGCTCAGGATAGGCAGAAGAGTTATGCAGATAGACGCAGACGAGAGCTTGAGTTTCAGGTGGAGATAGAGTTTATCTCAAGATGGCTATGTTGAGGGGTCCTAACAGATCCATAGCAGAGAACAAGCTGAGTCCGCGTTTTATGGGTCCGTTTCCAGTAGTGGAGCGAGTTGGGCCATTGGCTTACAGGCTGGAGTTGCCTGAGATTATGAAAGCCTTTCACAAGGTTTTTCATGTGTCGATGCTGAGGAAGTGTCTTCACCCTACAGAGGAGTTAGTGGCTAGGATTCCAGAGGATCTTCAGCCAGATTTGACAGTGCCGGCAGTGCCTGTGAGGATTTTAGAGAGGAGGGAAAAGGTTCTGAGGAACAAGAGGATTCCCTTACTGAGGATTTTGTGGGATTGCAGTGGTTCTACAGAGGAGACTTGGGAGCCAGAGGCAAAGATGAAGTTGAAGTTCAGGAAGTGGTTCGACAAGCAGGTCGAGGAGTGAGCTTATTTCATCTTTGTAGCCTCAGTTGTTTTTTTGGCTTTGGTGTTATTGTATTTTCGTTTTCGTTGTAACGATATACATTTTGGAGTTTTAATGAGATGCAGTTTTTCCTCATTTTGCCTTGTGTTGTGAAAGGTATTCGGATGTTACACATGTTTGACCAGTTTTTGGTTGTGAGACGGTCTAATCTTATGGTTATAGACATTTTGGAATTTTTACTCTAAGGATTGCGATCCTGAATAACTCATCATGTTTTTGGAGACTTGGTTCTCTGGCAGACTCATCTGAGTGTAGTAGGCCTCAGTATGAGTGACTTATCTGAGTGTAGTGGCCTCAGTATAAGTGCAAGTGGGCAGTGACGGTTGGATTTGGGTGCAAGTGGGCCTCAGTACAAGTGTGTTTGGTGATGAGTTAAGAGTAAAATGTCTTGGAGACGTGCTTATGACATAAGATTAGATGAGTTTGTCTCGGGGATCAGTGAGGATCTCCGTGTTGCGGCCTTGCGAGGTCGGGTTTTGTGGTCTTTGTGACGTTTGTTGGGATTCGAGGTCGAATCCAGTTTAGTGGGGGAGAGTTGTAACATCCATAAACCAAAAATTGGGAATTTTGTCGGTTCAATTTAAGTGAATTGGTTTGGGTCGGTTTAGTGGAGAAAGCCCTAAAATCAAGTTTAAAGAGTGCAGCCGTCTTCTCTTTGGAGAATTTTCGAGTTCAGGCTGTAGAGGAGAAAAGTGGAGTTTTTGGAGAGATTTTCGAGTTTTACTGTTCATCGGGTACTGTTCATCGGGTTACTGTTCATGGGGGTACTGTTCATCGTCGGGATTTCGCACTGTTCATTGTCTTTCCTTCAGTTTCAATCCATTGTCAAGGTGAGTGCATGACTGTGGGTCCGCGATTTGCTAGATTAGATTTGGTTTGTGGTTGTTCTTGATGAGTTTATGTTTAATTGTTATTTCATGATATTTTGGTTTTTATGTGATGAATTGTGTGTTTGTGTGGTTTAATCTGGTTTAATTGAATTTAATTGATTTGATTCTGGTTTATCTTGGTTCAATTGAATTTAATTGGTTATATTGGTTTAATTGAATTTAATTGGTTTAATGGAATTAAATAGATTTAATTCGGATTTAATTAATTAAATAATATTTATTTAATTAATTGGTTTAAAATAATTATTTTAATTATTTTAAAATATGGAAAATTATTATTTAATTATGAGAATTATTTAATAATTGAGAAATTGAGTTTTAATTATTAAAAATTATTTAATAATTGGAAAATGGTATTTAATAATTATTGGAGTTTAAATATCTAGTAAATTGCGTAAATGGCTCGTAGGCAGAGTGATTGCCTCACTAAGTATTTATTAAATACTTACGCAACTCCATTCCAATGTGTTGCAGGTAAAAGATTTGTGTGATCGCGGAATCAAGGCTGAAGAGGGGGATGATAGGATGTTTACTGTTTTATTGTTTTGCATTATTTTGCTAGACTTGTTTAATTATTATTTGCTTCCGCTGAGCTGATTTATTTGTTATTGATATTTTATTTATTTAATTTTTTTTAAGACCTTCGCTAGAATTGATTAATATTTATAAAAAAAAAATGTTGGTTGTTTCATATATTGTATTTTTTTTACTTGTAAGCACATTATAATATTTTTAAAGAGGATAAATCTTTTGAGTTAAAACCTAACTATATATTATTTAAAGTTAAATATTTCTTTATTTAATCTCCATTTTATATTGCAACTTTTTTTTAACTTTTAACATAAAGATATCACATACTTTATATTAATCAATTAAATTGTTTGTGTATTTTTCTTAGTTTTATTTATGTGTAAAATAAAAATATGTATACAAAAATATTAATACACATATATTAAATACAATTAATGATTTTTTTTGCTGATGTGAATAGTCTAGAAATAGCAACTCTCTTATTATATTTAATTATATTTAAGATATAGATTTAATGCTTCGACAAATTATAGACTGGTGATCATTATGTGGATCAGTGGATCCAAGAGAAAATCTAATATCCATGATGGCTATTAAGCTTTGCCTACAAAGAACACAAAAAAATACATCAACTTTACCTTCATTTCTCCAAAAAAAAAAAATGAAAAAAAATATGTACGTTCAGATATTGAATTAAATGATTAATCTTTCATGTTACAACTAGTTTAAATTAGTAAATAACTTAATGAAACTATTTAGCATATGTTTCTAATATTTCATAATTTTTTCTCGTCGCCTTACAATTGCTATGATTTTTTTTCTTCTGTAAAATAGAAACTATTGTAGTTTAATCTAATTATTAATTTGGGAAATAAATACATAACAGTTCGCTTGATCATGGTCAGTATCTGTAATCTTTAATGGTCAAATTAAAAGTAAGTCACTGACAAAACATTTTAAAAATTAATTAATCGTGATATTTGACATGTTTGACCAGTCAAATGAACTATTAAGCCACAGTCTAAAATAATGGAGACATAAGTGACCAGTGTGTGCGTTATTAACGTACATATTTGTGCATTGATATTCTTGCTTTTGTTTTTGACAACAAACTTGTTTATGTCTAACCTTCCAACAAACTATTTCTTTATATAGAAGTTACGAAATCACATGGTCAGGTCAGCGTTGTGAATCAGTGAGATGCTGTTTTTGGCTTGTTTAAGTTTTGTCAGACATGATCTTGTGGTTAGTTATGAATTTGAATCACATTATGTCCATTGTCCGTACCAAACAAAAATAGATAATACTGTAGAATACTAAATCGTGTTAATGTGTATATGTGTAAGGTGCTAGTTAAAACGGAGTTGATGTATGTGGGGTGTGAGGTTTCACAAACGATTACATTCACACGAGTTTAGATATACTCCAAAATAATTGAACAAGTAGTTGAGTGGTGTATGGATCAAAACGACAATTGAATTCAGGGTGTTTAGGGTTTTGGAAAAGCAGATTTGACATATGTGGAGGATAGGATTACAAAACAAGATTGGGGACAATGTAATGTGGGTTCTTTTTTGCGTAAATCCAGGCTGGTTTGAAGACATAAGTGAAAAAACATGTAGTATATTATTAGACCAAACCTGTCTACTCTTCTTCTCTTTTAAAAATCATTATCATACGGAAACACCCATCTCTCCATCCCTCTTTGCTCCTCCTCTCTAACCCCCACACAATAATATAACTTCATTATTTCAATAAAAAATTATTTTTCGATATTTGAAATTAATAATTGTAGACAACACTAGTTGTAAATGGTGATGAATATATACAAATTGTTTTTAAAAAGATGTAAACAAGATTATGCTATTTCTTTATTCATTAAATTTTTAAGGTTTCATATTTTTTGAAAATGATATTTTGGATATAAAATTTATTTATTTACAAAAGCTAACTAATTTATACGTTGTGTTTATTCAGCATACAAATTCAGGTGTTCCACTATTTTAATATCATTATCATACGCAACATATATATATATATATATATTTTTTTTTTTTTTGTTTATCTCTAGCTCTCCTCTCCGATCTGCACATACAATAATACTTTCTTCATTTGAACAAAAAGAAGTTAGGTTCCAGTATTTGAAACTATTCCTTACAAATTGTAGACATTTTCATCTATTATATATATCCAGTATGTTCATATTGGTTATATAGTTCCTAGAACATTTTCATGTTTTACTGCATTAGTTTTACTAAAAGGCCCGGTTATGCTACGCGAAGTAGGCAAATAGCTAATTAGCTCTATTCGGAATGTTCTCTTTACTGTGTCTTATAAATTTGACTTATTTGTATGATTCTTCTTATTCATTTCGCGGAAATTTAGCTCTAACAAGTTCTTTAAATTATTATATTCCTCCTCCACATTATTTTCTTGTGATTCTGTCCCACTATGGCAATAATATAGGGATCCCTATTTATAAATATTTTACTAGTAGAGTATCCGCACGTTTGTGTGCTGTGACCTTGTGGTTTTATGTAGAAAATTTAAACTCTAAATCTTAACCCGAACAAAATACCCAAATCAAAAATTTTAGAAACTCAAACTTTTTTTAATATGACTAAACCCGAAAATCCGAAATCAAACAAATCCCAAAATTCCTGAACTGAATAAAAAAAATCTGAAATTTTTTTTCACCCGGAACCCGATCCAAATACCCTAATCAAAATTTGAAAATACTTTAACTTTTTTAATATATCTAAACCCGAAAAACCGAAATCCAAAACATCCGGATACCCTAAATTGAAAAAAAAAGAAAAAAATCGAACCCAACCCGAACAGAAATTTTCAAAGAAACCCGAACAATTTATATATCTCTATATCTCTATAGAATTAGGTCTCAGATTTTCACCCAAACCCGAACTTGCCTATAAAAACCTGAAAATCCAAAAAGCATATTTTATTGATTTGTTATTATCGTTAGATTATGTTAAAATAGTCAAAAAAATTAAATAGTCAAACTTTTTTAATATATCTAAACCCGAAAAACTGAAATCCAAAAAATCCGGAAACCCTAAACTGAAAAAGAAAAACTCGAACCCAACCCGAATAGAAAATTTCTAAGAAATCAGAAGAATTTCTATATCTCTATAAAATTTGTCTATAAAAACCCAAATATCCAAAAAAACTAAAAACATATTCTATTGATTTGGTATTATCATTAGATTATGTTAAGTTTTTTTTTGCAGATTTTTAAGAGCTGGAAAATAGATGTTTTCTAAACCATCGGTTTGTTTTAAGTTGTTATTCTTGTATCGAAACAATGTTTTCCATTTATTCTTCTATCCAAATAGTTTTTCTCTTATTCTTGTATTCAAACATTACAATGTACTAAATTGACCTTAATTAAATCTATTGCCAAACACTTTCTTTTATCATTAGATTGTCTTTTTTGTTATAAATTTTTCATGTACTTCTCAATTAATAATATAAAAATTTCAAGCATATTATATTGTAATAAACAGATGCATACATATTACACACTGATATGAAACCAATACCGATAAATTTTCTCGTGCTCCATGTTGGGATCTCTCTCATGTGACGACTTTAAATGAAGATTATATCTCTTAGATGTAGATATGTATTATTGTATTAATATATGTATAATGTATTATGTATATAAACGTACGACATTGGTTCTTCCAACATTAATGGCAGATCTCAAGAAGAGGATTTCGACAATGTATAGATCTTGTGGTGGTAAAATTACATAAGACCTCGAGTTCTATAAGATCTACCCAACCAGAATTTGCCACGTTAGCTATGCATAATTCCCTTCAAAAGCATACGTTATCTAATTTATACAACTCCATTAATCAAAGCATTAACTATAACGTCAACGCTAAGTAAAAAGCCCACATCCCTAAAACTTGTGGATTCTGTATACGTAACCCCCAAAAACATAGTTGCCATTTATTATAATTAAAACGGAAATGGAGAGATATTAATCATTTTAATAGATATCAATAAACATATAGATTTTTCTAATTAATTCTATTACTATCTAATATATTATTTGCAAAGTGAAAATTTCGTTTAAGTCACCACATTGATTCTCAGCTGGTTGATTACCCAGTTACCTTAATGAAAATTCTATTTTTAAAATCTTCATAATTTCTTTTTTTTTTAATTTCACGAATTATATTAGTAAATAAAAATATTTTATGATAATAATTCTAATTACCATATTAGGCACCACAATTTTGGAAGAAATTTAAAAAATTGGAAAGATAAAAAAGGAAAACCTAGGTTTCTCAACCGACTTTGTTATATAAATAGATAGCAACTTGCAAAATCAACACAGTTTACGATTCTTTTTTCTAGACGTATGATAATATTTCGGAGTCCATATTTTCATCTTTTTGTCATGTAGGTTTATTGTTTTTGTTGGATCTTAGTGTTATTAGCTCTAATGATTAACTGATTATTCATTATTTTTCTTTAAATTTTATGCAAAGATTCGGATCTAACTTCTAATTCTTTTACCTTCGTAACAGTAAATTCATGCTTTGTTAACTAATGAAATCAAGAAGATCAAATATGGTACCAACTCAAAACAGTTCTTCCCACGAAATATGTGGTATGTACATCTTTCCTTTTTTAAACAACTTAAATCTCATAAAACCCTAATTCGACTAAGCTTATCTAAAAGGATTTTCAATATTCGTTTAAGATCCATCATATTAGTTTCATATTTCATAGTAAATCGTAAGTGATTATTTTATCAGTTTCATATTTCAAGATGAAAAAACATAAATAAAGAAAAATGAAAAGGAAGCCGAAATTGATAAATAAGATACTGAAAAAAAAAATTGATAATAAAAAATGACAATGAATATAATATGAAATAAGAAGAAAAACCTGAATAATAGTAAGGGAAAGATGAAAGTTGGAAGACAAAGACGAAAAACAAAAAAAAACAAAACAGAAGAAGAAAAGAACTGAAGAATATGTGAACAACAAAGAAGTTGGAAAAATCAAAAGATAAAAAAAACGAAGTTTAAGAACACAAAGCCAAATGAAAAACAAATTGTAAATAAAATGAAGAAAACGAATAAAAACCAGGAAATAAAAAGATGATAATGAAGAGAGAGGAAAATAAAAAGAGAATAGAAAGTTTGGTAAGAATAAGAAAAAATGGTAGAAAATGAAGGAAAAAATTTATGAAAGAAGTAAAAGAAGAAGATAATATGCGGTTGGAGTTTATGATGTACCGTTATAATGTGGGGTTTAAATTTAGGGTGTAGGGTTGCTTTGAGGGGGGGGGGGGGTTGTTACACTATGGGGCTTGGGTTTAGGATGTAGGGTTTATATTGATGGGTGTAGGGTTTAGTTTTTGGTGCATTTTTAAACATTTGAATGGAAGAATATCGTAAATAAAAATCATTGATTATAAAGTTATATCCACCTTTCTAAATTACATTCACAAATAGAAAAATTAACAAATTAAAGCAAATCCATAGTGGAAAGATAACAAAACCATGATAGATTTTTAAAAGATCTCGACTATATAAAGAATTGGAGAAGAATAAAAGAGAACAAAATTAGAAGTGTGAAATCTTTTGTATCTCCCTAAACGAATGAAAAAGAATATTATATAGAAGAACGAGAAAGAGAAAATAAAAATAAGACACATCAAAATTATAGAAATAAGAAGTTAGCGAAAAAAAAAATTAGTATAATCAAAAATTATACTACTTATATTATTAAAATATTTATTTAATTAATTTATTAAAAAATATTATATCTTATGCGGGACAACCACCTTGTTACTATAGAAAGATGCTGACCAAAAACACGGTGACCAATCTATTAGACTATTATTAATAAAATGTTACCGTAATTGGATTAACAAAATGTTAAGTACACCTACCTTTTGAGATTAAATTTTGTTGGATGAAGATCTTTTTTTGGAAAGCACTAATTTCTAGGGAAATTGCAATGAATAGCTATATTGAGAGAAGAATTAAGTGAATGACAATTATTTGGTCATGGCTCTTATATTTTTTATAATAATATCATTATAGCCTTGTGTCTGTAAAAAAAAAGTTATGAGATCTTCTTTTTTTCTTTCGACTTTCTCTATCATGAAACTCCAACTTTTCTACGATCAATTTTCTGGCTTTGATTACAATTATTTCTTTTCGAAGATTTATGGTTCTAAATAAAATTGAGATTAATTATGTCACTGAGATCAATTGGCAATTGTGATTATTTTTCTCATGTTCTTCTTTTTTAATTTTCGATTGGTGCTGCCTTTCCATCGTTGGCACCGGTCTTCGTAACAACACTGCCGACAAAGAATCGACCACAGTATTGACGGTTGCAAAGGGAGGCAAAACCAAAAGTGATCTCCATCCTCTCTTGTACCTCTGTCGCAGTTTTGCCATCGTAAATTATCAGATTCTATACAATTGGATCGTAAATTAGTTTCTAATTTGTATGAAAGATAATATAATGTAATTCATTCGTTTAAAATTCAATTGCATATGGCAAATTCTCTTTCAGAAAGATTGTGAGTTTTATAAATATCGTATCTTTAGATATAATCTCATCATCAAAGTCATTTTCAAATTTACACAAACAAATAGTATAAACAAATCGATACATAGTATAATATAATCAGTTTCTCTATATAAGGACAAAATCGTCAAAAATTATTTCTCTTTGTTATTGATTTAATTTCCAATTTATCATAGCTATATTCTTAATTTTAACTCTCAATATTGTTACTCACCAAATTAACCCATTTTAGGCCTTTTAACAAAAAAAAAAGCACTAATTTCTCTTTGTTAAAGAAATAAAAACACTAATCTTACTTTTTCGAAACCACTAGTTCTGTACAACATTTTAATACAGACGTGGTATGTACCGTATGTTGGGAATGGTATAGTTACAATCTAGTCAAACTAACTCTACTGATCTTTAATGTTTAACAGAAATATAACATTCGTTTATGATTAGACATAAGAAAATTAATTAATTAAAAGTTTAAAACTAAGTGGGACACTATAGAAAAAGTTCCTAACTCGACGGAAAAAAGTTCATAGCCTCATGACGAGCTATTTATATATTAAATGATAATACCAGAATTTTCATTTTTTTTCCATTGATTTTTTTTGCCATGCGTTATCTCCATTGTTTAGTACTAACAAGTATTGCGATTATTATAGAAGCACCATATATAAGCGAAGAGACACTATCACTCTCTCTACTTCTCTCCTCTCTTTCTCTCTGTCTCTGAATCGCCACAGAACTCACAATCAAATACACAAGTTACATACTTAGACCCATTCATCCGAATTTGAATCAGAATCTCTGATCTGCAGAAGCACAAATTATTATTCATGGAGGAGAAGTGGAAGCTGTCCAAGAAAGATACAACAGCTTCTTCTTCTTCTAAGTCAAAGTTCTCTAGAAGCTTCTCAACAAGCGCTTCCTCCACAAAGTCTCCAGTATTCATAAGAAGTTCATCAACTAAATGCTCTGTTCCTTCCTCATCCTCTTCCTCATCTTCTTCATCTTTAATCTCCAGAAGCTTCTCAAGAAAAGAGAGAAGATCCTCTTCCTCTTCTTCATCTTCTTCTTCTATCACTCAGAAATACAGCAGCTTGGCTAAAGAACAGAAGGCAAGGTTTTACATCATGAGAAGGTGTGTGGCTATGCTTGTTTGTTGGCATAAACATGGAGATTCTTAATTTAGATCTTTTTTTTTGGTTCCTTGTAATTAGATCAGTTTGATTTTTGATGGTTTCCATACAAGTACATTGTAAGAAGAGATTTTGATTTAAACAAAATTAGGGTTTCTATAGTCATTTTTGCAAGTACATATAACTTGCATATGCTACACATACACAATCATAGACATGTGTGTATGTATCACTGATGCAAGTATTTACATTTCAGTAGGAATTATTGATGTCTTTGTTTTAGTATTAGAAAAGAAAATTAGAATCCATCTGGCGGATTGGTTATAGGAAGTACAGCGTTTTTGTTAGGATTACACTGAATAGTCATTTTCAAGGTCTCTGGAAAAAGAGTTGAAACAATTTAACAAACTCAATCTTCTTCAATTAAAAAAAAAAAAGAATATGACTCCTAATTAAAACCAGTTGATTCAAGATACAGATCATCTGGTCAAAGATCTAAAGATTCTTTTAATTTAATATTTGATTATGAAACGATAATTGATGATGATAAGAATATTATCAATGTAATGCTATGATGGTGTAGATCTTGCAAACACCAATAATGTCCTGGAACTCTACTCACATTTTGTTTTTTCTTAGCTTTATTATATTATTATTTTATTCCTTTTTGCATTTTATGGCAGTATTTGGTGGCAGTATTTTTTCTGTTTGCTTTCTGGGTTTTTTTTGTCTCTTTGATGGAAGAAAGATTCCCTCTTTGGCAAATGAAAATTCGCTAGTATCAATATACTTCCACATTTTTATTAAAAACTTATGATGAAATTACTTTATATATGTATAAACAGTTACGTACTTAGAAGTCGGCATTATTGAGATAAGATGAAATCTATCTTTTCACTTTATTAGGGAAGAAAGTTTTTGGAATATTGTATTAGGGAATCCAATGAAAAGTTGTCAACGACTCCATTCTTTTATCATTATCATAAGTTCATAACCATAATAGATAATGTAAATAGATCACCAGCGTTACAGAATTGTGCTAAATGCTAATGCCTCTTTTCGTTGAATACAAAAGTTATTTAGTTTGCGTTAAAATAAGGAATTATTAACACGAACAAAGCTCTTGAGTTCACTCATCTTCTTACAAGAAAGAGAAAGAAAAAAAAAAAAGCAAGAAAAAATCTCAGACTTCTCAAATGATGATTCAAAACACAAAAACACTAAAGAGGAGAAAATAAGGGAAAAGAAACACAAATTGCACAGTTTAAGGAAATATCATTCCAAGAAAGGGAAGAAAATTGATGTGGCATTGGCAGAGGCGTTGGATCGGTCAGAGTCAACATTTAGGGAAATCTGAAGGTGGAGGAAGGATCATCTGATTTGGAAGGTCTCCATCCAAAACAACCCAAGCCATCGACAGACCCCAACTCAAATGAATCTCGATGTGGCAATGCATTAGCCACACACCTGTCACCATCAAACATTTTAATTTAAAAATGTCACATATAGTTGGAGAATTATATTAGTCATTATAAAGTTAATACGATGTCTAGTTACTTGCAGTGTCTTGTTAATTGTTACGTTACTATCTAATATAATATGAAGAAAATGAAAAAAAAAATCAGTAAACCATTACCAGGGTTATCGGCAAGGAAGCGGATTGCAACCCAACCACCGGAGGGAACATTGATGGTGTTTCGTTCGACCGGGTCGACTAAGTTATATTGTTTTGGATCACGGGTCGGGTCAAAATTGCCAAAGCCTTGACCCACCACGTAAAAGTTGAAGCCATGAAGATGAACAGGATGTGCCTCAATACCCAAAATGCTAGTGCCTTGCAAGACCAGTTCAACAGTTGTGTTGTACTTCAAGACCACGAGCTTGGTCCCTTTTGACACATTTGTGTTGTTTGGTGGCAAGCCCGTGTAATTAAATGGGAAAACAGGAGCACTTGGGAAATCCGTCGAGAAGACTCTCTTGGACATGCCAGAGAAGTAAGCTTGTAATAGAGATGTCTTGTTTGGTAAGATGAAAGACACATTGTTGATAGATGCTGCGAATTTCGTGGTATTTGTTGGTCCTTGGCATGTTTGGTTTTTAGGGCAAGGGTTGGTTCCTAAACCAACGGTAAAGAAAAACTTCTTATCAACGGTTTTTGGCACGTTTGCTGGAAACCTAGAATTTGCCAAACTTCTAAACATTTTGGTGAAATTTGCGGCGTAGCTTGTACTATTGATGGGAGGGAGAGATGGTTTGATGATAGGAAGATTTTTTGAAGAGTTAAAATGATTTGACGTCGGTTTAAGCTGGTATTTGAGAATTCCGGCGACGGTTGTGTTATCGATGACTCCCTGGCCGGTGAAGTAAGTTCTTGCAAGCATGTAGAAGGTTGCATTTGGGTTGATAGGTTTGGTTTTGAGTAGTACGTTGGTGGTTTGGCCCGGACCGAGAAGCACAATGTTGGTTTGGAATGGTTTAACGTAGCTAGCGTCAGCTTCGACCACCGTCAATGTGTGATTGGCTATGGTGAAGAAGAGTTCATCATCGAGTGCAGCATTGATCAGTCGTAGTAGATATGTCTTTCCAGGTTTCACCGTTAACTTGTATGTATCTAAAAAAAGTGTTACAAAACTAATATCAAGATCTTGTTTTGGACGTAACTTGAAGATATTTGATCATTTACCTTTTGTGGAGCAATTGTACAATGGGCCTGGAAGTCCGTTAAAAGTATGAGCATCAGATGCATTTGGGCCTCCACCCGTTTGAAGAGCTTGTTGTAGCACGGTTTGAGGATCAGCATTAAACCATTCACCTATACAAGTATCAATTGTTGAATCCCTTGAACACAACAACACTATTTTTTGGTGCTCAAAATGTAAAAGTAATTATGGGTACGAAAGATTAATCACCAAAGATAATAGGGACTTGTTTGTATGGTTTAGGAAAAGGATAAGGTTGGTGGAGTTTAGGGAGAATGATCAAGGGTCCATACACGGTGGCTCTCATCCATTGAATGTGAGCATGCCACCACAATGTTCCTCTTTGTCCGGTCACCATGAAGTTGTAAACATAACTTTGTCTGGTCTGAATTGGACATTGTGTCACATACGATGGTCCATCCGCCCACCCGCTCCGTAGCTGTCTTATCCCATGCCTACATTTAAATATATATTCATCATCAAGGCTCAAGCACTGTTGTAAAAAAAATTTATCACTACAAGACTAAAAGCAATTAGTGTTTTACCAGTGTATGGAAATGTTATTGGATACGTGATTCACAACTTTGATCTGTAGATTATCTCCTTCTCTTGCAGTAACCTTAGGACCTGGGAATTTTCCGTTGACCGTCACGATTGATTTTGTCTTGCACAACCTTGTAATGTTTTTTAGTTGAATCTGCCAGAGGAAAATTAAGATTAGTGATTGAAAAATTGTATCGAACAGGAAATAAAAGAACAACTAGATAAATTAACAATATAAATTTGGACTAGTTTATAGTTACATCAAACTTGTAGCGCCGTGTGATTCCTGCGGATGCTGCATCGATACTGAGAGTAATGGCAATGAGAAATCCCACAAGAAGATAATGCAAACACGTAGCCATGTATAATGATTACTTGAATTGAAGCAAAAATATTTTTTTATTGTTATTGTTATTGTTATTGTTTTTTGGTGAAGCTCGTAAGTAGTGTATTAAAAAGAAAAGGAGAGTGTGGATTTTATATCAGGGAGAGAGGTGAATGGTAGGGTTAATGGTTGGTAACAAAAGTAAACAAGAAAAATAGATTTAAGGATATTTAGGATAAGTGATGAATGTTGTTCAAGAAAAAAAAAAAAAACATGATGAATTTAGTGTTGATGTAAAAGTTGGTCCAATTGTCGGACGAACCGAGTGAATTCGAAGTTAACTAATTGTGTGCTTTAACTATGATGATTATAGCTCTACATACAATCCTCTGTACCAACAAAAATGATTGCAATAACATTTTAGATTCAATTTTTAAGTTTAAAATTAGAGATATCAATAAGTTTATCATTTTCACTTTACCGGATATAAAAACTTAAAAATATATGATATACAGTACTTTATTCTAATCAATCTGGACAATGAAGAGTATTGTTCCGAATGAGATGATACGATGTGTTCAGATTTTAAGACATTGCTCAAGTTGATACAATTGCTCTTACGAAACATATTTTGGTTATTTTTTATCTTTGTAGTTTAAACTTTCAGTCCACTTTTCTAAAATTTATTCTTGTTACTTCTTAGTTAAAGTTTTCTATATAGACTTACCAACCATGCTTTATGTTAATCTAATTGTGAGGTTAACAAAAAGAACAGAAAAAAGATAATGACTAGAGTAATTAATTATAGCAAACAAGGATGATAAGTACATGGGACGTTGCACGTTGGTTGTTTGAAAACATATGTTCCAACAAAAAGAGAGTATTGAGTGGATCTAAGCTTAACGAGGATCTTCACAGTCTCCTGAAAGACTCTCTTTCTTTGACACTTCAACCAATTCATCAATTCCTTTCAAGCAACATAAGACAACGATCGTTAGATTCAGCTTCACTTGGCCTTATATTTTACTTTTATCGGTCTCATCTACTTTTTTTCTTGATATTTGGTAACTAGAATTAAGATGTTGCATCCGCTGTTTAATTTTGGTAAAATTAGTCACTACATTTTCTATTATCTCATTTGACAATATGTAATCATGAATTTTAATTAGGAATGTTTTAACTGTAAGTTAAGGTTGGTGTCTTGCTCATAACAAGTATAAAGTAAAGAATGAATAAGGTGTTTGATTCCTTAAAATATCTAACTAATTAATTGTGGCGGTAAACTGGCGGCAAGGAAAAGAGTTTCTTGCAAACTCACCTTCGGGTAAACAAATGAATTACTTGTACATAGTTGCTAAGAAAAATGACTTGGGACTACGTCTATGTTTTATTACGAGCACAAATGTATAAAGGAGACGCCAAATTGTTAAAAGACTAAAAAGAGTTACGGTTCTTTCAACGTACACCCTCGAAACCACGTCCATTAACGAATCATAATCTGAAAGAAAATGCATCATTTGAAATCCAGCAGTAAAAAAAGTATGGCCTTCTTTATTCACTTTTTCCCCCTAAACAGTCAAAAGTTTATGCCCCCATTTTTCTGGAACGCCTTTGTGTTACTCTCCGAAGACTTAATTTCGACGCTCCAATGTCAAATCAATACTTTAACCATGAGACTTGGTCGAAAACAAGAACCCAATAGATTGACAGTGAATAAAACAAAAGCTTTTTCAACATCAAGATTTAAAAGGTGGTTTGCAATGTACTCCAATGGGTTTTCATGTCATTTTCAACAACAACAACAACAAAAACATGGTAAACTGTTGGATTTCTTACAAAGATACTGTCCAGTAGTGCTTTATCTTGAGCTAGTTGAATAATCTGAGCCTAGTTTTAAGCAAGAGGGTTGCACAAACAAGTGACTAACTAAGGGAAAGAAAATAAAAGACTGGAATTAAAATTAAATAAAATTGGATCATAAGGGTTCAACATAGGAAGCAATTAGCAAGATCAAAGCATGACTCTACGTCATGGCTACTAAATAATCAAATAACCAAACCATTTTCGTAATACTTCTCGACATGCTAATGACCTAATTTGCTATTCTCAATTGCAAAATTTATTAATTAAAAGCATTAAGCAATAAGCACACAATTCACTTTACTTCAATCTTCATTGGCTAGCTAAGGAGAAATTCTTTCATAAAAGTTGGGCACATCTTCGATCCTATCTATTGGTTCCAAGTCTTGTTCCAACTTCAAGATAACCTGAAACAGAATTATAACACTACATACTAACCTTAGACTTTCTAAAACATACAAGGACTACTCACTTGTACACTAAAGCATCTAAAGAAAAACTCATAACTCAAACAAAAGAATCACAAGTGCAAGCAGAAATAAACGGAATACATCAATAACTACAAAATTCCTGTCTTTTCATGACCAGTTTGTCTACGTAATTAAACTACTAAATTCTAAATATACTCATTGTACTTGGAATTAAAAAGTTCGTTGGGCCTTAAATCTATTCAAAAGTCACAAAGTGGGATGAAAAAAGAAACACATTTCAAAGCCCATTTATGAAACTGAGTTTAACCTAACAATATTTTCACTTTGCCCCGTCTAAGACCAACACCGATTCGGCGATTCATACGCCGACTCGAAGACTTCGGTAAGCAAATCATGACCAAGCACGATCTCAGAACAAAGATACCTTTCTTAATTTATTCGCATTAATCCCATATACTAACCGTTATACATATTTTTTACCGGAATAGTTACCATTAAATGATACATTTAAATGGAGAGATGTTTGACTAGTGACCAAAGTATAGTCTCCCATTTGGGAAATAAATACTTTTTTTTTTAATAAAGTACATAAATATCGAAATGGTTGTTGGTAACAAAGTTAAAAAGAAAGACTAGATTGTTTCTATTTTCTGAAAACTCACAATGTTACTACCATTTTCAGTTTTTGATTTTTATTTCAAAGTTCATAACAAAGCATTTAATAACGAACTACTATTACAGAGCGAACATGCCAATCCAATGAATTTGTCTTTCAGAGTAGCACCCTTTTTGTTTTTGTTTTTCTGTTTTTGGTGAATCAATCTGAATAATATCAAATAACATGAAAACAGAAATAGTCTGATTAACCACTTATATCTAGTCAGAAGAAAATTCAGGTATACCCAAATAGCTTAAATTTAATAATTTGAAAACGGTTCGTTATAATATAATTCATATATTCTCTAAGTAGACAAATCAATACAAATAAATACTTTTTTTTTTTAATTAGGAGATCTTAGAGAGTACAATTTGAATATATGTTATTAAAGAAAATTAACATTTGTGAATATCTAGTGTATATCGCGAAATAGGTAAAATTGCCTATTTCAAATTATGTGAAGAACTAAGGTATGATTTGTATAAATATATAAAAAATCTTCAAGAGATCGTCTCATCTTTTGAAGTGTTGTACTTTGATAAAGCTGTGTCCTTAAAAGACTTAAACCCAAACTGAAACACAAGAACAGAAGATCTCGGAACAGCTTCAAACGTGTGAAGTCTGAGATTCCCCAGCTCTGGAACACGAGGACAATAAGTTCAGTTTCTTATTATTATTTTTTAATTAATTATTTTTTTCTTTCATTCTTCATTGTGCAATCGCTAGGTTAGATCAACCCTGATAATGATTCTTCTTCACTGTAATTTTTATTTTTAATTTCACAAAAACCCTAAGGGTTCTTTCATCGCCGTCTGATTTTTTTTTTTACAACAACTCTGTATAAAAGCCAATTTCTCCTTAAAGCTTCAATTTTTTTCTGTTTCTCAGTCTGGTCGTTGTTAAGGATTATTTTTGTTTGTTCTCTAAATTCAAACAACAGTAACACATGGAGGTATGAGATTGATGAAAAATAAACAATCATCCAATGGATATTTGATTAGCGTTTAAAGTTTTGATCTTTGTGTTAGTTTCTAACAGAGAATTTTGGGAATTATAATATACAGATATTATAATTTTGAAGAGAAAGGTGTGATCTTTGGGATTTTGCATAATTGATTTTTGATTTTTCTTTTTGGTTGTTGTTGTTTAGGTCATGATGATACCGGAACTAGGAAGAAGACAACAACCGATGCTCAGAGGTAACGAAGATTCATCCTTTGGTGATGATTACGAGAAAGAGATTGGAGCTTTGCTCGGAGAGCAGCAGCGACGTCAAGAAGAAGCTGATGAGCTTGAGAGAGAGCTTAACTTGTACAGAAGCGGCTCTGCTCCACCGACCGTGGACGGCTCTTTCACAGCCACCGGAGGGCGTTTCACCGGCGGAGGTGGGGCTCCTTTTATGGAGTTTGGTGGAGTCAACAAGGGAAACGGGTTTGGGTTGGATGATGATGAGTTTAGGAAAGATCCAGCTTACTTGTCTTATTACTATGCTAATATGAAGTTGAATCCGAGGTTGCCTCCTCCATTGATGTCTAGGGAGGATATGAGAGTTGCTCAGAGGGTTAGAGGGAGTAGCACCGTGTTAGGCGGTATTGGGGATCGGAGGAAAGTGAATGAGAGTCGGTCTTTGTTCTCTCTGCCTCCTGGTTTTGAGCCTGAGAAGCCTAATGCTTCTTCCTCTGAGTGGGATGTTACTGGACTTATTGGTCTTGGAGGCAAACAGAAGAGTTTTGCTGATATCTTTCAGGTCAGGCTAAAACCTCTTCTTTATCATCATTAAGCTTCATCAATGTGTTAATGTTTATTCTGTCTGATGAAACCAACTTCACTCTGTATGTGTTGTGTAAATTTTCTTGAATAGTCTCGTTTATGTAATCTTGATGGAATTCTTCTTTGCAGGCTGACATGGGGCATGAATCACGTCCTGCAAGTCGTAATGCCTCTGATGAAAACGTAGAGTCTCCATCTGCATCACAGGGCATTGGTGCACCATCTCAATACAGCTACGCAGCTGTGCTTGGCTCTTCTTTATCAAGAACCGGGACTCCAGATGCACAGGGCATTGCCAGGGTGCCTAGTCCCTGCCTTACTCCCATTGGGAGTGGAAGAGCGAGTGCAAATGATAACAAGAGGAACTCAAGTAACCAGAGCCCGTTCAACTCTGTTACATCTGGTCTCAACAACGAGTCCTCTGATCTTGCTGCTGCTTTATCTGGCATGAACCTGTCAGGCAACGGAGGTTTAGATGTCGATGTCGAAAAGGTCAACAACTATATGTTTGGACTGCATAACGAAGTTAATCATCATGGGTTCCAAAACAAATCTGATCTTGCCCATAAGGCAGCCGGTTCTTATAGGACTTCACAGCTGAGAGGGCCTGCTTATGATAATGGAGGTGGACCACATGGTCCTTACCAACATTACCCTTTAAATCCAGCTGTAGCTTCTATGATGGCTAGCCAGCTTGGGAATAGTAACTACTCTCCAATGTATGATAATGTTTCTGCTATGGGATTTTCTGGATCTGACTCTCGACTTCATGGTCCAAACCACTCTGAGCTACGCAATCTTGGGAGGCTGAATAATAGAATGATGGGAGGAAGTGGTGGCCTTCAGCCACATATGGCCGACCCAATGTATCATCCATATGCTGGCTCGCTTGATCTTCTTAGTGATCCTCTAATGGACAGGGGCTTCATGGGTAATAATAATGCATATCTGAATATGCTGGAGCTTCAGAGGGCTTATCTCGGAGCTCAAAAGTCACACTTTGGCGGTCCTTACAAACCCGGGAGCCCTAACAGCCATAGCTATTATGGGAGTCCAACGTTTGGGTCTAACATGTCATATCCTGGCAGCCCTTTGGCACATCATGTCATGCAAAACCCTCTCATGGCACCTTGTAGCCCTATGAGACGAGGTGAAGTTAATATGAGGTATCCCTCTGCAGCAAGGAACTATCCGGGAGGGGTAATGGGTTCTTGGCCCATGGATGGTAGTTTGGCTGAAGGCTTTGGATCTTCATTGCTTGAAGAGTTCAAAAGTAACAAAACAAGAGGATTCGAACTTTCTGAGATAACTGGTCATGTCGTAGAATTCAGGTATTTTCTTGAACGTCTATACCTTTATTCTTTGTGTAACCATTTGTCACAAGCTAATGCGTGTTTTGGGATTATTTCTTGTAATGCCTGACCAGTGCGGATCAAAATGGGAGCCGGTTTATTCAGCAGAAGCTCGAGACGGCAACAACTGATGAGAAGAACATGGTTTATGAGGAGATCATGCCAGAAGCTCTTACCCTGATAACTGATGTTTTTGGAAACTATGTTATTCAGAAGGTACGAGATTTAATAGTTCATTGCCTTTCCCTTTTCATTAGTTCTTAAATCTTTCTTTAACTGTCAAAGTTGTCAACTGACAGAATATACAGTATTTCGTTTTTCAGACTCTTTCTTATGTTTATGCATGCCTACCATAGGCTATACCGTTGTAAATTTCTTTCTTATGACTATATTCTACCTTTGTAAATATATTGTCAGTTCTTTGAGTATGGACTCCCTGCACAGAAGAGAGAATTGGCAGAGAAGCTCTTCGGCAACGTTTTGGCTCTTAGCTTACAGACGTATGGTTGTCGTGTCATCCAAAAGGTAAAGTCTAATCCTCACTTTTTTTTTCTACAAGTCTGTCTTCCATTCTCAGTACAGATGCAGTTTCTTTATGGTTCTGTTACTTTACCTTGTTTTAGGCGATTGAGGTGGTTGATGTAGACCAGAAAATCAAGATGGTGAAAGAACTTGATGGACATGTGATGCGATGCGTACGCGATCAAAATGGGAACCATGTGGTTCAGAAGTGCATTGAGTGTGTGTCTGAAGAAAACATTGAATTCGTTATTTCGAGTTTCTTTGGACAAGTTGTGACCCTTTCTACTCATCCATATGGGTGCCGTGTTATTCAGGTTCTTGCTCTCTACTAACAAAGTTGAAACCCTTATTTAGTAATAAAGATGGTAGTTTCCTTGGCCTTGTGCTTCTATGTAAAACTCTCTTTGTCTCCCATTGCAGAGGGTTTTGGAGCACTGCCATGACCCAGTTACACAGAGTAAGGTTATGGAAGAAATCCTGTCCACTGTTAGTATGCTGGCTCAAGATCAGTATGGAAACTATGTTGTCCAGGTTTGTGGAGAAGATTTGAGTCTTTCTACAACTGGTGATTTTATATTCTTTTGCTTAAAACGGATACACGTTTTGTTGGACAGCATGTGCTGGAGCATGGAAAGCCTGATGAGCGTAGTGTGATAATCAAGGAATTAGCTGGGAAGATTGTTCTGATGAGCCAGCAGAAGTTTGCATCAAACGTGGTTGAGAAATGTTTGACTTTTGGAGGGACAGAGGAACGAGAGCTGCTCGTGAATGAGATGCTGGGCACAACTGATGAAAACGAGCCTCTTCAGGTTTGTCAAACACATCTTCCAAAGTATATTGTTGGGAAGATTAAGAAAGCAATAAGCTCATATGCTTCTTCTTCTTCTTGGCCTTGTGTTTATAGGCTATGATGAAGGATCAGTTTGCAAACTATGTAGTGCAGAAAGTGTTGGAGACATGCGATGACCAACAGCGTGAGCATATTCTTAACCGTATCAAAGTGCATCTCAATGCTCTAAAGAAGTACACTTACGGAAAGCACATCGTTGCCCGTGTTGAAAAACTCGTTGCTGCTGGAGGTATGTTTGTGTTTCCTCTTCACTCTTATGTATCCAAAGTCTACAAAGCCTGAAACTTTTTGTAATATGCAGAGAGGAGAATGGGAATGCAGTCCCTGAACCTGCCTCAGGTGGCGTAAGGCCGCAAGCGTTGTACAGCGTAACTAGGGTGGATGGCTCTGCCAAAGCGTTTTGAGGAATTGGGTAAGATCTAAACCGGAAATAATATTGCGGGAAATTGTGAAAGAGAGAGAGAGCTTTGTATGGTCTTCCGCATAATCTGTACATTGTGTAGTTTCTTACCGTGTTTTTTACGATACATAGAACAAAACATCCCCCTTAGGCTGATGATAAGAAAAGGCAGAGAGAATGGTGTAAAGCAAAATGTTGAGGATTTTTAGGGTTTTCTTCACATGTACAAAACGAATGGCTCGCATATGCCAAATGTGTATGCTTTTAGGTCAATCCCAGTTTTAGGATTTCATCATCAGACTCTTGTGTTTCATATTTCACGAGATTTTGTTTTTATCTCTTTTTGGAGTTTCCTGCTTTTGTTGATGATGTTGGTCCAGTTGCTTGTTATGCAAGAAACATACATACGGTTTAGTAACAATGACAAAACAAAATCGTTCTGTCGCCTAAGCAATAAATCGTTCTTCTACTCGCTCCAATGTAGAGAATCTTTGACCAGTGTAATACATGGAGTATTCAAATCTCTCTAAGTTCTTGAAGGACAAGAATACCACAATACTGTCCGAGAAAACAACAATTCTAATAACTCAAGCAGTTAATGGAGTTACAGAATCTAACTCAATGTTTGCGATGTGGCATCGACAAGATAAGCTCACGTTTATGGTTTTTTATTTCAGCCATTTGTAACACAAACGACTATGTGAGGAACTCAAGAAAGTTTGAATCTTTTTTCAACTTTTTAGCGGAAACTCTCGCAATAACTCACGACTGTTTGGTCTCTAGCTCGTGTGTTTAAAAAGAACTTGAAAAGTATATGACACAAGAAAGAGACTTTAACGAGTAAACGTTACAAAACGGAAAACGCCAAGTCTCACCGAGATTCACTCAGAAAATCCGCTATAAGGCATGTGACTTCCTAAGGACTTGATTGGTTATATTATCTGAGACCTTCTTTGTCCGTTAGAGACTCTTTACACTAACTCGTTTACTCTCCTTACAAAATGTTTTTTACTTGTGCCACAAATGGAGAAGCTTTTGTTCTGTTTGTTGTTTATCTCCTTGAGACAATTTTGAGAGAGTAACAAAAGGTTTTGAATGTTTGATACAAAGAGATCCAATAAAAAAAAATTACACACTATCGACAAAAAGTTGCGCCGACTTAGCTGCGCCGCCAACCACTATTAATTTTGTCGTCTTATACATACTACCAATAATATATTTTTCATCTATTAAACTTTTAGATGGTAAAAAAAAAGCCCGTTACAACTTTAACCGGAGCGTATCATTAAGTGCGCTGACTTGTCATTAGCTGTGTGACTTATCATTAGATGCGCCGCCAAACACTATTAGTTTTGTCGCCTTATACATATTATCGACAATATATTTTCATCGATTAAATTTTCAAAGTAAAAAAAACCGTTACAACTTTAATCGGAACATATCATTAATTGCGCCGACTTATCATTACATGTGCCGACTTATCATTACCTAAGCCGCCAAACACTATTAGTTTTGTCGTCTTATACATATTATTGACAATATATTTTCATCGATTAAATTTTCAAAGTAAAAAAAAACCTTTACAACTTTAATCGGAACATATCATTAATTGCGCCGACTTATTATTACCTGTGCCGACTTATCATTACCTACGCCGCCAAACACTATTATTTTTGTCGCCTTATACATATTATCGACAATATATTTTTCATCTATTAAATTTCCAAATTGTTAAAAAATTAACCATTACAACTTTAACTGGAAAACATATAATTGATTGCGCCGACTTATAATTATATGTGCCGACTTATCATTAGTTCCGCCGTCAAACACTATTAGTTTTTTCGCCTTATACATATTACCAATAAATTTTCATCTATTAAATTTTCAAATGGTAATAAAAAACCGTTACAACTTTAAGTGGAACATATTATTAATTGCGCCGACTTATCATTAGCTGCGCCGCTAAACACTATTAGTTTTGTCGCCTTATACATATTATCGACGAAATGTTTTCATCTATTAAATTTTCAAATGGTAATAAAAAACCGTTACAACTTTAACTGGAACTTATCATTGATTGCGCCGACTTATGATTACATGCGTCAATTTATCATTAGTTGCACTGCTAAACACTATTAATTTCATCGCCTTGTACACATTATCGATAATATATTTTTCATCTTTTTAAATGGTAAAAAAAAGTCGTTACAATCTCAACTGAAACATATCATTAGTTGTGCCGATTTATCATTATCTGCGCCCACTTATCATCAGTTGCGCCACCATTGTTAAGTTTGGTTTTGTCTCTTCAACAAAACTTTTTGAAATGGATACAAAACAGAAAACACATTTTCGGACTCTCAAGAACACTCGACGACCTGCAATAATTAATGTAGAATACAATGCTTTGATTCAGAATTTGTACACACTCCAAACCGAATCTCAGTATAGTTAATTGTCGATAGATCAACTGAAGGTGCATTTCATTAGGAAAAGGTGTTGATTAATGTCCGGAAATTGACTAGTTCGAGACACTCACTCATGTTTTAAAACAAAAAGAAACCATCAATTTTCATTTTTTTGTTTCTAATAATGCTTTTTTCGTTCCTTTATTTATGCAAATGAGATACGCTAATAAATAATTCGCAGTAAATTTTTTTCTTCTTTTTTAATTTCCACAATTAAAATACCAAAAGAAACCCTAAGGTTCTTGCATCGCCGTCGAAATAATTCCGTCAACACTATAAAACCCGTTTTCCCCATTGAGCTCAATTTCGCTATCTCTCTCATCTTGTCGTTGTTAGGGTTCTTTTTCTACTAAAAAAAAAAACACAACAACAGTAACATGAATAATCAATCATCGGCAGATACTGGGAAATGGATTTGAGTAGCGCTTAAAGTTTTGATCTTTGGGTTAAGTTCTAATAGAGAATTTTGCTGATTGTATATACAGAGGTATAAAGGTGTGATCTTTAGGATTTGGGGGGCTTTTTATTTGTTAGGTCAGAATGATGCCGGAGCTAGGAAGAAGGCCGATGCTTAGAGGTAACGAAGATTCGTCTTTTGGGGATGATTACGAGAAGGAGATTGGAGCTTTGCTCGGAGAGCAGCAGCTACGCCACGGAGAAGCTGATGAGCTTGAGAGAGAGCTTAACTTGTACAGAAGCGGCTCTGCTCCGCCGACTGTGGACGGTTCCATGAGTGCCGCCGGAGGGATTTTCAGCGGCGGAGGTGGAGGTGGGGCTCCTTTTATGGAGTTTGGTGGGGCCAATAACGGAAATGGGTTTGGGTTGGACGATGATGAGTTTAGGAAAGATCCAGCTTACTTGTCTTATTACTTTGCTAATATGAAGCTGAATCCGAGGTTGCCTCCTCCATTGATGTCTAGAGAGGATATGAGAGTTGCTCAGAGGGTTAGAGGGAGTAGCACCGTGTTGGGTGGTATTGGGGATCGGAGGAAAGTGAATGAGAGTCGGTCTTTGTTCTCTATGCCGCCTGGTTTTGAACAGAATCCGATGAAGCAGCAGCAGCAGCACGAGTTCGAGCCTGAGCAAACTAATGCTTCTTCTTCTGAGTGGGATGCTAATGGTCTTATTGGTTTGCCTGATTTGGGTCTTGGAGGCAAGCAGAAGAGTTTTGCTGATATCTTTCAGGTTGGTGAAACCTCTTCTTACTATTTACACTTCATCAATGCTTAGATACCTTGTTATTGTTTATTCTGTCTGATGATTTCCTTCTTATTGAATGTTTCTCGCTATATGGTGTTTGCTTTAAAAGTCTGTGGCTTTTAGTTTTTGCTTTATTGAATGTTATTGGCTTCATGTTATGCAAGCAGCTTCCTCTTGAGATTTGCTATTCAACTAGTTTGTTGCTCTGCTTGGATACTTTGTTAATGTCTTCCTTGTCTGATGATTGTTTCTTTAAAAGTTACTTATGCAAGCATATGTCTGTGTTATTGTGATACTGTTAATAGGCATAAACTGTGATCTACATAATACTATGGATGTGTTGTGTATATTTCTCCTGAATATTATCATTTATGAAAACCTGATGCATCGCTTCTGTGCAGGCTGACATGGGGCATCCCGTTGCACAGCAGCCTTCACGTCCTGCAAGTCGTAATGCCTTTGATGAAAATGTTGACTCCGCTAAAAACCTGTCTCCATCTGCATCTCAAGCAATTGGTGCGCCTTCTTCTTACAGCTACGCAGCTGTTCTTGGTTCTTCGTTGTCTAGATCCGGTACTCCAGATGCACATGCCATTGCCAGGGTGCCTAGTCCCTGCCTTACTCCCATTGGAAGTGGGAGAGTAAGTTCAAATGATAAGAGGAACACAAGTAATCAAAGCCCATTCAACGGTGTTACATCTGGTCTCAACGAGTCTTCTGACCTTGCCGCTGCTTTATCTAGCATGAACCTGTCAGGCACTGACCGGTTAGATGAACAGGATCTTGAAAATGTCAGGATGTTTGGACTGCAAGTTGGGCATAACGAAGTCAATCATTACGGGTTCCCAAACAAATCTGATCATGCACATAAGGCAACTGGTTCATACAGGAACTCACAATTAAGAGGGCCTGCATATAATAATGGTGGAGGTGGACTACCTGGTCCGTACCAGCATCTTGATAACCCAAACTATTACCCTTTAAATCCATCTGTAGCTTCTATGATGGCTAGCCAGCTTGGGAATAGTAACTACTCTCCAATGTATGATGATGTTTCTGCGGCATCCGCTTTAGGCTTTTCTGGAATGGACTCCAGACTTCATGGGGGTGGTTTTTCTGGTCAAAATCTCTCTGAATCACGTAATCTTGGGAGGAACGGTAATCGAATGATGGGAGGAGGTGCAGGCCTTCAGTCACATATGGCAGACCCAATGTATCATCAGTATGCTGACTCGCTTGATCTTCTTAATGATCCTCTAATGGACAGGAGCTTTATGGGTAATAATAATGGATATCTGAATATGCTTGAGCTTCAGAGGGCATATCTCGGAGCTCAGAAATCACAGTATTGCGTGCCTTACAAATCCGGGAGCCCTAACAGCCATAGCTATTATGGGAGTCCAACGTTTGGGTCTAATATGTCATATCCTGGTAGCCCTTTGGCTCATCATGTCATGCAAAACCCTCTCATGGCACCTTGTAGCCCTATGAGACGAGGTGAAGTTAATATGCGATATCCCTCTGCAACAAGGAACTATCCGGGAATGGGTTATATGGATAGTCATGGTAGTTTGGATGAAGGCTTTGGATCTTCACTGCTTGAAGAGTTTAAGAGTAACAAGACAAGAGGATTCGAACTTTCTGAGATAGCTAGTCATGTTGTAGAGTTCAGGTATTTTCTTGAATTTTTTTACCGTTATTCTTGTCTACAATTTGTCCCAAGCTAACACGTATTTTGGGCTTGTTCTGAAATGCCTGACCAGTGCGGATCAATATGGGAGCCGGTTTATTCAGCAGAAGCTCGAGACAGCAACAACTGATGAGAAAAACATGGTCTATGAGGAGATCATGCCGGAAGCCCTTGCCCTGATGACTGATGTTTTTGGAAACTATGTTATTCAGAAGGTACGAGATGTTATTTCTTCTGGAGTTGAGATATTTTAACATGAAAAGTTTCTAAATTTGATAGTCATCCCACAGTTCTTTGAGCATGGACTCCCGGCGCAAAGGAGAGAATTAGCTGAGAAGCTCTTTAACAATGTGTTGCCTCTTAGCTTACAGATGTATGGCTGTCGAGTCATCCAAAAGGTAAAGTCTACTTCTCACCTGTTACTGTTCTCTATAAGTCTATCTTTCATTCTCAGTACAGATACAGTTTCTTGTTGCCTTATGGTTCTGTTACTCTTTAGGCAATTGAGGTGGTTGATCTAGACCAGAAGATTAAGATGGTGAAAGAACTTGATGGACATGTGATGCGATGCGTACGCGATCAGAATGGGAACCATGTGGTCCAGAAGTGCATCGAGTGTGTGCCTGAAGAAAACATCGAATTCATTATTTCGACTTTCTTCGGTCAAGTTGTGACTCTCTCCACTCACCCATATGGGTGCCGTGTTATTCAGGTTCTTGCTCTTAGTAATAAAAATGAAACCTTTCTTGACCTTATTGTTTTATTTATGTATAGCCTTTTTTCATCTCCCATTGCAGAGGGTATTGGAGCACTGCCATGACCCGGATACGCAGAGTAAGGTTATGGAAGAAATCCTCTCCACTGTTAGTATGCTGGCTCAAGATCAGTATGGAAACTATGTTGTTCAGGTTTGTAAAAGAATTGAGGTTTTTTCTGCAGCTAGTGGTTATATATAGTTATCTGAAACTAATACAAGTTTTGCTGACAGCATGTACTGGAGCATGGAAAGCCTGATGAGCGTACTGTGATCATTAAGGAGTTAGCCGGGAAGATTGTTCAGATGAGTCAACAAAAGTTTGCATCAAACGTTGTTGAGAAATGTTTGACTTTTGGAGGTCAAGAGGAACGGGAGTTGCTTGTGAATGAGATGCTGGGCACAACTGATGAAAACGAGCCTCTTCAGGTTAGTCAAACGCATACGTTCATATCATCGTCAGGAATAATAAAGATATCAATAAGCTCATATGCTTCTTCTTCTTCTTCTTCTTGTGTATATAGGCGATGATGAAGGATCAGTTTGCAAACTATGTAGTGCAGAAAGTTCTGGAGACATGTGATGACCAACGCCGTGAGCTGATCCTTACTCGTATCAAAGTGCATCTTAATGCGTTGAAGAAGTACACTTATGGGAAGCATATCGTTGCACGTGTTGAAAAACTTGTTGCTGCTGGAGGTATGTTTGTGTTTCTTCCCTCTATGTATCCACCAAAGTTTCAGCCTTTATCTGCTACAAAGCATGAAACTTTTTTTTTGTTATATGCAGAGAGGAGGATGGGTATGCAGTCGCTAAACCAGCCTCAGGTGGCGTAAGGCCGCAGGTGTTGTACAGCCTAACTAGGGAGGATGGATCTGCCATTGCGTTTTGAGGATTAGGTAAGATCTAAATGGGAAATAATCTGCGGGGAATTGTGAAAGAGAGCTTTGTTTTCTCTGCAAAAATGTGTAAAATTGTGTAGTTTCTTACGGTTTTTCTATACATAGAACCAAACATCCCTACTTAGGCTGATGAGTGAGTGAGAAAAGGCAGAGAATGGTGTAAAGTTGGGTTGTGAAATGGTAAGGATTTTAGGGTTTCCTTCACACAACGAGAATGGCTGTGTTAATTGCCAAATGTGTAGAAGAGAGAATGTTGATGCTTTTAGGACAATCCCAGTTTTTAGAGTTTTTTTCCACCCTTTCTATGTAATTTGTTTCATCAAACTGTTTCGTTTATGAAAATTTGCCGTCTTCTTTCTTTGTTTATATTGGTTCACTTGCTTGTTACGCAAGAAAGATTTGTTTAGTTATGACAATCGCAGTCTTACAAAACCAAGATGAGGTTTTTCTTGTCTCTCTCTAACAATGGAAAAAAATCATTCAAGATCAATGTCGTCATCTTCAATCTTTTGACCGAAACCTCTCGGTCCAGCTCTGGCTCGCGTTGCCTTCTTCTTCCCACTCTTCTTAGACTTCTTTGCTGCCTCTTCTTTCTCAAACTTCTCTCTCTCCCTCTTCCCTAGAAACTCAGTCACTGCGATGTACACAACCTGCAAGCATTTTACCAAGTCAGGAACTTAAAACCGGTTAAGAGAGACTCGTAAACCGGGTTCCAGGTTAGGTTCGGTTTTTGATAAAAGCTAAACCAGAGAAGAGAACCAAATTAACATTGTAAGATTTTGACAAAGGATAAGATTTTGGTTTGTAGATAAAAGAACTTACACCAATGGTGAGAACACTGAGAGCAAGAAAAGCGATAATGAGAAGCACTTGTATAATCAAAGCAACACCATCTTGACCACCAGTAGATACAATAGCTTCTGAAGAAGAAGAAGTATCAGAAGAAACGATCGCCTGGGAAATTTCGTCCGGAGTTGCAGAGAGACTCCATAGTTGTTTTTTTTCCTGGTGGAGAAGAAGAATCCTAGGAGCTTGTTGTCTGTCAAAAGACAAGATCTTTCTCCTTGAAACAGACCAAGAGAGTGGAGATAAATGGTGGGTTTTGGTTGGATTTCGGAATCTTGGTCTGAAATTCGAAAGAGATAGAGATGGTGTTGTTGTCGCAGACATCGTTCGTCCACTCTCTATCTTCTTCAGATCGTGGACATAAGTCACATAACCCACATCGGTTTATTTTCTTGAAATTGGAAACAGAAGTAAAGAGATTAGATATGTCTAATAAAGCCCATGTGGGTTATGTTGGGCTTTATGATGTATATTTTTAGAGAAAAACAAATTATGGATAAAAACATATATCAATTGATTCAATTCAGATTTTAAAAGCCTAAGAAAGAAGATAACTTTGTTGGAAGGAAGTCAATGAAAATCTATGGAACGAAAGAAAACTAATCGGTCTTGGCGACTAAAAAATGCACTTAGAGTGTACTATGGATAAGGACTAAGGACTAAGGACTAAGGACTATAATCATAAAGAAGTTTACCTAATCTACATCTTTAGCATGGAAAATAATTATAATCAAAAATAATATAACCAATTCACTCTCGGTCATAGATATAAATCATATATAATAATGTCATAATCCCCATCATCTGGATTGTCGAGGATGTATTTATCGCAGGAACGATGTAAATTGTCAAATTTAGTCCAAAATCAGTGATCAGTGCAAGGTGTAAGATTCATGTCAAGTACATGTTTTGCAAGTATTGGATTCCTAAATGCGCAGCATGGAAGATACTGAAGTATTTCGGTTTTATGATGTATATTTGAAGATAAAAAACAAATTATGGATAAAAACATACATCAATTCAGATTTCAAAAGCCTAGAAAGAAAGAACATAACTTTGTTGGAAGGAAGTTAATGAAAATTAATCGGTCTTTGACGACTGAAAAATGCACTTACAATGTAGTATGGATAAGGACTATAATCATAAAGAAGTTTGGCTAATCTACATTTTTAGCATGGAAAATAATTATAACCAAAAAATAATTATAATTCATTCATTCTCGATCATAGATATAAATCATATAATGGTGTCATAATCCTCATGACGGTGAGTCCCGAGCTCGACGTTCTAATTAACTTGGATATCTTATAAGCATTTGTGTAGTTAAGAAAATGACGCCCTTCCATTTTTATCAACCATTGTCCCTTTTTTTCTTCACACTAATCCAGTCTTGATCCGAGTTCTCCTTCGTTCGTTTAAGTACCATGTTGATTGACAGATTTTGACTATACCACATGAATGCATCACGTCTCTGAAAGACAAACTTGATCTCTTAGGTCAGAGCTGGCCCGAAATTAGTGTAAGCCTAAAGCAATTTTCAGAACTATATGGCATTTTCCATATATTTATTAAATAATTTAACATATTAATAATAAAAAAAATTGAAGAAATCCAATATTAGAGAAATAATAAACATTTTACCAATGAGCGGATATTTTGCTATGTTGTGTTAAAAGTTTGATATATATATTTTCTGGCCTAAATGTTATTGGCCCTTATCTCCGGTGTTCGACGTCCATTGGCCATATGTCTTCCAAGACTCCCGCAAGATATCACCTTGTTAATATTGTATGTTCACAGCCAAAACATTTGGATTTGACATTTTTGCAGAATTTTGAACTATGTGAGCGAGAATTGTTTAGATTAAGTTTTTTTTTCCTTGCTGTCTTGAAGCTTATATTGTACTGGAATCAATGATTATTATACTTTTACGCTAATCATAAAAGTTCAAAACAAAACTCTAGGAATCTTTTAGATTTAAATTAAAAGTTAAAACCCAAGTTTTTGATTTAAGTGAAATCAATTATCAAACCTTTAATGTGCTTTTTCATGTTAAATTAACTATCTGAAACGAAATGCATTGTTATAATAACTAGCAAATGACGTCATTTTGAATGTTGAATACAAGTATGTGTGACCAAAATCTAAAGAAAATAAAATTTACTATCGCAATTGAAGTAATATTTTTTTATGAATTCTCTCTTTGGATTTTCAAGAAGAAGATAAAACATTGTATATAATCTTTGCTTCGACTTGGGAAAAAGGCAAACAAATGATAATGGGGATTTGTAGGCGAAATCGAATCTATTTCTACATACAAAATACAAGATTTATGGTATATGTGAGCTCTATTTTCTCGTTTAGAATTTTGGGGGTTTATATGTTATGGACTTCATGTGGTTAGTTTTGTTTTTGTTTTTGTTTTTGTTTTATAGTTTGATTTATGAATAGATTTGTCAATGTGAAAAGATTAGATGATTAAATTTTGGATTTTAAATTTGACTTGTAATCATTGGGATATCTAGGGGTGGGCACAATTCCCGTCCCGTCCTGTCCCGTCTCGTCCCATTCCCAATCCCGAATTCCCGTACCATATGAATTATTCCCATATGGGATGTGTAGCTGATTCCCATTTGGGAATGGGACGGGACGGGACAAAAACGGGAATTCCCGAAATCCCATTTGGGACAAATTATATATCACTTACATATATTAATAATAGTATTATACATAATTAGATATATATTATATAGCTTAGATTCTAATAATTTGTAAATATGGTTTCATAATTCAAAAGATTCAAAAGTATTAAGCATTATCTTTATGATTATTAATTTTGAGATTTGAATTTTATGATTCATTTTGAGGTTTGAATTTTATTATTATTAATTTATCATGTTTTATTATTTTTGGGAATTCCCATTCCGTTCCCGTCCCGTCTCGTCCCGTTCCCGTCCCGTCCCAAAATTTAAATGGGACACATATGGGACAACTATTTTGATTCCCATATTCTCGTCCCATTCCCGTTCCCGAAAAGTCCCGTCCCAATTTCCCGTTTGCCCACCCCTAGGGATATCCAATGTTCAGGAACAATCGTTTTGTTTCCCGGTTAGAGAGACGATTTCCCGTTTGCCCACCCCTAGGGATATCCAATGTTCAGGAACAATTGTTTTGTTTCCCGGTTAGAGAGACGAGAAGCAACTGGACCAATATTTGCCCTGTTATTGTTATCTATATCATGCGTTTCTTGCATAAGAAGCAACTGGACCAATATAACAAAACTGAAAATAACAGAAACGAAATAAGCTCTCGTGAAACACTACAACTCTAAAAAAATCATAGCATTCTACACATTTGGCAAGAGAGCCATTCTCTTTGTACATGCGAAGGAAACTCTAAAATCCTCACCATTTTTCTTTACACCATTCTNTAACACAAGTAATCAAAGCCCATTCAACGGTGTTACATCTGGTCTCAACGAGTCTTCTGACCTTGCCGCTGCTTTATCTAGCATGAACCTGTCAGGCACTGACCGGTTAGATGAACAGGATCTTGAAAATGTCAGGATGTTTGGACTGCAAGTTGGGCATAACGAAGTCAATCATTACGGGTTCCCAAACAAATCTGATCATGCACATAAGGCAACTGGTTCATACAGGAACTCACAATTAAGAGGGCCTGCATATAATAATGGTGGAGGTGGACTACCTGGTCCGTACCAGCATCTTGATAACCCAAACTATTACCCTTTAAATCCATCTGTAGCTTCTATGATGGCTAGCCAGCTTGGGAATAGTAACTACTCTCCAATGTATGATGATGTTTCTGCGGCATCCGCTTTAGGCTTTTCTGGAATGGACTCCAGACTTCATGGGGGTGGTTTTTCTGGTCAAAATCTCTCTGAATCACGTAATCTTGGGAGGAACGGTAATCGAATGATGGGAGGAGGTGCAGGCCTTCAGTCACATATGGCAGACCCAATGTATCATCAGTATGCTGACTCGCTTGATCTTCTTAATGATCCTCTAATGGACAGGAGCTTTATGGGTAATAATAATGGATATCTGAATATGCTTGAGCTTCAGAGGGCATATCTCGGAGCTCAGAAATCACAGTATTGCGTGCCTTACAAATCCGGGAGCCCTAACAGCCATAGCTATTATGGGAGTCCAACGTTTGGGTCTAATATGTCATATCCTGGTAGCCCTTTGGCTCATCATGTCATGCAAAACCCTCTCATGGCACCTTGTAGCCCTATGAGACGAGGTGAAGTTAATATGCGATATCCCTCTGCAACAAGGAACTATCCGGGAATGGGTTATATGGATAGTCATGGTAGTTTGGATGAAGGCTTTGGATCTTCACTGCTTGAAGAGTTTAAGAGTAACAAGACAAGAGGATTCGAACTTTCTGAGATAGCTAGTCATGTTGTAGAGTTCAGGTATTTTCTTGAATTTTTTTACCGTTATTCTTGTCTACAATTTGTCCCAAGCTAACACGTATTTTGGGCTTGTTCTGAAATGCCTGACCAGTGCGGATCAATATGGGAGCCGGTTTATTCAGCAGAAGCTCGAGACAGCAACAACTGATGAGAAAAACATGGTCTATGAGGAGATCATGCCGGAAGCCCTTGCCCTGATGACTGATGTTTTTGGAAACTATGTTATTCAGAAGGTACGAGATGTTATTTCTTCTGGAGTTGAGATATTTTAACATGAAAAGTTTCTAAATTTGATAGTCATCCCACAGTTCTTTGAGCATGGACTCCCGGCGCAAAGGAGAGAATTAGCTGAGAAGCTCTTTAACAATGTGTTGCCTCTTAGCTTACAGATGTATGGCTGTCGAGTCATCCAAAAGGTAAAGTCTACTTCTCACCTGTTACTGTTCTCTATAAGTCTATCTTTCATTCTCAGTACAGATACAGTTTCTTGTTGCCTTATGGTTCTGTTACTCTTTAGGCAATTGAGGTGGTTGATCTAGACCAGAAGATTAAGATGGTGAAAGAACTTGATGGACATGTGATGCGATGCGTACGCGATCAGAATGGGAACCATGTGGTCCAGAAGTGCATCGAGTGTGTGCCTGAAGAAAACATCGAATTCATTATTTCGACTTTCTTCGGTCAAGTTGTGACTCTCTCCACTCACCCATATGGGTGCCGTGTTATTCAGGTTCTTGCTCTTAGTAATAAAAATGAAACCTTTCTTGACCTTATTGTTTTATTTATGTATAGCCTTTTTTCATCTCCCATTGCAGAGGGTATTGGAGCACTGCCATGACCCGGATACGCAGAGTAAGGTTATGGAAGAAATCCTCTCCACTGTTAGTATGCTGGCTCAAGATCAGTATGGAAACTATGTTGTTCAGGTTTGTAAAAGAATTGAGGTTTTTTCTGCAGCTAGTGGTTATATATAGTTATCTGAAACTAATACAAGTTTTGCTGACAGCATGTACTGGAGCATGGAAAGCCTGATGAGCGTACTGTGATCATTAAGGAGTTAGCCGGGAAGATTGTTCAGATGAGTCAACAAAAGTTTGCATCAAACGTTGTTGAGAAATGTTTGACTTTTGGAGGTCAAGAGGAACGGGAGTTGCTTGTGAATGAGATGCTGGGCACAACTGATGAAAACGAGCCTCTTCAGGTTAGTCAAACGCATACGTTCATATCATCGTCAGGAATAATAAAGATATCAATAAGCTCATATGCTTCTTCTTCTTCTTCTTCTTGTGTATATAGGCGATGATGAAGGATCAGTTTGCAAACTATGTAGTGCAGAAAGTTCTGGAGACATGTGATGACCAACGCCGTGAGCTGATCCTTACTCGTATCAAAGTGCATCTTAATGCGTTGAAGAAGTACACTTATGGGAAGCATATCGTTGCACGTGTTGAAAAACTTGTTGCTGCTGGAGGTATGTTTGTGTTTCTTCCCTCTATGTATCCACCAAAGTTTCAGCCTTTATCTGCTACAAAGCATGAAACTTTTTTTTTGTTATATGCAGAGAGGAGGATGGGTATGCAGTCGCTAAACCAGCCTCAGGTGGCGTAAGGCCGCAGGTGTTGTACAGCCTAACTAGGGAGGATGGATCTGCCATTGCGTTTTGAGGATTAGGTAAGATCTAAATGGGAAATAATCTGCGGGGAATTGTGAAAGAGAGCTTTGTTTTCTCTGCAAAAATGTGTAAAATTGTGTAGTTTCTTACGGTTTTTCTATACATAGAACCAAACATCCCTACTTAGGCTGATGAGTGAGTGAGAAAAGGCAGAGAATGGTGTAAAGTTGGGTTGTGAAATGGTAAGGATTTTAGGGTTTCCTTCACACAACGAGAATGGCTGTGTTAATTGCCAAATGTGTAGAAGAGAGAATGTTGATGCTTTTAGGACAATCCCAGTTTTTAGAGTTTTTTTCCACCCTTTCTATGTAATTTGTTTCATCAAACTGTTTCGTTTATGAAAATTTGCCGTCTTCTTTCTTTGTTTATATTGGTTCACTTGCTTGTTACGCAAGAAAGATTTGTTTAGTTATGACAATCGCAGTCTTACAAAACCAAGATGAGGTTTTTCTTGTCTCTCTCTAACAATGGAAAAAAATCATTCAAGATCAATGTCGTCATCTTCAATCTTTTGACCGAAACCTCTCGGTCCAGCTCTGGCTCGCGTTGCCTTCTTCTTCCCACTCTTCTTAGACTTCTTTGCTGCCTCTTCTTTCTCAAACTTCTCTCTCTCCCTCTTCCCTAGAAACTCAGTCACTGCGATGTACACAACCTGCAAGCATTTTACCAAGTCAGGAACTTAAAACCGGTTAAGAGAGACTCGTAAACCGGGTTCCAGGTTAGGTTCGGTTTTTGATAAAAGCTAAACCAGAGAAGAGAACCAAATTAACATTGTAAGATTTTGACAAAGGATAAGATTTTGGTTTGTAGATAAAAGAACTTACACCAATGGTGAGAACACTGAGAGCAAGAAAAGCGATAATGAGAAGCACTTGTATAATCAAAGCAACACCATCTTGACCACCAGTAGATACAATAGCTTCTGAAGAAGAAGAAGTATCAGAAGAAACGATCGCCTGGGAAATTTCGTCCGGAGTTGCAGAGAGACTCCATAGTTGTTTTTTTTCCTGGTGGAGAAGAAGAATCCTAGGAGCTTGTTGTCTGTCAAAAGACAAGATCTTTCTCCTTGAAACAGACCAAGAGAGTGGAGATAAATGGTGGGTTTTGGTTGGATTTCGGAATCTTGGTCTGAAATTCGAAAGAGATAGAGATGGTGTTGTTGTCGCAGACATCGTTCGTCCACTCTCTATCTTCTTCAGATCGTGGACATAAGTCACATAACCCACATCGGTTTATTTTCTTGAAATTGGAAACAGAAGTAAAGAGATTAGATATGTCTAATAAAGCCCATGTGGGTTATGTTGGGCTTTATGATGTATATTTTTAGAGAAAAACAAATTATGGATAAAAACATATATCAATTGATTCAATTCAGATTTTAAAAGCCTAAGAAAGAAGATAACTTTGTTGGAAGGAAGTCAATGAAAATCTATGGAACGAAAGAAAACTAATCGGTCTTGGCGACTAAAAAATGCACTTAGAGTGTACTATGGATAAGGACTAAGGACTAAGGACTAAGGACTATAATCATAAAGAAGTTTACCTAATCTACATCTTTAGCATGGAAAATAATTATAATCAAAAATAATATAACCAATTCACTCTCGGTCATAGATATAAATCATATATAATAATGTCATAATCCCCATCATCTGGATTGTCGAGGATGTATTTATCGCAGGAACGATGTAAATTGTCAAATTTAGTCCAAAATCAGTGATCAGTGCAAGGTGTAAGATTCATGTCAAGTACATGTTTTGCAAGTATTGGATTCCTAAATGCGCAGCATGGAAGATACTGAAGTATTTCGGTTTTATGATGTATATTTGAAGATAAAAAACAAATTATGGATAAAAACATACATCAATTCAGATTTCAAAAGCCTAGAAAGAAAGAACATAACTTTGTTGGAAGGAAGTTAATGAAAATTAATCGGTCTTTGACGACTGAAAAATGCACTTACAATGTAGTATGGATAAGGACTATAATCATAAAGAAGTTTGGCTAATCTACATTTTTAGCATGGAAAATAATTATAACCAAAAAATAATTATAATTCATTCATTCTCGATCATAGATATAAATCATATAATGGTGTCATAATCCTCATGACGGTGAGTCCCGAGCTCGACGTTCTAATTAACTTGGATATCTTATAAGCATTTGTGTAGTTAAGAAAATGACGCCCTTCCATTTTTATCAACCATTGTCCCTTTTTTTCTTCACACTAATCCAGTCTTGATCCGAGTTCTCCTTCGTTCGTTTAAGTACCATGTTGATTGACAGATTTTGACTATACCACATGAATGCATCACGTCTCTGAAAGACAAACTTGATCTCTTAGGTCAGAGCTGGCCCGAAATTAGTGTAAGCCTAAAGCAATTTTCAGAACTATATGGCATTTTCCATATATTTATTAAATAATTTAACATATTAATAATAAAAAAAATTGAAGAAATCCAATATTAGAGAAATAATAAACATTTTACCAATGAGCGGATATTTTGCTATGTTGTGTTAAAAGTTTGATATATATATTTTCTGGCCTAAATGTTATTGGCCCTTATCTCCGGTGTTCGACGTCCATTGGCCATATGTCTTCCAAGACTCCCGCAAGATATCACCTTGTTAATATTGTATGTTCACAGCCAAAACATTTGGATTTGACATTTTTGCAGAATTTTGAACTATGTGAGCGAGAATTGTTTAGATTAAGTTTTTTTTTCCTTGCTGTCTTGAAGCTTATATTGTACTGGAATCAATGATTATTATACTTTTACGCTAATCATAAAAGTTCAAAACAAAACTCTAGGAATCTTTTAGATTTAAATTAAAAGTTAAAACCCAAGTTTTTGATTTAAGTGAAATCAATTATCAAACCTTTAATGTGCTTTTTCATGTTAAATTAACTATCTGAAACGAAATGCATTGTTATAATAACTAGCAAATGACGTCATTTTGAATGTTGAATACAAGTATGTGTGACCAAAATCTAAAGAAAATAAAATTTACTATCGCAATTGAAGTAATATTTTTTTATGAATTCTCTCTTTGGATTTTCAAGAAGAAGATAAAACATTGTATATAATCTTTGCTTCGACTTGGGAAAAAGGCAAACAAATGATAATGGGGATTTGTAGGCGAAATCGAATCTATTTCTACATACAAAATACAAGATTTATGGTATATGTGAGCTCTATTTTCTCGTTTAGAATTTTGGGGGTTTATATGTTATGGACTTCATGTGGTTAGTTTTGTTTTTGTTTTTGTTTTTGTTTTATAGTTTGATTTATGAATAGATTTGTCAATGTGAAAAGATTAGATGATTAAATTTTGGATTTTAAATTTGACTTGTAATCATTGGGATATCTAGGGGTGGGCACAATTCCCGTCCCGTCTCGTCCAGTCCCATTCCCGATCCCCAATTCCTTTACCATATATTCTCATATGGGATGTGTAGCTGATTCCCATATGGGAATGGGACGGGACGGGACAAAAACGGGAATTCCCGAAATCCCATTTGGGACAAATTATATATCACTTACATATATTAATAATAGTATTATACATAATTAGATATATATTATATAGCTTAGATTCTAATAATTTGTAAATATGGTTTCATAATTCAAAAGATTCAAAAGTATTAAGCATTATCTTTATGATTATTAATTTTGAGATTTGAATTTTATGATTGCATTTCGAGGTTTGAATTTTATTATTATTAATTTATCATGTTTTATTATTTTTGAAAATTCCCATTCCGTTCCCATCCCGTCTCGTCCCGTTCTTGTCCAGTCCCAAAATTTTAATAGGACACATATATATGATTCCCATATTCTCGTCCCATTCCCGTTCCCGCAAAGTCCCGTCCCAATTTCCCGTTTGCCCACCCCTAGGGATATCCAATGTTCAGGAACAATCGTTTTGTTTCCCGGTTAGAGAGACGATTTCCCGTTTGCCCACCCCTAGGGATATCCAATGTTCAGGAACAATTGTTTTGTTTCCCGGTTAGAGAGACGAGAAGCAACTGGACCAATATTTGCCCTGTTATTGTTATCTATATCATGCGTTTCTTGCATAAGAAGCAACTGGACCAATATAACAAAACTGAAAATAACAGAAACGAAATAAGCTCTCGTGAAACACTACAACTCTAAAAAAATCATAGCATTCTACACATTTGGCAAGAGAGCCATTCTCTTTGTACATGCGAAGGAAACTCTAAAATCCTCACCATTTTTCTTTACACCATTCTCTCTGCCTTTTGTTCACTCACTCATCAGCCTAAGGAGGGATGTTTCGTTCTATTTATAGTAAAAACGGCAAGAAACTACACAATGTACACAGAGTTTGCGGAAGATCAAACAAAGCTCTCTCTCTCACAATTTCCCGCAGATTATTTCCGGTTTTAGATCTTACCTAATCCTCAAAACGCTTTTGGCAGAGCTATCCAACCCTAGTTAAGCTGTACAACACTTGCAGCTTTACGCCACCTGAAGCAGGTTTAGGGACTGCATACCCATTCTCCTCTCTGCATTCACCACAAGAACCACAGATAAGAGATAATTTGAGGTGCTATGAGGCTTTTTAGCAGATAAAGGATGAAACTTTGGAAGGAACATGTATGCACCTCCAGCAGCAACGAGTTTTTCAACACGGGCAACGATGTGCTTTCCGTAAGTGTACTTCTTAAGAGCATTGAGATGCACTTTGATACGGTTAAGAATATGCTCACGCTGTTGGTCATCGCATGTCTCCAACACTTTCTGCACTACATAGTTTGCAAACTGATCCTTCATCATAGCCTATAAACATAAGACCAAAAAGAAGAAGAAGCATGTGAGCTTGTTGCTTTCTTTATTTTCCCAACAATATACTTTGGAAGATGTGTTTGACAAACCTGAAGAGGCTCGTTTTCATCAGTTGTGCCCAGCATCTCATTCACGAGCAGCTCTCGTTCCTCTGTCCCTCCAAAAGTCAAACATTTCTCAACCACGTTTGATGCAAACTTCTGCTGGCTCATCAGAACAATCTTCCCAGCTAATTCCTTGATTATCACAGTACGCTCATCAGGTTTTCCATGCTCCAGTACATGCTGTCCAAAGAAACGTGTATCAGTTTTGACCTTTTTAGCAAAGAATACAAAATCAGCAGTTGCCGAGAAACTTAATCTTATCTACAAACCTGAATAACATAGTTTCCATACTGATCTTGGGCTAGCATACTAACAGTGGACATGATTTCTTCCATAACCTTACTCTGAGTATCCGGGTCATGGCAGTGCTCCAATACCCTCTGCAACAGAGAGACGAAGAGAGTTTTACATAGAAGCATAAGGCCAAGAATGGTTCCAATCTTTCTTACTAAATAAGGTCAAGAAAGGTTTCATGTATGTTAGTGAGAGCAAGAACCTGAATAACACGGCAACCATATGGGTGAGTGGAGAGGGTCACAACTTGACCAAAGAAAGTCGAAATAACGAATTCAATGTTTTCTTCAGGCACACATTCAATGCACTTCTGAACAACATGGTTCCCATTCTGATCGCGTACGCATCGCATCACATGTCCATCAAGTTCTTTCACCATCTTGATTTTCTGATCTACATCAACCACCTCAATCGCCTAAAAGGTAAAAACAGAAAATCACGAAACTTGAACTGTTCTTGAGAATGAAAGAGAGGCTTTTACATAGATGAGTAACAAAGTTGGGAATTAGACTTTACCTTTTGGATGACACGACAACCATACATCTGTAGGCTAAGAGCTAACACATTGTCAAAGAGCTTCTCAGCTAATTCTCTCCTCTGTGTCGGGAGCCCATGCTCAAAAAACTGTAGGATGATTACCAAATTTAGGAATTTTTATGTTGAAATGTCTCAACACCAGAAGAAGATTAGATCTCGTACCTTCTGAATAACATAGTTTCCAAAAACATCAGTCATTAGGGCAAGAGCTTGTGGCATGATCTCTTCATAAACCATGGTTTTCTCATCAGTTGTAGCTGTCTCCAGTTTCTGCTGAATAAACCGGCTCCCATATTGATCCGCACTGGTCAGGCAATTAAGAAAATTCTTTTTTTACGATTAAATTAAGGTATATTCAGATTAGATTAAGAAAAATACGCATTAGCTTGGGAGAAATGGTACACAAGAATAAAGGTATAGGCTTTCAAGGAAATACCTGAAATCTACAACATGGCCAGCTATTTCAGAAAGTTCGAAACCTCTTGTTTTGTTATTTTTGAACTCTTCAAGCAATGAAGTTCCAAAGCCTTCATCTAAACTACCATCCATGGGCCAAGAACCCATTACCCCTCCCGGATAGTTCCTTGTTGCAGAGGGATATCTCATATTAACTTCACCTCGTCTCATAGGGCTACAAGGTGCTATGAGAGGGTTTTGCATGACATGATGCGCCAAAGGGCTGCCAGGATATGACATATTAGACCCAAATGTTGGACTCCCATAATAGCTATGGCTGTTAGGGCTCCTGGGTTTGTAAGGAACGCCATACTGTGATTTCTGAGCTCCGAGATAAGCCCTCTGAAGTTCTAGTACATTCATGTATGCATTATTATCCAGAAAGCTCCTGCCCATTGCAGGATCATTAAGAAGATCAAGCGTATCAGCATACTGATGATACATCGGGTCTCCCATATGTGGCTGAAGGCCTGCACCTCCTCCCATCATTCGATTATTCAGCCTCCCAAGATTGCGTAGCTCAGAGTGGTTTGGACCAGAAGATACAAAACCTCCTCCATGAAGTCTAGAGTCCACGCCAGAAAATCCCATAGCAGAAGCATCATCATACATTGGAGAGTAGTTACTATTCCCAAGCTGGCTAGCCATCATAGAAGCTACAGATGGATTTAAAGGGTAATAGTTTGGGTTATCAAGATGCTGGTAAGGACCAGGTAGTCCAACTCCACCATTATATGTAGGCCCTTGTGACCCTCTTAACTGTGAATTCCTATAAGAACCAGTTGGCTTATTGGCATGATCAGATTTGTTTGGGAACCCGTAATGATTGACTTCGTTATGCCCAGCTTGCAGTCCAAACATCCTGACCTTTTCAAGATCCTGCTCAGCTTGAAGCCGTTCATCTAACCGGTCACTGCCTGACAGGTTCATGCTAGATAAAGCAGCGGCAAGGTCAGAAGACTCGTTGAGACCGTTGAAGGGGCTTTGATTACTTGTGTTCCTCTTATCATTTGAACTCACTCGCCCACTCCCAATGGGAGTAAGGCAAGGACTAGGCACCCTGGCAATGCTCTGCGCATCTGGAGTTCCGGTTCTAGACAAGGAAGAACCAAGAACAGCTGCGTAGCTATATGGAGAAGTCGCATCAATGGCTTGTGATACAGATGGAGACAGATTATTCGTGTTGCCGGCATTCTCATCAAAGGCATTACGACTTGCCGGACGTGAGGGCTGATGTGCAACGGGATTCCCATGCCCCATGTCAGCCTGCATAGAAGCAATGCATCAAGTTCATATAAACGAATATATTCAGGAGAAATATATTCAACCCAATACAGAGAGATCATCAGACAGAAAACATGAACAGAGTACATAATAAATAACTGAAAGAGTAAGCTAGTTGGATAGCAAAACTTCAGAGGAAGTGCTTGCGCAACGTGAAACATTCAATTAGGCAAACACCATACAGCTAAAGACATGTTTGCATATCTTTCAAGGCAAACACCGTAAAGCCAACATTCCATAAGAAAAAGGCAATCATCCGACAGGATAAACATTAACATCCCACTCAGAAAAATGTATATATTTTCTTAAAGTAAGAGGATTTGACCAACCTGAAAGATATCAGCAAAGCTCTTCTGTTTGCCTCCAAGATCCAAACCAATAAGACCATTAGCATCCCACTCAGAAGAAGAAGCATTAGTTTGCTCAGGCTCCAACTCGTGCTGCTGCTGCTGCTTTATCTGATTCTGTTCAAAACCAGGAGGCATAGAGAACAAAGACCTACTCTCGTTCACTTTCCTCCGATCCCCAATACCGCCTAACACGGTGCTACTCCCTCTAACCCTCTGAGCAACTCTCATATCCTCTCTAGACATCAATGGCGGCGGCAACCTCGGATTCAACTTCATATTAGCATAGTAATAAGACAAGTAAGCTGGATCTTTCCTAAACTCATCATCGTCTAGGCCAAACCCATTTCCCTTGTTCCCTCCACCAAACTCCATAAAAGGGGCCCCACCTCCGCCGTTAAAAATCCCTCCGGCAGCACTCATAGAACCATCCACAGTCGGCGGAGCAGAGCCGCTTCTGTACAAGTTAAGCTCTCTCTCAAGCTCATCAGCTTCTCCGTGACGTAGCTGCTGCTCTCCGAGTAAAGCTCCAATCTCTTTCTCGTAATCCTCCCCAAAAGACGAATCTTCGTTACCTCTAAGCATCGGTCTTCTTCCCAGTTCCGGCATCATTATGACCTAACAACAAAAACCCCAAAATCGATTACGCCAATCCTAAAGATCACACCTTTATATACAATCCCCAAAATTGTATATTAGAGCTAACCCAAAGATCAAAACTTTAAGCGCTACTCAAAAATCCATTCCTTTGAGAGGACTCTCTATCGATGATTGATTTTCAAAGTTACTGTTCTGTTTAAAATTAGAAAAGAACCCTAACAACGACAAGGTGAAAGAGATAGCGAAATTGAGCTCGACGAGGAAAATGGGTTTTATAGTGTTGACGAGATTATACGACGGCGATGCAAGAACCTTAGGGTTTTTATGCCATTTAAGTATGAGAAATTAATGAAAAATAAAATTACTGTGAATCGCAAAATGCATATACAGGAATGAAAAAAAAAAAAACTTAAAAAGATAAGTACGAACCTTATTTTTCTCGTTTAAGCTGTTTTCGAGATCTTTTGTTCTTATTATGTTTCAGTTTGGGTTTTACAGCTATGCTTTACAAAGTACACTTGAAGATCTTCAGGATTTTAAAATTAAACAATTTTAAGAAAATTGTGCAACTCCAAATGTTTTTCAAGAAGTACCACATTTTGGGGAAATTTCTAAAAATACAATAAAGTTTAGGTTATGGAAAAGTTTCTACAATTTGGGAAATGTTCTTAAATCAAATAAAATTCATATATTAACTTTTGTAAGCCTTTTCTAAACTTACATGAAAAAAAACAGCACCATTTTTGTTGGGATCACAATGGAAAACATAATATATATAGGTCTGTAACTTTTTCTCGAAATCAATTAGAAAAATAAATACTTGTAACTAATTGGTTTCCGTATAAAAATTTACTTGATAGATAAAATATTTGATACAATCATACAAGTGATTATAGGGTAATACATAAATCAATTATTGTATAGTCCAAAAATATAGAAGACAATGAGATGAAAACAACATTAATTTGGAAATAGAGATGGTTATTGTGGTAACTCAATAGGCAGCTTCCAGAATACATGGACTATGTTGTGTATCCGATTGGAGAGATTATAGATGATGAAGGCGTTAGCAGTAGAACATGTATGTGTGACTACCACCATTGCGTTTTTTTATAAGGACTCATATGTATTGTGTTTTTCAAGTTTGTGTGTGTGAGAGAGAGATTATGACCTCTTTATTCCCAATGTTTTAATTCATTACTAGGAGAGTACCCGCACAATGCGCGGGATTATATTAGTATAATTTTTTAAAATATTCTTTTATTTCCAATAAAAACATGAATAAAAAAAATTTATATTTATAATATAATCAGTAACACTATTTTACCTTTGTTGGTCATAGTTTTGTCATATATAATTTGTTTAAAACATTGCCAATTAAGAGGTTCTTTTTTTGCTATTAATACTTTGGGAGGTTCAAGTTGGATTTGTATATGGTTTATTGTTTTAATGTCAATATCATGGTGATCGAAGTGTGATTTATCTATCCCCTACACTTATGTTTAATCATATGCCAAATGATTGAGATCAAGTTTCTGACAAAGCTTACAAACCAATGGGGCAAGCTGAGATGCATATGCTGATTAATACAAATTGGCTTTTAGACTCACTAACTACTTTTTTAATAAATTGTATACTATTTGAGTATTTGTTGATATTTTTAGTTGTTTGTTTCCTTGAGTTTTGTATGTATGATAGATTTGTTACTATTTTTTTGCTATAGTAGAAAATAATGTAACCAATACAAAAGCATAGCTAAAGCAAAATTTAAGTCTGGATGTGCCTACATTCTTAATTGAGAAAATACGGACAAAAGAAAGTAGTAGTTTTATAAGATTATAAAATAATTGTAAAACGGAACAGAGTGAATACATAAATCCACATTCCTAAGAAAACACAAGACAATGTTTTTGGGCATAAAGCTGATTTGCAAGAGCAAAAGCTGAGTTCCAAAAATAAAAAATAGCAAAATCTCGCATCATAACACAGAAGAAGATCAAGATGTTTACTTCTTCTTTTCAGAGACTCCACCACCAGACCTGCAAGTAGTCAAACAACAAACAAGATTCAGCAAACCTTACTTCAATTCAACAAACAGAACTTGTTCATATCTCAGCTGAAATTTGGTTTTCAGGTGTTAAAACGATCATATATAACACTCTCTCCTTCCTAAAGGAACTCAAAACAATTATATCTAAACAAACGACTATACATGCCAATAGATAAAACATGACAATGAAACTTCAGTGAAGAAACTAATGAAACCAAGTAGCTGGATCTAATACCTCATCTTGCGGAGAACAACAGACATCTCCTCTCTCTTTCGCTTGGCTCTCTTGTGAGTACCCAACTTCCTCTTAGCAACCTTAAGAGCCCTCTTGTCTTTGCCAACCTTGAGAAGCTCAGTGATCCAGCAACTTCCCTTATCAAGCCTCTGACGAAAAGTGTCCTCTTGCTCGTTTTCTACAGTTTACAGCAATCCAATCAATAATCTCAAAAGAAAAAACTGCATCCCTCAACAAAACACCATTTCTCAAACATTTGAAGGTCTACTAAACTATAAATTCACATGCTGAAGAAACAGAGTAAGTGACATTTCCATTTCTAAGCTCATTTCAGTAAGAAATCAGCACAGATTCAGCTCAAAACTGCAATCTTTCAGACTATAAATCGTAGGGAAGCGAGAGTTATGCATACCCCTTTGGGAATTGGGACGAGGAGCCAATTCACGTCTGATGACGATGTGTCCTTTGTTCAATCCGACGAACAAACCGTCTTCACTTGTGGAGTTTTCATTTTTTTCTGCAAAAAAAAAAAAAAAACTCAAAACGATTCAAACATTTTAGTATACTGAATCATTACATAGCTTCTAAATCGAATTTGGAACAATCTGAATCAGAGCATCTCGGCCAAAAATACATATTCCCTCTCACCTTTGCCAAGTTCAAAAGCTTGTCCATTGTCTCTACAGTTGCCTGCTGCCGAGAATAATCTAAGAGCAGCCCGTCAATTTCCCTGATAATAACCATACCAACAAAGCAAGGACTTACTATCAGAAATCACCAATAACAGATTCGATACCAAAGCATCGGGTAACAACCTTCTTGATGCCAAGACGCAAAACTAAAACAGCTACCTTCTATATACAGAAAGAAAGCTAATCTTAAAGTCATTAAAGGTATTTCACATTGCAATGAATGATTTAATAAAGGCATCAACATAGTTCGATATCAAACCACATTTAGACCAAAAATGAAAAGAACACATTTGACAAAAAAAGAAACAAACAAAATGAACACATACACCATCATCTTTTGGCATCTGTCGGCATCACTCATCGAATCACGCAAATGAGTCTTGCTAATACCTTCAACATGGCCCTGTGAGAGTGTTCAAAAACTCTGAACAGTTCAAAAATTTACATCTCAAACCATTGACAGACTAAGATAGAGAAAATCATTAAAAGACTATACCTTCGATTCCTCCCACGCCTCGGTTTCACAAATCAGAGCCGTTGATGACGCCATACTGGTAATCAAACATCAACACAAACACACAATTAACTGTCAAATATCTTGAGAGCAATCCGGTTTTACTATCGTCCTCACCAAACAATTACAGTAGCAATATATCAACAAAACTGTGGCCTTGCCAATTCCATAACATAATAAAAAAGATGAAAAAAATGTGGAACCTGATCGAGAAGCTCCTGCAGTTCCTTGATTCTCCCCATGTAATCCTGCTCTTCTACACACATACTCGTTTGCATCTGCACCTGGACCATCATACTTGAGCGGTCTTGAGTTTCGGCACATATCTTCCATAAAGAATTTCTGCGCGCTTTGTCTCCATAGCCTACAAATAATTTGAGGAAGACAACGAATGAGCCCATGCACTTGATAGTTGAGACATTCATTTTTTAATGGTTTTGTTGTATATGAGAGTTACAAATCGAAGGTTGATGCATGTGATTCCGAAGGAGCTTAACGTAAGAGAAGCAATCATTTCAAAGTTTCAGAAAAAGGTTTCATTTGATGAATACAAAACTGATGTTAACCTTAGAAATCGATTGAGAGGTGTCCAATTGCGTCGATTTTGAGATGGCGAGGGTTGGCCAGGAGAAGCAATTGCGTTCGTGAGGAGAGAGGATGGGGGTTCGCAAAAGTTTTGGGGTTTCTGAACAGATTTGGAGATGATTCGGAACAGCATTTCTGCAAATATGCATCATATGCTCCATAAAACGGAGGTAAGATTAATGAGTGAACCCATAAAACGGAGTCACAGACTATGAGAAGAAGCCGGAGCAAAATCTATAAAACGGACAAAGCATTGGTGGAATTCGCAGAACTCCAATCGTGAAAGGTAAATGTGCTATCGTGGAAGCTGTCACATGAATCCTGACTGCTTCTCATGGGAAAACTCCAGGAAGACCATGCGTCGCAATCTCATGGCTCATATGACCTTGATGGAGAGGGCGACGGCAACAAAATTCTGAGGGAGTAAAGTGGTATCGAAGAAAGAGAAAGGCGATGTGGATATAGACTTTTATAGTGGAAGAAGCGAATTGAAGGCGCGTTGACGTTACGGCCGGAGTTTAAGGCGGCCATTACCGTCTGTAGCGGCGGATAGGAAGAGAAGGGAACAGTCTCCTCGGAATCGAGACGATTTGGGGGGGAATAAAATTGTATTAACCTAATAGAAAAGCTACGTCGTTTTGGGGCATAATTAAACATTTCGAAGAGAATGATTAAACGACGTCGTTTTGATATAAAAAAAAATATGATGAGAACGCTAAACGACGTCGTTTTGGTGTTTGGAAGGGAAAAAAAAAAGGTGCCACGTGTCCCGAACAGAAGAGTGTCTAAACCTTATTAGTTATGTAGATTTACCTTATCGATCTTGCACCATTTTATGGTTTATGATGTAAGTGATATCGTAATTGATTTTATTTTCACAGCAAACTATGAAGTAGGTAACAATTAAAAATATAAAAAATAGCAGTTGATAAAGAAAACATATTTTGCTGGAACTTTATCAAATTTTAAGTTATACTAAAAAAAAACAATTTGTTTCTTTATATTTTGTGGCCTTTTAGTTTTCACACATTTCTTTGCCTTCTCAAGACTTTTTTTTCTCTCATTAATTCAGTTATTCTTTTAGCTATAGAAACATTAGTTTATGAAAACTAAATTTTATGAAAAAATGTTTCATATTGAAATGGAAACACTACTAACTTCGGAGTTCGGATCTTTGGGCTTAACGTGCTTATGGCAATGCCATAAGTTAATACGCTTATGGTTATGGGCTCACACATTTTACGATGTTCACACAAATGGCAACAACGTGATTTAAGTCAAAGCTTGAGGGTAACAATGGAAATCACAAAATTCAGTGAGTCGTCGTGTCTAGGGCTCGTAAAAACTCTTCAAAATCTTGTGGAAACCCCTTTTCGCATCTGCGTACTCGGAGAAGCTTCGATCTTTCTCTTTCGACCCTATAAGTTCACAGAGAAGAACGATTGCTTCCACACGAGCTCTAAAAGATGTCCGGCGGGTTCTTTCGGGTGAGTTCTCGATCATCTCATTTCACCTTATTCTTGAACACCGCGATTGATTTTATCGTCTTTTAGATCCAGATCGATTCAATTTCAATTTTCGCGAGCTCTTAACTTTTGTCTTCCCATGGCTATATCCTCTGATTCCTCTTTGATTTGAGTTTCAGGGTACTACCGCCGATCAGGATACTCGGTTTTCTAACAAGCAAGCCAAATTGATGAAAAGTCAGAAATTCGCTCCGGAGCTGGAGAATCTGGTTAGTTTTCTCCAATTTGGTGAATTTTTGATTTCCGTATCAAATTGGTCATCTATTTGAGTCTAGACTCGAGGTTGTTCCATTTGAGTTTCGTCAATGATTCGATAGTCATGTAGATTTTACCATGGAACTCAATTTGAAGAGGGATTAACCTGACGTCCTCTGCTTGGCTTGGTGTCAGGTGGATGTGACTAAAGTGAAGATGGATGTTATGAAGCCTTGGATTGCGACTAGAGTCACTGAGCTTCTTGGTTTTGAAGATGAAGTTCTGATCAACTTTATATACGGCCTGCTTGATGGGAAGGTAGCTGATAACTGAGCTCTGCTTTTACTTTTCGTTAACCTTGTTGTAGATTGTTTGCATACAAATTTCTGGAAGTTTTATGTGTCATTAGTGTTGTTAGGTTGATGTTACTTGTGATGGAAGGGGTAATAGGTTTCGTAGGATACACTCTAGTTCTTTTGTAAACTAATATCCAATTGAACGGTGTTCCTAATGTAGGTAGTGAACGGTAAGGAGATTCAGATATCGATAACTGGATTTATGGAGAAGAATACTGGCAAGTTCATGAAAGAACTCTGGACACTTCTTCTAAGCGCACAGAATAATTCAAGCGGTGTTCCTCAGCAGTTTTTAGATGCCAGGGAAGCTGAAGCAAAGAGTAAAGAAGCTGCAGCAAAGAAGAGACAGGTATTCTCGGGAAGTCATTTTTGTAGTTAAAAATTTATCATGAATACCTTTTCTTTCCCCTGTCGTCTCATTATGGTTTTCCTTTTGTGGCAGGATGAAGCAATAGAAAAAGCAGACCAGTTAGCAAGTGAATTAGGGAAGAAGAGGGAGAGGGAACATAAGAACCGTGAGCATGATATATCGAGGAAAACAGTAAGACTAACTTATTCATGCTAGAGTTTCGGTCTTTTTACGGTCTTCTGGTTTTGACATAGCCTGTTCTTTTTATGTTATTCAGATAGCTTCTGCTTATTAGGGTTCATTTACCTCAAACTACTGTAGGACAGCGGCGGTGAACCCAAGGTGACAAATGGAATGGGGGCAAAACCTTCAAGAGGTCGTCCGGAGGATGAGAGAAGGGCTGATGAGAAGAATGGAGTAAAAGAAAGGAGAAGGTAGAGTTTTCATTACCTATCTTGTAAATACCAGGTGTTATGAAATTAGATAGAGCACATTCAATTTCTATTTATCACTGTATGGTCTTGTGTTCTTTATCATGTTGTCTGGTTGGAGTCTGGGAATGTGTCCTATGTGGATTATCTCTGTTTAATACTCGCTAGCAAAATTGTTAAAGTTCATCTATTAGTGGCTTTGCATGTGCATTGGGTTTGCTGGTGGTCCAGAAATCTGTGTGTGCTCAGAGTATAATGTGATCGTGTTTTGACATATCTTCCCTGATGCAGGGATCTGATATCTCCACGTCGCAGTGATGCATCTCGCTCGCCCCGTAGGTAATTCTTTAACAGTACTTTTATTCTAATACCATTTTTATATATGTGAGTGTATTAATTAGTTTCTTTGCAGAGGGTCACGTTCTCGGTCAATCAGCAAAACAAACTCAGGCTCCAATTCTGGGTATGTGCCTTTCTGTAATTATTTTTGTATATCCATTGAAATGGTAGCCTCTGATTTCCAACTCGTTAGTTCTGGATCTATTTTTTCATGTACATTTTAGTGCAGTTTTTGCTAATGACTGATCTACTTGTTCAGCAGTGAACGGAAATCTAGGAGCTTGTCTCGATCATCAGATGCCTCCATCTCACCCAGAAAGCAGAGATCATCGCATGCAAGACGTAGATCCCGGTCACGTTCCTTCCGTAGGTCTCAGTCTCCCCGGCGACGTAGAATACAATCTCCTCTTGGAAGCAGGTCACGGTCACCTATTAGACGTCACAGGTCACCATCACCACAAAGGCGCCGCCGTGTATCTACACCTGAGAGACGCCGTCAATCACCACCCCCTTCAAGGCGTCGCAGGTCTCCCTCGCCCTTTAGGCGGCGCAGGTCACCATCTCCTCCTGCTAGGCGGCGCAGGTCACCATCCCCACCTGCTAGGCGACGCAGGTCACCATCACCACCTGCTAGGCGACGCAGGTCACCATCCCCGCCTGCTAGGCGACGCAGGTCTCCATTGCCCTTCAGGCGACGTAGGTCTCCTTCACCACCAACTAGGCGGCGCAGGTCTCCATCTCCACTATACAGGCGTAACAGGTCACGGTCACCACCGGCGGCAAAGCGGGAAAGGTCTGACTCACCAGGGAGGTCTTCGTCACCAGTGGCTAAGCGCATGGCACCTGCTGGACAAAGGTTGCCCTCGCCTCCTGCAGGGCCAAGATTTCCTTCACCACCCCCTAGGCGTCCAGGATCACCTTCACCAATTAGGGTAGAAGGACATCGTTCAGCCAATCAGCGTAGATCACCATCCGCCAGTTCAGTGTCCCCTCCTGGTAGGAAGAATGGGTTACCATCTCCACCTGTCAGAAGACGCAGTCCACCGACTCCTGCCAAAGAGCGAGGCTCCCTGTCACCCGCTAGACGTTCTGAAGCAGATTCGCCTTCACATGTCAGGCAGGGTGGATCTGTGTCACCTGTTAGGGGTCGAGGTAGATCTTCTCCTTCATCTCGTCATCAGAGAGCAGTACGCTCTCCTGTTCAGCGCAGATCACCAGCACCTGTTAACCGGCGAAGTCGAAGATTTCCATCTGCTTCACGATCACCTGATGATAGCCGTAGGAGACGATCACCATCTTCGAGCAGATCTTTGTCTAGGTCGCCCGCAGCTCCTGTTCGTCGTAGATCTCCTTCACCAAGTGGAAGAAGAAACCGGAGGGACAGAAGATCTCCTGGACATCCATCTGAAGAACTAGATAGGTATGCTCTTCATGACTCCATTTACTATTCTATATATGTAAATGCTTTTTAACATATGATGCTATAAATGCTCTCAAGTTAAATGCATATTCCTCTTGTCAATAGTTTTTAACTCCTTAATCATCTGCTTTTGCTTTGCGTACAGAGAGGGCATGGATAAAAAATCAGTGCAAGAAGTTGGGCGTGTAGACCATGTGACGGAGCATAAGGAATCCGCTAGAGTAGAGAATTCAGAAGGAATGAGACAGGCTCCTTCAAATAAAGTGAAAGACAGTGAGCAAGTTGAGAAAGAGGATAAAAAGAGAAGAAAGCATAAAAGGTCTGAGAGGGAAGGAGGATCCTCAGATGATAATGGCAGCTCTGATTCTGACCTGGAAGATAGGAAGGAGGCTAAAAGGAGGAGGAAGGAGGAGAAGAAAGGGAGAAAGGAGGAGAAGAAACGCAGGCGTGAGGAGAGGCGTCGTAAAAGGGAAGAACGTCATGGTGAGAAGCTGAAACATAAGAATCGTGATCATTCTGATTCTTCGGAGGGCGAAGCTGAGACCCGTCCTAAGAACAAAAGAGGGGAGGAGGAATCAGATCCAAAGAGGCTTGAGATTGAGCTGCGAAACAAAGCATTGGAGTCATTGAAAGCAAAGAAGGGCATCAGCCACTAAATCCTTATCCTGTTATATCAAGCGTTATATGAACATTCTTTTTTTTTATGATACAATGCCTTGCTAGATTGATCTTTTATGTGTTGTTTTTTCTCTTATATGTTCCAAACTTTCTTATGTAGTCTGTTTGTTGGTGGCAGCAAAATTGGACAAGTGACAATTACTCTGCTATTCTTGAGTGCAGACTTTATGCAGACATTCATGGCTGGTCTTCTGGTAATAGTTTCTTGCATCGTGTAGTTTTTATTGAAACTTTGGTATTGTGATCGTCTAGGAGTTCTTGTTTAGCTTTGATAGAAGAATGCTCCTGCTTCACCAAATTCTGCAGTTGCTTGTGGTTGTAGTTATATTGGAGTAACTGAAATGCAATTTATACTGAAACTTGCTTGTCCTCTTGGATTTGTTTTTAGATGAGTATAGTGTCAACAGTCAAGTACAAGACTTGCTTAAGAAAGTTGCTATTTTGCGGATCCTCTCTGAACTCAGTCAGGTTGAGTACACAATCTCTTAACTTGTGCGTCTTAGATAAGCATGTGGGCGTTTGAGAATTCTGTTTCTTATGTCTTATTATGCAGTAACATTATGTTTTGTTCCTTGTTTAATCACAAAAGCAATTTTGTAGAAGAAATAATATCTTACATCTTTCTATATCACAAGATAAATTATAGATTGTGCGTTTGCGTCTGGGTCCAATCTTTATTTCACACCACACATAATGTATTATTACTGCAATACAAAGCGTTTACGAGGTCACCTCATGAGTTGTTTGTAGAAGTTCTCGTTAGACTCCATTGAAGACGTTGTCGTCTTGAGGGAGTGAGGCAGTTCCATCAAGATACTGCACCACTCTCCTCATAACTGGCCTGACTTGGGGAGATCTATTTATACATAGAAGTCCTGTTTTAAGAACAAGCAGCACTTCACGTTCCACCAATTCATTTGTATTGATTCTTACATCGCAGCACTCGAGCTCATTGCCATTCCTAAACCCTTGAAGCACCCAATTCACCAAACTAATCTCTCCCGGTGGCCTTGATGGCTCCACAACTCTGCGCCCACACACAATCTCCATTATCAGCACTCCAAACGCAAACACGTCCACGTCACTTGTCTGTACAGCCGCTGTCTCAACAAGCTCTCCAGCTGCATGACCTGTGTTGTTGCTCTGCCTGTTTCCTTGGCCGTAATCTCCAAGCCGAGCTTGCAGTTCTTCGTCAAGGAGCACATTGCTGCTTTTGACGTTCCCATGAATGAGAGCTCTCTGACACTCGCCGTGTAGGTACTGCAATCCTGTGGCAATCCCTCTCACGACATTGAACCGTTCTGACCAGGTTAACACCGGTCTGTCGTTGCTGAACAAGAACCGGTCAAGACTTCCGTTAGAGACATACTCGTAAATGAGATAGACCTCATTGCCTTGGCTGCTATATCCAAGTAGATTAGTGAGGTTTCTATGTCGTATCCTTGAGATGGTATCGATACGAGCTATCAAGGAGAGCTTTTGCTGCCTTGTGCTGCAAGTAATTCTTTTTACGGCAATTGTCTCTCCTGGAGCTAGTTGTCCTCTGAAGAAACGTCCGGTGTTTCCTTCTCCTAAGGATCTGCTGAAACCACTTGTTGCACTTGAAATCGTCTTGTAGGAGAATTTCCTTGCGCCTCCTGTGATGAGTGTTTGCCTTCTACGGAAGATCCAAAACCCTAGGATAATCACAATCGTGACAACAACTGTTGCTGATGCAGCGATGATTATGATCTGTTTCGTATTGTTCGAACTCTTCTTGAGTGAAACTGGAGGATTCGGGGACGGAGACGGCGGCGAGTCTGGAAGAGAAGGAAGCTTGGTGATATCAATTTCTGCTGCTCTCCCTTCTATGCTGAAACTCCAGCCTTGAACAAAATGTGTGCTCGTGATGGTTCCGGTCGAAGAAGCGAAGCCGATGAAATTTTCTTGGGATAAGATCCCTGAAAGATTCATTTTCCTTGAGAGAAGAGGAAAGTTTGGCTTTGGATGTTCTAAAGGAGCCAATGTGACGTTGAGCATCATCTCAGTCGCATTGTATTCGATCCAGACTCTGATTAGGTCACCACTCGCAAGCCTCAAGCTTACGTTCTTGGCCTGTTTGTCATCAAAATATGCAGCCGGTGCAGAATCGATGGATATCACTCCGTTTAGGTCAATGGCAACGTGATTGTCGTCAATATCATTCATCTCCACGGATTGCACGGTGTCGAATTCAATAGCGAGAATGCGGTTAGAGGAGTTTCCATTGTTGGAGGTGTTGAAGAGGCCGAGATAATTGCTGGGGAAGGCTTGACCAAAGTCCATTGACGGAGCGATAACGAAGCTCAATCCGTGGCCTGGGGCTCCGGATCCTGGAGTGATTATGGCAAAGACGAAACTGGTGGAGAAAGATATCGTGTTTGTGGAGTTAGGGTTTGTGAAAGGTATGGGGAAGCCGTGAAATGCTTGACCCGTTTGTCTCATGGAAGTGTTGGTCAGCTCCAAGAGGCCACTGGGGTGGACCTTGGAGGAGCCGAACTTGAGGAGATTAGCCTCGAGGAAGCCATGGTTGAGAAACTTGGTTTCTCGCTGGCTTGAGACGCAAGAAACTGTGTATGATAGGAAGATGAATGTTAAAGCTATGGATTTGGAGGTAATAGCCATAGATGGTTTTAAGAGTTTGAAGTTAGTTATGTCAGTATGTGTGCATTGCTATCTCTTTTTATAGGTTTAAGAAAACGACCTTTTCATATTAAAGCTTTTTGTTTGTACTTAGAAGTTAAACAAACCACTCTTGAATATTTGACCTTTTTTATAAGTTTATAAAGAAACCTATTACAGTAAAACCTCTATAAAACAATAATGTTGGGACTTTGAAAATTTATTATCTTATCGAGTTATTGTTTTATCGATAAAATAATAATTATTATTTTATAAAAATATTCTATAAAAAACAAGAAACTTTATAGAAATATATGTAAGTAGGTACACGTAAGGAATCAATTGTGGCTTCGAAAACTCTTCACAACTTTTGGCCCCATAAATTGTTGATGCAATAAGAAAAATTCGAGATGAGCTCCAACGAGAATCCAACTTTCATAAAAGACAAACTACATTGGAGTCATATTTTACTAAATTGCCTTAGATATATATGCCTTAGTTTTATAATTATTATCTTAGCCTATTGTTGGGACTATATTTTTACATAGGAGTTTCAAAAATATTATTGTCTTATCATCTTATCGCATTATGCTATTTTTTACATTGGCCCGAGTTGGGACCGGAGAAATTTATTATCTTATAGTGTTTATTGTTTTATCGAGTATTGTTTTATAGAGGTTCTACTGTATAAATATTTTTGAAAATTTCGTTTGGAGTTTCCTCCTTTCTTCCTAAATAAAATTTTGCAGTATTGGCGATCAATTATATTTGAAAATATTGTCTACTAGTACTTTTTGGGATGATGTTAATTTGTGGAAGGAATATTTTTTTAGAATACTTTTATGAATTACAAATTTATAATGTACAAAGAATTTATAGGCGGTAAAATATTAGAAATTGATTAACAAAAGTAAACATAATCTCTCGGTCTTAAGTTAGTTTTTACGACATAAAAAACATTGACCAAGACTCTTTTAGGGTTAATCGTTTTTTTTATTCTGACACAACCGCGAGATCAGAAAGAATCAAATTTCTGTAAAAAAATGGATGGACATTTCTGGAAAATGAACTTAAAATATAAATCATAAATGTAATTATTATACGCTCAAACTGAGAAAACCAATTCTAAGTCAAAGTAAAAAATAAAAAAATGAAAGAGACTTTGCCCATTCAATTTTTAGTTTCGATCCTATTGACAATTTGCGGAGTTTGATACAAAAATAATTATAAACTACAAAATCTATACAAGTTTTCAGGGAAATTTCATAAGTACGTACTCATATGTGGATGTGGTGGTCACACAAAGTTCCATTAGCTTACCTTTTCACTCGTACACCATCAACATAAATGGTATTTGCTTACTTTTCTTTCTGGGTTTTCTGCAAATTAACCTTTTAAGTGGTTTTTTTTTGCAAATTTATCCTTGATTTTAGAAAAATGCATATCAACCCATCAAGTTTGAATTAACCCGCAATATAACCCGCGTATTTAATAAAAATTATTTTAAAAACATCGTTTATAAATAACAAAGGAAATTGAAAATCTTATTGGTTTTCATAGCCATGTGTTAGACTTTGAGTTGGAGACCAAAAAGTCTAGTGTGGTCGAACAACTGAGATAGAACCGAACTAGGGTTTTTTCCATCTTCTTTTTGAATTGAAGAGAATCTCTGACTCCTTTATTTAAGAAATATAAAAAAAATATTTAATTTCCAATATCCAATGTAGATAAAACACTTGTTTAAGTTTAATGAATCATGTATTCACTTTAATTTTGTAATCATATATAGAATAAATTAACTCAAACATAATACTTTTAATTAAACTTGGTCTGTGATACCAAAAAAACTAGTTTGAATACATGTAATAAACTTGCCTGTGAATACCAAAAAAAATAATTAACTTTTTATTTTTAGATACGGGTTATATTGCGGGTTAATTCGAACTTGATGGGTTGATATGCATTTTTCTAGAATTAAGGATAAATTTGCAAACAAAAACATTGAAGGGTTAATTTGCAGAAAACCCTTTCTTTAAAGGTTACAAACTATTTATCAATTTTACAAGTTTAGTATACCACATTCTAGTCTTTTTTCACAACATGCTTATGCGTCAATCGACAAGAATATTTCTCAAAACAAGAACTTCTTATTTTCAAATATACAAGTTGAGTATACCATTCTAGGAGCTTATTCACAACATGGTTACGTGTCTTCTTGGTCCAATCTTTAATTCACACTACCCCAAAACGCAAACGCTTCAATACAACCGCGTTTTTCCGAGATCATCTTTTAGACTCCATTGAAGAAAGGATTAGTCAAGTGGGAGACTCTCTGTACCGTCGAGATACTGAAACACTTTCTTCATCACTGGCCTAGCTTCCGCAGACCGGTTTGCGCACAGAAGTGCTGTCTTGAGAACCAGCAACACTTCTCGAGCCACCAATTCCTCTCTACTGATTCTTGCATCGCATCTCTGTAACAGATCTCCTTTCTTGAACCCTTGAAGCACCCAGTTCACCAAACTGATCTCTTCCGGAGGTTTTGTCGGCTCTATAGCCTTTCTTCCACATACAATCTCCATCATCAACACGCCAAACGCATACACATCCGTGTCACGTGTAACCTTCCCCGTCTCAACTAGCTCCGGCGCCACGTGTCCTGTACTACTTCCTTGTCCATAATCTCCTAGTCGAGAGTTTAGCTCTTCGTCTAAGAGCACGTTGCTAGCTTTGACATTACCGTGAATCAAAGGTCTTTGACCTTCGCTGTGAAGGTATTGAAGTGCTGAGGCAATCCCTTTTATGATACAGAACCGCTCTGACCAGGTTAGAACCGGTCGGTCGTTGCTGAACAAGAACCGGTCTAGGCTTCCGTTGGGGACATACTCGTAAACGAGATAGATATCATTCCCTTTGCTGCAGTAACCAAGTAGGTTAACAAGGTTCCTTTGTCTCAACTTGGAGATGGCATCGATTTCAACTATTAGGGTTGTCTTCTGCTGCCTTGTAGGGCAAGTAATTCTCTTTACTGCGATTATCTCTGTAGAGCTAAGTTGTCCTTTGTAGAAACTCCCGGAGTTTCTCTCTCCCAAAAGCTTAGAGCTTTCGAAACCTCCCGTTGCGCTTGAAATCGACTGGTAAGAGAATTTTGGTGCGCCTCTTGTGAAGAATCTTTGCCTTCTACGGAAGATCCAAAATGATGCAAGAACCAGGATCAAGATTGCACCTATTGCTAATGCAGAGATTATGATAAGCTTCGTGTTGTTCGACTTCTTCTTGATTGTAGCCGGAGGACTTGGAGATGGAGACAACGGAGGTGGCGAGGTTGGAACAGAAGGAAGCTTTGTTATATCAAAGTCTGTTGCTTTCCCTTCTATGCTGAAGCTCCAGCCTAGAACAAGATGTGTGCTCGTGACAGTTCCGGTGGCTGCTGAGAATCCGACAAAATGTTCTTCTGACAAGATACCTGAAAGGTTCATTTTTCTCGAGAGAAGAGGAGAGTTTGGCTTTGGACGTTCTAGGGGAGCCAATGTGACATTGAGCATCATCTCGGTTGCGTCGTATTCGATCCAGACTCTGATCGGGTCACCACTCGCAAGCCTCAAGCTTACGTTCTTGGCTTCTTTGTCATCAAAATATGCAGCTGGTGTAGACTCTAAAGAGACCACTCCGTTTAGGTCGATACCAACATGGTTATCATCGATATCGTTCAATTCAACGGCCTGCACGGTATCGAACTCAACAGCGAGAATGCGGTTCAAGGAGTTTCCGTTGTTGGAAGTGTTGAAGAGGCCGAGATAGTTGCTTGGAAGGGCTCCATGAAAGTCCATCGATGGTGATATGACGAAAGCAAAGCCGTGGCCTGGTGCTCCGAGTCCTGGAGTGATGGCGAAGACGAAACTTGTGGAGAAAGAAATCGAGTTCGAGGAGTTAGGTTTTACGAAAGGTATGGGAAAGCCGTGAAAAGCTCGACCCGTTTGCCTCATCGAAGTGTTTGTCAGCTCCAAGAGGCCACTAGGGTGGACTTTGGAGGATCCGAACTTGAGGAGATTAGCCTCGAGGAAGCCATGGTTAAGAAACTTGGTTTCTCGCTGACTTGAGACGCAAGAAACTGTGTATGAGAGGAAGATGAATGTTAGGGCTATGGATTTGGAGGTAATTGCCATTGTTGGTTTTAAGGGTTTGAAGTTACTAATGGGCATTGCTATCTCTTTATATAGACTTCAAGAAAGTTCGACTTTTTCATATTCAAACTTTCTTTTGTTAAAACCAAGAAGCTAAGCTAATCTCAGGTGAGTATTTGACTTTTTATAAAATGCTAAAAAAACCTTTTAATTAATGTTCTTGAAATTTTCAGTCGGACTTTCCTCTAAATTTTTTTTCTAATAAAAATAATTGCAAATAGCATGAGAAATTGGATATAGTTTTATACAGTTTGAATAAAGTAATAGTGGATCCTTTCTTTAGACGCTAAACTTATCTAATGATGAACAAAACAACGTCATCTTTTAGCCATCTGAAAATTGATGAACATTCCTTTAAAGTGTTAACGAATTAAACTTGAATATTAATGTACATATAAAAAGCTTACCATTTGATACAGAGAGATACGCACAAATCAAGAAATTCAATATTTTGAAAACGAAGACTTGACCATTCAATTCTTAGTACGGTCTTATTGAAACTTGGGGAGTGTGATGCAAACTTTTATAGAAATTGTAAAGTCAAGAGAAGTTTTCATTCAAATACTATATATGTAGTAGCTAGCATAAAGTTCCATACATTATAAAAGAGTATTACATAATATGAGAATTACTATTACTTACCTACACGAATTGTCCAATTCATGTACACCTAAAATTTTCTTCTTTGTTTTGAATGAACTTTCAGACCTATACATTATTTAGAAAACAACTTGAAGATTATATTGTGGGAAGGGATTACTTTACTAAGAGAATAAGACCCGTGGAGAACATATTAACCGCCTTTTCTCGTTGTAGATTCATCGTAAAACCGACTCGGATTCTAGGGTTTGCTCGCGCCTTTATAAACAACGGTTGACTTGTTCATCTTATCTTCACATGAATCTCTCGCTGTTGATCGCGGTTGAATCCTCTTTTTATATGAGTTAGGTTACAAACTCCGACTTTTTTTCCCCTGAGAATCTTCGTTTCGTTCTTTGATTATGTTTCGAATCTCCTTGTTTTCGGATGATGGTTTCTAGTTTAGGGCTTAGGTTTAGTTATCTCGATTTGGTCTGTGTTGATCCGTAGCGCGATTTGCAATCATGCGAGTTTTGTGGCTGGTCTTCGAGGTACGTCTTTGCTTAGGGTTTCTCAAATTCGTTAGTTATGTTTCTAAATCCTTCCCGAGTCTTTTTCTGTTGGAAAATTCCTTTTCGGATTCTTATTCCCCTAGGGTCTAAGCAGCGAGAAAGGGGACAAATGCATCTGATCAATTCTTGGCTATGGTATTTTCTTATTGCTTTATACGTGTTTTCGCTTTCAAACCGAGAGAGGGAAAAAAAGATGTATTGAAAGAAGAAAACCGGGATGTGCATATGACCTTTGCCATGACAGGTGCGCTTGCTTGGCAGGTCAAAAGACTCAAAACCCTTAATACAAAGATACATTTTTAATATGCTGTTTGCATATTTTTTCATATGCTTCTTGCATATCTACAAAGAGTATCTTGCTCTTATATATTCGTCTTGCATATTCACAAAGAGTATTTTACTCTTACATATGCTTCTTGCATATATACAAAGAGTATCTTGCTCTTTCATATATATATATGCTTCTTGCATATCCGCAAAGAATATCTTGCTCTTTCATACGCTTCTTGCATATCCACAAAGAATATCTTGCATATTCACATGCTTAATTAGTATCACAGACCCAAGATTGAGGCATCACTTTGTGCTCTCAAATATGCGTCTTGCACCAAGTGGAGAACAAGACAGGAAGATGGGTGAAGACACCAAAGCTGAATATGGTGTTTGCGTTTTGGGATCAATTTAGGAATAGAGGAGATAGGTGAAGAATGAGGAAGCTACTGGTGAGAAGGGGTTGTGCCTGACTGTCTGCCAAAGCTATTTCTTCGTTCTGTTAGTCAAAAAAGAAGTGACAATTGTGAAGGAGAAGAAGCAGAAGGAAAAAGTTGGATTTGTAGTTAATAATGAAACAGTAGTTAAGACTCTTCCTGTACTAAACCTTTATAAATTGGCAATGTAAAAGGTTTTCATTAATTTGATGGTCCCAAATCTTTCAGCTTTCTACAGTTTTTCCAAGGTGAACAAAAAGGTCTCATTTTTCTGAGTCAATGGCACTGGACATGGCTTCTCACTTGTACACAATTCCACATCAACGCCTTCACTTTCTTTCTTCTTCTTCTTCCCTTAAACCTCACTTTTACCTCTCTTTCAAACGCAGAATGCTACAACCCAAATCCTCAGAATCCACCGTCCTCGTCCGTTGCACAACCCAGAGCTCCACTGCAGCAACACAAAACAGATGGACTCTCCATGGAAAGTCTGCTCTTGTCACCGGCGGCACTCGCGGAATCGGGTTTGTATCTCTTCGCGTCTAATCCAATTCGCGATTATCAAACGCCAGTTCTCAGACGAATCTGTGTTTTGTATGTTATTGTTATCACAGGCGTGCGATTGTGGAGGAACTAGCCGGTCTTGGAGCTCAAGTACACACCTGCGCTCGGAATGAGACGGAGCTCGATAATCGTTTAAGAGACTGGAACCGTTCGGGTTTCCGAGTTTCTGGGTCGGTCTGCGATGTCTCCGATCGAGCCAAGCGAGAAGCTTTGATTGAGACTGTGTCGTCTCGCTTTCACGGGAAGCTCCATATTCTCGTAAGGTCCAATCTCATTGCTCAGTCGATTATGCACATAAAGTGTTCGTCTTTATGCCTGTGAGAACAATTCTAAATCATAATGATTCAGGTAATTTCTTGTGTTCGATTTCTTTTAGGTAAACAATGTTGGGACGAACATCAGGAAACCAATGGTGGATTTTACTGCTGGGGAATTTTCAACTCTCATGTCGACGAATTTAAAATCGGTTTTCAATTTATGCCAACTTGCTTATCCGATGCTTAGAGCAACTGAGTCTGCAAGTGTTGTCTCCATCTCTTCCGTTTCTGGTTTCGTCTCGCTCAAGAATATGTCAGTCCAATCTGCAACCAAAGGTATCTTTTTTTTGTATGGAAACTCAGAAAGATCTCTTCTTATATATTAAGGTTTTACCAAGATGTTTAGATACTAAAAGAAGCAATTTTGGTTCTCTTAGGAGCAATCAATCAACTTACTAGAAGTTTAGCTTGCGAGTGGGCCAAGGACAATATAAGGATCAATGCTGTTGCCCCTTGGTATATCAAAACATCTATGGTGGAACAAGTAAATTTTTCATTCCCTTATAAGCTTTATAAGCTTCTGAAGCTGAAATTCAAAATGAAAGTTTGATGATTCACGTCTTTTGGTGCTCAGGTTCTTAGCAACAAAGACTACCTAGAAGAAGTCTATTCAGTAACTCCTCTTGGTCGGCTTGGAGAACCGAGAGAGGTGTCTTCAGCAGTGGCGTTTTTATGCCTCCCAGCATCATCGTATATTACAGGGCAGATTATTTGTGTTGATGGAGGGATGTCCATAAGCGGTTTCTTTCCAAAACATGATTAAGCCGCTCTTTCGATTTTGTTAGTTTCGTTGGGATCCTTTTCTTTCATCTTTTACTCTGTCTCCATTCTCCTTTGAAAGAACTATTTTCATATGAGGCGTAGGATCTGTTTGACTTGTACGTTAATGAGAATCTGAGTTGTGCTACTAAATTTACTGTTAATGAAGAAGAAAATTAGCCTCAAGTTTACTGTTATTACTTATTATTTTGATTTGTGCATGTGTAAAGCTGCTGTGGAACTTTTGATGTTATGACCTTTATGATAATGAAAACTTTATGTTTCTTCCATGAGCGTTCGTTGGCTTGTATTCATTGTCATCCTTTCTCGGTTTTACTCATACACAACAATGGCCGAGGAAGAGAGAAGTTGGAGAGAGAACATGAGGAATCTTCAAGGGAAATATTGCCCTTGTATTTGATGAATCCTGTAGGAACGGGTCAGTCTTCTTCTTCCCTGTCTATTTGTTACTGCATCTAGCTCTGCTTTTGGTTACTGTCAGAATTGATTAGGAGATCCGTATATATATGAGAAGTAATACCTGAATCTATTCACTTCTGGCCAGAATAACCAGTTAAAGTTAGTTTGTACAATATGTTGTATTGGGTTACACAGAATAAGACTGAAAGTTATCTAAGTATACACTATAACACTGAAGGTTGTCTTGTTAGTGAAGTGCATGACCAAGGTAACTAGCCTACAAGGGAACTAAGTAGCTTTTGGGGAAGAATACACTTCTGTGGAAAAAATCAGTTTCTTTGTGAAAAAAGACTGATTCAGTCTGTGACTTGACCTGAGAGTGAAAAGTGACGTAGATTGTCTCCACTTTCTTTCCTGGCACACTCATCATCCTTGCAAGCAAACCATATGCAAGATTCTCAACATCATTAGGCTAACACACAAAAGAAGATACATTAGAGAACATGAGTGTGCTGCCAAGTTTACGCAAACCTTTTGTTACTTAAATGTGTATCACGTTTATCATTTCCCAATATGGAAACATCTCTGGCATGCTTTTTGACAAAGCCAACTGTATATATATGAAATATGGTCATCTTTTTTCTGCTAAGTGGGTAGTTTCATTTAAATTAAGTTGAGCAAAGTAGTTGAGGTCTTTGTTGTGAACAAAAGTTGTTGAGGGTGTTCTGGAGCACATGATCCTTGTAGATTTTGTTCTATGAAATAGAAAATCTGAGCTCCAATTATTTTACAAAACTCAAGATAATCTGACATCATAAGTTACATAATCAAGATACAGAGGTTTCCACTTCTACAGAACAGAAGGAGAGGTTCAGCTTTGTCTCTTAATTGTCCTGAACCATCTTTCTTTAAACTTTATTTTTCATAGAACTTTTGGCTAACCATCAATTGCGTACTGTTTAACTTCTTGAACCATATTTCTTCAAACTATATTGTTATCTCACTGTGTCTTGGGCTGCAGTGTCATACACAGTGATGGAGAACAGGTGGAGTCTTCAAGGAATGACCGCTCTTGTCACTGGTGGAACCAAAGGAATTGGGTCAGTTTCAGCTCACCTACTTTTCTACTAGATTGTGAATCTGAGTTTTCATTTCACCCATTGATTTAGATGGTTATTGATTGTATTTTTTTCACTGTTAAACGAACACAACCACGAAGTAACAGGACCGTTCTTCTTTTTATGATACCAGTAACAGAAAAACTTGATGATGTATAAAGCCTCATGTATGTTATATGTGTGTTATGAATAGAAAGGCTGTGGTGGAGGAACTAGCTCTGTTAGGGGCAAGAGTCCACACATGTTCCAGAGACGAAACTCAGCTTCAAGGAAGCTCACATGAGTGGCAAGCAAAAGGGTTTCAGGTCACCACTTCTGCTTGCGACGTTTCTTCTCGTGACCAACGAGAGAAACTCATGGAAACCGTTTCCTCTCTCTTTCAAGGAAAACTCAACATCCTCGTAAGTTTATGTATAAGATCAGGATCCATATAGATCGGAGCAAAGTCAAGTGATCTTGTTGTGTTTGATTTGGGTATATTTGCATACACAGGTAAACAATGCGGGAACATGTATCACTAAGCCTACCACAGAGTATACAGCAGAAGACTTCTCATTTCTGATGGCTACAAATCTCGAGTCAGCATTTCATCTCTCACAGCTCGCGCATCCATTGTTGAAAGCCTCTGGTTCAGGGAGCATTGTGTTCATGTCCTCTACTGCTGGGGTTGTGCATATTAGTGGCGGATCCATCTATGCAGCAACCAAAGGTACCTTTAAAAAAGTGTTCCTCTGCATTCTGATGCTTACGTATGTATTAAGTGTACATAAACTCATTTCAGGAGCAATGAATCAGCTGGCTAGAAACTTAGCTTGCGAATGGGCGAGTGACAACATAAGGGCTAACTCTGTTTGTCCATGGTTCATCGCAACTCCTTTAATTAACGACGTAAGGCCAAAACAAAAAAGTTTCCTAGAGTACTATGAAGATAAAGATATGTTCTTACTACTCAATATTAACTTCTGTTACAATCATTTAGTATCTCAAAGATGAAGTGTTTAAGAAAGAAGTGGAGAGTAGGACACCGATGGGTCGTGTTGGAGAAGCAGAGGAAGTCTCATCGCTTGTGGCGTTTCTCTGTCTTCCTTCAGCTTCGTATATAACTGGTCAGACAATCTGCGTTGATGGAGGTGCCACTGTCAACAGCTTCTCTTTGAGGTATCTGCCTTCAAAACACATGTTTTGGATCATATACTTGTTCATATCATCTTCAATAGTTTATCTGTTATATCTTTTGCTAGGTTTAATTCTAGTGGATTATAGATGGATTTACATCTCTCGTAAATGGTGGAGCCAGAGGAATTGGGAAAGACTTCTTCTTGCTATCCTCAATGTTCTGTTTCTTGAAAAGTTTTCGAGTAGTTACGCTTGTGATGAACAAGAGTTCAATATCTGGATTCATTATCCACTTAAGTTATTACCACCTAATGATTAAATTTCATTTTTCAAAATTTAAAGCAACTTGTGCATTATAAGAAGAGCCCTTATAAGAATGATCTTCGGCTATTGCGGCCAAAAAAACAAGAATTCCATTCAAGGACAATGCTGTTACTGAATGCTGAAAGCTAAAAGGAAACTTTGAAGAAGATGAAATTTCAATTACTTTCTCAAAACGTAAAAGTTTGAGCATAATCCGGAGAATAGACTTGAATGAAAGTTGGATGTTACTCTCAGAATCAATATTGGTGTCAAAAGATAGGTTCTGATTAACTTGCGTGTCAATTATTTGTCATAATCTTGCATGTTCAGCTGTTGCCACATTATGTAGGAAATTTGAAAAAGAAAATGGACAAGTGCTTTGGTTCTGCGGAAAAAGACAGTGTTACTGTTATGTGCATGCATCAAAACCAAGTTTTGCATTTCTTTAGGCAAAAGATGGTTTGGCTCAAAGATTACGAAATAATTAATTACCTTCTGGTCTTATCTGTTGCATCTTGTAATTTGGATGTTAGTGTCAAAATTGATCTTCAGAGATCTTTCTCCTCAGCGTTGGTGTCAAAGGGTGGTCTCTCCTTAACTTTACGTGTCAATTCAAACTTTGCATATGTCAATATTACGATTTACGAGCTCCCCAAAGATTTCTTTATTTTCTTGTGGATGCTTAATGTCTCCACCACATATATAAGAAGATTGTTAGCTAATATTATGTGATCTACCTTCATATATAATCTGTCGCATCTCCGGTTAATGATAAGTTATGGATAGCAATAGATGGAGTCTTCAAGGTATGACTGCTCTTGTGACCGGTGGAGCGAGTGGAATCGGGTTTGTCTTTACCATTGTCCTGCTCTTATTAGATATACATGATGGTAAATAAGTTCAAGGAGTTAAGGTTTGTGTTAAAATTTTTTAGGCATGCCATAGTAGAGGAGCTAGCCGGTTTTGGAGCTAGAATCCATGCATGCGACAAATCTGAAACTCTGCTCAATCAAAGTTTAAGTGAATGGGAAAGGAAAGGGTTTCAAGTGAGTGGCTCGATCTGTGATGTAACCTCACGTCTCCAGAGAGAAACACTCATGCAAACTGTCTCCTCGCTGTTTGGTGGCAAGCTCAACATTCTTGTAAGTAAAATTTAGTTTCAAGAAACTGAGCATCTCCGTTGGAAATGGAGTTAACTTGAGGAGCAAGATACACATTAACAAGAATATTGTTGTTTTATTATTTTTATTCAATATAGGTCAACAACGCTGGCGCAATTCTCACAAAGCCAACAAGAGAATATGTGGCTGATGATTTCTCCTTCCTTATCTCAACAAATTTGGAGTCTGCTTTTCATCTTAGTCAGCTTTCACATCCTTTGTTAAAAGCTTCAGGATCTGGAAACATCGTCTTTACTTCTTCTATGGCAGGAGTTGTATCAATCGACTGTGGATCACTCTATGGTATAACCAAAGGTACATATATATACTGCTCTAAGTATTACAAAATGCACATCATAATATTAATAAGGCTTTGATCTATATATGTGTTTCATTATATATAAGTCTTCTTGTGTGTATGTACAGGAGCTTTGAATCAGCTAGCAAGAAATTTGGCATGTGAATGGGCAAGAGACGGCATAAGAGCTAATGCTGTTGCTCCTAATTTTATCAACACTGCTCTGGCTCAAGCTGTAATAACTATTATTTTTAAAAACATTTTTGTGATTATTTACAACCTCAATCTTCTCTAACCAACTCTCTCTCTCTCTTTTTTTTTTCTGAAGTATCTTGATGATGCTGGTTACAAGAAGAGTTTATTAAGTAGAACTCCACTTGGTCGCACTGGAGAGCCTAATGAAGTTGCGTCACTAGTGGTCTTCTTGTGTTTACCTGCAGCATCGTATATTACAGGTCAAACAATTTGTGTTGATGGAGGTCTCACTGTTAATGGTTTCTCCTATCAGCCAAAGGCTTGAACCAAGGAAATTCCTCTTTTACAACATTTCAGTTTCGACTAATAGAGCAGTATATGTACCTTTGATTATACCATAGAGTTATCCACAGTCAATTGATACAAAGAAAGCTCACGAATCTCTCATGTTAAGAACACCACCTTTTTATTCACTTGAATGGAATGTTAAAGAACACATGTTTCTGTTAATTTTTTTTAATTAAAAAAAATGTATATATACTATAATATACTTCCTCCGCTTTTTTTTAAGATGAATTTTCTAGAGTTTTCACACATATTAAGGAAAAACTGATTTTCAATCATTAATGCATAGATTTTTACAATAAAATATTTTTTTATAATTCTCAACCAATAAAAGTCCAATAAATACAATTAATGTTTCTTGAGAATTGAAAAAGTACATCAAAAAGCTAGAAATTTTATCTTTGTGAAACAACAAATAATGTCCAGAAAAGTCATCTTAAAAAAAACGGAGAGAATATAAAAGAATAACTTCTCTCCAGACACGTCAGCATTTTTGCATTTTCGTTGATTGTTATCATGACATGTGGCACATACACATGTACCTTTTCGCATTCTCATGTTTAAATAACAATTCTCAATAAAAAAATGAAAGTTAGAGCAAGAACAACTGAAAGTTTTTGGATATCTACAGCCCAAAAATTAAAGAAGGAAAGAAAAGAAATATCCATATGGCAAACCAAGCCCAGATCCGTCTCTGCCCAGATAAGTTTTACACGTGTCATTGCAGGATTGGTCAGATGTTTGTTTTTGTTTTTTTTTTGTACTCCGAAAATCATTTATTTTAAATTGCTAAAGAACCAATATGCATGCAGTTTCTCCTTTGTACATGCTTTTAGTGTTGAAAAATAAAAAGGAAACAAATAATAACTAAGTATTCATGAAATTCAATAGGACAACATGCGAATATATAAGGGAGATGGAGAGCCACAAAACGGGAAACAAAGTAACCATTAACTCACTCACAAGAGTCTCTCCATAAAGCAGTGTATATTACTCAAAACAAATAGCTTTCTTCAACCAAATGACTCACTCACTATAGCTTTCTTCAAAGTAACCACATCAAGTAACCTCCCCAACTGAGAAAACAAACAGTAAAGAGATCTCTTCAATTCTGGAAAACATAAAAAAAAAGTTAGATAAACAAGAACGCCAAAAGCATGAGAATGTTGACTGTCCTGAACCAACACTAACTTCTCAACCAAAAAACAAGTTAGATAAACATGAACGCCAAAAATAAAAAATGAGTGTCCAAATGCAGCGGTCGTTGAGCTTTTATTTTAACGTTCAACTAAAGCATCCATTAAAAGCAATATAGAAATAGATGTAGATGTGAAAAACAGCTATATGTGGATCAGAAGGTATGGACGATTAAAAAACATTTCCAAATGCAGGTCTCGTAGAGCTCTTATAAAAACACACAAATAAAACGTCCATTGAATGCATCCAACAGACTCATTCAATTATATTATCCAACAGACTAATCCAAGAAGATCTATGGCGTTTGTTCGAAAGTGGTGACAAAATACATGAGACAAGCTGACAAGGTAAGCATCCAAGTGTGTTTTAAAAGCACGTTAAATTAACCATGAAGAAACAATCCAAGTAGATATAGTAAAAGCATCCAGTTGCGTTGTAAATATATCCACGAATACATTATGTAAGGCGTATGATCCAAAGTTTATCTACATCAACCGATAACTTCTCTCTTGGAAACAAGCTCGGGGAAGGAGGATTTGGTCCTGTTTACAAGGTAAAGGCATTAAATAATTTCTTTTTCTGAAAAGAGAGGCATGTATCAGATTAAGCAATTAGTAATCTTCTTTATTCAGGGAAAACTACAGAAATCGCAGTGAAGTGGCTCTCACGAGGGCAAGGACTTGAAGAACTTATGAACGAAGAAGTGGTTGTGATTTCGAAGTTGCAACATAGGAATCTGGTGATGTTACTTGGCTGTTGCATTGATGGTGAAGAAAGGTTGTTAGTCTATGAATACATGCCAAACAAAATCTTGGATACATATCTATTTGGTATATTTATCACTCGCTGTTTTTAATGTCTGTTCTTAACTCTGTTTTATGCTCTGTTTTTTTACTCTGTTTTATAATAAATCAGTTTTTAGTAACGTAGGGTTAAGTTTTAAAACTTGCATTAAATTTGGTCTTCTTTTTACAGGCGTGGAAGCTGTGGGATGATTTTGTGGCTGATTCTCTAGCAGATCCCACCGCCTTTGATGAGTCTTTCGAGAAAGAGATAAAGAAATGTGTGCAGATTGGTCTGTTATGTGTGCAAGATGTTGCAAGCGATAGACCAAATGTTTCAACCGTGATTTGGATTCTAACTACCGAGAGAACACGAACCTTCCCGAGCCGAAACAGCCTGCATTTATAGCAAGAAGACGAGCTTCTAATGCTGAAACTTCTGACCAGAGTAGTCAAAAGGCATCTATCAATGATGCTAGCCTCCCAACTGTTTCAGGAAGTTAAGCTCACAAAGGCAAACTCTTTGTGTTTTTATGTACGAATATGTTTTGTTGAAACTCCTATGGTTACATTTTTGTATCATACCGTGTATGTTCAATGGGTTGATTAAAGAATAAGAGATGTTTTCAGAGAAGTTATGTTCAGATTCCATGATTACAGTTTGGTGTTACAACAGCCAAAACACCTGATGAAACTAATCATGATTGTGGAATTAACTAACTAATTAACCTGTATGAAGAAGAGTCTGAAATAAGGAGATGAAGAAACAACGTTTGTTTATGTTTTTCTTTGTGCATGTTTGCATTCGTTTAATTCTATCTTACAGTGATCCTAAAACCACTCTCAAAAAGGCAATAACTTGGTCTCTCTATCCAATTTGAATCGCCTTCAAAAAGCAGTAAGTAAAACGAATTTTGTTACATTGATTTGAAAATATATTTTTATTTCATGACAATGACAACACCAGCCAAAACAAAGTTAAGAATACTATCGAAATTATAACAATTCGACTACCAGCATCGTATTTTTTCCTTTATTAGATAACATTATAGTATTGTCAAAACGATAGTTGATAAAGTTTCAACAGTATACTATCAATATATAGAAGAACATATTAAAATGTTGACAAAAAAAAAAAAAAAGAAGAACATATTAAAAGAAATCGTGTATTAGGAAAATATTTAAAACATAAAATATATTTGCTCGTGTTTTGCTAAACTAGTTCTAAACTAATGCTAAATTTCAGTAAAATGTTATCTAAGAAAATTTAATTTCACTCTCTACTAATATGATCGACAAGCAACAAATATTTTACTGAAATTTAGTAATAGATAACATTGAAATGTCAAATATCTTAGGTTATATTTTGATATACTCAGAGACCTTCGTCAAACGAACTCCGGTGTTATTAAGCCACAAATCTCCTTTAAGAAGCTTGGCCACAATAGATTCTTGCTATGGACTTTTAATCAGTTTGTGTCCCTTCCACAGCACTCTTCTACGAGTATCTGATCCCAAACAAAAGTTGAAAGACAAAGGTTGCTGCTGTTCCATGGAATCCAACCAATAGGATCAATAACATCATCTATGAATGATTCCGTAGTTGAAAACGCTTCCCATGGATGCCCAAGATTCAGAGGTGTACACATTTTGTTCATTTGTAGATGCCAAAAAATAATTCAGAGGGAAACTATTTGCGAGACAGAACGTAAAGCCTCTGAAATGGTTTCTTTTTTACTAGGCTGGTGGTAGTTTTCTACTAAGTAAGCCTCAGGAATCCTTTCAACTGAACAAAAACATAAAGGTCAAGATCTGTACACCTGTGAAGACTTATGTGATTATGTGATTCACCTTCATCCTATACATATATAATCTGTCGCATCTCCGGTTAATGATAAGTTATGGATAACAACAGATGGGGTCTTCAAGGTATGACTGCTCTTGTGGCCGGAGGAGTGAGTGGAATCGGGCTTTTCTTTACCATTGTCCTCTGCTCTTATTAGATAATCCATAACGGTAAAACAATTCAAGGAGTTAATGTTTGTGTGAAATGTTTTAGGCATGCCATAGTAGAGGAGCTAGCCGGTTTTGGAGCTAGAATCCATGCATGCGACAAATCTGAAACTCTGCTCAACCAAAGTTTAAGTGAATGGGAGAAGAAAGGGTTTCAAGTGAGTAGCTCGATCTGATGTAACCTCACGTCCCGAGAGAGAAACACTCATGCAAACTGTCTCCTCGCTGTTTGGTGGCAAGCTCAATATTCTTGTAAGTAAATTTTAGTTTCAAGAAACTGAGCATCTTCGTTAGAAATGGAGATAACTTGATGAGCAAGATTCACATTAACAAGATTGATGTTTTACTCTTCAATATAGGTTAACAACGCTGGCACAATTCTCACCAAGCCAACAAGAGAATATGTGGCTGATGATTTCTCCTTCCTTATCTCAACAAATTTGGAGTCTGCTTTTCATCTTAGTCAGCTTTCACATCCTTTGTTAAAAGCTTCAGGATCTGGAAACATCGTCTTTAATCGACTGTGGATCACTCTAGTCTATGGTATAACCAAAGGTACATATAGTGTAATTATACGTAAGCATTTTTGTTGATTGTGAGTAGGACATTTGGCATATAATTAAGATTTTTTTTTTAAATTGTTTCAAGACTTTTCAGTTTATGTATTGAGTGTACCTTTTCGCATTCGCACGTTTAAATAACAATTCTCAGTAAAAAACTGAAAGTTAGTGTTTAAAAATCTAAAGAAAAATAATAATAATTAAGTATTCATCAAATCTATATACAAATCTATGTGTAAATATACAAGAACATTATGTGTATATGATAAAATTATAGTGGGTGAGGATCGAGCAAATATAGTTCATCTATCGGAAATTAGGATTTAAAGTATACCTTATTAATTTAAGAAGTATTAAGTAATAATACAGATAAGAGTCGATAATTAAAATTATTACTTAAAAAAAAATCAGAATTAAAATAACTATACGAAAAAATATTGTAGATCACTAATATAATAATAGAAATTTTAAAATTAAATTGAAATACTTATAATTAAATTATATCTTATTATATAAAGCTGGATGCGCACGACGTGGTTGCGACACGTAGGATTTTTATAAAATTTAGGATCACGACATGTGTCACTTTTAAGTTTATGTCCGTTAAGATCGTGACACGTGTCTTAGAAAAAAAAGAGAACTTAAAAAAAAAAAATTCAGATAAATGTTAATTAAAAAAAACGAAATTTAATTTAATCTATTATATCAAAAAGGAAAAAATAATATTTGCCATATCCAAACAGAAAAAGGTTTTCCATTCATCAAATTTTTTTATTATATAAAGTTGGATGCTTTTAGATAAAGGAATTTAAAAAAAAAAAAAATTAATCCATTAGAGTTAAAAGAAATAAAAATATATTTGTCATATCCTAATAGAGAAAGGTTTTCCATTCATCAAATTAATATTATCCAAACAAATAATAAAATCAAAATAATGTAATAAATAAAATCCTATTTGTATAATGTTATGTAATCAAATTAATATTATCCAATCAAATAATAAAATCAAAATAATGTACTCCCTCTGTTTCAAAATATAAGGGGTTTTAGAGTTTTAGTTTTGTTTCAAAATATAAGGGGTTTTAGAGTTTTAGTGTAGAATTAAATGTGTTTTTATTACTTTAGATTATTTATATTATGCAGATTTGTTATTCATTGGTTGAAATGTTTTGGAGTTGATAATAAATTATATTTTATTTTAAAAAGTACAAAAATTAAATGGTTTCTTAATTTGTGTGCAAAACCTTAAACCCCCTATATTATGAAACAAGGGGAGTAATAAATAAAATTCTATTTGTATAATGAAATAAATAATGTTATGTAAACTAAATTTCATATAACTGAATAGGTTACTTGAATCCCTATAAAAGAGAGTCAAAGTTTCTCAATCATAAATTCATCAAAGCATATTCATCAGATCCTTTTGATTCTATTTCTCCAATTAAAAAATCATGTTTTTGACAGTTTTGCGATACATATTATTTTTATAACTCACAAATTTGTGACATTTGTTTTAGAAAAAAAATAATTATGAAAGTATGAAGATCGTAACATGTGTCATAGAATAAAAATAATAAAAAAATTAATATGTATAAGACTAAATAAAAATCAGAAAATCAGATAAAAAATAATTAAAATGAAAAAATAATAAATCCTTTAAAAGTAATAAAAAAAAAAGAAAACAAATAATTTAAATTCTTTTGTTATATCTATTAAGAAAAGGAAAAAAATGCATTTCGAAAAGGAAAAATATCAATATATATTATTTATAATGGTATGAGGCAAAAACAAAATTGAGAAAGAAAAAATATAAATAGAAAACTAACAAAATAATATTCAAGCAATTAACTAAAATTAAAAAATTATAATCGATATTCTAATTTTAAATAGTTTGATTTTCAATTTTTGTTAGGTAAAAAAAATTGAAATAAAGATTTCATCAATTAAAATCTCTTGAATGGAATAATAAAAGTTTGATTAATTAATCAGTTGATCAGATTTAGACATGTGTAAGTGTTTATGTATTGGATAAAAATAATATTAAAACAAATTAATTCATTTTGTCATATCATAAATTCAAAAGAAAAATCAATTATAATAAAAATGTAAAGTATTACCAATTTTATTTTATTTAAATATTTTTTATCGGGTTTTCAATATTATTTTATTTACGTTTAAAAATGATCAAATTTTGTTTAATATTTTCTATGCTTTTATTATAAAATCTTAAAATATATCCGCGTATACGCGGGCCTTTAATCTAGTAAATTAATAAAAGTTAAAAATTTGGTATAATTTTAATTCTAGATCAAATTTTAAGAAAAAAAAGGAGAAAGAGAATTGTGACATCAATGGCCCAACAGATTTGGAAAAGGCCCAATTAAGCCCTAGCCCATGAGAGCCCAGAGGTGTCTCCTTCCTCGAGGAACTTTAAAAAGCTGCGCGTGGAAGTCACACGCCTCCGCCGAAGTGAAACGCTGCCGGAATTTCGAGAGCTCCACCGCCCCCGCTATTATTGCCGTGAGGAGAAGCCGACGAGAAACCATCCCGTCACACCGTCTTAAAAAGTGTTCTTCACAATTTCTATCTCCCTCGACGACTCCGTCAGTGAGAGTGGTCAGAATCCGATCAAGAAAAACCGCCGAATCCGGTTTTGATATTTTCTGATTACACCGGTTCACATTGACAACAGCCCGGAGAAGGAGAGAGAGAGGTTTCTGCGATGTCGTTAAACCCTAGCAATGGCGGAATCGACGACCAGAAAGAGAAGAAGCCGAAAGTATTTGTGATAATGGGTCCCACAGGCTCTGGGAAATCGAAGCTGGCCGTTGACTTGGCGTCTCAATTTCCGGTGGAGATCATTAACGCCGACGCAATGCAAATCTACAGTGGCCTCGATGTTCTCACCAATAAAGTCCCCACCAACGAGCAAAAAGGTTCTTCTAATCTTTGATTCGGATTCTTTGAAGCTCATATTGCGAATTATTATGCCTGTTTTTGATGTGAGTTTGGGGATTTTAGGAGTTCCTCATCATCTACTAGGGACAGTGAGCCCAGATACAGAGTTTACGTCTAAGGATTTTCGAGACAACACTATTCCTGTGAGTACAAATTTATACATTTTTGTAATGGTTTGGTTGTGTATATGATATAGTTTCTGATCGATTTGTTTCAGCTAATTGAGGAGATACTTTCTCGAAATCACATTCCAGTTCTTGTTGGAGGAACAAATTATTATATACAGGTATAAATACAATCTTGTTCTTGCTTAAATCATGTTGGTTTTGTCGCAAGAACACTTTATGATTTATACCTTATCTTATTAATGTAGGCTGTTGTGAGTAAATTTCTTCTTGATGATTCAGCAGAAGAAGACACCGAGGAGTGTTGTTCAAATGTTACTACTCCAGGTGATCTAGAATCTCTATCATAATTCGATTAATTTTCATGAAAAGTTTATAAACCTGATAATGAGAAATTTTCCCTGGTTAAAAGAAGGCTTAAATGTCGAGTCTATATGTGAAGGAGATGATTTTAGCCGTGGCTATGACCTTCTTAAAGAGCTTGATCCTGTGGCAGCAAACAGAATTCACCCTAACAATCACAGAAAAGTGAGATTTCTGATTATCTGATTGTATGCAGCTTTGTTGGTCTTTTCATGGTTTTACTAATTCTGAGAGATCCGAATGTTTTTGTAGATTAATCAATACCTGAGCTTACATGCTCGTAGAGGAGTTCTTCCGAGCAAGCTATTTCAGGGAGAGAATGCAGAGGTGGGAGTTTAAAATTTCATTTTGATTGTAACTTGTGTTTCTCTCCTACATGTACAATGATCCTTAACTGCTCTAATGTTATGCGGCATTGTAGAACTGGGGACGAATTGATGCCTCTCGTTACGATTACTGTTTGATATGTATGGACGCTGAAACCTCGGTGCTGGACAGATATGTTGGAGAGAGAGTAGATTCCATGGTGGATGCTGGACTACTTGATGAACTATATGATATATACAAACCAGGAGCCGACTATACCAGAGGCTTAAGGCAATCCATAGGTGTTAGAGAGTTTGAAGATTTCCTGAAAATGTATCTCTCCGATGGAGGAGAAAGCAAGGATGATGATAAGTTTATGAAGGAGGATATGAAGAAGATTCTGAGTTTTTCGAAGGACGATACGTTGAGGATTATGTTGGAGGAAGCCATTGAGAAGGTGAAGTTAAATACCAGAAGGCTTCTACGTCGCCAAGTAAGTCTTTTGTTGTTGTTCGGTGAAGCTCTCTCTAACTGATGGAATTTATCTATTGTGTTTCTGAAGCATTTTATTGTTTTTGTTGTGTTTCAGAAAAGAAGAGTTAATCGGCTAGAAACTGTCTTTGGCTGGAATATTCATCATATTGATGCAACTGAGTGTTTACTAAGTATGTGTTTCATCGATATTTTGATTACCATAAGCTCTACTAGGAGAACAAACTTTAAGAATCTCTCTTGTTGGTGTGTTTTTGTTGTGTATGAAGACAAATCTGAAGAGTCGTGGGATGCTAAAGTGGTCAAACCTGCTACAGAGATCATACGGTGTTTCCTGGAGGCGGAAACTGAATTTGGTCATGATTCAACTTCAGGAAAACTAATTGAAAGAGATCTGTGGAGTCAATATGTTTGTGAGGTACAATGAGTTAATGTTTTACTTTCTCTCTTAACTCTGTGGAATTAGTAAATATACTGAAACGTGTTTGTTTGAAACAGGCTTGTGGAAACAAGGTACTAAGAGGAAGACATGAGTGGGAGCACCATAGTCAAGGCCGTGCACATCGTAAGAGAACCACTCAACATAAAAAGGCTCAAACTTTCAAAAGCAGAGAGAAGCAAGAAGAAGAAGAAGAAGAAGTGGAGAAAGCAAGTATATCGTAGAAGTCTTTAAAAAAGTGTATTAACATTAACAAAAATTATAATGTGCAAACACAGTTAGGACATGATAACCAGAAAGAACAAAATGCTAAGCCAACAGAATGATACAAACGTGTCACAGAAAATCAATTTTGTTAATGTTCTCAAACCTAGGACCATCTTGTTCCTCTTGAGGGTGGTGATATATATCTGACTTCTCATTTAAATCATAGATTTGGTTTAAGGGTTTCTTTGTAAAGTTTTATTAGGTTTAGCTTCTTTTTCTGTTTGAGTGTTGGAAAAAATTGGAAAGTTGTTAACTAAACACGTGGAGTGTTTACTAAGCTCTGTTCACCATTCTGACTTCTGTTGTAGAAGACAAACAAACGAGTTAAGTTTTGTCGAAGATTTTGACTATTAAAGTCATTTTTTTCTTGGGACCTACTAAATGTCTAAATTAGATATTTGTAGTCATTTTCACTCACATAACATTTCCACCACATACACAAACTTACTCATCAATATATGTGATCCACATTCATTGTATATATTCATACAATCTGTGGGATCTCTGGTCATTGTTAGTCACATGCAAAGAAAAACAAAAGATGGATAAAAGATGGAGTCTTCAAGGTATGACTGCTCTTGTAACCGGTGGAGCAAGAGGAATCGGGTTGGTCTTTCTTCTCTCTATATATCATCCTGAATGATCAAGATTTTTAAGGAATTGTTTCTTGTGGAATGTTAAAGGTATGCCATAGTAGAGGAGTTAGCTGGTTTTGGAGCTAGAGTCCATGTTTGTGACATCTCTGAAACTCTGCTTAATCAAAGTCTAAGCGAATGGGAAAAGAAAGGGTTTCAAGTGAGTGTCTCAGTCTGTGATGTAACATCTCGTCCTGAGAGAGAGAAAGTTATGCAAACTGTCTCTTCATTGTTCGATGGCAGACTCAACATTTTCGTAAGTATAGAAACAAGAAAGCATATTCATCTAAAGAAGAGTTTCAAAAAATTCCTTTTTATGTTCAACATAGGTGAACAATGTTGGCTCAATTCGCGGAAAGCCAACAACAGAATATGTGGCTGATGATTTTGCTTTCCACATCTCAACAAACTTGGAATCTGCTTACCATTTTTGCCAGCTTTCACATCCTTTGATGAAGGCTTCTGGATATGGAAGCATTGTTCTCATGTCTTCTGTTGCAGGGATTGTATCATTTAACACTGGATCCCTTTACAGTCTAACAAAAGGTAACTAAAGTACTACTAGATGCAGGATTAACTAATCAACAAGGAGTTTGTGTTTTTTGTTTTGTTTTGTTGAGTTCTAATAAAGAGTTTTATATATACAGGAGCTTTGAATCAGCTAGCAAGAAATTTGGCATGTGAATGGGCAAAAGACGGCATAAGAGCCAACGCTGTTGCACCTAATATTGTCAAGACTCCTCTGTCTCAACCTGTAATGGGCAAGACAACCCTTTTACATATATTTATGTGGCTAATTTAGCAAACTCAATTCCGCTAACTATATCTCTGAATTGTGTTTCTTACAGTATCTTGATGACATCAGTTTCAAGGAGGGATTGTTCGGTAGGACGCCACTTGGTCGTGCTGGAGAGCCGAATGAAGTTGCATCACTAGTGGTCTTTTTGTGTCTACCTGCAGCTTCTTATATTACTGGTCAAACTATTTGTGTTGATGGAGGTCTCACTGTTAATGGTTTCTCTTATCAACCACCACAAGCTTGAGATAGACCTTGTTTATGTGTGGAAAGTTTCCTTAATAATGGATTCTCTTGTATCCTTTACAAATTTATGCATTTGAGCAACTTTTCAATTTTGCTTAGATGAAAAAGAAAAAGGTAAATTCATGGTTTTAGGATTTAGCATACTTTGTTGCATGCCTTTGGTTTGTTTGTCTTAATCTCATAAAGTCATGCAATGTATTAAGCTTTGTATATTTGTAAAAGAGGATAAACAAGAAATCTAACCAGTAGATAAGCTCTTACGATGTTTCCGGTAACAAAGTGTAAGCCTTGACAACTGAAGATCCATCATCATTTGTATTTTTGCTCCATTGGAGACATCGAATAATCTCTTCACACTATATATCAACCTTGAAGTTTTTTCAAAGGATGAAAACGTTACAAATGTTGACTGAAAATAAATAATTTTCGAAAGTTTATTGATGTGTGTTGGACATTTGGAAGACGTTGGAGGGTTGTTCTCTAGACACGTTGAAATAGTTTACCAAAATTTGTTCACCATTTTCCGACTACTAAATTTTGGTTGTCTCTTGTGAGTAAAGTTGAAAAAGACAAATGGTTGAAGATTTTGACAATTTTTGGTCATTTTTGCTTGGGACCAGTAACTTAGTCATTTTGGTCATTTTTCTCTGATTCTCTCACATAATATTTCACCACATATACAAATATACTCATTAATTTGCTCTTATCTGATCCACATTCGTAGTATATAATATACAATATGTGGCTTCTCCGGTCATTGTTAGGCATATGCAAAAAAAAAAAAATGGACAAAAGATGGAGTCTTCAAGGTATGACTGCTCTTGTAACCGGTGGAGCCAGTGGAATCGGGTTCGTATCTTTCTTCTAATTTCTCTCTATATCAACTCTTTAAATCTTTATTCTGTTTCTGTTAACATCTTGAACGGTCATGATTTTAAGGAATCTGTATATGTTTCTTAAATGTTTAGGCATGCAATAGTAGAGGAGCTAGCTAGTTTTGGAGCCAAAATCCATGTATGCGACATATCTGAAACTCTGCTCAATCAAAGTTTAAGTGAATGGGAAAAGAAAGGGTTTCAAGTGAGTGGCTCAGTCTGTGATGTAACCTCTCGTCCCGAGAGAGAAACTTTGATGCAAACTGTCTCATCTCTATTCAATGGCAAACTCAACATTCTTGTAAGTACATGATCTTTAATCAAGAAACGACTATAAGCACATATACTTCAAGAAACTTGTTTTTTAAAGAGAGTTCTTGATTTTGTTCGACATAGGTAAATAACGTTGGCGTATTTCGTGGAAAGCCAACAACAGAGTATGTGGCAGACGATTTCACTTTCCATGTCTCAGCAAACGTGGAAGCTGCTTACCATTTTTGCCAGCTTTCACATCCTCTCCTTAAAGCTTCAGGCTATGGAAGCATCGTCTTCATGTCCTCTGCTGCAGGGGTTGTATCAGTTGATATTGGATCCATTTATGGTCTAACCAAAGGTAACAACAGTTACAACTAGATATGCAGTTAACAAAGAATGTGTTTTTTTTTTTCCCCTCTCTTTAACGTTTTGTTGATTCTTTAATACAGGAGCTTTGAATCAGTTAGCAAGAAATTTGGCATGTGAATGGGCAAAAGACGGGATAAGAGCCAACGCTGTTGCACCTAATGTTGTCAAGACTTCTGCAACTCAAGCTGTAATAAAGAAAGACAACCCTTTAACATATTTTTGTGAATTTTACAAACCTCAATCCCTCTAAACATCTCTTGGTTTTGTTTCTTGAAGTATCTTGAGAATGTCAGTTTCAAGGAGGCATTGTTCGGTAGGACTCCACTTGGTCGTGCTGGACAGCCGCATGAAGTTGCATCACTAGTGGTCTTCTTGTGTTTACCTGCAGCATCTTATATCACTGGTCAAACCATTTGTGTTGATGGAGGTCTCACTGTTAATGGTTTCTCCTATCAACCACCACATGCTTGAGAATGTCCTTGTCCCATTTTGTTTGTAACTGTCTTTAAACTCTCAAAGTTTCTCTCTTTAATAAAAGCTCACAACAGCAATAACTTACAGCAAAAAATCTCTCATATATTAATTCAAATGTTTAGCCCTCTGTTTTATACCCAGGAAAAAAAAAAGATAAAATATTTATCCACCACAAAGGCACAAACAATTTTTTTGTTGAGGGATGGAAAAGGCACAACCACTACAAGAATTATTTTTGGATAAATATGTGGTTAAAGGCCAAATTCTGTGGGTATTTTTCTCTTATACTAGGTTTTTGACCCGCGCATGCGCGGTCTGTTCTAATGAAATTTTAAACTGTTATATTTAATTATTATTTTTTACAAACGCTTCACATTTTTTATTTTTTGCTGTTTGTTTTTTTTTATAAAATTTTCTTTGTAATATACTTTTTAATTATTTTTTTACTTAACCAATTTAATTATTTTATAATTAGTCATAATAAGTAAGGTACTTTTTAAAAACATATTTTCTGTAAAAACATACAACAATCTATCCTCACATTTCTTAAATTAATCCCTTAATTTTACTATTCATTAGACACTTTTTAATTTTTTATATCCATTAAAGGTCATTCGGCAAGCTTTTGTACAATCCAATATTAGTCTAATACATATTTTAGTTGTTAATTTCCTTTTTAATTTTATTTATTAGTTTAGCTTTTCCAGCTCTGAGTTTATGATTTATACTTAATTTATTTATATATTTTTAGTTTAATTATTTTGCATTCAATTCCATTTAATAAATTCATCTCTTTATTTTTAAATCACTGTTTTGATAGTTAAAAAGTCTCATATATTCCAAACTTTTCTTTTTCGTATCCTGTTTAATTAATAACCGCGTTTCCAATTCCCGGTTCCATTGTTTTGGTTTTTACGGTTCGGTTTTGCTATCACATTGAAATTAGAAATGATTCGTTGTTTTTCTTCATTTGCCGACAACAAAATCGAACAATGTTTCTACCTTATTCCCACCGGAACATTGTTAATCTCATCATCGAGATCCCTCTTCTTTGTTTCTCATCTTGGTTATTTGCCTTAATCCCTCTGAGCGATTGAGACCTGTCAAAACTAATTTGATCAATTGATTGAGGGAACAGTTTCTGCTTTAATCCCTCTTCCGAGACTTTATTTCTCTGTTTCTTCTACTGATTCTCTCAAGCTAATCACTTCGTGAAAGGTTTGAATTTTCCTATTTTGAAGCCAGTTTTGTTGATGTTGAGATTATGTGTTTAGCGTTTAATCTATTTCTTCCGATCCGAATTTGTGATAAATCTATAACTCTAGGTGATGCCAACTGCTCCGCCAAGTTCCAGAGACTCAGAGATATCTAATTTTTCAAAATTGTCGCCTTTCGATGGACGTTACTGGGGTAAAGCTAATGACTTTGCCTCTTCCATGAGCGAGTTTTCTTTTATCAATTTCCGAGTACTTGTCCGGGTACTTGTTTCTCACCCAAGTGAATGTTTATTATCTAATTTATGATTTTGTTCTTTTCATTTTTGTGTTGACTAAGTATTTGCGAGTTCTTTAGTTGTCTAATGCTCTTGTTTTTTTTTTATATATTTGGTAGATTAAATTGCCTCTGTATCTTTCAAAAGTCCCTCAAGTCACCGAAGTTCCATGCTTTTCAAAAGATGGTGATGTCTACTTGCAATTCATATTCGATGTGTTTAGCATTGATGATACGTTGGAAGTTAATAAGGTCGAGAGAGTAGCATATGATGATGTGAAAGCTGTGGAGTATTTCTTGAAACAAAAGTTTGAATCACAGCCAGAGATTGTCAAGGTTGGTAAACTTTCTCTCTGTTCCACCAAGTACTTAGCAACATTAGATAATAGTCTTTAGATAAAAAGTAAAAGGATAAGCATTAGATAATAGTCTTTTAATCGAACATTAGATCTAGTCTATCTATTATAGCACGGCATGTCTTTGAACTCAGCTATTGATCGTCCTGGTTCATAAGTTTCTCTATCTCCATCAAAGTGTATTGCTTTAGCTGATTTTCATTTAGATGTAGGCTTGGGAAGTTGAAAGTCTTGCGTTTTCTGTGAAGCATGTCTTCACCTAGTGATTTCCAATAGCGATTCCACAAATTTAGAGGACTCCCAACTTGACAATATATCAGCAAGCAAACAAATAGTCTTCGTAGTTGATAAGGTGTAGACCATTGAGTTGCTTCGTCCATCACGTCATGCCACTCGGAGTCTGAATCTAGGAGACCTCTATCATAGGATACTGATTTGTAATCATCATATTTCGTGTCCCCAGCACTTTGAATCTCTTCAAAACTTTCCACTTTTGACCATAGACTTCTATCGTTGTTCCATGTAATTTTTTTCAGAAATTCCGAATAAGTTATCTGATGAGCCTCTTCTGATTCTTCGTTTCTCTCCATCCATCGTCTAAACATACTTTTCTCAATGTCTTCCTTTGATTGAACTCTACTCATAATGAAAGAGTTATTACCATAAAGGTCCTCGTTCTTGTCAACAGATTCATTAAACTCGGCGTTGGAACGAATCCCAAAGTTTTGACCCTCAATAGTGTAGTCATCATGGTCGGCTTGCACCATTGTTGTTTCCGGAATGAATTGGATGAGAAATCTGTGTGAGGAGAACTTGTAGCTCGTTTTGTTGATGATGACCAAAAAACTACCAATGTTGTAGACTTCTCCCGCCTTTTTGTTGTTGATGACCAGAAAGCTATTAAACTTGTAAACTTCACCAGCCTTTAATTTTTCCTCATAGTCTCCTAGTCGATAAGCTGGTATGAATGCTTGGATTGTAGTTCCCTGTATTAAATTATGGTAGAAAAGAGTATTATAAGCTGATGATGATTTAACTTTCTATTGGTAATTGGTAAATAATGTTGGTGTCGTTACCTTTTGATCGATTAGAAGCAGTTCATATCCATAAGCAGACCTCCTTTTTTAGGGTTCCTTGCCTCCCAGAAGTGGATGTCTCTAGCAAGCAGCTCTTTCTTACAAAATCCTTTAGTGAGTTCATCCAAAACAAAAGGACGCCGTAACTGATCAGAAACAGAAGAGCTGGAAGAAGACATAGCTATTTTAATAAACTCTCTCTTGAAGAATATGTTGTCTTTAGAACTCTTGTATGTGTATTCTAAAGTTTAGAGGACTATTTATAGCCAATGCCAAACATTGAAATAGCTAAATTGTTAATTTCCTTTTTATTTTAATTAGTTAGTTTAGCTTTTCCAATAATATGTTCTTTTTGTTAGTTTAACTCTTTTTATGTTGAATTTCCATTAAACTATTTAAAATAATGAGTTAAGGTAATTGGTGTCGTAATGTAAGTATTAAAATTCAAAATAGTACAATTTCCATTCTTTAATACAATAATGTAATTTTTCTCAAAAATTATTTAATTTTCGATTTTAAAATTAAAATGCTGATTTGGCGAAATTTAATTGGTTTCTTAAAAGCTGATGTGGACGCTCTCAGAGACTTATAGCCTCAACTTTTATATAGTATAGACTAAGACTTTCACCCGCGCATATGCTGGTCTGTATTTTAAACCGATTTAATATATATTTTTAATGAATAATTTTTAAAAACTGCAAAAACCAACAGCTAAAATCTACGAATCTTTCACTACCAAAATTCTCTGGAATACAGAAATATTTAGATATACCAATATCTTGTTCAGATCAAATCTTGGCATACAAAAATGTTGTTTAGATAAAATTCCGATAGCGAAAATGTTTCGTCTGTCTAATAACCAAAAATTATTTGATGTTATTCAAATCCATATAGAAAAAAATCTTAAAATTAGATGTCAACCATATTTGTATGTAAAATGTTTATTTAAAACAACTTCAATCTTTATGTTAGAACTTAAAATGCTATAAACAACATATGATTTATTTTTAGTACATTTAGCTTACACATCGTGTTTTTAGTTTATAATCTTTTATCATAATAGTATATATTTTTCTGTTAATTAACATAAATTATTTATGTTCTTTTTTATGGTCTAAGAAAAATCTTAAATCATTGTTCCTTCAAGAGAAATTTTATGAAATACACCTCTTGAGATGCAAATTTTCAAAACTACACCTATAGTATGGAAATTTTTTAAAATACACTTTTTCTAATTTTAATATATATATTTGGGTTCACTAATCCTAAATTAGGGTTTAGATTTTGGGGTTTAGGGTTTAGATTTTAGGGTTTTAAATTTATATTTTAGGGTTTAGAGTTCTTTTAATCAATGAAAAAAGTGTAGTTTTGAAAATGGACACCATAGAGGTGTATTTTTGAAAATTGGCATCTCAAGAGGTGTAGTTTTGAAATTTCCCCTTCTTTTAATGTTGATATTTTTTTTGTTAAATAATTTTATCACATTTTTAATGCTTTCTGGTTTACATTTCTTTTTAGAAGTAGTTTTATATTAATGTTTACTTGAATACTTTCAACTTAATTCTGTTTAGAAATATATTCCTGTTCGAAATTTTTAATTGTTACATATTTACTTGGAAATTGCAAAATTCAGTTAGTATTTATTTAATTGCAAAACTGATTATTAATTTACCACATATCATGTTTCTAATCACGTTAAATAATCATATTTGGCAAGTTTATACTACATCAAAAATCAAATATTTTCTCTTGAATTTGATGGGAAAAGTTTTGTCTTGACTGGTCAAGCTCTGGCTGCTCATGGACTCGATACAGACACCTCTTGCAATTATTTTGATTATTAAAGAGACTTTCTCTGTGGAAGTCCCCTTAGCCTAGTGATTTAAGGGTTAATTAATGCTTCTAGGTCTAGGGTTTATATCCCAATGAATGCGATTTGCTAATGATTTACGTAGATTAATGGAGGCAAACTTACAGTAGGTCTACAGATTGGTGCACGTGGAGCCTTTGAAGATGGTAGAATCGTCTCTTGTAGAATTGTCTTGTAACAGTTCTCATAATTTGCATTAGATTAGTCAATCAGTGTTATGAAGAAAGTTTTATCTTGTATTTGATCTCTCTCATCACTTAAAAAAAATCCAAATGAACTCATATGTCTTCTACATGACATTACACTTTTTCATTTAGTTTTATTTAATTTTTATAACTAATATTGTAGTTATAAAAATGTTTTTTATATAATTTTTAAAATATAGTAAATTATATTTTTAACAAAAGAAAAAAAAATAATTAATTTGGACTTGTGCAGTTTCTAATTTAAACCGGCTAAATAATTAATTTTCTTGAAACATAAAAGAAATTAACAAATTTAAAAATATAGCTAATTTTAGATGATGAGATTAATAATATAGGTTGCTTAAAAATTTGAAAAAAAAATTGTAGATGATGATATAGATTAATATTATTGGTTGTTTAAAATTAGAAAAAAAAATTCTTAATTACGTAAATGTTTATGAAGACCAATAAGATGCAGTTTTATAATCTTATATGGACACCCTTAGAGACATTAAGCCTCAACTTGTATATTAAAAAAAATTAATCTAATCACTTTAGACTTGTGAGTTTCTAATTTAAATGAGTTATATTAATTAATTTTCTTGAAACATGAAAATAAATTAGGTAATTTACAAATATAGCTAATTTTAGATGATGGTATAGATTAATACTATTGGTTGTTTAAAATTTGGAAAATTTCTTAATATCGTTAATGCTTACATGGACCAATCAAATTTCGTTTAATATCATATGTGGACACTCTCAAGGGCTTATATCCTCAACTTTTATATAGTATAGATTTAAACAACATTTTAACCAAGTTTAAATTCTTTAAAATCTCTAGAAGGTTAGATAATTTTGTTTGACATTGATGATGAAGATTTCATCTTTTCTTCTAATACAATCAAGATTTCTTTGTTAATCTCTATCTCTTTTCATTACTTCTTTATGAGTGCGCAGTTTCATTTTGGATTGGTGTTTATGATGGTTTTTTTTGTTTAAAGTGAATCTAGAATATGCTCGCTGAATTGTTTAGACCATCTTCAAATAAGTTTTTTTTCATTAACCAGTAGAAATTGATTTTAAGGTGTACGTTAGTGAACTAATTGATTAGATTGATTAATGCATATCAATTATCTAATCAATAATCCATTCTGACTTTAGTTGTCCTTAAATTTGTGAGTGATAAATGAAATATACAAAAACAAAAAAATGAAATATACGAAATAAGAAAGTTTTGGTCGAAGAATTTGACTTTAAACTCAGTTTTGCTTGGGACCACCAAAGTTAGATATGTCACTTTTTTTTTTCTTTTTTTTTGTGCAAAAAGATATGTCACATTTCTTCTCTCTTACGACAACATAAAATCTCCACCACACATCAAAACATAGTTCATTCAGACGCTTTCCTGATCCACATTCAGTATATATAATCCATGGCATTTCTGGTCACATGCAAAAAAAAAATGGACAAAAGATGGAGTCTTCAAGGTATGACTGCTCTTGTAACCGGTGGAGCCAGTGGAATCGGGTTTGTCTTTCTTCTCTGTTCGATCTATAAATTACCTTTTTTACTCTTTGTTCCGATTCTTTTAACATCTTGAACGGTCAACAATATAAGGAATCTATATATGTTTATTGAATGTTTAGGCATGCAATAGTAGAGGAGCTAGCTAGTTTTGGAGCTAGAATCCATGTATGCGACATATCTGAAACTCTGCTCAATCAAAGTTTAAGTGAATGGGAAAAGAAAGGGTTTCAAGTGAGTGGTTCGATATGTGATGTATCCTCTCGTCCCGAGAGAGAAACTCTGATGCAAACTGTCTCCTCTTTGTTCGATGGCAAACTCAACATTCTTGTAAGTAAATGATCATTGATCAAGAAACAACTATAAGTATATTTTTTTAAGTTCTTGTTTTTGTTCGACATAGGTAAATAACGTGGGCGTACTTCGTGGAAAGCCAACAACAGAGTATGTGGCAGATGATTTCTCTTTCCATGTCTCAGCGAACTTGGAAGCTGCTTTTCATTTTTGCCAGCTTTCACATCCTCTCCTGAAAGCTTCAGGCCATGGAAGCATCGTCTTCATGTCCTCTGTTGCAGGGGTTGTATCAGTTGATATTGGATCCATTTACGGTTTAACGAAAGGTAACCAAAGTACTACTAGATGCATGCAAGATTAATTAATGAACAATGAGTTTTGTCGAGTCATAATAAAAAGTGTTTTATATATCATATATAGGAGCTCTTAATCAGTTAGCAAGAAATTTGGCATGTGAATGGGCAAAAGACGGCATAAGAGCAAACGCTGTTGCACCGAATATTGTCAAGACTCGTCAGTCTCAATCTGTAATGAAAACAAAAAAATAAACCTTTTTACATAATTTTTTAATTTAACAAACCTCAATTGTTCTAAACATCTCTTAATTTTGTTTCTTATAGTTTCTTGAGGACGTCAGTTTGAAGGAGGCATATTTTGGTAGAACTTCACTTGGTCGTGCTGGAGAGCCGAATGAAGTTGCATCGCTAGTGGTCTTCTTGTGTCTACCTGCTGCGTCTTATATCACTGGTCAAACCATTTGTGTTGATGGAGGCTTCACTGTTAATGGTTTCTCCTATCAACCACCACATGCTTGAGAATGTCCTTGTCGCTTTTTATATGTAATCTTTTTGTAAAACTCTTAAAGTTCTCTCTCTAATAAAAACTCTCACGCTATGAGTGTATATATGTACGAAAACATTCAGATTCCAATAGTGGAGAATCTAATCTTGATTTGATATAAGAGTCGATTCCACACGCAACGCCAAGAGCTTGTTACATTCAGCAATATTTTTCTCATACATCAAGATATTTTCCATCCTCTGTTTCCATCATCAATGTTGAGCAGATGTTTCTATACACTACTAGATTGAGTTATCAATGTGTATATTTTATTTTTTCTGTAATGTTTTATTGATTCTTTTTATTACAGGAGCTTGGAATCAACTAGCAAGAAGTTTGGCATGTGAATGGGCAAAAGACGGCATAAGAGCCAACTCTGTTGCTCCTAATATTGTCAAGACTCCTCAGTCTCAATCTGTAATGCAAATTAGAAAACAAATTTAAACATTTTTTTGGGAATTTAATCATCTTGATTGTTCCAATCATCGCTCAAAAACTTTGTTTCTTATAGTATTTTGATGACGTGGGTTTCAAGGAAGGAATGTTCGGTGGAACTCCACTTGGTCGCGCTGGAGAACCAAATGAAGTTGCATCACTAGTTGTCTTCTTGTGTCTACCTTCAGCTTCATACATTACTGGTCAAACCATTTGTGTTGATGGAGGCCTTACTGTTAACGGTTTCTCCTATCAACCACCACAGTCTTGACTCTTGAGCCACACCTTGTTTATGTGTGGACAGTCTTATTAATAAATTCCTTTGTATTTTATCCTTAACGACCTATGCATTTGAGAAACTAAAAAAACTTCTATTAAAAACTTGACTTCAATCTTTGGCATACATTTGTAATGTGTTAGATTTGGCATACATGCATTTTCGTGTTTGTTTGTTTTAAACTCTTAAAGTTCACTTCTCTAATAATAATAATAAAAAAATAAAAATAAAAAAAACTCTCACATACACGTCACAACATTAAAGCCACATAGACTAACGAGTTTACATTTCTATTAGCATCTCCAATAGACCCTTATTTCTTTATAATATAAGGGCTTTTGCATTCCAATAGACCCTTATCCCCTTATATTTTAAAGGAATAAATAGTGCACCCTTAAATATAAGGGGTTAGAGCATCTCCAATGGTCACCCTTAAAATAAAGGGACACACCTTTAAAATAAGGGGTTTGTAAGTTTTGTTCCAATGGAGACCCTTATCCTTACCCCTTAAAAAAAATATTTTTGCATTATAGTCCTTAAAAGTAACTAGAATCAATTATAATACTAAAACTTTCACAAAATGCAATAAAAACACTTTAATAAAATATTACACAATATTATTAATTAAAACATTACATAATAATATAAAATTACATTAAAACATAAAATTATATATAAAAATATTAAACTAAAATTACATTATTGTTTCCATAATTTTCCAATCAATGAATGTTTTTATTTGATTTTATGTGGTGGTAATTAAATTTCTTATTAGAGAGAGTAAATGTTAAAAAAAAATTATAATTTTAGACTAAACTGATCACAAAAAGTATTATAAATGTTATTTGTAAGATTGTATAATTACAAGGACTAAAATGCAAATTCAAAATATTTTTAAGGGGGTGAACAGTGACCCCTTATATTTAAGGGTGCACTATTCATCCCTTTAAAATATAAGGGGATAAGGGTCCATTGGAATGCAAAACCCTTAAATTATAAAGGAATAAGGGTCCATTGGAGATGCTCTTAGTGTTCACCCCCTTAAAAATATTTTAATTTTGCATTTTAGTCATTGTAATTATACAATCTTACAAATAACATTTATAATACTTTTTATGATCAGTTTAGTCTAAAATTATAATTTTTTTTTAACATTTACTCTCTCTAATAAGAAATTTAATTACCACCACATAAAATCAAATAAAAACATTCATTGATTGGAAAATTATGGAAACAATATTGTAATTTTAGTTTAATATTTTTATATATAATTTTATGTTTTAATGTAATTTTATATTATTATGTAATGTTTTAATTAATAATATTGTGTAATATTTTATTAAAGTGTTTTTATTGCATTTTATGAAAGTTTTAGTATTATAATTGATTCTAGTTACTTTTAAGGACTATAATGCAAAAATATTTTTTTAAGGGGCAAGGATAAGGGTCTTCCATTGGAACAAAACTTACAAACCCCTTATTTTAAAGGTGTGTCCCCTTTATTTTAAGGGTGACCATTGGAGATGCTCTAAAGAATCGATTAGACCAAAGAATCTTACACATAACAACTCTTCCACGTGCAACACCAACTAACTTGCAGCAATGTCTTTCTCTCTCGATTCATTCCTCTGTTTTAGATTTACTTGAGGTGTTCAAAAACATGTATTCTTAATGGTAATCAACAAGGAGTAATCAGTTAAAGTCAATACTTACCCGTTGACTTCCCTTGTATTTTTTAATACCATGTTTGTAAGGATAATTTTTTCTTTCCTTTTAAGGCGATGTTTTAAATATTATTGCTTTTAAATTATCCTTTCTCAACCACACAATGAAAGGCGTGGGCTCGTCCCTATCAGGAATATCCGATATATCTTCACTTTAAATATTTTGTGGCATCTCTGGTACTTGATCATAGTCATAGCCAAAAATGGATAAAAGATGGAGTCTCCAAGGTATGACTGCTCTTGTAACCGGTGGAGCCAGCGGAATCGGGTTCGTCTTTCTTCTCTCGATATCATCTTTATCCCTCAAATGCTATGATATTATTTCTTGATGACGATAAACTTACTTTTTGTGGAATGTTTTAGGCATGCCATAGTAGAGGAGCTAGCCGGTTTTGGGGCCAAAATCCATGTATGTGACATTTCCACAACTCTGCTCGATAAAAGTTTACACGATTGGGAGAAGAAAGGGTTTCTAGTGAGTGGTTCGGTCTGTGATGTATCCTCTCGTCCGGAGAGAGAAACACTTATGCAAACTGTCTCAACGATTTTCAGTGGCAAGCTTAACATTCTTGCTAAGTTAATCTTAATAAAAATATATTCTTTAGGAATCAAAATTTAAGCAGTGACATATATAGTAGGATTTTTTTTTATAACTCTTTTTTGTTCAATGTAGGTGAGCAACGTTGGTGTAGTTCGCCCTAAACCAACAATAGAAAATGTGGAGGACGACTTCACGTTCCATATTTCAACAAACTTGGAATCTGGTTATCATCTAAGCCAGCTTTCACATCCTCTCCTAAAGGCTTCTGGCTATGGAAGCATCGTCTTTATTTCCTCTATTGCAGGGGTTATATCAATTGGCTGTGGAACATCCATCTATAGTTTAACCAAAGGTCCAAATATAGTAAACACTTACTTAGACTTTTTTGTTTGAGGATATTTTATTTATGATCATTGGTCTAATTTTCTTTAGAAGATTCCTAATAAATGTCTCATAGTTGATCTTTCTATTTTCTTTGTGGTATGTACAGGAGCTTTGAATCAGTTAGCAAGAAATTTGGCATGTGAATGGGCAAAAGACGGCATAAGATCCAACGCTGTTGCTCCTAACTTTATCCACACAACTCTGGCTCAACCTGTATAATCAATGACAATATCATTTGCTTTAATTTCTATCTAACACCATGCATGTCTCACTACTCTTGTTTCTATCTATCATCAGTTTCTCCAAAGCGCCGGTTTTAATGAGAGTTTGTCCAGTAGAACTCCTCTTGGTCGTGCTGGAGAGCCGATGAAGTTGCATCACTAGTGGTTTTTTGTGTCTACCTGCAGCTTCATACATTACTGGTCAAACCATCTGTGTTGACGGAGGGCTCACTGTTAATGGTTTCTCCTACCAACCACCACAGGCTTGAGCTTAGGGTGTGTGTTGGTGAATGGTGATGGTCTATATATTTCCTTTTGGCTTTTGGTTTTGGATTTTTTTTTTTTAGGTTTGGTATTTTGATATATTTGCTTGTGTAATGATTATGCATAAGTAGATTTCTAATTTGGTTTTATAAATGATTCTACTTAAGTAAATGAAAAGCCAAAAAAGAAAGGTACTCAAAAACTACCATCAAGAAAGTTCTTTGTCTTCTTGTTTTCTTTTGCTTTGATTGTGACCAGACCAAAGCTAACATTTGGTATGTTCAAGATAAGCTCTAACGGACGACGGATTGCATCAGCTCCATCGCCTTCTCCACACTTCACAGCTTAGCAATCGCTGAAGCAGGCAAGTTTTTTCTCGGTGGAAGCTTTAGATCCTCCCACCACTCATCTTCCTCCATTTTCTTGAAGTATTTATCTACCATTTCATCCTTCACCTCCTCCAGTCGACATGGCTCCCACTATAATTTCAGTACACTTCATTATATCAACATATAGTCCATAACCTCAAAACATCTACCTTGAGAATTAATTTTTCAAACCTTTGGGTTCTTATCTTTGTCAGTCAATATGGATCTGCACCCCTGCATAAGAAAGACAAGATTTTGTAATTATGTATACAACAATGACTGTTCTAAGAGGAAGATACAACCGGTGAAAGCTGACAAAAAACCTCCACAAAATCTTTGCTTATGTCTCCTTTCATCACATGAGACACCATTCTATTCTCACGGATAAGGCATTGCCCCAACCCCTGAAATCTTCCTTCTCGTATCTAAAATTTTTATACACAGCCACAGTAAGTTTTTCCCAATCATCTCATGTGATGCATTTCTGTGAAAACTAACCGATCTAAGAGAGATTTTAAGGCTTGCTGGTGAAGCCTTCTTCAATGCTGTAATGGTAGATGAGATCCATTCATCTGGTTCCTTAGGGGCCTCTCTCTCCTAACCAAAAAGCATGATGGTAGAGTGCATTTTCAAAGAAGGTAACTCAGGATCTTAAGTCAGTTACATATCCTATGTATTAGTGATAAACTCACAAGTGCTGATATAATTTCTTCGACTGTTCTTTTTGAGAAGCACCTATCAATAACATCTAACCTGCGTAAAGATAAGAAACAACCAAGACATGAATCACGTATAAAGCGATTGAAAGCTGACAAGTTTGGAATCTAATACAAATGTTTTAGCACATGATCAAGAATTATATTCACTTACCTGTGGTAAGCACTCTGCTGTTTAAGGTGCGGAATTTGAGTGTATGCATCGAGAATTGTTGAAGCAAAGTTTGGATCGCCTGAACTAACTCTGCAAAGATCTGCTTCTAATGCAGCTAACTTCTGTGACAAGGAAAAAAAAATCAACCTTACTAAGTAACAAATTATGTGTCATGTTACATTACTTAAGACGCAAGCAAAGGAAGTTGATACCGTTGAAGGCACAAAATGAGTTGCAAGACCACAAGCAAGCATTTCGGCACCATCTAACCGAGCTCCAGTGAGGCCAAGATACTCTCCTGAACAAGAAGACATGAACGATGAGAGAGAGAGGTAGATAAATAAGCTCACACTTTTGTGGGTTTTGAAAGAAAAAAAGTTGGCTTCTGTTACCAAAAAATCCAGGGAGTCTTGACAAGAAGAAGGAAGCTCCTACATCTGGAAAAAGCCCTATAGCTGTCTCAGGCATAGCAAAAACCTTGGAGAACACTCAAAATATATGGAATGAATATATGAGTATATATAAATCAGATCATTCATGGACATGTTTTAAGAATACCGTGTTCTCAGTGGCAATACGAAATCGACCATGGATGCAAACACCAGCTCCACCTCCCATGACAATACCATTCAAAATCGAAACCTACACAATTTTCCCATATATATGGAAAAACAAATTAGATGAGCTTTACAAACTTTCACCGAGTATATATGTTGAGAGTACCTGAGGTTTGCTATATGTGGCCATAACATAGTTGAGCTTGTATTCATCTGACATGAAAGCAGCACTAAGTCTCCAGTTTCCTAGTCTTATATCACGAACAACAGCTGAAACATCTCCACCAGCACAAAAGGCTCTTCCTTGACCCTATGGCAAAGTTATTCACTCTTGTGTGCAAACGGGGGAGATCATAAATATATAATGAATTGAATTACCTTTAGAATGACAAGTTTCACACTAGGGTCATCCTCATACGCAAGAAACAGTTGTAGCAACCGAGAGATCTAGAAAAGATTGATTCAAGCCAATTAATGTAACAGTAGTGCACGAGAGAGAGGAGGAAACAACAAGAAAAAGAAAAAAAAAAGATTAAATACCATGTGTGAAGACAGAGCATTAAGCTGCTTTGATCTGTTTAGTATCAAGATTCTAACATTCGATTTCTCTTCCACCAAAACCTGTGATCAGATTGATTTACAGAGAGAAGAAGAAGAATTGATATGATCGTCCTAGTAGATAAGGGAAAAAAGATGACCTGAGAGTGAGAGGCCATTTTTCGTCTTCTCTCTTCTTCTCTTCTTTACGGGTCAAATTCGCCTTTGTATCGTCCCGGACGTATACCAGAGCAGCTATGGGATCCAGATCCAGGGAAGAATATTTTAGTGTTTTTTTCATTATTTTTTTAAGATTGTTCTTGCAGATGACTTCTAGTTAGTCACTTCTCTAATTCATTTGGCACAAAAACTTTAGGAGATTGCATTTTCAACGAAAATGTAACTTAAAAACATATTTTAGTATTTATACTTTTTTCTAACGCGAGAATAGTAATCAAAATTTAATAATACTCTAAAGCGACTCTAGAGGATTGCAAAGGGCCCTGATCGTCTAACCCTCAACTAAGGCCCATTATTTTGATTAACCTAAGAGCATAGGCATCGCACAGGTCGATATGGAGCTCTTTAGAATATTAGTTTAAGCCAAGAACGTTAAGCTGCCACCAAAAGGGAACAAAATTGGCACTTCAAGATCAAATGGCCACAACTTTGGATCAGTAAGAGACTATTTATCTTTAAAGTGAAGCCTCCGATTTTCGTTTCTTCGCCATTAGATTCCGAATCTTCAATTTGTAAATTAGGGATTTCAGATTTGAAAAATTTGGATGCGAATAGATTGTTGGTGAGGAGGGGAAGAAGAACAAGAGAGACTTGTGGCATTTGAGAAGAATAAGAAGAAGGAGAAGAAGATCGAAGAGAAAGGAGACGAAGAAGAAGACGAAGGAAGGAGAAATTCTTTTTTTGAAGAACAGAACAAAAAAAAACAAAAGAGCGACAAAAAAAAAAAAAAAAAAAAAATTCACAGAGCTATGTGCTCGCGACACCTGGCGAGTAGAGACGTATCTCACCTGGCGAGTAGAGACGTATCTCAGACCTCTTCCGGGAGATACGTTTCTAGGCTTCGACCTGGCCACATGTGTAATTATTTTGCTTTTTTATTTAATTTTTGGCTTGAGATACTATGTAAAGCTGTGCAATGCCTATGCTCTAACAGAAAACGTGAACAAGTTTGTCCTATACGTTGTGAAGGATACGTGTGGCCTAGACTCCTAGAATAAACGAACGGTCACTATTCTTTTGAATTTTACTTGGATAGATATCCAAATCTCTATGAACAGAAAAATCTGGTTCTGTGAGACTGTGATTCATCATAATCAGAAATGGCTAAGACAGGAGAAAACTTGAGAGACAAATCTAGATGGAGCCTTGGAGGCATGACAGCTCTTGTCACCGGCGGCTCCAAAGGCATCGGGTCAGTCCCATTTCTCACACCTTACCTACTTTCTTACTATAGACTGTAGTCCAAATCTCCATGAGCAAGTCTTCCAAATTGTTCATGCTCGAGTATATATCACACAAATTTCTCAATTAGTTAAAATATATATAGTTTCAAATTTTAGAGATTCATGTGAGAGACTTCCAATAGAAAGTACTCGAAACCTTTTGGTTACCCAAAAAAAAACACTTAATGTCTGCTGTGAAAAGGGACGCCGTGGTGGAGGAACTGGCTACGCTTGGAGCAAGAGTCCACACATGTGGCAGAGACGAAACTCAGCTTCAAGAACGCTTACGTGAATGGCAAGCAAAAGGTCTTCAGGTCACTATTTCTGTTTGCGACGTTTCTTCTCGTGCTCAACGAGAGGAACTCATGAAAACTGCGTCCTCTGTCTTCCAAGGCAAGCTCAACATCCTCGTGAGTATAAATATATATATGACATGAACTTTGATCCACGTATCTAGGTCTGTTCATTGTGTTTTCTTATATGTTTTCTGTTTGGATCTTTATAAGGTGAACAATGTGGGAACGTGTATAACAAAACCTACCATAGAGTATACAGCAGAAGACTTTTCGTTTCTGATGGCTACAAATCTTGAGTCAGCTTTTCATCTCTCACAGCTCGCTCATCCTTTGTTAAAAGCCTCAGGCTCAGGGAGCATCGTGCTCATGTCCTCCATTGTTGCAGTTGTGCATGCCAATTTTGGATCCATCTATGGAGCAACCAAAGGTGATATAAACATACTCCCTCTCTGGCATTTTGAAGTTATGCACACCTATTAAGAAATTATTTAATTTCAATTTTTTAAAAATAAAACATGTTTTATCGTTATTTACAATAAAATCCAACCAATAAAATTTCAATCTACAGAATTTAAAGAGTCAAAATAACAAAATACAATGAATTTTTGCATTGAAATGTATAAAGACCACTTATTTATGAACAAAATTTTATTTCTTAAAGGCCACTTATTGGAGAACAGAGGGAGAGAGAGTTTATATATACTAGAAGAGCACTCGTGCAATGCGCGGGTTTTGTCAATTTTTTTAATTTTATTCTTGATATTATTTTGTTTTGTTTAAATATCATTTTGTATGTGCAAAGATTATCTTTTGGGGTAAATTTTCTTTAAATGTTCAACAAATGGAATAAGAATTTATTTATTTACACTAAAAGTGTATTACAGCGTTGATAGTATGATTAATTCTATTATAATATATATTTGTGATTCATATGTGAAAATGAAACGTACTTTAAAAGTGTTGTAAATTGTTTCTGGTGATGGTTTTTCAGTCGAGAAAGGTACCCATACTTGGTACATCTCTTCTTTATATGTAATAAGTGAGCATATATAGTATATATGTTAGTCTAATAATTATGTTTGGTGTTTAATTGATGATGAGAAACAACCATAATGCTAGTCGTAGGATAACGTTAAACGCGACCACAATAAAATGAATTCAGAAGCATATTACCTACATGAACACGTGTACATCCTTGTGGTAGATCGTCTCTATTTTTATCAGTTTATTTATGTAATCTATTACTTCCGGCAAAGAAGAGTAGATTTATGATTTTTAGATATATGTTTTTTAGGTTCATCCACCAAATTGACTTTGATTCAGGTCAAACAAAATCAAAGCCAGCCAAAGAAAATCGATTGGCCCTTCATTTAGAGAAGCGCACATGTCATAAACAAAAGATGGAAACGAACAAACGAAAAATATCAAAAATGCCTAATAAGTAATAATGAAAGAGCATCTTCGACCTAAAAAAAAGTAATTAGGAAAGAGCATCGATCAAGCAACTTCATCGAACGAGACCTTCCAGGTCTGATCAGTGATCACTTCTTCTGCAACAATTTCTCTAAAGCAGAAATTCTATTTCTTGCAGCCAAGAGTTCCTCATGTTCAAGTATGGCGCCAAGCAAAGAAAAAGAAGAAGAGAATCAATAACACTTTCCACATAAGTTTCTTCTTTGGGCTGGGTTTTACAGAATTTTGAACCTGCAAGTCGAAACAGGTGTATAAACATAAGTCTTTGGAGGCATAGAGAACACACCATAACCTGATACAATTTTAGCCTTATGATTTTGTCCTTAAAAAGCAAAAACCTGAAACTGATGGGACTTTTTTCTTACTTGAGGAAAGAATTATTAAAACAGAACACAGAACACACAACACTCTCTCTTTATAAGGACGAACATTATAATGTGATATTAAACTTCTCTCTTGTAAACTAACGCAAAGTTTGAAACCAATATGACATTTTCATACCTTTTTAGTCCCATTGACGTCATTGATTTCCTTTACTGGTGAAATTTTCTTGACCAAGTCATTAGATTCAGCAACAACATCATTCTCCACTTTCTTGCTCACAAGCTCGGATGCCTCTCAAGATTTCGTTGATGCATATATGAGCCAAGAACTTCATAAACATCCAACTCTGCGACAATCATGAGTTCTCCGTTCACAAGAAATCCACCATCTTTGTCATGAAGTTGTGAAAGGGGAAGCATTGCTGGAAATCCCCAAGTGGTAGTCTTGCCATCAAAACAATGCTCTGTTTCTGCAGCAATGTCATCTAAATAGTTAGTTAAGTAGCAAATAAAACACGTCATGAACATTTAAAAAAAAATACAAGACTGATCTGAAAACTCCCTCAAGAATACAATATTCATAAAACATGTATTAAATTTCGTTCGGTCAAAAGGTTTAACGTGTGTAAGTTCTAGATCTCAATTCACAATCAGAACAGTGTCTAGTCAATATTAAACAGAAGTAATCACATAACCAAAAAAATCGAAATCAAAATCTGCTCAATATTATCCCTAGATAGATATTGAAAATATTGTGTTCTTCTCCGCCATTTCTCCACAGCCTTGGTTCGGAACACAGACATTCTACATAGCAAACACCAATTTGTGTGTCACTAATGATAATGAAACAAAGGTAATGAGATTGGTCTCCAGATGAAGTTGTACAGTTGAATTCCTTTTGTCCTAAATTGCAAACACAAGATATAATACGAAAACCAAAACCAGAATGAGGAATAAATTTAGAGTTAGCCTCTAATATAACAAGGAACAACATTCAATGTAATTGTGGTGAAAACTTGCAATTACCCAACTGGACATGTACTCGTCAAACAAACTAATAACAGACTTGATCTCCTTCTCTCCAGAAGAACAGATGAATCTGCAATGGTGTGATGATCCAACATAACAAACAAAGGTTAAAAATCTGTGAAACAAAAACCATAAAAGAGTCAAGAAGCTACAAGTGAGAGAAGAGGTAAAGACGAACCCTTTAGGCTTGTTCAGAGCAAAATAAACCTTTGGAGGAAGTTTCTTGGGAATACGATTCCCATTAACATAGATATTGTCTCTCTCTGGATCGACTCGAGTCTGCAATAAACAAAATTGCTATGGCTTTATCAAAGTTTGAAACTTTGAACAATCTATTTTAATCCCTAAAAGCAGAGTTTTTTTATACCTGTTGAGTGGTGCAGAGAACACCATTGACAGTAGCCTTTCCATCAAAAATAAGCTCTTCAGAGGTTCTTCTCGATGCAACTATCATTACATTAGATAAAAGTTCCATCATTTCGAAAAATTTCAAAGGAATCAAAATGTCAGATTGAAACAGAGGAGAGTGATTATCAGTGATTTGTTACCTCCAGCAGCAGCGAGAACCTTGCTCAAACGCTGAGGAGGCTCTTTAATGTTCTCGTTGTAAAACCTACGCGCCGCCTTGGAGAGCTTTGGCTCGGAGTGTGAAGCCGGGGAGGAGGAGGCGGAGGCAGATGCGGCGGTGGATGCGGGTTGGTGTTTCCTCTTCTTGGTCTTCTTCTTCGGGTTCTGAGTAGTGGCATCGGCGAGAGAGTGGATTAATTGGGCGGGAGAAACAGAGATTCTGTAACGGATGGAAGCTAAATCGTGAAATCGGCCGCCTCAACGGTGAAGAGAGGAAGGCGACGGGTTTTTGTGGTAATCCGATAATCGAATGGGGTAGCTGGGTAACCGGATTTATAGTGGAAGAGGGGATTAAAGAGGGAGGAACATTAAAGCTCAAGCTAAACCGACTGTATGTGGGAGCCTGTAACGGCTCTGGACGGAATCCAGTTCGTCGACGGTGAAGAGAGGGAGTGGAGAAGACGGAACATGCAAGAAAACTTAGGGGATCAAAAATTAAAAAGAATGAAAATACAAAACGGCGTCGTTTTGGAGCGCTGAGAAAGGGCCAAAAAACTGACGTGGCACTCGTTTTAGAGTCGGTGGGAAGTACTACAAAACGGTGTCGTTTTGGAGGGAGACGGAAGTGGGACAAAGCGGAAGAAACGGTAGCATTTTAGGGAGAGATGAGGAAGGTTTAGTAATAAATGAAGGGATGACGTGACACTCTCTTGGGGTGTTGAAGTGTCATCAGCTGGAGAGTGTCACAAGCCCTTTCAATTATATAGATTTAAATTTTTGTGCGTTTTGTAAGACTATATATTTGCCCGTTCTAGGTGCTATGAATCAGTTAGCAAGAAACTTATCTTGCGAGTGGGCAAGTGACAGAGTCAGGGTCAACTCCGTCTGTCCATGGTTCACAGCAACTCCGTTAGCTAACAGTGTAAGGCAATAAATATAGTAAATACAAAGTTTCTTCGTGATACTATGAAAAGAAAAGAAAAAGAGCATATATCAGTTTGCTGCAAAAATAAAAATTTATGTGAAAATCTTTCAGTATCTCAGAGATGAAGAGTTAAAAAAAGAAGTGAAGAATAGGACACCAATGGGGCGTGTTGGAGAACCAAATGAAGTGTCATCGCTTGTAGCATTTCTGTGTCTTCCCGCAGCTTCATATATTACTGGCCAAAGCATTTGCGTTGACGGAGGTTTCACTGTTAATGGATTCTCCTATAAGGCTCTGCCTTAAGGCCTCGATCGATTATTATTTGTTTTCGTTAGCATTTATGTTTTAAATATATATTTTGTTCTCAATAAACTCACAATTTTAGCATACCTGAGGCTAAATGCCTAGTGAAAAAAAAAGACCTTCTTTGTTGACCTTTGATGGAGCTCTTTCCGTTCATGCATTCTAAAGGCTTCCGCGAAGGAAATCTTTTCTCAGACATGAAGAACGAGGAGGAAAGTCTTGAAACCTACACTCTTCTGATGTTCTGAAATAGTGAAACTGGAGTGTATAGTTGGGCCTTAACCAAGGCCCATTTTTTTGAGGTTAGGAAACATACACGCCAAATGTGTGGTTTAGACTTTGTCATATGAATTATGACATATGTGTGGTTATGATTTATAAACAGTTCTTACCATTAATTCATTTTGACTTTAGATTCAGTTGAGATCTTCAAATCTCCATGGAAATTTATCTTGCTCTGTAGGTTGTAGTTGATAACCAAAAATGGCTCAGACAGGGGGTAGCTTAAGAGACAAACCTAGATGGAATCTTGGAGGAATGACTGCTCTTGTCACCGGTGGCTCCAAAGGCTTAGGGTCAGTCCCAAATCCCAATCCTTACTAGTTCTAAATCGGATCTGAGAACCCATTTATAGCTTTTTATATGAATCTTTTGATGTTGTTTCAATGTTTAATTAACAATGCTTCTGAAAAGAGAAAAGCTAACTGATGTAAAAACTCATAGTTCTCATGTGCATGTGTTTTATAAACAGAGAAGCTGTGGTAGAGGAACTAGCTATGTTGGGAGCCAGAGTCCACGCTTGTGCCAGAGACGAATCTCAGCTTCAAGAACGCTTACTTGAATGGCAAGCAAAAGGGTTTCAGGTCACCACTTCTGTTTGCGATGTTTCTTCTCGTGAACAACGAGAGAAACTCATGGAAACCGTTTCATCTATCTTCCAAGGAAAACTCAACATCCTCGTAAGTTGTGTAACTGTGTAAGCTTTACTCCCTGGATCTTGTGATCAACAAGAACCAAAATGATGTTGTGTTTGGTCTGTTTGGGTGTATATAGGTAAATAATGTGGGAACGGGTGTACTAAAGCCAACCACAGATTGTACAGCAGAAGAGTTCTCGTTTATCATGGCTACAAATCTTGAGTCAGCTTTCCATCTCTCACAGCTCGCACATCCTTTGTTGAAAGCCTCTGGCTCAGGGAGCATTGTACTCATGTCTTCCGTTGCCGCAGTTGTGAATTTGAGTTTTTTATCCATCTATGGAGCAAGTAAAGGTATACACATATGTATATGTTTATACCCGTTCCATCTAAAATTTATTGAGTCTTTGCTTTTTTTTAAGACTTATACAAATGTTTGAATTCTAGGAGCCCTTAATCAGCTGGCGAGAAATTTAGCTTGCGAGTGGGCGAGTGATAACATAAGGACTAACTCAGTTTGTCCATGGTACATCACAACACCTTCAGTGAAAGATGTAAGGCATAGAAATAAAAATAGAAATCTTATTAAATATGTGAAACAAATTATTAAACTATTTTTTATGGTATTTTTGTTTAGTATCTTAGTGATAAAGATTCAAGAGAAAAGGTGGAGAGTGTGACACCAATGGGACGTGTTGGAGAGGCAAATGAAGTGTCATCGCTAGTAGCATTTCTATGTCTTCCTGCAGCATCTTATATAACTGGTCAAACTATTTGCGTAGATGGAGGTTTCACTGTCAATGGATTCTCCTACAAGGCTCTGTCTTAGGGCGTTTTGTTTTCTTTTTTCCTTTCTTTCTAAAAGTATCTTGAGGACTTGAGTTTCAAGGAGGGTTTTTCAGTAGAACTTCACTGGGTCGGCTTTAAGAGCCGAATGAAGTTGGATGGATCACAATTCATTCGGCAAATAATAGGGGAATAAAATTAAACTAGAGTTTGACCCGCGCCCAGCACGGGGAGATGGTTTCTGAATTTGTATTTTTTAATTAAAAATGTATATTTAACTATTTCAAAATTTTATGTGACAGATTTTTTTACCTTGTTAAGGTTTTTATCTTCGTTTATAATGTGGAAATTAAACATTTTAAAAATTATAAACAAATTAAAACATTGATCATAGATTAAATATGCTAGACTATAGATTAAATATGCTAGACTTCAGCAAAATACATAAAACTCAAATGAGTGTATTTTATAAGATAAGAAGTTTTAGGTGTTTACACGGATTAGAACTAACTTTTTTTATTTCTTTTAAAACTAAAACATGTTTTATTATAATTCCAAAACAATCCAACCAATAAAAGATCAATCTTGCAAAATCCAAATTGTCAAAATAACAAAAGTATAAGTAATTTTGTACTGAAAAATTGAAACAAATGGAGCAATATTCAAATTTTTGATCAAAATTAAATACATTTATAAAAAATATTATTTTATTTGATTTCATTATACAGTTTAACTAAAAAATCATATAAAATATTTTTAAAAAAAATTACATTTAGATACCTACTCTCCTACTTACATGGTTGCATATCATCTATTTTTTATAATATATTTTTACACCTACACACAACAACATATTGGGAATTTTAATAGTTTTAGTGATTATTTTGTTTTTAAAATTCAAATCATAGCATATATAGAAAAAGTTTTAGATTTTATTTATTAGATTTTTTGTATTGTGTCAATTTTTTATTTTATAAAATAAAATCTATACTATATAAAAGTTGAGGCTATAAGCCTCTAAGAGCGTCCACATAGGATTTAAAAACGCGATATGATTGGTCCACATAAGTATTTCCTAGATTAAGAAAGTTTCCGAATTTTAAACAACCAATAGTATCAGTCCACATCATCACATAAAATTAGCTATTTGTTCAATTAGTTAAATTCCTTTTTATATTTTTATATTTTAAGAAAGTTTCATAATTCAAAGGTAAGCAATAGGAAAGTTTCCAGAATTTATAAGTGTAATATTAGTAGAGATATGTAATAAATAAGAAAATTATACCAACAATATCATTATATATCAACATCTAAAATTATTTATATTTGAATTTTTTTTCATTAATTTACTTTTTATTTTTATCAGCAGAATTGTAAAAAAGGAGATTTTCCTTTAAGAAAAAAGAAAACAAATAATAATACTATTGGAAATTAAATAAGGAAACAAATAAGGAAATTTTCCTTTAGCTAATAAAAATTAAAAACCCTAACACACTTTTGCCATCTATTTCTTATATATACCAAGAGTCATCTCCTCCCTTTTTAACACCTACAAAAGCTACAATTGTATTAACTGGATTTTGATCAAATGTAGCTTACATGAATAAACATATGTTCACGTCAGAGCTTGATATAAGATCAAACAAATCCAACATCGAGAAACCACCTGGAAACAAGATGGAGGGATATATATTGAAGACAAGATACTTTGACATCACATATTGAAAGTTCACATAGATCGATCAATTCTTCTAAAGGATATGTAGTGGATTAATGAAAAATCATGAAGCAAAGGAATGATTGAAACAAAGACAATGGGCATCACACTGAAGGTATACATGTCCTTCTGTGAAATAAATAAATTCGCTTGCTTTATTTCGAATATTATCTGGTCTATGGTGTTCAATTGATTTTCTTTGTATTTTGATAATGGAAGCACATCCAATTAATTAATAAATAAGTTACATTACCACAAAAAATTCAAAGGACTATGAAGAGAACAAGGAATCGAAATTACCAAAGTGTAGATTAAATCAAAAGTGAATTGTTGCTCCTAAATTAGTAAGCTTTCGATGGGGAAAATAATATTGATTATGAAGAAAGAAAAAAAATCAGAATAGTGATTACATGACACAAATTGAAAGGAAAAGGCAAACACAATAGAAGGCTGTATTTTGTTCCTTTTCTATTTTTCTATTTTTGTTTTTTCAATGTTTTGTAATATTTACATATTCATGTGTTTATAAGTAGTACTTTTAAAAGATGCCACTTGAAAGAGAAGGAATATAAACAAAAGTAAATTTATGAAAAACAGAATAAGATAAATTCTTCTCATTTTAGTATTTACATATGACATTCAAAGGGCCTGTTTTGAATATATTTTGTTCAATAAGTCATTCTAGCTTGATTTTATTTTCAGTTTTTCAGGTAACGAAATTGTGTTTTATTTAATTATAATTTATTCTAAATTTAAGAGGAATAGAGCCATGCAGAATTTTAAGGGTCGAGAATAACCTACAGAAATAAGAGAAAAAAAATGAAGAAAAAAGTAGACACAAAGAAGAAGAGTACCAAGATAAAACCGAAGAATAGCGAAAACAAAGATATTGAATTGCGAATACAAAATAGAGACCAAAGAAGACAAAGATGAATAAGGAAAAACCATATTAAAAACTTGTGAAGAACAATTTGAAGAGGAATTCGAACAAGAACGAAGGAGAAGAAACCTAACAACAACAACAAAAAAATTGCGAAGACCAATCTAAAGAGGAAATAAAATAAGAACAAAGGAGAAGAAACCAAATCAAAACAAAACAAAAAAGAGAAAAAAAAAGAAGAGCGAAGACGAAGAAGAGCAAACGCGAAGATGAGTGAAAATGAAGAAGAAATCAAATAAGACCAAAGACAAAGAAGAAAACAAAACATAAGATACTGAAAAAGAATGAATCAAAGAAAATTAAAAAAAACTTTAAAACAACAGAAGAAGAAAATGAAGAACAATTATGTGTGTCGACTAGCTTCTCTTCATTTAGGTTTTAGGTTTTATAACCATTGAAAACTTACCAAAATATTAGTTTATCATCTAGCTTAAATTTATTACATACAAATATTGTTATTTATAGCATTTTAAGTTCTAACATAACCAACTGAAGTTATTTTAAATAAACATCATGTTACATACAAATATTGTTGACATCTAATTTTAAGAATTTCACTAAACATATTTAAAAATATATTTCTGTTTAGAAAATGACTAACACGTCACAATAGTTCATAAATTAACATTACATTTTACAAGTAAGTTTAGTGATAAAGTAAGTTTGTCCTATTATAATGATTTGAATATCTTCAAGTAAGTTTTGGTCATTAGACATATACAAACATTTTTGTTACCGGGATATGATCTAAACAATATTTTTGTATGTCAAGATTTGATCTCAATACGATATTGATATATCTAAAAACTTTTGTTTTCCAGAGAGTTTTGGTATTGAAATATTGATAAATTTTAATTGTTGATTTTTGCAATTTAAAAAAAAAATTAAAATATATTTTAAACTGATTTAAGATACAGACCCGCGCGTGCGCGGGTGAAAGTCCTAGTTAAACAAAGATGAAAGGAGATATAGAATGATTTAAAAAAAATATAATGATAGCATTAAATTAAATCTCATATTTTCCTTATTTACTAATTTTCGTAATTGCCAATTAAGGAAAGATAATGATGATTCTTTTATTAATAATTTCATATATGATTAATCTAACTATACATATTTGATTCTCTAACCAAAAATATGAATGACAATGTTTGTAATTAGTCTAGTAAACTAATTCTTATTTTATAAATAACATGAGAAGCTCCCTAATGATGACACATCAGCATGGCATTCTTGTTAATAACACATCAACTAATGGTTATTTTTAAAGTGTTTTCTCTTTTAATATATTAGGGATGAGCTTATTCTCCTATTTATTATGTTATTTAGTTTTATTTCTGGCATTACATGTGATCGAGCTGTTAAAAGAAAAATAACGATTGCATTTGTTCGAGCGGTTAGTAGCGGTCATTATCATAATGTGTAATTGTGGATTATGAAATAAGAGGTTTCTAAGTACAAAAGTATCACTTTGTTAAAACAAAAAAAGTTCAAAACCATCGCATGACCTTCGTTCAAGTCATTCTTTATAAGATAATTGTGATCTTCGTTGAATACACGTCCTCGTCCGATCGCTAGCTGAAAACAAGGAGTGGCAACTGGCAAGAAAGACCGAAAATTGGGAGAGAACTATTGATGGAGTCTTGAGTAGGCTATTTACAAAGGAAGATAAAGGAGACATGAGAGCATATTCTTAGGAGTTCTCATCAATATTTTCAGTGTTTTTCTCTTTGAGTAGTTCCGTATCAAAATTTCTTCCTTATCGGTGAGAAATGCTTTGAGAAGATTGTTGCATACTTTAAGCAAGCCTTTAGTTAAATGTGTAGCACGTGTATCATTTCCCAATACACGTGTATCATTCATTTCCCAATGTAGAAACATTACTGGCATGCTTTTGAGTTTTGACAAAGCGAACTGCATGTATGTATATGAAATATCGTCATTTTTTTTCTGGTAAGTGGGTAGTTTTATTTAAAGAATGAGTAAAGTAGTTTAGGTTTTTGTTGTCAACAAAAGCAGTTGAGAGTGTTAATGGAGCACATGATCATTATATTGAAGAGCCGTAGGTTTTAGACCTCATATATATAATTAAGATACAGAGGCCGGCTTCCATAGCTACAGAACAGAAGGAGAGGTTTAGCTTTCCCTCTTAATTTTCCTGAATCTTAAAACTGTGATTTTCGTATAACTTTTGGCTAACCATCAAATGCGAACTGTTTAAGTTTTGGTTTGTTATCTCACTGTGTCTTGGGCTGCAGTGTCATACACAATTATGGACAAGAGGTGGAGTCTTCAAGGAATGACCGCTCTTGTCACTGGTGGTACTAAAGGAATTGGGTCAGTTTCAACTCGCTTTCTTTTCTACTATTGCGATTGTAAATATTGAGTTCTCATTTCACTAAACAGATTGAGGTGTGATTGTGTTTCACTGTTAAACGAAACACAACCCCCAAGACTGTTAAACGAAAAACAACCCCCAAGAAACCGGACTGTTCTTGTTCTTTTTCTGATTAACCAAGAAACAGAAAAGTCTGATAATGTATATAAAGGCAGATGTATGTTATATGTGTGTTATAAATAGGGAAGCTGTAGTGGAGGAACTAGCTATGTTGGGAGCAAAAATCCACACATGTGCTAGAGACGAAACTCAGCTTCAAGAAAGGTTACGTGAGTGGCAAGCAAAAGGGTATCAGGTCACCACTTCTGTTTGCGACGTTTCTTCTCGTGACCAAAGAGAGAAGCTCATGGAAACCGTTTCCTCACTCTTCCAAGGAAAACTCAACATCCTCGTAAGTATACATATATAAGCTTCTTCTCCTAGAAATTGGCATCTACAGAAGAACGAAATCATAGTGTGTTTTGTAATTGGGTTTGTTTTGGGTCCATAACATATTTAGGTAAACAATGCTGGAACGAATATTTTCAAGCCAACTATAGAGTATACAGCAGAAGACTTCTCATTTATTACGGCTACAAATCTCGAGTCAGGTTTTCATCTCTCACAGCTCGCGCATCCATTGTTGAAAGCCTCTGGATCAGGGAGCATTGTCTTCATATCCTCTGCTTCTGGAGTTGTGCACATGAGTGTCGGATCCATCTATGCAACAACCAAATGTACCTTTAAAACAACGTTCCCTTACGTTCTGATGCTTACAAAAGTGTAAGTATTTATAACTACGCATTTTAGGAGCTATTAATCAGCTGGCTAGAAACTTAGCTTGCGAATGGGCGAGCGACAACATAAGGGTTAATTCTGTTTGTCCATGGTTCATCACAACTCCTTTATCTAACGATGTAAGGCTAACAAAAACTGATTTTTTGTTCTCCTTAGTCAATACTACATACATATATCTTACTTTTGATTTTAACTTATGTGAAAAATATCTTAGTGCCTCAATATTGAAGAGTTTAAAAAAGAGGCGGAGCATAGGACATCAGTAGGACGTATTGGAGAAGCCAATGAAGTCTCACCGCTTGTGGTGTTCCTCTGTCTTCCTTCAGCTTCATATATTACTGGTCAAACCATTTGCGTTGATGGAGGTGCTACTGTCAACGGTTTCTCCTTCAAGCTTAGTCCTTAAGACACAGATGGTCTAAAAGTTGTGGTCTATGATAATAAAATGTAATTTGGATGCGTTTCTTTTAAAATCTGCTGGTGGTGCACAAATAAAAACAACTTGTAGTTCTCATAATTATTTTAAAACATATCCGTTTTCTCTAATAACTATTGGTGTTTTGAAAGTTGATGTACGTTACTTGTGATGCAAACTCCTTAATTCTACATTAGTTAGTGGTCATTTCACAAATTGTCTCAGCGATAACAAAGTAAGCCAAACTTATTTATTTATTCATGCATTTGTTTTGAGTTTCTATCTAATACATAGGGGACGTACACCGAACGTATTTGGCTTTTTGCAGTAAGATAAGGTCCCTTCGTATGTTTTTTTGTGTGTTGGTAAGTTGCTTCATAGGTTTGATGGCAGTGAAAGAAAATGAAGGGCGGGTGTTAATTTGTTGGGTTTTGTGCAAAAAAATCTGACAACTAAATTAAATTTGCAAATTTAACCTTTAACTGTTTTTATGTAGGTCAAATCCACCAACTCAAAAGTCACCCGCTAAACAGTCCTTCTCTATATCGTCGACGTGGCCCGTTTTGGTTCATTAAAAAAAATTGAAACTCTGCGTTTTGGTAATTAAAATGGGACGATGTTTTATTATTCTCTGCCGTTTTTACACCTAACAAAAATAAAAAATGACAAACCTTCAGAACTAAATGTCGGGATAATCTAAAATCGATTTGGGGATAAGAAAATTAGGGTTCTTCACGGTTTTAGAATCAATTGGGTAAGAGAGTGGAAGCTGAAATTGGGGAGTCAAATTGGAATTTGTGATAGACGAGATTCATATTCTGAGCTTGAGATGAGGTAATTTCGTTTGCTTCAACATATTTTTCTTCTTCTGCTAGAATGTAAAACCGATCTCCGCTAGATTTTTGTGAGGTATCGGGGTTGAATTGTTCATGTTTCCTTTTGAGTAGGTTAGTAGTCGTGCATGAGATGGGTGGAGAGAATTTACGATGAGATGAGTGAGTTTGATTTGGGGATGTATGTTGGAGTTGAGAGTAGTAAGTACGAGCTCCAAAAGAGAGATGGGATTGGGAAGTGAAGTATTTTCAGAAGATTTTTGAAATAATATGGGATCCTTTGCTCTTGCAAGCTCTAATAGAGAGAAAGGCGAGCTTGAACTCGTTTAAACCCTGGCCGCAGGTTCTATGGTTCCGTCAAGAAGACAATGGTTATGCTAACTGCAGGTTCTTCAGATGGTACGATGAGGAAGAACCAAGCAGATGACAACATTTGGCGTTACTGGAGGCATGAGAATTCATGCAAGATCAGAGAAACGAAATTGAAGCTTTGACTAATCAGGTGAGAACACTTACTCAGAGAAAGACGTAAAAGCGAAAGAATTAGTGGAGAGATGTGATGCTCTAACGAGAGATGTGAAGCTCTAACCGGAGAGGTTTAGTGGTCTCCGAAATGTTCTCGTTGCTGTTGGAACATAATTGAGTTTAGTCTTAATGTTTCTAAGTTAGAATAATGTATGTATTTAACGTTGTCTTTGTAAAGTCGTGACTTTTTGTTTATGGTGTGCTAAGACACAACTCGTTGTGTAAAACAACAAGTTCCATATCAATAAAATCAAGTTTCATTCATACTCTGTTTTTCGCTCTTTATCGTTTATTACAGAAAACAAAGCAACAAGTTAAACACTTGGTGTTCGTTGCAACAGAGGAGGCTATGTTCTAACTGATCAAGAGGACCATTTCGAGTAAAAGTTCAAACGAAATCACCACAACACATCACAAACCACATAAACTTTCCAGTATAAGCTCAATACCATTATAGACTTTACAATTCCAACTCAAATATTATACAAACATACGTTCATTGATTATCACACTTTTGGTAAAACATCACACATAAGCTGTACCATACATTACAAGAGTTGTTACAAAACATAACATGAAACAAGAGTTGTTACAAAACATAACATCAAATCCTTTTAATGTTTTCAAAGCAATTAAGGGTTCAGAACATAAACATGTTCTCTATTTAAATAAGGCGATAATCAAAACCATGATAATCACCACTACACCAACCACCGCAACAATCTTGAACTCCACCACCACATGCATTAATTAATTTAACGTTTTTTCCCTGCATCCTTAAGCTTCTCGATCGATATCATCAACAAGCTTCTCAGTCCTTAGTGATATACGTAAGCCTCGTATCGTTGTCGTCCAGATTCCTTTTAAGCTCAACCATCTCCTCGGTAATTGCTTTATCGAACTTTTTTCGATTTTGTTCAATCCCAAACCCGAAATCATAGGAACACACTCCTAAATGATTTGCAGAGAGAGAGACGTTTGACTGGTTGATTTACCGAACACACTCCAATTTCAGCTTCCACTCTCTAACCCAATTGATTCTAAAACCGTGAAGAACCCTAATTTTCTTATCCCCAAATCGATTTTAGATTATCCCGACATTTAGTTTTGAAGGTTTGTCATTTTTGTTAGGTGTAAAAACGGGAAAGAATAATATAACATCGTCCCATTTTAATTATCAAAACGCAGAGTTTCAATTTTTTTAATGAACCAAAACGGGCCACGTCGACGATATAGAGAAGAGCTGTTTAGCGGGTGACTTTTGAGTTCGTGTGTTTGACATGCACAAAAAAAAATTGAGGGTTAAATTTGCAAATTTAATTTAGTTGCATGGTTTTTTTGCACAAAACCCTAATTTGTTATATATATTGTTACATGCATTCTACAAAATTATTTGACTGAAATTATAGAGAAAGTAATTGACAGCATTATTGTGCTGGTATACTCAAGTGTTATGGATCTAGACGTACCTTACACTATTTATATCTTGATTTTATTGACAGGAGTAATGTTGATGTAACCCTTCTTCCTCGGTAATGTTGTCAAAGGGCCCTTCAATAACTTGTACGTAACTAAAACCAAAACATCTTAGACTTGTGAAATTTTGGTGTTTTGGAGTGTGATAAAAATCATAAATTGATAAAAACATAAACAAAAATGCTTAGACTTGTGTAAATTAACAATTGAATTTACATTTTTGATAGGAATGGTAATATTTGGTAATTAGGTAATCATGTTAACATTAAAAGTTAACAGAAAAACAATGATGTGGCCAGTAGCAGTTAACTTGCTTGCGTAGGAAAGTCCGCCTCCTTGAAGTCCGTGAAACATAACTAAGATTAAAGGCAGGCACGACAACATGTTTTGAACCACGACATTATTTCATGATTTTTGTTATTTAAAAAAATACTTTAGTACACTACTATATTATGGTCATTTCCAGATATATCAATTTAACAATAATATTTTGAGATCAAACGAAATAAATAAATAAAATGGCAGAAAACACTGAAAAAAAAGAAGTAGAAGAATAACCGAGTAATTAAGGACTAGATCAATGTTTTGGCGTCCTGAAAATTTAGTCCTTAGTTTAAAATATAAAAATAAGCGACCTTGAAAAGTCTAAAATTTTTAGTCTCCGACATCTTTTGTGTAGGCCGCTGTCTCTGTCATAATCTAATTGCACATGTGTGTGGGAGAAAAATCAGTCTTGACTCTTGAGTCATCATGAACTCCGCTTGCTTATCGTAATATGGAATTTATTGGGATATTGTAGAGGTTAATGGGCTATGAGGTCTTAACCTTTAGAGAGTGTGCAAGATAAAAGTCCCACATCGAAAAGTGGGAGGAACCTTGAATAATATATAAGGGAATGAGGCCTCTTCATGTATTGCCAATTGGTTTTAGGTTGGATGCCAAAGAAACTTAATATGGTATCAGAGCAATGATCCCCACACTCTCATGACCCGGCCCAGAAAGAGCCCGACCCTCGACCCTAGGATTGATGGTCTGCGAGATTAATGGCTAGAATGGCCATTATCTCGAGGGGGAGTATTGGGATATTGTAGAGGTTAATGGGCCATGAGGCCTTAACCTCTAGAGAGTGTGCAAGATAAAAGTCCCACATCGAAAAGTGGGAGGGACCTTGAATAATATATAAGGGATTGAGGCCTCTCCACGTATTGCCAATTGGTTTTAGGTTGGATGCCAAGGAAACTTAATAGAATTTGGGCTTGTGTAAGATTTCAGTTTAGACTTCGGATGGTGACACAGATCAAAAAATGCAGATCAAAAGGAATATACAGATCATGCAGAAGAAATACAGATCATGATCTGTATGCAGAACAATTGCATAACAAGTATTTCATCCGTTCAAGAATATATGATATTATATGATTTTTCGTGCCATAAAAGAATTTGTTTTTTCTTTTTTTCTAAGTTTTTTTTCTCTAATTTCTATTTTTTCATTTCATCTAATTCAGTTCTTTTAAAAGTCATATCAAACTAATTTATTTTTCTTCATGTTCTTTGTTAAATAATGCTTACAATATTATATACAAAAGAAAATTTTGGAAATAAAGTAAAATAAAATATATGATATGACATATAATAATTTAAATTTTTTATTTTATGTTATGCATATTATATCAAAATTGAGGATATTCTTTGATAGTTAATTTAGTTCTTAATTTAGTTGATTATATTTTAATAGTATTTTTCTTATGTTTTTAAAATTATTTAAAATAATATATTTGAATTTATAAGAAATTATATATTTAGTTTTTTTGTTTCATGGAAAAATTTATTTTTCAAGTTCTTGAAAACATTAGTTAGTTTTCAAAATACTTTAAAGTTTGTAATATTCATAGAAATTTCCTTAGTTAAATATATAATAAGATATACAAAATTGTGTTTGATAATAAAATATATAATATAAGTTGAATACTGTTTTTTGTAATTTATTTTGAAATAAATAGGTAGAATATAAAATTAATAAGTAATAAAGATAGAATTAAAGAAAAAAAAAAAAAAAAAAAGAGAATAAAAAACGGATCTGCACCTGTACGGGTGCTTTTTGGGTCCTTCAGTGCAGAGCAAAAATTTGTTCTTTTTTTTGATCTGTATATAGATCAAATTAATTTCTCCTGCATTTGTTTTAGTTTGCATTAAAAGTGTGAGTGTGCATTAAATACATATCAATCTGTATTTGATCTGTCCTGTATTTATTCTGCAGTAAATCTGGACTTCCATTCAAGACCTTAACAAGAAAAAAAAGTCATTATTGTAATGTGGAACATTCCACTAACAGATAAAACATTGGGATGTGGAACTTTGTGTGGAACTTAGAGCATGTTTAACGCAAGAGTGCTTATGGGACGCTTAGCTATTTTTATATTGTAAAAGTTGTTTTAAGCACTTCTTTGAAACCATCTTGTTTTCTTTGCTCTAATGGAGGGTGCTTAAGAAACAAAAAAAAATTAAGAAGTTTTGCTTAATCTTGAGCTTTTGTTTGTATGATATCCTTGGATGCGGTTTGCATATGAATTTTTGCATATTTAAATATGGTGAAGAAGGTGGTTAGCAGCAAAAACTGAAATGAAAAATATTCCGCATTAGAAAGCTGTTACATCATAGAGTTGACAAAAGCAAGCAATGGATACAAGAATCTGCAAAGCTTTCTCTGGTTTTGACTTGAAGAAACTACAAAAACTCTCTGGCCATATGGTGAACACTGGAGCTTGGTCGATGTGTTCCATGGTGTTTCTCTATTTTTGCAGCTGTAATCTCTTGTCCCTGATAGGCAGATCAAGCGGCTGTTGTGCCTCAAGGGGATGCTCAGAGCCTTTGTATACTTGCAGGTGACTGAATAGAGCTCTCCCAAGCTGCCCATAAAATGGCTACACCAAGTTAGAGTGAGTCTAGACCATAAAAGAGACTGATACAGAGCTAAGAAGTCATAAATCTAACCGTCCCTTTGGACAACATGCTTGATGATTCTTTCTGGGATTCTCTGCTGCAATTGATCAAATGTTTCTACTGTCATCAACCACAAACCATGGCTTGTCCGTGTTCACATGGTCTGAAGCTTTCGGATACCATGTCGTGTTCCAAATGTCCTGTAAAACCATAGCATACACTTTCAATAAAACTACAAGCCAAACTCTTCTATCGAATTCCCCTTCTCCAACTCAAAAATTCCCACTTTAAGAATAAATGGGAGAAAATCAACAATTTTCAAATCCAGATGACTATTTATGCACTTAATAAGCAGTGAAGCTAAGAAATTTGAGGCATAGTCCACTATCTAATAAATCGAGATGGGGGAAACAATTATGATCCATAAATTCAAAAATCCAGAACATTTCACAAATTTCAGTTGTCACCATTCTTACCTTTACCTCCGGCACGAGCAGCGACTCTTTCACGGTCACACTCTCTCTGAATACCACCTGCAATTTCACATCGAATTATCGAAATCAAAAGCTTGAATCAAGGAAAACAAACAAGTTTGTGCTTTATCAACTGATTTCGTGAGTGGAACCGACTGAAGTTTCTATTCCATCGAATCGCCTTCTGCCGGAGAGCAACGCCCCACCGCCGGAGACGTTGTTTCCAATTTATTTCGTTTACATAATCGATTCACACCTCAAATTGCCGTCGATTCGCCGTGGGAGACAGGGAGAGGTTTGCAAAGAGAGAGGGAAGAGAGAGAAGGGGAAGAGAGAAATGAAGAGAAACTCATTTTTTTCTCTCTTTAAACAATACCCAATCATCTTCTGCCACGTGGTAATGAGCACCGACGCTTGTTACATTTACATAAGTGTCGACTTCTCCATTTAAAATTAATTTCGATTTAATTTTAATACAAGGGTCGCATGAAGCAACCCGCGTTATTCATGCTCTTAGTGTAAGATTTTCCATTGGACAACATTGATTATTATGATTGTGGAATTTTGGGATGAGGGGTTACAAAGTTCAAAACAATCACGTGAATTTCTCCTGGTCAAACTTCACAACTTGTCGTTTTGATCAATTATATTCTCTATAAGATATGTATTTTTGTTGAATAAACTCATAACCAAACCATCTTTCTAAAAATTAAAGGGAAAAAAAAAAAAAAAACTCATCACCAGAAATGGCTAAGACAGGAGAAAACTTGAGAGACAAATCTAGATGGAGCCTTGGAGGCATGACCGCTCTTGTCACTGGTGGCTCCAAAGGCCTCGGGTCAGTCCCAATTCCTCATATATCTCATACTATCCTAATAATCCAATATTGATTCTGATTTGAGTTCTCATCTTAGTCATAGATTTATATATATATGCATATGTGGTCTTTGACTGTATATCAGTGATATATAAATCCAATTGACACTACCCCGGTAAAGAAAAATTCCTAATGATATATAAATCCAAATTGTATGTGTGCAATGATTAGTGAAGCTGTAGTGGAGGAACTAGCTATGTTAGGAGCAAGAGTCCACACATGTGCCAGAGACCAAACTCAGCTTCAAGAACGCTTACTTGAATGGCAAGCAAAAGGGTTTCAGGTCACCACTTCTGTTTGCGACGTTTCTTCTCGTGACCAACGGGAGAAACTCATGGAAACCGTTTCCTCTCTTTTCCAAGGAAAACTCAACATCCTTGTAAGTTTAAGTATAAGAGCATGGATCCATATATGTCGGAGCAAGCTAAGCTACAAGATCAAGTGATTTTGCTGTGTTTTTTTATTCTGTTTGGTTTGGTCTATTTGCATGAACAGGTAAACAATGCGGGAACGTGTATCACTAAGCCTACCACTGAGTATACAGCAGAAGACTTCTCGTTTCTGATGGCTACAAATCTCGAGTCATCTTTTCATCTCTCACAGCTCGCGCATCCATTGTTAAAAGCCTCTGGTTCAGGAAGCGTTGTGCTCATGTCCTCTGCTGCTGGGGTTGTGCATATCAATGTTGGATCCATGTATGGAGCAACTAAAGGTATAACTTACGATTAATGAAGATTATACCGTATAATCTACACTCAAAAAATTAATGATCTTTTACGTTCTGAGACTAACATGAATGTGACAATATCTACGCTTTACAGGGGCTATGAATCAGTTAGCAAGAAACTTAGCATGCGAGTGGGCAAGTGATAGCATAAGGGTTAACTCTGTGTGTCCATGGTTCATAGCAACTCCTTTAGCTAACAGTGTAAGCCAACAAATAAAATATAAAATATAAAGTTTTCCTTAATACAGTAGTATGAAAAAGAAGAAGATCTAACCTATTTGTGAATTCTTTTATCAAAAGAACTATTTGTGAATTCTATCTCACTTATGTCAAAATCTTTTGATCAGTTTGTCACTAATAAAGTGTTAAACAAAGAAGTGGTGAATAGGACACCTATGGGACGTGTTGGAGAGGCAAATGAAGTGTCATCGCTCGTTGCATTTCTCTGTCTTCCGGCGGCCTCGTACATAACTGGTCAGGCAATATGTGTTGACGGAGGTGCCACTGTCAACGGCTTCTCATTCAAGCCTTAACTTGCCTTTTCTTGTAGAAATTTTTTAACTGTCTGTGTCAAATGCTTCTTTACATTTTATTATGTATAATAAATTGATGAGATCATGAGTGTAACAAAAACTGGAAGAATTGTTGTACTCCCCTCTGTTTCTGAATAATGAATTTGGTAGCTTTTTATTGCTATGAGAGAATGAGGAGGAAAGTCTTGAAAGTTGAAACCTACATTCTTCTGAAACTGCAAAACCTGAGAATATCCCATATAGTTGGGCCTAACCCTTAATCAATGCCCATTAGTTTGATTTTCCTACAAGCCTTGCATCTTTGGAAGGATATTATGTCATACCATATGACTTATCATATGTAATGGTCACTATCATTATGATTTTATTTCTTTTTCAATTGACTGGTTCATATCTCCATGACAAGATAGCTTGCTCTGTGGCTGATAACCAGAAATGGATAAGACAGGGGATAGCTTGAGAGACAAACCAAGATGGAATCTTGGAGGAATGACCGCTCTTGTCACCGGTGGCTCCAAAGGCTTAGGGTCAGTATTCAGTCGCAATCCTTACTAGTTCCAAATCTAACCTAACATTTCAATCATAGATTTAAATGAATCTTCTGATGGTGTTTTCTATTTTTAATCAACAAAACTTCTGATCAGAGAAAAAGCTTAATGATGTATAAGCTCATATATATTGCGCATGTGTTTTATAAAATAGGGAAGCTGTGGTGGAGGAACTAGCCATGTTGGGAGCCAGAGTCCACACATGTGCTAGAGACGAATCTCAGCTTCAAGAGCGGTTACGTGAATGGCAAGCAAAAGGGTTTCAGGTCACCACTTCTGTTTGCGATGTTTCTTCTCGTGAACAACGAGAAAAGCTCATGGAAACCGTTTCCTCTGTCTTCCAAGGAAAACTTAACATCCTCGTACGTATACATATATATAAGCTCTTCCCTCCTCCTCAGCTTAGATCCACAATGACCAACTCATGTTGTGTTTGTTTGGTTTATTTGGGTGTACATATTATAATTTATAGGTGAGCAATGTTGGAACGGGTGTCGTAAAGCCAACAGTAGAGTGTACATCAGAAGAATTCTCGTTTATCATGGCTACAAATCTTGAGTCAACTTTTCATCTCTCACAGCTCGCACATCCTTTGTTGAAAGCCTCTGGTTCAGGGAACATTGTGCTCATGTCTTCCGTTTCTGGAGTTGTGAATTTGAGTCTCACATCCATCTATGGAGCAACCAAAGGTATATATATATATATATATACATATGCATATAAACACTTATTATTGACACTAACTATAACATGAATTTGCTTATTGCAGGAGCCATGAATCAGCTGGCGAGAAATTTAGCTTGCGAGTGGGCGAGTGATAACATAAGGGTTAATTCTGTATGTCCATGGTTCATCACAACTCCTTCAGTTAAAGATGTAAGGCATAGAAACAAAACAATAAACCCTCAAATACTTTGTAGATTGACTAGCTGTCTAGCTATGTTTCTGATGATTTTTGTTTTATGTGGAAATGTTTCAGTTTCTTAGTGATAAAGGTGCAAAAAAAAAAGTGGAGAGTGTGACACCAATGGGACGTGTTGGAGAGGCAAATGAAGTGTCATCGCTTGTAGCATTTCTATGTCTTCCTGCAGCATCTTACATAACTGGTCAAACTATTTGTGTTGATGGAGGTTTCACTGTCAATGGATTCTCCTACAAGGCTCTGCCTTAAATCCATATGTAGATATGCTGTGTATGAACGTGAAAATGATTAATGTTCCGATTATAATTCCGACGATTCACTCTACTCAGAAGACAGACAACAACAATAATAAAAAAAACTGTAATAGAAGTTTATCTGCCAATCTATATATTAAGGTTCTCTTTGTTAACGTGTCTACTGTCTAGTAACAAACGTATAAATCATCGGCACCTAAAGCTTGTTAGGTTTGAAAAGCAAACATAAACTAAATCGAAAACTAACGTAATGAAATTCCCATAAGTATTAAATAACAGTATACAAAAGACGTATTTAGGGGAAAGGCTCTCCTTGAAGCGAAGAAACGACTACATTCGTGGCGCGAAAGGAACAGCCGGTGATCCGCGCTGTCCCAATTTGATTGGACCACGAATCTCTCACTTAAATTCGTGACGCTTACGTGGCTTATTTTTTAATAACCGTAATCTCCAGATCGACGGTCTAGATTAAATTATCAAAACGTCAGCAATAACATAAAAAAATCTGAAAAGAAGCAGAGTAATCACTAATCAGAGACTCAGAGTTGTGTATAAAAATAGCGAGTGAAGCAACGTGTAGTGACATTATTGTTTCAACTGAATGGTTTCTGAGTTTTCTTTACTCGTAAGTAAGTAACAGAGTTTTGTTCTTCTTGATTCGGCAAAACAGAGTAAAGTCGAAGAACAGATCAGAGATCGAGTTGTTTTTTTGTCCTTTTTCCCGAAAATGATGGATATATGTTACGAAGTGGTGACCGATGCATCGGTTTCATCGGCGTATGAGTCGAGACCGTCGCATTCTGGACGGAGACAGAGGTTTCCGTTGGATCAGACGGTGATGCAAGAAGAGTGGGAGAAGAACTGTAAGCGTAATAAACTGGAGGCTATATCTACAAGATGTTCGTCGATTTCTCAGAAAGATTTCTCTGTAAGAGATGACGATAACGAGTCTCCGATGACGGAGCTTAGTCCGAGATACGGCGTTTCTTCGGTGTGCGGTAGGAGAAGAGAAATGGAAGATGCGGTGGCGATTCATCCTTCGTTTTCTTCTTCGGAATATCCTCAACACTACTTCGGTGTCTACGACGGTCACGGTTGTTCCCACGTACGACGTCTTGTCTCTCTTGTTCCCATTTTTTTGAAAGTTCCCTTTCAAGATTTTCAGTTGACCTAATACGACATCGTTTTCTTCTTTAGGTTGCAGCGAGGTGTAGAGAGAGGCTTCACAAGCTGGTGGGAGAGGAAATGAATAAATATGGCAAAGAGAAGGAAGAAGAAGAATGGAAAAAGACGATGGAGCGTAGCTTCATGCGCATGGATAAAGAGGTTGTGTCGTGGAGTGAGTCCGTCGTGAGGGCGAATTGTAAATGCGAGCTTCAAACGCCGAACTGTGACGCCGTCGGATCAACCGCGGTTGTCTCGGTTATTACGCCGGATAAAATCGTCGTCGCTAATTGCGGCGATTCCAGAGCAGTTCTTTGCCGGAATGGAAAACCAGTCCCATTATCGACCGATCACAAGGTCAGTGACTCTTCTTCTCTCACAAGAAAAGCGTTTTTCGAGTTTTCTTGCTGTCTAAGGTATCTAGAAATCAAAGATCTTGATTCTTTAATTTTCAGAGTTAAAATTGTTTAACCATTGGATCTGATCTTTGGTTAAGGAAACAATTTACATTTCTCGGTTTTGTTTTAGCAGAACAAAACAACATAGATCACCTAGAAAGCACTATTTTATTTTTATTTTTTTTCGTGTGTTTTATGGTGTTTTAAGAAAGTTTTTTGAGTTAATTGTGGATTTAACTCGGAGATTGTGTTCTTTTGTATGGAAACACAGCCGGATCGTCCAGACGAATTGGATCGGATCGAGGGAGCTGGAGGACGGGTCATATACTGGGATTGTCCGAGAGTTTTGGGGGTCTTAGCAATGTCACGAGCCATAGGAGACAATTACTTGAAACCGTACGTGAGTTGCGAGCCGGAGGTAACCGTAACGGACAGAGACAGGATGGATGATGATTGTCTCATACTAGCAAGCGATGGTTTATGGGATGTGGTGTCAAACGAGACCGCCTGCTCGGTGGCGCGTATGTGTCTCCGTGGTGGTAGGAGGCGGCGAGGTGGTCGAGATCCATCGGTGGTGGATTCGGTCTCGGACAACAAGGCGTGTATGGAAGCGTCAGTGTTGCTGACGAAGCTGGCGTTGGCGAGACGCAGTAGTGACAACGTGAGTGTCGTAGTGATTGATCTCAGAAGAGAAGGACACGTTACTGGACACTAATCCTCTACTACTAACTTACTCTGACATTGAATTGAAGACACCGCTTTAACTTTTTTTTTTTTTTTTCTGTTTTGAGTTTCTTTTTGGTTGTTCTTGGATTGCGTGGTCGTTTTATCTTACACATTTTGACCCGGTTTTCATGGAAAGGGTTAATTTCTAAATAGGGATGATTAGCTTTTTTCTTCTCAAAACCTAATCCTCTTTCGTGTGATGATTATTGAATTAAAGAAAAACAAGATTCTTAGTTCAAGTTACGTAAGAATAATGAATGTTACTCTGTAAAATTTTATTAACCGTTTTCATGGTTTTCAAGGGATTAACGGAGAAGATTATGCCCTCTCTTGTAAAAGGAGCTGAATGTGTCCCACCGCAAGAAACCTTATATTGTTTTGGAAAGAAAAGATCATTAAATGCTTTACTTGAATGATACTCTCTTCATGGAAGAAGAGAGAGATTTCAAAATCGTTTTAACACTTTACTACCTAAATGATATCTTCTTTCAGCTGGAAGATTTTAACTTTCTGTTAAGCCATTTGTTGGTCTTGTCATTGTCTTTGAACCCGAGTCTTGTGTGTTTTCCTCTTCCCCCAAAACCATAAACCTAAAAATTAGAAGATACCAAACAAATAATCATATCTTGATGAAAAAGAGGGTGAGGCATATGGTGAGAATGAAAAGAAAAGTTAGAAACTTTGATCACGTTTGAGAGTATATGAGTTCTTTTACCTCTCTTTATGATTGTAAAAGGATGAAAAAGAATGTGAAAGAAAACAAAAGCTTCAAACTGATGATCGGTCGAGTACAAGTTCTCGAGACCATTCGCTAGCATAAAAGGAGTCATCAACTATTTTGTTTAAGGTGATCATCTATCTCTTTAACAATTTAGTACACGATCAATAACTGGTAAACATAACACAAACACACTGTCAACAACGGAAAAAGAGCACACACACACACGTCCAAACGCAAAATTCAAAAAAAAAAAAAAAAAAAAAACAACTTAAGACACGCTCAATCACATAAAAATCAAATAACAAAACGCAAACACTACAAACAAAAACTTCACGCTCCACGAACTTGAACAAAATATCAACAAAAAACAATTTAATACACGCTCAATCACAAAAAAGAAAAAAAAAAAAAAAACCAAATAGCAAAACGCAAACACTACAAGCAAAAACTTGAACATAATATCACTTACTGTTGAAGCATCTATTTCCTTATGTGAATGATCATTTATCAGCAATCATACATTTTGTTAATATTTTTGGATTTGACTTTTGTATATTGTCACCTTTCGTTTGTGCTTCATGTACTGTCAAAGCGTAAAATCTAGCAGACTACAATTGAAGATGGCTTCATGTTATACAAGGTAACTGTCTTTTCAAGAAATGTTTAATTTTTAAGTAGTTAGTTTATTTTTAACTTGCATGAGTACGTTAAGCTTGCTGATCTCTATTGCACCAGAGAAGATATAGAGATTTTCTTCATAAAGAATGTCTACATTTATCAATAACTGCTACATCTCATGTGGCTATGTCTTTTGAATACTTGTTCTCTACCGAATCGTGCTTTGACATTTTGACTTTGTTGATCTTGATCTCATTGGTGGTGGCAAATACTCAGACGATGATGCTAGAAAAGTTATGGTTCAGATTCTTAGTGTAATGTAGTTGCTTACTTTCATCTACAAGGTGTGGTTCACTGTGACCTTAAACCAAGGTACTTTATAATAATTCATGATGATGTTTAGTTTCCATATTGTTCATTTGGCAAGGTCACACTTCACTTTCTAGATCCATCACATTATCACTAGTCTTTGTACACAATCGCATGACTTCCACTAACTATGGCAGAGTGATAATGACGGTATGTTTCTTTCTATTTTTTTGTTTTTCCTTTCACATAACTTTCTGTTCGGTACTAAGGATGAGTCTTCACCTCTGAAAGCTATTGATTTTTCTCTTTCTGATTATGTCAAGCCATGTTATAGATATGTTAAATAGTGACCAGAGATCTCTCCTATCAAACCCATCTCGATGTTAGAAGGAAAATAATTGACAGTGTTTTGAAAATTCTGCAGATGAGAGGTTGAATGATATTGTAGAAAGTGCTTATTACGTGGCCCCTGAAGTCTTACATCGTTCATGCGAAACAGAAGCTGACATGTGGAGTATTGGAGTGATAGCTTACATTCTTCTCTGTGGTAGTCGTCCCTTTTGGGCTCGAACCGAATCCAGCAACTTTGGAGCTGTTCTTAAGGCACAGCCTGCTTTTAAAGAAGCTCCTTGGCCGTCCATATCACCTGAAGCTGTAGATTTTGTGAAAGGATTGCTAAAACAAACACTACCGTAAAAGACTAACCGTGGCGCAGGCTTTGTGTAAGAATAATTATCTCATCTTGATTTCTGCAACTTCTTATACTAAGAGCATGGTCTTTTTTCATGGTTGCAGACTCTTGCCAAGACATTAATTGTACTGCAATTAGCTAATATGCGGGAGAAATTTACATTGTTTGGACCAAGCCAAGAATGGATATATCTCGATGCAGAATTACAAAACAGTGAGTTCTGTTTCCATGATTCACTCTACTTGTTCCCTTTTCATTCAAGATTTTTCCGTGATTCTTTATTTTAATTTTTTTTGCTATGTGGATCTCATGCGATCCTATATAAATTGTTGATGTTGGTTTATCTTGTGTTTAGGTGTTGGTATTATCAAATTTCAGCTTCAAACTCATCTAAAGTGTGTATGCTTTCTTTTCCTCTGTAATTGGCATTGTGTGCGTCTGTGTGTGTGTGTGTATGCAAGTGTGTTTTGATCAATGATCAATATCTCAAGTTCCTTGGCTCAATTTCACCTTGCAAAGATGTTTTGATTTGATCACACGGTTACATGCAAGTTTGTCGTTATTTTCCAAGCTAGAACTGTATGTGTAATAAGTGTTTGATTTCTTTGTAACCTTCAGGAGGACATAAAGCTTGCTGATTGACCGCTCTAGAAACACAAAAATTATAAGACATCTTCAAAAGGATACACAAAATAAATGTGCACAACACAGCGCATATATTCTAGACAAAGTTTGTGAGAAAAAAAAAAGTTTTAAAAAAATTAGAAAAAGGCAAAATTATAGCAGATTAGAGAAAAGTAAATAAGACATATATTAAAAGTAAATTTAAATCTCAAAGTAAGAAAGGAAAAAATTATAGTAGTAGATTTAAAAGTAAATAAGATATACAGAAAAAAAAATCAAAATGCAAATACAACCGGCGAAAGAAAAAAAAATTGAAAAGGAAAAATTATAAAACCGACTACTAATATATACAGTATGTCTATATATATTGATTAACCCCTTAGAACTTTTCTGTAACAACATTCACATCGAAGAAAAAAAGAGCGACGCATACAATTTTTCTCGATCACAATGTTTAGGTCAAAGTCAACTACAGAAGAAGCTATGAAGAACCAAAACGACTTAGCGTTGATCCTTTCGCAGCTTCTCTTCTCTACTAAAGCCAAACACTCTAACACCGTTTTCTCGCCGGCGTCGATCAACGCCGCGCTCACTTTGGCGGCTTCTGGTCCCGACGTAGTTACTTTATTCTATCATCCATTCGATTCTTCAGCCTCTCGTCCCGGCGGTTCTTCAGCCGCCACCAAGGAGATCCTCTCCTTCCTGAGGTCTTCTTCAATCGATGAGCTCAACTCCGTCTTCAGCAAGATCGTTTCGGTCGTCTTTACGGACCATAGCGCGAACGGAGGTCCAAAGATCTCGTCGGTCAATGGCGTTTGGATCGAACAATCGTTACCGATTGATGATTCATCGTTCAAGGATATTTTCGAGAAAACATTCAAGGCTAGTTTCGATCGCGTAGACTTTCGATCAAAGGTAATCTTAAATTTTCTCACTTTACACCTTTTTATTTCTATGATGTGATCCTTGACCTAACCCTAACCCTAACCCTAGACGAAGCTATAATAATCGATATCCTAATATAGTTATTTTCTTTTGTGATATAAAAAAACAGGCTGAAGAAGTGTGTGTGGAATTGAATTCGTGGGCATCAAGTCACACGAATGGTCTCATCAAAGATCTTCTTCCTCATGGATCCGTCACAGAAGAAACCGATGTCGTTTATGGAAATGCATTGTACTTCAAAGGACAATGGGAAAAACCATTCGACAAGTCGTATACGAGAGACAAAGAGTTTCATCTTCTGGATGGAACCTCAGTGTCTGTGCCATTCATGAGCAGCTACAAGAACCAATACATAAAGGCATATGATGGTTTCAAGGTCCTCAGGATACCTTACCGACAAAGCCATGGTGATACCAATCGAATTTCCCCTTATCGACAAGGTGGTGATGATACCAATCGCGGTTTCTCAATGTACTTTTATCTCCCGGACAAGAAGGATGGATTGGACCATCTTGTGAAGACAATGGCATCTACTTATGAATTCTTGGATGGTCACGTTCCAATATATCAAGCTTATGTTAATGAATTCAGAATCCCAAAGTTTAAGATCGCTGATGGATTAAGCGGTGGAGATTTGGGATTTAGTGCAATGCCCTTGTTCCATAAAGCTTGTATCGAGATCGATGAAGAAGGCGCTGAAGCTGCTGCTGCCACTTTTTGTTCGAGCGGGGGTGGGTGTGGGTTTATGCCTCCTCCGAGGATAGATTTTGTGGCAGATCATCCCTTCTTGTTCTTGATTAGAGAAGACACAACTGGAACTGTTTTGTTCGTTGGTCAGATCTTCCATCCTTCCCAAACATCTTCTTAGGCCTTTGGCAGGGCAGGATCATCCGGAATTTCGGTTTGGTTATATGACAAAAAAAAAACTGGAATTAGGTTTGGTTATAGGATGTTTTAGAAGTTTTTTCTTTTTTTCTATTTTATATTCTTTCTTCAGTTTTTATGCATAACTAATTTAGTTAGTATGTTGTGACCAATTTTGGTATGCAGTATTTTTTTATCTAGTGGCTGGACTTTTTTTAAATATAGAACCTTTTTATAAAAGGAGCGAGAAATCTCTTCCTATTTGTTAGATACATGAAATTATGTAAAAGAGTTTTGATATACCTCTTTTCTTAACTTTCGTAACTTGCTAGAGGACTCTAGAAGTAGCACCTTATACAAAGAGGGTTGTTCTTTCTTTGAAATGTAAGCTCATAACACACTTCGCATACTTTTCCAAGTCAAAAGTTACAGTGTAAAATTTTAGTATATTAAAATCCATTATATTTACCCAAAGAATCCTAGTTGGCTTTAAAATGTTTTCCGAAGAATATTCTTAATGCGGTGTTTAACGAAAGAGAATACGCAAGCCGCAAGGAATGAAGTTTTTACTTTCAGGCCTTTAGATACTTAGAGATGATTTGTCTGTATCGCAAGGCAAAGACATGAGACTGGATTTTAGGGAACGTATGCAATAATTACAACCATCAGTATCTAAAGAAGACAATAGTAATAAAGTAGAAACTGTCCAATAAAAACGAGGAAGATTCAACATCGAATTAACTAGATAATCAAGACCAAGAGCACTAAATGTGCAGGACAAAAGGGTTGCAGCATAATGTTCTTCTTATAACTTAAGTTTTAATTCAAGAAAATCAGAGATGCAAAACAGAAGTAAAGGTTTTTGAGAGTAAGACCTCTCTCCTTGTGGAGCCAACTCTCACCTTTGCTTTCTTGTCAGGCTTCTTTCAAGGCCTGCAATTTTCTATAACCCTTGTCGGTGCCAAAGATCCTGAAGTCACACCAAGAAACAAGTAAACGTCTTCAGTTTCGGAATATGTCAGTTCAAGCAATAAAACAGAGTGCAGAGATTTACCAGTCCATGTAGACAAAAGTTGATGAGTAGTTCCCAGACTTTGTGTAGAGTAACCGATGATGGTAGTCATGGAAGTCAGCACTGTTAGGAGAATTTGGTAAATTCATGTTAATGATCTGCTAGATTTAACGTGATTGCTCCTTCAAGGAAGTGTTAGGGTTTATATGTTTAATCTTACCCGCCGTACAGAGGAAGAAAATTCGAGGGGCTCCACGGGAAATGATAACCGCAATGTGCCTCGACCGTCTCAATAACTCTAAGCATCATCCACAGCCAGAGGGTGAGTAGGTGGGGACCGGTGAGAGCCGGACCAATGAAGGTAGCGAAACCCAGGAACAGAATCTCAGCTGGGTGAGCATATTCTGATGTCAAACCAAACGGTGTGGCGTATCTGTAAGTAAGAAAAATGTCCTATTAATTGCCAAAAAGGGGACCCTACACATTACGAAAAAAGGATGGTGAATACGGAAGCTTACTCATGATGCACACTGTGCACATTCTTGTACAGCCATTTCGTGTGCAAGATCCTGTGACCCCAATAGAATACAAAATCCTCAATGATGAAGTAGAACAAGATCTGAGCAGACACCACTTTCCTGCAGGATAATTCATTCACCAAAGGTGGTCTTATTATAAACCAGATCAAACGTAGCTCAGGTTCTTATCATGCAGCTCAAACATTGACATTTTATATGTTTTTCTTTATATATTGTCAATTGGAATAGTTTAACATCAGAACCCAATGGAAAAAAAAAAGCTTCAGCACAAAAGAACCTGATAATACCAGGACGGCAGAGGAAAGCTGCTCTGCATGCCCATGAATTTGAAGACGGAGTAAGATCCCATCATGAGGGGAAAGTTTACGCAGAAATGGTAAAACAACAGCCAAGCAATGCATTTTCCTTGTGCTTCAGGAGTGTTAGTTTTCGTCTGCATAGCACCAAGCAAGAGTTTAGATATAAAGTGTCTTGGATCAATCATAAGAGCAAGAAGAGCCTTGAATCATGAGAACAAGATTAGACAAACCTGAATTTTGTAGCTGCTTAGCAAACCAGTCCTCTCTAGGAAAATGAAAGGGAGTCCGGACAAGAAAAACACACTTTCATGGATGATGAAACTCCCAATGCATGACAGTTGAAAGTCGCTGTAATGTGTTATTAGATACTGCATCAACCACACAAAGAAAAGGCTCAGTGACTAACATAACATAAGCTAAAAAGAGCTCAGAAAGAGAATAAGTGTTCAAGAATCACTCTGAATGCAATTATATAAAATTGACACCAGTCTAGTCACAGTCACTAATGGCAGAAAAAAATGTTAACAAGACATTCAAGGAAGAACAATTGCTAATAATCAGCAAAGATAGTTACAAACGTACACATAAAGAATTTTCAATCTACATGAGCACTGTTAAGCTATGCCAAACGAAGACAAAATCTTCAAAATCAAAAACAGCAAGCATCTGATTAGCGACTTGGCCTACGATTACTAAACAAGGTAATCAGTTAAATCAAACAGGGGAAGCCGGAGAGACTAGACCTATTGTGCGTTCAGGTCCAACATCAATACCTAAATCAGCTCAAGTTCGAAGAAAAAACAAGCATAAGCTAAGATCACATTCGAAATCACTATCAATGTGGAAATACCATTGCCAAATCCAGATCTGAAATCACAAAGGCAATCGACACACGAAATCCAATCAAAGACACGGGGCCACAAAAATCCAATGCGGTGGACCACAACAAACAACAATATATCAAATCGAATACGGCAGATACTTGCGTAGGCGCACTTGAATCTTAATGCGGTAAAGGTGAATTCGGCAGAAACGGAGGGAAAGCACGATGAAATCGCCGGAGATACAAAACGGTAACGAAAATCATAGGATTCGGCTCCGATTCGCAAACAAAGGAGACGATACAATGTATAAGGAGATGAAGAAGGTACCTGCCAACCGGATTCGACGAGGGAATCCATGGATAGAGAGAGAGAAAACACGATGGATGATTTATGACGGAGATGAACAAAATCTAGCGCTGAGAAGTGAGTGAGAGAGAGAGAGAGAGAGAGAGAGAGAGAGAGATGGCACAAGCACCGTGTGACAAGAGGAATCTGTAATCTGGCGGAATTTGGTTGTTTCTACTTTCTTCTCTACATCACACGTGCACGCGAATATTTCAATTTTATCCTTAAATACACTGATATTAATTTTTTATCACTCAATTACACACATATATATATATATATATTTCTTTTTGCACCATGTGATTTTTATAAGTGACAATTAGCACCCCTAGTTAATCAGAAATCACAAAGCAGGTGATTATGGATTTCATGGTTCTTTAGTGATATAAGAATCTGTGAGCTGAAGCCTGAAGAATGTATGGTAGAGATTAAAAAAACTAGGACTCTAAAAAGTTTTAAACTTTGGGTGCTCATAATAAAGAGAGAGTACACATGAGAATCTAACAGTATTCAGAAAGTAAAAATAAAAACACATTTTAGACAAATAGATGTGAGAGATGCTAAAATCACAAGCAGAGACCTGACTTTTGTTCCAGCGTTCGAAACCGTCTCTGTGCTATATATGCTAAATGCTCTATTATCAGAATCATTAAGATCACAACAATTGTGCAGCTTCCTTCTCTATAATCCTCTCGCCAGTGTACACACCTGCAGCAAAAATATATCAAAAGTAATCAAAAGCAGAGCCACAATATGACATCCAGAATAAAGTTACCAATTCTCAGTAAAATGCTTATGAGCAACACAGCAAAGATAAAAGATGGAGACAAGAAAGCTCAATTCATTTAACAGCTGGCCTTTCAGTTCTAAAACTTTTCAAATAAACTACATAGAGATTAGTCATTTTCCCATTTCACTTTCTTTAACCAAGCTAATATGAACAACAAAAACAAACCAAGAGAGAGATACAGTGAACAAGCTAAATCTGAAGTAGGAAATATAGAACCAACACACATAAAGATGTGGTGCTACCATAAGGTCCATAACATGTAAAAAGAAAAAGTTATTTACCTTTTGGAGAATTGTACATTGTGAAAACATGGATAACTCTTGTCATAGGAATGCTGATTTCTTCTCAGACGGCTTTAGAATTTGGAACGAGCACATTAAGCTCTCGTCAATGCTCATCATTGCGCCAGCGTTATCAAATTCCCCGCAATAGTTGGGAGCTGAAAAAACAGTAACAAGCTGTCTCTCTGCAAAGAACTCATACCCATCTTCAACAACCTAAGGAACAAAGAGAGAATCAAAACACTTAAAGATTCAAGCTTTCAAAGTTTTCTAATATACACTCAAGGACAGAGATAAGAACCTGGTGAGCACGACATATAAGATCCATGTCGTTTTTCTGCAAGAACTCAGCAACAATGTCAGCTCCAAAAGTGAACGAAACGCCACGATCATTCATCCCCCAGCCTTTGATGTCTCCACTAGGATCCGACCACAGCAAATCACATACCAAACCCGAGTCCGGAATATCCATTGGCCGTGGGATATTCCTGATCTGGTCCAAACTTGTCAGCTCCGGTGAGATCCCACCGTGCATACACAGTATTCTGTCATCTATTAAGGCGGCTACAGGAAGACAGTTGAAGCAATCAGTGAATATTTTCCAGAGTCTGACGTTGAACCTGCGTTTGCACTCGTCATAGAACCCGTAAATACGGTTAATGGAGGCACATTCATGGTTTCCTCTAAGCAAGAAGAAGTTCTCAGGGTACTTGATCTTGTAAGCTAGGAGAAGGCATATTGTTTCCAAGCTTTGCTTGCCACGGTCGACGTAATCACCTAAGAACAAATAGTTTGCTTCCGGAGGGAAGCCTCCGTACTCAAAGAGCCTCAGTAGATCTGAATACTGCCCATGAATATCACCTGCAAAATCAAGAAACAACAACAACAGCAAAAAACCATGAAGCTCAGAAGATTTACATGATGAAGACCAACTATGCCGGCACAAATAGATCTTAAAACTGAAAACTTTCACTAAGTCAAGATTTTGCAGGAAACATTTCATGAGAAGGAATCAAAACACACAACTTAACAAGTCAACATTATAGTAAATATCAAACCTTATAAGAACAAGTCTCTCCTAATCTGAATTAGACTAGCATGATGATAAAATTCCCAATTAAAAACCCACAATTGAGCTAGTAAACATTATTCTAAAGGAACCAAACCTCATAAGAACTTGTCCAAACTCTTTTAAAAGATAGACCTTTTACTACTCGTTTCCTTGATTCTTTCGTTTAAGACTATCAATCGACCAAAACCATATATGACAACATGCACAGTATCAAAATTTTGAGTGCTCGAATATACAACCTAAAAAGCTAAAACCCACCAAGGTCACTCAAAGATTCTCTCTTTCTATAAGAACAACTGCGAGCTTAGCTTAATCAAACCTTTTTGCAGGAAACATTTCATGAAAAGCCATCTAAAACCCACAACATTATAATAAATATCAAACCTCACAAGAACATGTCTCTTCCTAAATTGAATTAGGCTAGCATGATGATAAAATTCACAATTAAAACCTACAGTTGAGCTGGTAAACACTATTCTAAATGAACCTAACCTAATAAGAACTTGTCCAAACTTTTTTTAAAAAATCATCTTTTACTACTCATTTCATTGATCCTTGCGTTCAATACTATTAATCGACCAAAACCAAATCTAACCGCATGCAAAGTATTATATTTTGGGTGCTCGAATTTACAACCTAAGAACCCACCAAGGTCACTCAAAGATTCTCTCTTTTCGAGATGAGCATAGTACTACTTTACAAATCTAAGGAAATTGAAACAAAAAAACCCCAATTGTCACTTCATTTTAAACAGAGAGAGCAAAAATCTGACCGCAGATCTTGATGGGAGCTTCCAATTCGAGAAGATTTGGTTGTTGGAGAAAGATTTCTTTGGAGACAGCACAGAGCTGACGGATTTCACCTTCGCTAAGATGAACTTGTTTTCCCGATCCGGGCCTCGTGTTCCGAAACTCCACCAACCGGCGGATTATATCGTCCAGAACCGCCGGGTCCATCGCTCGCTTCTGCTCCTGCTCTTGCGCCGCCTTCTCCGCCATCTCCAATCAAAGGGAACGGAGATTTTCAAGCGTGAAGCTCTCTGCCTGAAGGCGTTCGAGCCGCGAGAGAGGACGAGACCGAGACGACCGGTGCTCTCTGAAATGAGTCAGATGAGATTAGTCAGTTTGATTTGATTGATTGGTCCATTTAATTTAATCTTTATTATTACAAGAATGGGTGGCTTTTTGAATCGACCTAATGGGCCTTTGCATACGTTTTATTGGGCCTAATATTTGGACTATACTCTATATGATTCAGTCAGTTAGTTATGCATGTTTCCAACAGCTCAAGTTTTCTAGGCAAAATGTTTTGGGTCATTATGCTGTATGATGATGAATGTGTGACATAAGTAAAAACTTTTGGGTCTTCGATATTTTTTTAGTTTATCGGTTTTGACTAAATCATTTTTTAACTAGGTCTTTTATCCTTGTTTAGCGGGTCTATATTAATAGTTTGATAAAATATTTTTTATTTATAATTTTTTGTTGTTAGTAGCAGCATGGTGATTGTTAAATCAATGTTACTTAATTTTGGAGATGTGTACGTGGACAAATGGACAAATAAGATCAGCTTTCATAATTCTATATGGACGTTCTTAAAGGCATGTAGCCTCAACTTTTATATAATATAGATACAGAAATAATTAAACTGTTGGAGCTGGATTTCACCCATAAAACATGGTACATAAAGTCTATCTTTTAAATCTGAGGATCAAAATAAGTCCATGGATCCAGTAAAATGATCCCAAATCTACCAAATATCCTTGTTCAAGTCCAGTAATATATTATCTGAACTACTTGTAAAGACAAGGCCGAACTCTAACTCGACGAAATCAAGTCATCAAGCTGGGCTAGATAAGTCAAAGCAAGAAACACGCATAATTAATCAGATCCACAAATAGCAAGATCCGGCAGTTACAAGTGGGCGAGATATGCGGAGATTGTTAAGACTGATTTCAATACATATAAAAAGAAGATGATTTCAGTCTTAGATATAAGATATAGATCTCACTTTCCAAAACTTCTTTCAATTTTACAAGAGGACACATTCCTTTATTTTTTACTTAGTGAAATTCATTTTTTTGTCTTCTTCATACATATTTTGTAATTATTTCATTTGATTAATACAAGTTCATTTCTTCAAATACTCGTGTATACCTTGTTCGACTTATAAGAGGATCTAATTTTTAATTCCACTATAGTTTATCCCCTATAAAATGCTTACAAATTTTGCATGTGAATTTTTGAACCCACAAATATATTCTTAAAAAGATTATAATATTTTCTAAAGTTTTATCCTAAAATTGGAGATAAGTTCTAAAAAAAATTAAATTTAAATGAAAACAAAAAATTATATACTTATATTTTAATATATTATCATATATCATATATTTGTGTAAGATTTGTTTAAGGAAATTAATAATTTATATTATTAATAGGACTATATATTTACTTAAATGATTATCTTATTCTCATATGATTTGTGCTATATTTTATGTTGATCACATTTGGAAAAAAAAATATTATAATCGAATTTATTAGTTTATAAAGTATTATAGAATTTCCAACGTATATAAGATAGTTAATAATTTCGTGCCCAAGTTGAAATTCTTCTCAAGAGTCTGTGAAGTGTCAAATATTTTCTCTTTTTTTCGGTGAAGAGGGTTTCATGTGTCAAATCTCTTCAAATTATTTAGTTATTTACAATAGTTAATCATGACTCATGATTGAAACCATAATGAAAGTTTCGTACCCTTACTATCTCTAATAAGATAATGTGGTGGCCATGATCGAAATGATGTCTTATTTAAAGGGATTTTAAACAACCATCCAACTAGTCTATTTTGGGTTATGTATTTTACTCTTAGAGA